CACATCTGCGGCCATAGAACCTTGAAAGCACCGCATCCCGTCCGATCTGCGAAGTTGAGCAAGGTATCGCCTAGTCAGTACTGCGGTGGGGGACCACGCGGGAATCCTAGGTGCTGCAGTTCTTTTTTCTTTTTGGTCCCCATTTTTGCGTCCATTTTTGTCGAGCCATTTTGTGCTTCGACCTCCTGTTTCCCAAATCTCTTCAATCAGCCTGATCAGCACGAAGAGAGCTGCGAGCTTTTGTGTTCGGTGAAGTGTATGTCTGAGTGTCTAAGAGTCTGATGCTATCATACAGGTCTACTCTAGAAGAGGAATGCTACAAGGTCAAGCATGCGATGAGTGCAAGTGCGATGCTGAAGCACAGCCACTGGGCAGATCGACCACTGCTCGCGGCCGCATTGTCGTAGACTCGCATGTAGTCGATCTCCCATCTTGCGTCTGTAAATTGCGACGGATTGTTGCGTACAAAGTTGTCGCAAGAGACATTACCGTTGGCTGCGGCGCATCCGCTATACCCGAACGTCTCGCCGGCCCAGTCGCCGCAGAGCGAGAGGTTGATGATAATCTCGTGGTCGCCAAAGAAGTTTTGCATCTGGCAGACGGGTTCTGCACCCGTGGCGAGTGCAGTAGCGCTAGCGGACGAGTTGGCGACGTTGGCAAAGAACGCGGAAGGTGTGCCCCACTTGGCGAGCTCGCGTCGGTCGTTGCCCGTGGCGTTGGCGTTGGTGACGACGTACTTGGGCGCTGCGCGACCGTCAGCGATGGCGCTCACCGCTGCAGGCAGGTTGGATGCGGCCGTGTTGAGCGGCCAGAAGTAGACGCCGATGCCAGGATCGCCAGGACCCGTCTCGCGGCGCATGGCAAAGTAGCCGCCACCGTTCTGGTTGAATTGCGGGCCGTACGAGCTGTTGGCGGTGAAGGATGCAGAGCAGCCGGGTTGATAGGAGCAGTCGGGCTGACCAGTGAAGCCGGTCTGGTCGGAGCGGTAGCCGCCTGCGATGTGGCATCCGTAGAGCGTGTGCAGACTGGCCAAGTTGCGTGGCCCTTGGTCGTTGGCGCCTTCGATGATGTCGATCTCGCCTCCAGCTGGCCACCTGTCGTTGGTGCACGTCCAGAACGCTGGCCACGTCGCACAGCCTTGCGGCATGAACGAGATCTTGCCAACGAGGATGCCGTCGCTCATCAGACGTCTGCTGTGCAGACGTACACTCCTTCGACCTTGCCCTGGTGGCACTACAGTGGTGTTGTCTGCGCGGATGACGAAGGCTCCATTCGCGTTGACAGTCGCAAGGCCGTTCGAGACGGCAGTAAACTGATCGACATAGTCAACAGTACCGTGTGTTGGGTCGTTGTACGACCAGAACCAGAACCGCTCCAAGAATTGCTGGCCGGAGATCTCCTCGCGGAGTGTGTAGTTGCCGCCGAGTGCTGCGCTGGACAGCAGCAAGACTGCGGCGAGCGCCGTGAGTGAGAGAGTGCAGCGAGCGAGCATCTTGAAGTGGCGCTGATCGAGCCAGCCAATCTATAGGTCTTGCAGTCTATGGTGGGTCGGGCTGCTCTATGGGCGTGATTGGATCGAGACCGTCATGGCGACTTTTCTAGGAGAAGACGGCAAGAGTGGTGGGTGGCGGGGATGTTGGTATCGTGGTGGTCGTGACGAAGACCATTGCAAGCAGACGATGCATGATGAGAGGCGGCGCAGCAGCGGGTGGCCGGTCAAGAGCGGCATCTCGGAACGAAGCATCAGATTACACGATAGCGAACAAGGGTCTTGGCGGCGTGTATTCGTGCGCTGACAGCCGCCAAGCCCTTGAGCTGCGCGGGCTATGCAATTTCCTGATCTCGAAGCGCGATGATGCTCTTCCGCGCTTCTCGAAATTCGATTCCGTGCTCAGCCTGTCAAGGAAGGGTTCTCTCTCGGCAGCCTCGCAACGGCGATTTCCACCATCTCGGCAACTAATCCAAGACCCCTCATAGCGCCTGATCAACACGTTCTTCTTTCACTGCCTGCTCAAGGTCTTTCCGTCGCCTTCAAGTGATGGTGTTGTCAAAGCAGACCGCCGGCTGCCAAATCTCGAGTTCTCCGACGCAGCATCGCCAGACTGCGACGCCTACACTTGATTTGCTCTCGCTCTTGTGCCAGTTCGAGCACAACACTGTTAGTAGAAACGGATCCGCGTTCTCAGCACACATGGGCGAGGCAATCGTTTCACAAAATTTGGATTGTTACACATCTCGGATGATTGGCGCTGAGCTCGGTACGAGGATGCTGAGATCCACCATGATGAGGCTCTGCGGCATTGGGCGGCAGTGGACCCGATTTTGTCGGAGAGGTAGAAAAGAGGAGAACACTTTGGTCAGAAGCCTCGAAGGCTCCGAATCTGAGCCATGTCAAGTCCGAGAACATCCTTGATGAGTTCGTCCGAGTCGTTTGGAATGTGCGGATACGCGGCCTTGCAAAAGTTGGAATAGACCTCCTTGATCTCGGGGAACAACGTGATCTCCTCTCTCGTCCTCAGGTCTTCCAGCACGCTCGATTTGGAGATCCACTTTGCGATGTGCCGAAGCGCTGCTGAGCGTAGCCCGTTGATGACGTACTTGTGAGCAATGCGATACATTTCGAATGCATCGGCCGGCTCCAAACAATCACCCCACCAGTACAAGTAGTGGGCCATGGCGGGCTTCTCGAAAACGACTTCGCCTGTGTAGACATAAAAAAGCAGAGTTTGCAACTGCCCGTAGCTGATGTCGTTGAGCCTGAGCGTAGGCGTCTCGTTTGTGACACCGATGCGCTGACCTTGAGAAGTTGCCGTCGCAACGTCGTAAACCTCTAGCGGCGGAGAGGAAGAGGCGCGCTGGAGACTGCCCTGTCTCAGAGCCGAGGCCTCGGCGAAGTCAGACTGGAGGAGTGAGGCGAAATAAGTGCTGGCTTCACACAGGGAACGCTTGTGCGCTCGAAGCAATCGGGTCTCGCCGGCCGGTCTACTTGGAGCAAGCAGCACCAGTTCCGAGTTTGCGGCTGTCATCAGGTTTGCCAAAGCGACAAGCGACTGAGCTGGCTCAGCCAAAGAAGGCCACCACTGCTGCATGGGCCCGTTTGCCTTTGTTTGCGATGTGTAGCTGCCGAGGTAGAGTGCGACGTTGACGATCAAGTGACTGTGACCCAATACCTGAAAGAGCTTCTGCATTTCGCGGCTAGTGCTGTCGAAAGTCCATGTGCACGCTATCACGTTCTCGTTGTCTAGCAAGCGTGTGAACCTGTGAGCGTTTCTGCTCCAGACAAGAGAATGAAACGAAGCCTGAAAGTGATAGCCGATGCTGATGTCGATGCGCTCGCACCACTGTAGAGCTTGCTTGACAAAAGAATAGGAGTGACTGCCGTCGTCGAGCTGAATCTCTGCTGATGCATCATTGGGTCGAATGATGAGCGTGGTTTCAGAAGTTGTGCGACATTCTCCGACGAACTTCTCGCTTCCGGCAGGTGCCTTCTTGAACTCGATGCAGTGGAAGATCTGCCTCCCGTCGCCGGTCTCATTGGCTCTGACGGATTCTTGCATGGACGGCGACGTTTATGGAGTCAAGAAATCAAAGAGGATCACAGATGCTTGAGAGTGAAGGTAGGCAGAATGGAGACGAAAGACAGGGTCACGAGCTTATTAAAACATACACTTTGCGGTCGCTCGGATCCTTTGATCGTGGCTGCGCAGCGAAAACAAGAATGCCGAAAAGCAACTGCAGTGAGCGAAGTCATTCACTAAGGGTAAGAGTGAGGTGGCAAACCTCGAAAACAAAGAGACAGCAGAGCCAACATGGATTGCAGGACGGCGCAAGAGTGGGCTTTTCATTTCGACTGGAGCAACGATGTTCGCCACAGGCGCATTCTCACGATTTGCAGAGTAATACCTGACGACGCTCCTTCGTTTCTCACGACACAATCGGACCTTTGCGCAGCTTGAGAGAAAGTCCGCTGCGCCTTGCGCCGTCTCCGTGTCAGCCGTCTGCTCGGGGCCTTCACGGAACCATCGGATCTGCAGCTGCATAGAGCGCGCAGCCTTCCTTTCATCTTTGAGCCCAACCTTGTCACGAACCCACGGGTGGGGCCTTGCTGAAATCGCGTTGACCCACCGCCGAGCTTAATCTGGTCTGCTGCAAGCTTGAAGCCGTTTGAATTGCTGCGTTGTCAATGAGTATCTACTGGCTATACTCTTCACTACGATGATGATCAGATACTGCCATGCTGACCAAGATGCATCTCCTCTTCCGGCCAGCACTGGTGTTGACGCTGGTATGCTCGCTCGTCGCAGCTCACAGCTATGACCGCCTCTACAAGCGACAATCTCAATTTCAGTACATCGCCGACGAGCAAGACCCGCTGAAAGCAGCAGCCGACATCCAGCAAATGCCCGGCGTACCCAACAGCAGCTCGGACTCGAACCCGGACGACCTGATCATCAAGGACGACGGTGGCTCCTCCAACCCGCCTTGGTTGTCGCAAATCCCCTTTGTGCAGACGCCCTCCGTGGAGAACATGCAGGTCGCAAGCGGCCAGATGGGTTGGAAAGACGTTCCTGAGCTGGACGGCTTCACGCTGAACCGCACCTTTCACGTACTGCCGAACCTCACCATGCCCATGTACATCTCGCAAACCTATCGACCGGGCGAGGACAACAGTCGCATCCAACGCGCCGTCATCACCATGCCAGGAAAGCCCAGAGACTCTTGGAAGTACGCCAACCTCTTCCGGAACGCGCTCACCATCGCTGCTTCCAACCCGGACAACGGTATCGTCGCGGATCAGGTCATGATCATCGGTCCTGCGTTCCTCAACTCGGACGACAAGGAAGCCGGCGCGGTGAAAGACGGCGAGCTCTACTGGCACGGTTCGCAGTGGCAATCCGGACGGAAAGCACGCAACGAACCTCAGACCAACCTCAGCTCCTACCACGTCCTCGACAATATCACCGACTGGATCTTCCAATCTGGCGAGTTTCCTTCCATCAAACAGGTCGTCTTCGGGGGCCACTCGATGGGGGGTCAAGCAGTGCAACGCTACTCCGTGCTGAAAAAGACCAAGGAGTATGACGACAACGTGCACTTTTGGGTTGCCAATCCAGGCTCGTGGGCGTGGCTAGACGATCAGCGACCGTATCAGAACGGCTCGTGTCACGGCTGGGACAGTTGGGGTTACGGCATTGGCAATGCTTCCAGCATCATCGGCTATGCGCGGCGCGACGTCAATGCCAGTCGGGAGGCCATCGTGAACCGATTTCGCTCGCGCAAGGTGCACTATGCGGTGGGTCTCGTCGACACTGGCCCCGGTGACACGCACTGTCAAGCAAAAACGCAAGGTGGAAGTCATCTCGACCGCGGATCGCAATTTGTCCTCGCCTTGGGTCGACTCGGTGGGTTCCCAGAGACTCAGAGCTTTGACGTGATTGAGGGCACTTCACACCAAGACTACCCGATGATCCGTGCCGACAAATCGATCAGACGCATCTTCCTCAGCGATTTCAACACAAGCTTCCCCCTACTGGCGAATGTGACGAGTCCCGGAGATCGTCCGCCTCATTCTCACCACAATGGCACACACGAAGAGCCAAAGCCCAAGCCCAAAGCGTTCAACACGCCGAAGCTTCGCATCACCGCAAGCGCCCTGTTGGGTGGATCGGCGCTGTTCATTCTTGCGTTCTTCACACTGCTGCCGTACGTATTCACGGATAACTTTGATGAGAAGAGCTACGAGGTGGAGATGTCGGTGCGGAGGAGGCTGCTTTCATGAAGACTTCGGCAAAGGTGTAGAGCAATGGTCACACGGCATGTCGATACAGACTTGAATACTCGATACAAGCAGCATCCAACTTGATGATTGCGGTTGTGTGTGTGCCGATTGAGACATGAAGACTTCTGACCTGCAGCGTTCTGTTCGTGAGTCGAAGGAAGCGCTTGGCTGTCGGCGAAGGGGCAGGTTGTCTTGAAGAAGTTGAGCATGGTCCACTGAGCATGAGCGGGATGGCAGCCTTTCTGCTTCATCCGCAGCTGCGCCTCCAGCAGGCGGTAATTTTGCAGGTGCACTTCTCCACTTTTTTGTGTCCTTCCGACACCCGAACCTGCCATTTGGTCATCATCTTCCCTTGCACCCTTCACAGCGCACCTCTCTCTACAATCACATCGGACTCCTCCGCTCGTATCGCGCTCGCCGACCACATCCTGACTCTCGCTGCACCAGAGGGACGTGAAAGAAAGCATATCTCACAAGATGGTGGGTTCGTGCCAGCACATCCGCACCGACCTGACTGAGTGCATCCTCAAGAGCGACTGCTTTACGAAACACGGCAACTCGGCGCAAGAATGCATCCAGTCGCACATGGCCGAATTGCCATTGGAGTGCCAGCAGCTGTACAAGAGCTTTGTCGAGTGCCGACGCGGGATGGTAAGCACCGATAGAGCCCTGTTCTGGACGATGGAAGAGTGGTACTGACACGGTGACGCCTTTATAGTTGGATATGAGGAAGAGGTTTAGGGGTAACGCTCCACCAACAGCGGGGGCCAACAATGCCACGGGAGGGACCAGTCAGGTCGATGCAGCTGGCACAGGATCGACTGGGTCGTCACGATAGAACGATAAGCAGAGACGGCTCATCCGTTGGACAAGCACTTCGCACATTCAGCCACGCCGATTTTGGTCGCAGGAACATGTTCGGCTCTCATCCACGATCGGATCAGCCGCAGCCTTCTCCCGACAGATCGGACCAGCCGCACGATTCACTCAACAGCACAGCAAACACTTGTACTTGTATCCTCACCGCACACCACTTTCAAGAGATTCTCACGCCACGCAGTCGGAGGCACCGGCATCAGGTCATGTGAATCAAACGATTAGCTTTCGAGAACAACAAAAGGGAAAGTGTGCGTGTCCAGCGAGAAAGGAAAAGGGTGATCGCATCGGACCCAAGCGCCTCCATAAGCGACATTAGGTCCGACGTAAATGAGCGTGATGTTGTTCTACAGAAAAGACAGTGTCCTTCGATGGTATCCAGAAATCAGAGCATGACCACGACGATGGCGGCCGCAGCGACGGTGATGAAGACCGCCTTGAGCGCAGCATAGTTGATCGCCTCCGTTGCGCCGTTTGCGATCTGCAGGTTGTTCGGGTCGGGCACAAGGTCCTTGGCGTTGGAAGCCGTGTTGTAGCCGCCGCTCGACGCGAGGGATTGGTAGACCTGCGAGGGGAAGATGGCGGGCACGGTCTGGGTGGGAACGGTGTAGCTGAACGTATACGAGGATGTGTCGGGCGAGGGTCCGGGTCCACCAATGACCGTGGGGTTGCCGCCCGTTGCGCGGGCGAAGGTCGTGACCGGCGTGAAGGTTACCTCGGGAACGAAGGACGAGAGCGGGAAGGATGTACCGGCGAACGCGGACGAGACCTGCGCTTCGGCGGTGGCTGCGAGGACGAGAAGCGTCGCTGCGACGAGCAGAGCAGACGCTCTTGATGTGGATGCGGATGCGTGCATTCTGTGTGTGGAGACCGGGTCAGGTGGCGCGTTCTGGTGATTATCCGACTGCAGCAGGTATAGTGTTGTGTCTCTGCGAGGTCTGCGATGATCACAAGGATAGCGTTCGGTGCAGTGACCGCGCGATGACCTTTTCAGATGGGCGAAGGCGGGAGCTTGCAGCAATAAAGCAAGGCGACCAAGAGGAATCAGAGAGCAAACGGCCGCGGATGGAGTTCGATAGATGCAATCCGTACGGCTTGACCAGGATGTCCAAAGATAATTCGAGAGCGAGATCGAAGACCAGTATAGGATGAGTAGAATGATGTGCCGATGGTCGATATGGCAGAATGAAGATGGTAGGGATGGCGATAGAGATGAAGGTGCAGATGATGGTGAGGAGGGCCCTGCGGGGAAGTTGCATTCGCAGGTGACCCTTTGGTCCCTCACCAAACAAAACCGCAGCGATCCAAACGCGGCGGCACAAAGCAGCTGCAGTCTAAATCGAGGGGAAATTCTCTCTCTGCTGCTGCTGCTACTGCTGCTGCATGATGCTGGGCTGAAGCTTTTTCTCGTCAATTTCAACCCCCGCAAGGCAGCAGCAGCAGCGCGCTACGACGATCCTCTCTGTATAAATTCCCCGTCGAACGAATTTGGCCTGCCGTTGACCTCGCTTAGCTGCCACGGCTGCAGGTCGCTTTCTCTCTCACACGCAGAGAGCTGAGCCCTTACTCCTGACGAGGCTGAGCTACAATTCAGAGTCCGACCCTGGATCTGACACTCTCTCACGATTTCACGCTCTCGAGGCCTTGCCTGCTCGTTGGTTTCAAGCGGCACACTGCGCCCACTGTTCTACTTGTTGCGCATTGTTAGAGCTCATGCAATCTCGGAACCAGCTGGTCGGATCGCTGCAACCGGCCCTGCCGTCTTTCGAGTCTCACTCCAAGCAGTCGCTGCAGTCTGATGCACAAAGACCCTATCTGAAGAGGACATAGCTTGCATTGGTATCGAAGAATCACAGGTGAAGGTGTTTGAAGTGCCTTGCGCACTCCTCATACAGCATTGGCATCAGCAGCCTTAATGTCACGGCTGTAGTAGTTGGCCTGGAACCTCCAGCTGGCCACACCATCGAACTCGCTCCATTCTGGACTGACGCTGGCGGCTTCCTTTGCTACCGATGGATCGTAGAACGACGGCGTCTTGATCCTCGTGTCCGCCTTGTACGGCACTGGCGAGATTTTGGGATTGTCGACATCGAACACGAACTGAGTCAGGGTGTCGCCCGTGTTCCATCCGTACCAGGGTCGACCAGACCACTGCACTGCGCCGTTGCTGGTGGCAGACCCCTGATCGCCGTTCTTGGAAAAGTTGACCTCGATGTAGTCCTTGACGTTGTATAGAATGGTCGCTTCGTCGACGGCGTAGATCGAGGGGGACTTGTGCGGTGTGACCGTGGCCAGGTTGCTTCTCAGCCCCGCGATCACGTTGGATGATGACCACAGGACAAAGTTCGAAAAGAGGATGAGCTGCTTGAAGACGAAGCCCTTGTCCGCTGTCGTTGGCTGCTTGCCCGTGAGCGAAGGGTGACGCATGCCAAGCACCTCGAGCTTCGCCTCGTCAAAGCTGGGTCGGAAGATTCTCGGTCCAGGGCCCGTGTGGTCCTGGTAGCCCAGCTCGAGCATCACAGGGTGGTTGGCACCTGCATTGTACTCGGCGGCGTTGAGACCGAGATGGGCGATCTGGTCCTGCGTGAAGGAGATGAGCGGCGACGGTTCGATGTTGCGCACCTTGGGCGGAAGGAAGTTCAGCACCTGCGAGATGGGCATCAGCAGAGGCACCAGCATTACATCGTAGGTTCCGTTGATAGCCACCATCTTGGCTGTGATGCCGTCGATTCGCAACGAGCTCGTCGGGGAAAGAAGAGGTGATGCTGGTCGGGAGTGAAGGTGCTGGTTCAGGCGATTCGAGTCTATTGTCAGCAGCCGAATGCAAAGATGTTTCCAAGAAGACGTAATCCCGCCGGAATTTGCACCACACCCCACACTCGCCCTTTTGTTCCTCCACCTGTGACCAGTCTCCTCGGCCCGGACTGTGAAAGCATCCGTCGCCCTCTTCAGCTCCTCTTTCTTGTTCATAGTGTACATGTCTATTACAGCGGGCTGAGTCTATGGTGTATCAAGTCTTCTATGATCTACATTCCATGAGGCGAAGAAGAAAACGCTCACATGGTCCAGCCAACCTCGAACCAGAGGTACTCTTGCTCGTCGTTTCGCCCGACGTTGGATCGCTTGTCCAGCCTGCGTCGCTTGAGGATGGTCAATTGCGGTCCTGTTGAGCAAGCTTGCTGAAGGGAAACCTTGTCCATCCGAGAGCGCAGGAGGGCACTGTGGCTAACGTGGCCCTTCTGATCGACTGCTCCGGACGTCTCTGCTGTCAAAGCGGGTGTCCCAGGCATCGTATCCAGCGGCGTCCCAGCGAGAGAAGTGCTGAGTGAAGGGGCGGCTGTTGACCGTACGCGCGGCATGAAAGCGTCTTCGACCGTTTTGTGGAGACCTTCGAACTTGCCCGTGCCTCGAACAGCCATGATAATGTGAGCGCGAGACGCCGACTCTATGGCGTTGTCGTCGCTGCTCGGCTTGCGCAACAGTGCTTCGATCGAGGAGCGGATCCAAAGTGCATGCTCAGGCGCGTAGATGACGTCGGCCAACAGCATCAGGTCGTATTTGGGCTGTTCGAGATCCAGAGCGCCTTGAAGCACCTCATTGTGGACCTCGAGCCAATCCAGAGGCTCGACCGTGACCGAGGCTGAGCTTGCGGACTCGTCCGTAGTGGGAAAGTTCTCCTGCACATTGTGCTCCAAATTGCTCAGCACCTGTGTGTGGTAGTCGGTCAGGACGATATCAGCGGGAATCTGCGTCTGCTGAAGGAGCTTGGCTGTCGCCATGCCCAGCAGACCCGTTCCGGCTCCCAGTTCCGCGATTCTTAGCCGCTTGTCGGAGGCTCGAGCAAGCCCGGGGTGAAAGAGGGTGGGATGTCGAACGAGGACGTCGCTGACAATGATGGACGCTCCCCAAGTTTGCACTCCAACCGCGGCCGCAGCATCTTGGTTGGAGCCATTCCCACTCTGTGCAGCGGTCTCCGACTGCGTGTCTGACGGTGGCAGAGGATCGTCTCGAAGAAAGATTTCGATGGTCTCCGATGAAGTAGTGGCAGACGACAAGTCCCGCAGATCCTCCTTGGGGACGACCACGGGGTCTTTCAGAGGGAAGCGAAACTCGCGAGAGATAGCACCAGCTTCCTCAAGACTGGCATGACCTCCTAAGATGCGCCCGGCAAGATCCAAAAGAGCGTCCGCCGACGTGATACTGGATCCATCTTCCACCCAGTAAAGGCCGCTGCCGATGACTCGTGTGAGCCAGTCCATAGCATAACGCCTCTCGTGGTCGTCCACTTTGGCAGCGTCGATGGCATCCTGATATTCCAAACGATCGCAATCGTCATTGCTGCTGCACGCTGCGAAGAGTGAAGCCTCGTCCTGATTGAGCGACTGGGGAGAGTAGAGAAGTGAGAGATGTCCAAGAGCCTGGAAGAGGTCATTCGAGGAAGGGTGGTTCTTTACGCGAGGCAGGCAGCTCGTAGGGTTCACGAGACTTGCTGACATGTGTAGGGTCATGTCGTGAGAGTATCATGCGGCGCGGTGATTCGATGGGATCCGGGGCTGGTCTATGAGGCAAAGAGGTGGTGAAGATGGACGAGGCGGTCCAGGGTCCCTTAGCTCGCTTCAGATCATGGTGTCGATAAAAGACTGAGGAGGTAGCTTTAAGCTCCTGGCCAGTCCAACGTAATAACCCCGGTGGCAGAGTCTGTCCAGCAGACGCTCCAGACCGCCGCCGAGCTTTCAGAAGATGATGATGACGGCGAGAAGAAAGATTGCGGACAACCTTCTCCGCATTTCTCACCAAAAATTTCGAACAAGGGTCCACACTGACTGTCACGGCCGAGACTTTGTTTTAAGGTTTTGTGCCCGCAGAGAGCCGGTCACAGGACGGCTGCGGGGAAGACGGCTGAAAGCGCTTTCAGCCTGCATCAACCGGCTTAGACCCGACAGCGTGATTCACCTGGCTCTTGCTCGCTTCGGCAATTCCGGGCTCAGCTCGTCGAGTTCTTCTTGCTCAGTCGTATCAAGGGTCCTTAGAGCTTGATCTCCTTCATCAGCGTCCACCACCATCATCCCATCTCGACCGAGCGCGTAACAATGTCCTCTCGCCTGATCGCTGCTCGCTTGGCTCGCGTCAACGCAGCTCGTCTTCAAACTTCCGCTGCTCCCTCGTCGAGTCTCGCCCGTCTCAGCCTCGGCTGCCGACCCAGGCAAGCACTTCCCAACTCGTCGGTTCGCGCCATCAGGATGAGCTCCACCGCCGCCACCTCGCTCAATCCACAACCAGCTCCTTTGCGGACACAAGCACCGACCGCTGAGCAGGAGCAAGCAGACTACGATGCCGCAATCAAGCAAGTACAGGAATGGTTCGATAGCCCCCGTTTCAAGGGCATCAAGCGTCCTTACGGTCCCGAAGCCGTTGTCTCCAAGCGCGGCTCCATGCCTGTGATCCCACCTGCCTCTTCTCTCATGGCCGACAAGCTTTTCTCTCTTCTTTCCGAGCACGCAGCCAAGGGCACGCCAGCGCACACTATGGGTGCCATCGATCCTATTCAACAATCGCAAATGGCGCACAACCAGGAAGTCGTCTACGTGTCCGGCTGGGCGTGCAGTTCGGTGCTCACCACCTGCAACAACGAGGTCGGCCCCGATCTTGCAGACTACCCTTACACCACCGTTCCGAACCAGGTGCAGCGTCTCTTCAAGGCTCAGCAGCACCACGACCGGAAGCACTGGGACGAGCGATGTCAGCTCTCCGCCGAGCAGAAGGCGAAGACTCCGTGGGTCGAGTACCTTCGTCCCATCATCGCGGACGCTGATACGGGTCACGGCGGTCTCAGCACCGTCTTCAAGCTCGCCAAGCTGTTTGCCGAACAGGGTGCTGCTGGTATTCACCTCGAGGATCAGCTCCACGGCGGCAAGAAGTGCGGTCACCAGGCTGGTAAGGTACTGGTTCCCACCTCGGAGCACGTCAACCGCCTCACAGCCACTCGTTTCGCATGGGACATTCTCGGCTCAGCTAACATCCTGATCGCCCGTACCGACTCGGAATCCGCCAAGCTCATCTCGTCGAGCATCGACGCCCGTGACCACGAGTTTATCAAGGGTGCTTACAACTTGCCCGAGGGTACCAGGAGTCTCGCAGACACGCTTGCCTCCAAGGAAGCATCTGGCGCCTCTGGTCCTGAAGTCGATGCCGCGGAGAAGGCATGGATGGACCAGTGCGAGCTGCTCACCTTCAACGAGGCTGTCGCCAAGCACAACGCTTCGAACAAGCAGGGCATCGAGCAGTACAGCAAGAAGGTCGCTGGTGGTGTCTCCAACGGCGACGCACGAGCCATCGCTAAGGAGGTGTTCGGCGCCGAGGGTGTGCCCACGTGGTGCTGGGATGCTCCCCGCACCAAGGAGGGCTACTATCACTTCAAGGGCGGCGTCGCTCCCGCCATCAAGCGTGTCAAGATCTTCGGTGCCTACGCTGACATGCTCTGGCTCGAAACCAAGACACCCGACCTCAAGCAGGCGCAGACCTTCGCCGCTGACATCCACAACGACCTGCCCGGCAAATGGCTCGTCTACAACCTCAGTCCAAGCTTCAACTGGAGCGCTCACGGCTTCTCGGACCATGACCTGAAGAACTTTGTTTGGGATCTGGCCAAGTCCGGCTTCGTCTTCCAGCTCATCTCGCTCGCCGGTCTTCACTCGACGGGTGCCATGACCTGTGAGCTCTCGCAGCGATTCAAGACCGACGGTATGCTCGCCTACGTCGAGCTCGTGCAGCGCAAGGAGAAGGAGATCGGTTGTGATGTGCTCACCCACCAGAAGTGGTCCGGTGCTGCGTATGTCGACCGAATGCTCCAGGCCGTCAGCTCGGGCAGCTCAGCAACACAGGCCATGGGCGCCGGAAGCACCGAGCACTCTTTCTAATTTCAGTCAATCCTAGATTAATGCAGCATAACAACATCACCTGAAGGTGTCAGGGTGAAGTCGGTCGCAAGGAATGCGTCCTCTGAATGAATGTCCATGGTCGCAAGTGACAACTTGAGGAGGCAGCGTCGCGAAGTGGCGCCATGGCAAAGCCCGAATTCCGGACATCACGTTGAGAAGACTTGAATTTTTGAGCTTTCGTTCTCCACTTCGTGAGGGGTTGTTGTGTCCACATTCACTCACCATATCGACAACTTCCGCTCCGTGCTACAGGACGTCCACAGGCCTAGCAATGCTTCGATCAGCATGGCGCGCAGGGAGGACGCATCTCTGCGAGGCCTCGCTATACCAGCCACCTGCGCTGCGATGCGGCTGTGCGACAGCTTCCGGCTCGAGAGCTACTGAATCTGCAGGGCTCTCGCCCCGATCTTCACGCTTGCAAGTCCATGCCAAGGTGTCGACACTCGAGCCGTCTCGTCGCTTCTCGAGCTCAGCGCTGTGTCAGAAAGCGGTGCCAGCTGCTTCCAGCTCGGCTTCTAAAGCCATGGCAGAGGCTCGAGACGTCTCCAAGTTCGACCGGCTAGAGACGAGGACCTTCTCCATCATCAGCCACGTGGATCACGGTAAATCAACGTTAGCAGATCGACTGCTTGAGCTTACCGGAACAATACCTTCAGATGGCTCAAATCAGCAGGTGCTCGACAAGCTGAAAGTCGAGAGAGAAAGGGGCATCACCGTCAAGTCTCAAGCAGTGACGATGGTGTACGACTATCATGGGCCGGACGAAGACTTCATTTCGGCCTTCGACGACGGCTTCGCGCCCAGGGCAGGGAGATATCTGCTCAATCTGATTGACTGCCCTGGTCACGTCGACTTCTCCTACGAGGTTAGCCGGTCGCTCTCGGCGTGTCAGAGCGCGCTGCTCGTGGTGGATGCAACTCAAGGTGTTCAGGCACAGTCAATCACGGTGTTCGAGCTCGCCAAGCAGAAGGACCTCACCATCGTCCCGGTGCTCAACAAGAGCGATCTGCCTGCCGCCGATCCGGAGCGCTGCTCCATACAGATGGAAGAGATCCTCGGCATCGACACCACACTACCAGGACAAGAGCGGCTCTTGATATCCGCCAAAACGGGCAAGGGCGTCGACAACGTCTTGCGTGCCCTTGTGGAGCGGACAAAGCCACCACCAGGTGTCGAGGACGGCAAGCTGGAAGGTCGGGAAGGGCCAGGATTCCGAGCGTTGGTGTTCGACAGTTGGTACGATCAGTACAAGGGTGTCGTGTCGCTTGTATCGATCGCGGACGGTGCGGTCAAGAAGGGCGACCGAATCACGTCGTGCCACACGGGCAAGCGATACGAAGTGCTCAGCATCGGTGTCAACTCGCCTGACATGATTGCTACGGACGTCTTGCGAAAGGGACAAGTCGGCTGGATCATCGCCAACATGAAAGACATGAGCGAAGCACAGATCGGCGACACGTTCCATCTCGCGTCAGAAAAGGTGGAACCGCTGGAGGGATTCGCACCGACAGTGCCCATGGTGTACGCCGGCATCTTTCCCATCGAGACGACCGACTTCTTGAAGCTGGAGGAAGCCATACAGCGACTTGCGCTCAACGACCGATCGGTCACGGTGCAGCGCGAATCATCGATGGCGCTTGGTCAGGGCTGTCGCCTCGGCTTCCTAGGTCTCTTGCATCTCGATGTCTTCCGTCAAAGACTTGAGGACGAGTACGGACACGCCATTCTGGTCACAGCACCGTCCGTGCCATATAAGGTGACATGGCGCGATGGACGTGAAGAGATCGTTTCGAACCCTATCAACTTTCCCGACGATTCGGAGCGCAAGGCCAAGATCAACCTGCTGGAAGAGCCGATGGTTCGAGGCGTGGTCCGCTGCCCTGAAGAGTACACGGGCGAGATCATGCAGCTATGCGCCGAGCACCGCGGAGAACAGCTCGACGTCTCCTTCCCACCGTCAGCATCGGCGATTCGGTCTGTACAGATGACCTATCGACTGCCGCTGTCCGAGATCGTCACCGACTTCTTCGACAAGCTCAAGTCGTGCTCGTCCGGGTTTGCGTCGTTCGAGTACTCTGAGGATGGCTATGCAGCGAGCGATTTGGTCAAGCTCAACTTCCTTATCTCGAACACGGTGCTCGACTCGCTCTCGATCATCATGCACCGGTCCAAGGTCATGTACAATGCACGACAGTGGACCAAGAAGCTGAAGGATATCATTCCTCGCCAGCAGTTTGAGGTGTCGATCCAAGCAACGACGGGCAGCAAGGTGATTGCGCGAGAAACGCTGTCGGCTTATCGTAAGGACGTCACTGCTGGCCTATACGGCGGGCACTACGAACGTAAGCTGAAGCATCTCAACAAGCAAAAGGAGGGCAAGAAGAGACTCAAGGCGCTCGGTGTCGGTAGGGTCCAGATTCCCACGGAGAAGTGAGTATTCGAGTTGCGGAAGGTCCTCTGCGATCCAGGTTCCTAGTACTGATGCTGACATTTGTCCTTCTTTTTATACACCACCCGCAGATTCCTCGAGGTACTCGATACTCGCTCCAAAGCGTCGAAGTAATGAAGCAATTCTGCCTCGTCAGGCGGCCCCTTCCTTCCTAAGACTGACTGTGCTGTGACCGGGGTGGTCAATGAGCTTAAGCAGCTCGAAGAACGCGCCCTGTGGATGGAGTCGTGTCGGAAAGACTCTGCAGGCTGGTCGGCCGCTTCGGAGAGATCCTCCTGCAACCACGGAACAAGCTCCTGGCAGATCTTGCGGTTCGAGGTGCGGGTCGGATCGAGCCAACCGAGCGCTTGCCGAGTGGGGAGGGCGGACCGGTGAGCCTGCCGAGGATTCATCGGATTTGACCCTGCCGCGGGCAAAACGGTGGAAGCGGCGGATTCTAGACGCCTGCCACCGGTCAAGTTTGGACCCTTCCCTTCGCTTGTCCTAACCATGGCCCCCACGCTCATCTCCGCGTTTCCATTTGTCCTCAGTCCCGCCTGCCTTACTGCATGATCTCGGCGGATATTGTGACCGACGCTCGACCAAGTACGCGTGCAGGCAAAGTTTCGCCGCCTTCCTGTGCTCTCCTTGTCGTTGACTGCGGATCATTCCGTCCATGAGACCACGCGGTTGCTCGAACAATGACTGTCATGCCCCCACTTGCCAGGCTGACTTGCAGACTTGCAATTGACCGGCGTTCTTTCCTGCCTGCCCATAACCAGAGACTAATTCCGATGAGACGATGTCGCTGCTGCGTTCATGGTTCGACGGATGTCTCCGCCTACACATCTGCTTTACGCTGGCCAAAATTGCGACGCCCCTCGGAAGATTTACTGTACGACTTATGCCGTGGTGAGAGCTCGTCGGGTTCATCCAATCGCGTCCGCCGCCGGGAAGCGATGCCGTTGGCTACGGCTGATCTTTCAAAGTCAGCGGCGAATTTGTGGTCAGCCTTCGTTGCCGTCCCTTCTTGCGACGTCAACCTCTCACTGGTCTTCGCTTCGCCCAAGGCTCGCTTGCCACACGATGCTGTCCCTTGCCAGCACAAGCTCGTTCCGCTTCTTTCCGCCTCTGCTCCGCGTCCGCTCGTCTCGCCCTCAACGATTTGTCAAGCTTGTCTTATTCCCCCGCACACCCCAAATTGGACTGCTTTGCGGAGAGAGGTGGTACGCATGCTGAGAGTCTGGGGAAAGGGGAAGACATGGACGGCCACACAGTTAGTTCCTGCGCGCATCTGCATCGACGATAGAACACAGTGGCTGCAGTCCACGATGCGAGCACCCCAACATCCGTAGCCCGTGAACATGAGCTTTCGGCCTCGCGTGCAGACTTTCTGCACTCATCGACCGTCCCTCGCTTCAGGCCCCTGCTCTCAGACCCACTCCGGCGCAGATGAAGACTCGTGGGTCAGCCCCTGTCTGCTCGATTTGATTTCGCCGACGCCCACTGTACCTCTGCCTTGTCGCCCCACGCCAAGTCGTGGCTCAGCTTGACCGGTCTGGTCTCGTCCCTTACAGACGACTGAGCGCTCCTGTCCTGCACGTCGGCAGACAGCACATGATGAACGCTGGAGCAATCGAAGGTGGGGTCCCCGTCTTTTGTCTCCTTGATGAAGCCAGCCGGTCTGCCATTCCCGCACAGATATATACTTGAGCCTGCCTCGGGCCTTGCCTCGCCCCCTTTCCTCTCACGATATTCCCTCCCCTCCTTCTTCACCATGTACATCCCTTCCAAGTTCGCTCACTTTTCTGAGACGCCCAGCTCGGCGCTCAACTGGCGTCTGGCTTTTGCCGTCGTCGGCATGGGTCTTCTCGGTGCCTCGCGTGGTATCGATGAAGGTCTCATCGGTGGCATGATCTCGCAAAAGACCTTCGAGAAGGACTTTGGCATCCCCGCCAAGAGCAACAAGGAGTCCAATGTCACCGCCATGGTTCAGCTCTTCTCGGTGCTCGGCGCTATTCTCGGCTACCCCATCTGCGAACGTCTTGGTCGTGTTCGCGGTGCTCAGATTGCTTGCGGTCTCGTGCTCCTCGGTAGCACCCTTTGGGCCGCCAGCAGCGGTCACTACGCCATGCTCCTCGTCGCTCGTGCCATCGCCGGTGTCGGCGTCGGTCTCACGCCTATCGTCGCCCCCATCTTCCTCGTCGAGGTCGCCCCTAAGCAGATCCGTGGTCTCTGCACCTCCGTCTACTCTTTCAATGTCTACCTTGGGTATGTACACCTCCTGACACCTCGCTCTCTCCTGAATGAGCCCAATTAACCCTCGTCTTCTTCCTCATCCTCTCAGTTTGCTCCTTGGCTACTGCACAAACCTCGGAGTCAAGGTTCATGTCAACGCCAAGACCAACGCCATCTGGCAGGTGCCTCTTTCCCTCAACTTTGCTCTGCACGCCGTTGTGCTGGTCTGCCTACTCTTCCTCAAGGAGTCGCCGCGATGGCTCATGATGAAGGGTCGCGTTGAAGACGCCTCGGCCTCGCTCGGATGGTACCGTGGCATGGCCCCTCGCGACCAGGCCTTTGTCGAGGAGTACGAGCTGATCGCCGACTCTGTTCGTCAGGAGAAGGAAGCTACCGACGGCCTTGGATTCATGGGCAAGGTCCGTGAGCTGTTCCTCAACAAGAACAACCAGTTCAAGCTGGTCCTTTGCGTCCTCATCCAGATCCTCGGTCAGTGGCAGGGACCCGGTGCGCTTTCGACCTACGCCAACCGCATCCTCACCCTCATCGGTGTTCACGACAGCAAGGGCTACGTCATGTCTGCTGGCTTTGGCGCCGTCAAGCTCGCGGCTGGTATCCTGTCTTCGTTCTTCCTGATCGACCTGTTCGGTCGTCGACGCACGCTTTGGGTCTCGACTCTCTTCCAGGGTCTCGCCATGCTCTACGTGGCCATCTACCTTGGCGTCTTCATCGACCACAAGCACGCGGCCAGCAAGCCCGCCTCGGAAGCCGCCATTGCAGGCATCTTCATTGCTGGTGCATCCTGGTCCGCAGGTGGAAATCTCGCTCAGTACCTGATCAACAGTGAGATCTTCAGCCTGGACGTGCGTGCACTCTCCGCATCGTTCGTGATGGCGTTCCACTTCCTGATGCAGTATTCGACGACCCGTGCTTTGCAGCCGATGCTCAACTCGGGTCTCAAGGGTGCGGGTACGTTCGCCATCTTTGCCGCCATGTCCCTCGTCGTTGCATTGCCTGTCTACCTGTTCTTGCTCCCCGAAACGTCGGGTCAGAGTCTGGAGAGAATTGACGAGCTGTTCGATCTGCCCTGGTACAAGATTGGGCGCGCCAGCAGGAGACCGGTGCGCGACGAGATGCCCAGCCACTCCATGCCCGCCGCCCTCGAGGGCCAGTGGCAAGGAGAGGGCATGCACATCTCGCACCCCATCGACGACAAGGAGAAGGACAAGACGGACACCTACGCTGCTAGTCAGCCTGCGTACAATGTTCGCGACGCCAAGTAGAGGCTTCGCGCTATGTAAAACGGATCGTTTCTGCGGTCCGTCCTCCCAGTCTCACGCTTCATCATATGTCTGTATTTGTATTCGCACAATGCTCATCCTTCTGGAACCATCATAGAATAATCGTGCATCAGGCGCTAATCTGAATGTGTTCGTTGGGAGCACACCGTGCTGAGAAGAGTCAGCCGTTGAGTCATAGGCAATGCCGGCACTGGCACTCGAGCCACGACAGCTGATCAGCGCTCCAACGTTATCCATAAGTCGCAGTAGTTCTGCAAGCTCCGCTATTGTTCGGGATACGGCGAGCGCAGATCAGGCACTTGATGTGCGCTGGGTGGGCAGAGATGGACAATGAGTGCTTGAGATCGCCTTGGACAGGGTGTCAGAAGCTGCGTGCCAAGCATCGAAGGAGTTGCAGGAATGAGACGGCCGACTAGCCGGCAGCAGAACGCGGAAGCAGCCTTTCCGAGCGACGCAGCGAAATGCGTTGCCGGTCAAGTGGTGCTCCGCTCCCCCAATCCTCCTCACCTGTTTGCGAGATCTGGATCCTGCTAGCCTAGCGCCTTGTCGAGATGTGGAAGTCGACATGCTGGAGCCGTCACGCTAGCTTCAGTGGTACTTCTGGGGCCGCAGCTCGGATAAGCAGGAAGCTGCTAGGCACTCGGCTCGATGCAGTATCAAAAGATTTAGGCGAGGGACATCTAAGGGAATGGGCAGTCCAGTATTTTGCCACAATGCCGGTCAAGAGGACGCACACGATCCTCCATCGGATCAGGTCTCTCCGAGGATCCATCGCATTTTCGGTATGGGTCCTTCCGTACATGGAGTCGGGGCGACACTGCGACTTTCATGGATTCGGACTGTATGGCGATGATCGATCTCGCCCGATCGCATCACAGCATGCATCTTGTGATGTGACAAGGTGAAAGCCTACGCTGTGACTGAATCGAAGAAGCGACGGACTCGATCCGACAAGGCTGCCCGGAAAAGACGGTGCCGAGTGGCAAAAGAGAGTTTGACAAGCCGGAGCGGCAGAATGGGCTCCGGCAGACCCTGGTTTTGGCGGAGCGTGTAGAGTGGGCTTGGCAGTCTTGCAAGCGAGGCACTTGGACTGTGCTGCTCCAGCGGCTGCTCTCGACTAGATTAGATTGATTTCTCGCTTGACAGGCTGGCGAATCAGATTGCAGCAGAGCCTAAGGGCTTATTCACGATCCAATAAGAGATGGAAGCGAGCTGCCTCCAATCAAAGGTCAGCTAGCGGTCGACTCGCATTGTTTTGAAGAGCTGCACTTGGCTTGGTGATTGGCGAGCTCATCCGTGTGTGAGATGACCATGGCTCGGATCACCATGTGCCGTTGCAAACCAATCTCTCCCCGCATGACCTTCGCTTGTGCCGAAATCTGACTGAGACGCGGGCGATCCGGCTTGTCAACGAATGTGGGCGTGGGAAGCGTTGGTCGCAAACACAATTCGGCTGGTACGCTGCCTGCACAGCGCGTTCCTGTTGCGTGGCGCTCTCTCTCTCTCTCCACATCAATTTGGGAAAAAGTGTTTCGTTGGCCCGCCAATATCTCGAATCCTTCCTTCGCTCAGCCCGCATTCATCGCTGATCGCTCATACCACCATCACCCTCGTCTCGCATCGAGTTGGCTACTCTGTTCGTTTGGGCCTCTGGCCTCTGCACCGCACAAATCTCTCGAGCCTCGTCGTCTTCGTCTTGCAAGCTCCTCGTCAAGCCCGGCCGAGCGACCTGGCGTCACTGCAAAGCCTATTGCGGGCTCGTCTCTCATCACCAAGTTGATCAACGCTCAAACTGCACGCTGCTCTCTCGCTGATCCCCTGGCGTAAGGATCAGCCATGGCGCCGCCCATGAAAGCGCAACTGCCCGACGAGATCGTCGATCATATCCTTCACCTAGCATGCACCCTGCCACCACTTCGCACCGACGACTTTCGAGAGCCATCCGACTTTGACGCCAATCGACTCAAGGCTCGCTCTTCAGCACCGCATCTTGATGTACGCACTACCCTCAAGCTGCTCCTTCTCTCACCGCAGCACTATCCGTACATTGCCTCCATCCTCTACAAGGGTCCTCGTCTCTCCGACCCCATCAGTCTTTCGCTCTTCGCGCGTACCCTCACTAACCGACCAGCCCTAGGACGACTCGTCAAGCATCTTTGGGTCGGCCACACGTATCAAGGGGAAGGAATTCCGCCCAACGCGCTCACTTTCGGTCTTGGCGGCTGTCATACCGCCTACAGCCTCAATGCTGATCTCGCTACCATCGACGACGTCAGAAAGTGCCTCGCGCAGGGCATTGCTCCATCTAATCTGCTGTCACCGGCCTTCGAGAAGAGGATAGCGCAATGGGCTGCTCAAAATGTACAGGCCAACAGTCGCACCATCGACCCCGCTCGTGCGCCCCGAGGCATTCACATTGACGCTCCCGGCTCCGGCGATCGAGACCATCGAGGCTGGAATTCGATCGGCGTCGACGAATGGGTCCTCCGACTCTGGGACGGCCGTGACCTCGTCAAACAGTTCAGGGAAGTGGCCAAACGCGCCTTCTTCCTCGAGCTCAAGCGTCTCTCGTTCAAGGCCTCCTCCAGCAGGTCCTCCTCTGCTTCGTCTTCCAGGTCTTCGTCGTCCCCCGCATCACCCCGCTCAGCATCTCCCTCCGCAGCACACAAATCGACTCGCTTCAACACAGCAAGCGCAGCCAGTCTTCTCGACACTGACATGGTCACCCCCTTCTCGGCTCAAGGCGCAGAGCACCGAATCCCTGGCACCGAACAAGATCCCCTCGACTGGGCCGATGCGACGCATGCACCTCAACCAAACACCTCCCGCACCATCGACAACGATGAGGCCATCTACTCCGAAGAGATGGACCTTGACGAGATTGACGCAGAACGTGATCGCTGCTTTGCGGAGATGGGCGTCCAGAAACCAGCATGGCGCTCTCAAAACTGGTCCGAGATTGCCAAGGTCGGCGATCAGAAGGTCGAATGGTGGGTGGTGTGGCTGCTCGCAAAGACACGCGCTCGTGCTCGCATCGTGGCCCGCCGCGTCTGGCAAGCAGATCACGCTCAAGACCCCAAGCTGCGCAGCTGGCGTGCTCTTCGCCCACGTCCAGAGCTGCACACCAAAAACCACTTCACACATCCTACCCTCTTTGCCCGCTCCGGTGCCAGTCATCTGCTCGTAGGTGGCGCTCCTCCTCCGACCAGGGACGAGCTCTACGGCGGCCGTCATGGCGATCTCGACGGCATGTCAGACTCGGACAGCGACTCCGAATCAGACGCCGACTCGTACACAGACGGAAGCGATTATGACTCGGAGATGGAAGCATCCACCTCTCGCATGGAGATGTCCATCGTACGCGAGCCTGCATCTTCTCAATCCCATCGTCACGGCACCGGTCGCGCCGCGACAGGCTCTTCCACCTTTGCTTTGCCCGAATTTGTCGAGCCAGAGCAGCAGAAGCCCGAAGATCCAGCCGACTTGTGGGGCGGCGACCATAACTTCGCCAACGGCAACGAAAGAGCCGGAGCAGGCAACAGCATTCTGGGTTCTCGTGGCGGGATGTTCGGCTTCGACTCGGCCCTTCGCACCGGTCTCCTCGATGAGCCCGACGCAGGACTCGACGATGGCACCGAGTTCGCCACATTGCAACGGGAGAAGCAGCGTCGACGCAACGACGAGGACCGCCTGCTGTCCGAGATGACGCTTGGCTCGATCCTGCAAAGCTTGCGAACTGTTATGATGCTGACACCGCGACTCAAGGACTTGGCTCTTGACGGTGTGCTGGAGCGTAGCATCGCTGGTCGTCGAGCCATGTGCAACATGGGCAAGCTGAAGAGCCTTTCCCTGGGTCCTCCGCCACCCTACTGGAGCTCGCCACTACTCTTCGGTCACCCTTTCAAGACCACACGCCGAGAGAAGTTGGCGTACCATCAAAGGATGCACGGTTCCAGCCACCCCGACTTTGGCCCAGACGATGGTCGCTCTCAAAGCATCTGGCCTTTGCCAGGCGTGCTCATGCCCTCGCCAGCATTCTCGACGTTGCGCACACTTCACATTTCGGGATGCATGCTCTTCCCTTCCGAGGCCAGAGCAGTTGGTGGCCTCGGTGGTCAATTGCCTAGTCTGCGTCACTTCCGCTGGTCTCTCTGGCAGCCACACGTCGATGGTCATCCTGTCGGCGTCGTCGAGACGCTGTGTGCCATCCTCGACATTCCCACGCCCGAAGAAGAAGCAGCGGCTGCCGCAGCCAGCTCTCGGGCAACTGCAATCGAAGGATCGAGTTCCGGCTTCCGCTTCGGGACATCCACTTCAAGCTCTGGCACGTACCGAGAGATCGGCGACCGAAAGAGACGCCGACGCCACGGAGACATTCGCCGTACGTCCAATCCGTTCAGCGCCAGTGCATCATCCATGACCGATTCAGTCTTATCTTCCTCGCTCGGAAGCAGCATTACCGCTGCTGGCGGATCCCACGAGGCCAGCATGTACGCTCTCGTGACGCGCAAACGCAAGCTTCGCTCTGTCTACGTGACGCTCCACCCCACGGATCAAGCCATCTTTGCACGCAAAGCGCCTGCAGCGCTGCGATACGACACGCGCCTCACCATGGAGACGGCCAAGTGCAAGAACGTCGAGGACAACCTCGAGGAGATGCAGCGCTGGTGGGAGTGGGAGAGCGGCATGCTTCATTTCAAGCCTACCGTGTCGAATCTGGACGCCATCACGCAGGCAGCTAAGAGGAAGCAGATAGCGGGGCCGCCGAGCTCGCTATCGGCACAAGAGCTCAACGCGGATCACAGTGGGATTCAGATGGATCTGAGGAGGGCGATGGATACCGAGTTGGAGCTCGAGCCGCGGGTCTGATCACTCCTAGTGCCGGATTCAGGTCAGTGTCACCGGCATATACCCAACAGGTGTGCAGTCTGTGCTGGTTATGCTCCTGAAAAGTGTCCAAGAGTGTGTTGCATCGTGTGAGAGCGACACGCCAGCAAAGTTAAGATGCAACGTAGCGCCCACCGCACCGGCCCTCTAGACGTTTGATCTGGCGGTCCAATTGCAAGTGCATGCGACACCGCCTGTCACAGTAGGCGCACAATGGACTATTGAGGCGGCGCTCGGGCTCTTTGTTCGTTGTATCGGTCGACGCCTGTACAGGGCCCGGCGGCATCACACAACGATAAGCAAAACAAAAGCGCTATCCCGGTCCGCCGGCAGCGAGCCCATTTTGGGGGATGGTACTGCATACGAAGTTGATTACTTTACGAGAGGCGAGCGGAGCAAGCGCTTGCGCCACCTGTACCAGTGTGTGTGCTGTCCAAAAGCGAGCGTCGAGAGCGTCTGTGTGTCGAACCGAGCTTGAGCTGTCGGCAGCGTTTGGCGCATGAATTCTCGGCAGCTCTTGTTGGACAGGCGGAAATTTTCAGCATTGTGTCCAGAAGCTACTGTATGCTCGTCAAACCTTGGAAACGTCCCAAGCGCCAAATGCTGACCCCAACTCAAAGGATTGGTGGTCTCTTGACGCAAGCTAGCTGCCCAAGCTTCGCTCATTCTGACTGCGCCGGATGAAAGCGAGCACGAACCCCTGCTCTGGTGGTGTTGTGCGGGCACAATGCTGTCAGAGTGCATCGCAAGTGGCTATTCCGAACAAAGAGCGCTAAAATAGGCGAGGTCACGGAGCCTTCTGTGCCGGTCAAATCAGCGACGAGCGATACAAAGATTCCGGCGGTACTCGCCCCACGATTGACAAGCCGACGATTCGATGCCAACCTTGCCGCCCCTGTCGTCTGACCTTCGTATGAAGCTCGCTTGCAGGAAGTTTGCGCTTGAGCTCTTATCTGTGCTTTTCGCTTGCACCTGATCTTCTTGCCGCTGGCAGACATCGCCTACGGCGGATCTAGAAGATGTAGGCATACCCCTTGCTTTGAGCATGATGACAATGCTTTGAGCGCTTCTCTATCATCTGTACATATATAGCAAGCTCGTGGCATACGATGGCCCCTCCCTTCGTCCCATCAACGCATCCCCTCTCCCGTCCCCTTAGACAGCATGAAGCTGCTCCCCTCCGTGCTCCTGCTGGCGGGCGTCGCCGTGTACGACACCTGCGCCCGTGGTCTCCAGCACGTCGGCAAGCTCCAGTCCGACTATGTCGATGCCCACTACCGAGCCGCCGACCGAGCCTCTCGCCTGCTCTCGGTCAAGCAGTCCAACTCGGCGGTCACCACCAACACGCACCTCAACAACAAGACGCAGCCCTTCTACGTCAACGGTACGGGCGTTCCTGACGTCGACTTTGACATTGGCGAGTCGTATGCTGGTCTGATGCCTATCAGCAAGGATGCGAACGAGACGCGCAAGTTGTACTTCTGGTACTTCCCGTCCAAGAACCCTGCTGCCACCAACGAGATCACCATCTGGATGAACGGTGGGCCGGGTTGCTCTTCGCTCGAGGGCCTGTCCCAGGAGAATGGCCCGTGGATCTGGCAGTATGGCACGTACAAGCCGCTACCCAACCCGTGGACGTGGCAGAACCTCACCAACATGGTCTGGGTCGAGCAGCCTGTCGGTACCGGCTTCTCGCAAGGCACGCCTAACATCACCACCGAAGCCGAGCTCGCAGACCAGTTCAAAGGCTTCTTCCGCAACTTTGTCGACACGTTTGATCTGCAGAACCGCAGCGTCTACATCACAGGTGAGTCCTACGCGGGTCAGTACGTCCCCAACATTGCGAGCAGCATGCTCGACGAGGAGAACAAGGAATACTTCAACGTCACAGGCATCATGATCTACGATCCCTCGATCAATGTCGATGCCATCACGGAGCAGGTGCCCACCGCAGCGTTCGTCGACTACTGGGGCGGTCTCTTCCCTTTCAACGACACGATCAAAGCTCAAATCAAGAGCATGGACGAAAAGTGTGGCTATACAAAGTATCTCAACGACAACCTCAACTTCCCACCCAAGGGAAAGTTCCCTCCTCCGCCAGAAGCAACCGACGGGTGCGACATCTTTGACTTTGTCTACAGCACGATTTTCGACCTCAATCCATGTTTCGACATCTACCAGGTCGCAACGACATGCCCGATCTTGTGGGATATCAATGGCGGACCAGGGAGTGGCGATTTTTTGCCGCCGGGGGCTTCACTGTACTTCAACCGAACCGATGTTAAGAAGGCCATCAATGCGCCACTCGACACGACCTGGCTCGAGTGTTCGGCGGGCAACGTGTTCAACACCAGCTCGGGGCTCGATCAGGGTGCTCAAGACGGACACTACTCCTCGACTACCGTTCTTCCTGGCGTGATCGATAGAGTGGAGCGCACCGTGATCGGCCATGGAATGCTCGACATGGTGCTCTTCATGAACGGCACGCTGCTTTCGATCCAAAACATGACGTGGGGTGGTCAACAGGGCTTCCAACAGGCCCCGACGGATCCGTTCTACGTTCCCTTCCACTCTGATCCTCAGCAGGGAACCGTTGCAGCTTCAGGGACGATGGGAGTCACCAGAACGGAGAGAAAGCTTTCGTTTGTGACTATCCAGCTTTCTGGACACATGGTGCCTCAATATCAGCCATCCGCGGCCTTCAGAATGCTCGAGTTCCTTCTCGGACGCGTAGATAGCCTCTCCAGCGAGCAGCCTTTCACCTTCTTCGACAACGGACTCGAGGCGGAGAACGGGATCTTCTCGGATCGACGTCGGGCAGTGGCTGAGGAGGAGTTGATGGCCAAGCAGCTGCAGTACAGAGGCTTGGCCCAGCCAGAGATCGCCCAGATCATCGCCGACTTCCCCTAGATAGACTGAGCGCCTTTAGATATGTAGATTCATGCTCTTCATGCAATTCGATGAATCTAGATGCGAACACCAAAGGTGAATGATTGCTCACGAGAGGGTGAGGAGGTCGTCGTCAAAAATCGACGGCGCAATTTGACAGCGTGACGAGAGAGTGTCCCGCACTCAGCCGCTTCCTTCGAAGAGTCACATTCATGGGCCAAGACCGCGCGACCTTCCATACATGTGCTCGTGAGGCAGGTGAGGTCCACATGAGCAAGGATAACAAGGAGTGCGAACGCCCAGACGGCGAGAGGAGAGCGATCTTTAGGTGGTCGATTTCAAGCCAAATCTATTCGAACGCCAGTTGCCAGCTTCCTCCAATCGCCGACCAAGACATTACAGAAGGTCGTTGACGAAGCGCTCGTTGCTAGAGACTTGACAGTAGCTTTGTACGGTGCGCGATTGGGTTCCGAGACGCAACGTGTTGTCGTGAATTTCGGGCACACCATCAACGCTGGCCAAGCCTTCCTGCGGTTCCCAACCTATGTCAGAGAAGTGTCCAGCATCAGCACAAGAGTGCCCGATGCTGTTGTCCGGACGGATGCCGAAGTCAAAGATGTCCACGCCTTGGCCTGCAACAGTCACAATTTGGTGGTCAGGCTACATTCAGTTTACCGGACCACAGCTCGATCCAACGCAGCCAAAGTGATGCTGAAGTGTGTCGGACGTGCGATGGACGGCTTCGACTCCGCGGCCAACTTCGAGTTCTTGGTCAATCAGCTCGTCAATCCAATCGAAGCTCTATCCTGCTACGACTCGAGCGTCAGCGCTGCCAGCCGGGCGGGCTACGTGACCCTCGCTTTGACCGGATTTGTCAGGCAGCCCACACCGCTCAGAGACGACACGCCAGACCATGTGATCGACCAACTTGTCGACGAGCTTCAACAAGGCATGCGGCGGATCGTCGCAAAGCAAGCCGAGCAAGTCTCGACCGCCATCGAAGCACAGCTGTGTCAATTCATCTCCGCCGCCATCGAATCATTTCGTCCAGCGAACAACCCGCCAAGGCTCGAGCTCTGTGGCTCCCCGGAGAACATTCTCTCGTGCTCCGATCCCTGTCTCCAGTCGCACCACTGCTGTTACTGCTCCTCGCATGTACCCCACGAGTACATGTACAGGACGTGTTGCGTATGGTGCAAGGTGCGACTTCACTTCCTCATCCCAACTTCGGAGAACGTCCTAGTCCAGCTCGACAAGAAGAGAGGCCGCCCAGAGGAATGGGACGAAGACGATCTCGCGGTGAAGGACTTCAAGCTTGAGCTGCCGCTACTCTGGCGGAGGGAGACAACAGAGGCTGATGTTAGGCAGGTCTTTGCAGGGCTAGGCCTCGATGTCACAGCCGTTTCGCGTTGTTCAGCCATTGCACGTCCTGAGCGTAAGCGCGTGCAGGCAAGGTACGTCGAAGACGCGATGTCTAAGCCCACGACGAGCGGCTCCTTGCCGGCCTTCATCAAGCAACTCCTTCCGAACGACTTTATCGAATCCCTTGTCTCGATGGCGCCCGCCGATCGCGTCGAAGTCCTTCTGCGAGTGTCTCTCGGCTCTTGTTGCCTCGAGGGACCTTGCCATCAAGTGGCAGGACAACGGCGACCCGAATTGGCGCCAGATTGGGACCGTCCAAATGTTCCCAAGTTCTTCAACGTCGCTAAAGGGCCGCATAGCCCGCTTCGCCCATTCCTCGTCATGTCCGGCGCTCTCATTCGACATGACATCTCGGACGAACACGCGGACCTTCGCAAGGCATTGGCCGCCGATCTTGGCGCCCTTCGCAGCGCTCTACAGCCCGTCGAAAAGTTCTTCGCCACCGGACAAAGCTCTGGACCCGCCACAGGTCGTATGGTTCAACGGATCCTTGACGCTTCATATGGCGAGGGTTTCCTCAAAGCGCTCGAGTCGGTTCGAAAGACGCTACTCAAGGACGTAGCCTGCACGTAGCCGGTGGAGATGGACACTGTTCTCCTCTAAGCCACCAAGCAGGTTCATCCACGACATCTCCTTTTTTCTGGCCCCAGCAAGAACGACGATGAATAAGAAGACGAGACGCAGCAAGAGTTGATCATCCGCTACAAAGCCGAAGAGACCAAAGTCCGTACGCTTGAAGAGTCCCATGAACTTGATTGCGAGAACGACAGAGAATGTGATAATGAGCGTGACCTTGTACGGAAGCGATAGAGACAGTGCTTAGCACTCAGAAATCGTGACGATCACTGAGAGGGTCCCGGATGCGGCTGTTGCGGTTGCCAGCAGCCATGTTGTCGTGGTTGGTGGGCCTGTCGTCGTAGTCGTAGCTGTCCTGCTTCGACGGAGCTCCGAAAGCCTCGGCCTCTCGTGCCCATCGGTCCTTCTTGTTGGACTTGTTCGAATTGGAGCGGCCCCACCTGCTGCCGCCATTGTTGGCGTCGTTTGCGTAGCTGAGCGAGCTTCTGGAGGAAGCCTTAGTGTCATTGCCAGCACCGATGCCGTAACGCTCTGCGTAGCGGCTGCCGAGGCTGCGTCTCGAGCTGGTGCGCGAGAGCGAGTTGTCATCACCACCACGTCCACCGTCGTCGATTACTGCGCCCGTCACGGGGTCACGCACGACGTTGCCAGCACGTCCCGCATTCTGCCTCCTCTCATCGGCGTAGGGGTCCTCGCGTTCCGCCCGCGGGCTGTCTTCGACGTTGTCCGCCCAGGGAGAGAGGAAATGGCTGCCGGCACGGATGTTGCCCGTCTTCCTCGCCGATGCAGGGTCACGGCGCGTTTCGCCAGTGAGAGGATCAACAATGACCTCCTGGTTCTGCCAGTCGGTCGCCGAGTCTCCGTACCTATCGGACCACCCATTTGCGGTGCGCTTGAGACGGTAGTCCTTGACCAAGCCGTACTTGACCGCCCACGAAGGCGAGTGTCGCGCGTTCTTGTTGTTTCGGATGTTCTGGATCCAGAAGTTGTGGAAATGACCAGGGATGTAGCCACAGATGGTGCAGAAGATGTTGATGATCAGATCAAGACCGACGCCGAAGCGGATGAGCACGGCTAGAGGTGGCAGAAGCCAACCGAACACCATGACTATGCCGTGAAAGGCGTGATGCCTCTTGATGGGGCCCTTGCTCTTGGACGGCGCCATCGTGGTCTGTAGGGTCAAGGATGGTCGTAAGTGGTGACAATGCGAGGGCACGCGAGACGAATGGAAGGACGACCAACGTGCGTGCTAAGCTCGTTGCAAGTTGTTGGTTGGTGGGAAGTGGGAGGTGCAGCCACGAGAATGAAGTCCCAACACAGAGAGGCTGACTTTGCTGACGCGGGACCGAATTCGGCGGTGCGGAGCAACTTGGCCGGCCAGAAGAGCGGGGGCAGTGAGGACCCTTGTTCTCTGGCACAGGGCGCGCTCTAAATTCCAATTTAGGGTCTCTGGCGAGGCTCGGTCCTTTTACAGCTGGGTTGCTACTCTTTGGGTCTAACACACCCCAAGCATGACATCGGGCAGATCTCACACCGATGGTAGTGACCGCTCCTCACCGCGAATTCGGAGCGACACTTCTTTTTTGCGGAGAAGTCCGTGCGAGCTTGTCGATTGAGTCTGGCCGTGGCCCCACTGTGCGGAGACAGCTTATCACTGACGAGGATCGAATTTTTTGAATTTTTCTTCGCCTCTGACGTCGACAGGCTCGTGGCCGTGCAGCTGCCTCCATGCGGTGCCCCCGTCAAATCCGTAGCCGCACCAATGAGAGCAAGCTTTGATCTCAATCGTCAAGACGCCGGACACGATACTGCCCCTTCATCGTCCTCACTCTTCAATACAATCGAGGCTATCTTGTGTGATTTAGATGGGTCCAGCATACCGCCTGCGAGTCTGGAGAACTTGAAGCGGCTTTGACGATCCCAAGCGGCAGGCCAGAGAGAGATGCGTGCACGCTCGGCAGGGGTCGTACAAGCTTCTTCTTATCGTTGTGGTTTGCAATTTGTTATCGTTTCGAGGTGTCGGAGCAACAACGCAAATTTTGCTCTCGTCCGCTCGGCTGACCTTCGTAGTGTGTTGCTTGTCGTGCAGCTCGCTTGCTGTGTCTGTACGAACCAACTTCGTGCCGCACGCTCGGGTAAAGCCAAGTCGATCCTCATCGCACGGGCTCTTCTTCCAGGCCTGCCTCTTCTGAACCACAGTCCCCGAGGCTGGCGACGATAGATCCTCTTCGTTTCGCTTGTCGTTTCCTTCCTATCCACCACCTTCCCCTAACATCCATCGTCAACGTCTTCCTTTCGTTCACAATGGCACCCACGCAATCCGAGCGTACCCCGCTGCTGGGCCAGCAGAGGTCCGGCTCTGTCTCGCGACACCGTCCCAGCTTTGCTGCCAGCATCGGTCGTCCTGACCTCACCGCCGAGGAAGAAGATGCCATCGCACAGGAGTCGGCCTTCAGCGCCATCCAGGGTGCTGCTCACGGCGTCGACCCCAACTCGTCGGCGTTCGTGCCCCTCGACCAGAGCCACTTCTCCGTCGCCGGCATCCCTGCTATCGCGGAGGAGCCCGAAGAGCCCGCTCTTCGTGCCGACATCTGGGTCATCATGGGCGCCATGTGGATCGGATCTTTTCTGGCCGCCCTTGATGGCACCATCGTAGCCACAATTCTGTCTGCTGTCGGCTCTGAGTTCCGCGTCAGTAAGGAGGTCGGCTGGCTGGGTACCAGCTACCTGCTCACCCAGACCGCCTTCCAGCCTCTCTACGGCCGAGCTTCCGACATCTTCGGCCGCAAGCCCGCTACCCTCTTCGCCTCGGCCATCTTCCTCATCGGTTCGCTCCTCTGCGGTCTCAGCCAGACCTTCTGGCAGCTTTGCGCCGCTCGTGCCATCGCCGGTATCGGTGGTGGTGGATTGACCACCATGGCTACCCTGGTCACGAGCGACCTTGTCAGCCTCAAGGCTCGAGGAACCTGGCAGGGTCTCGGAAACCTTGTTTACGCTACCGGTGCTGCTATGGGTGGTCCCCTCGGCGGTGCCCTTGCTGACGGCGGTCTCGGCTGGCGATGGGCCTTCCTGATCCAGGTGCCCCTCTGCGTCGTCCACTTTGTTGTCGTCTCGTGGAAGATCGACATCCCCGCTGGACCTGGTAGCATGATCGAGAAGATCAAGCGCATCGACGCTCTGGGCTCGCTCTCGCTCGTCACCTCGGTCACGCTCATCCTTGTCGGTCTCAGCCTGGGCGGCAACGAGCGCGAGTGGTCCGACTCGCTCGTGCTCGGCTCTCTTATCGGTGGTTTCGCCGTGCTGGTTGTCTTTGTGCTGATCGAGCGCTACGTCGCTCGCGAGCCGCTGATGCCCATGTCGGTGCTCTTCAACCGCACGCCTGGCTTTGTCGCTCTCGCCTGCTGGTTCATCACCATGTCTCAGTTCGGTATCATTTTCAACGTGCCCAACTACTTTGAGAATGTCGAGCAGACCGCCAAGTCGTACGCCGGTCTCCACCTCATCCCCAATGCCATTATTGCATCGTCCTGCAGTCTTGGTAGTGGTCTCATGATGGCTCGCACGGGCAGGTACCGCAAGATGCTGCTCCTCGGCGGATTCTTCGGCTTCCTGGGTCCGCTCATGATGTGCTTCTGGCACCGCGGCACGAGCGAGTTCTTCTACTGGGCTACCATGCCTTGGGGTGGTGCCGCTTACGGTTCCATCCTGACCATCACCTTGGTTGCTCTGATCGCTTCCGTCGACCCCAAGGACATGGCTGCCGCTACGGGTGTCACCTACCTCTTCCGCGCCACGGGCTCCGTCCTCGGTATCTCGCTGTCCAGCGCTATCCTGCAGAACAGCCTGCAGAAGAACCTCGAAAAGACCGACATCCCGCACAAGCTCATCCAGGCCATTCGTCAGGATGTCAGCACCATCAAGGAGCTCAGCAAGCCTCTGCGCCTGGCTGCTATCGGCGCGTACGAGCAGTCGATGCACACTGTCTTCATCGCCATCGCCGGTGCTGGTCTGCTGGCTTTCGTTGCTCTCTTCTTCATCGAGGAGAAGGACCTGCCCGGCAAGAAACCTGCCGCCCCGGCTGCTGCTCCCGCTCGTCGCTAGACCATCAAGGGTAGAAGGCTTCGGAGACTCACAAGCCCATACACTCACTAACTTATAGCTTACGCTCATCGTAGATAACAATCAATAGGTCGAACAATTCACACACACTTCCGAAGACCTACGCAAAGAGTAGATGCACATGGTTCGAAGGATCGATTGATGATTGCTATTGAGACATCGCTTCAATAGCTCACTCGAGCTGCTTATCGAGGAACTCCTTCCACTCCCCCTGACCAAACGAGGACGAGATGCTACCCTCCACAAGTCCGTTCCACAGACACGTCGGAGTGACGTGAATGCCATTCTGCCTTCCCAGCTTGACGCAATACTTCAGTTCGGGCACTACGGCACTGCCACCGTTGCCCTCCTTCTCGACCCTGATCAGGTTTTTGACCGACTGGCCCAGTGGTGTTCCCTGCAGATCCCTGTGCACGGCCTCCTGTTTGCGTTTTTTGGGGCCCTCTCCAACGGTCTCGATCGCCAATGTCGCTAGTTCGCCACGAATCTGGTCGGGAGCCTTGCCCCTCGCTGGCCCATCAAAGAATCGTTCCTGGTCCTTCATCAGCTCCAACGAGTAGAGCCAGAAGGCGTTGCGGTCGGGGATGGCCGTGACCGTCGGGTCCGTCAGCGCGATCTTGGCCACCGCCAACGCTGACTCGTGTAGCAGCGTGGACGACGAATGCCAAGGCTGCGGGTACGGTCGGATGACAATTCGGACCTTGTCCTTGTACTGAGCCGAGTCGCCGATGACCAACGGAAGCAGGTGCTCGTCGACCCCCTTGAGCTGTTTGGCGCTGAAGGGACAGAGGTAGTCAAGGAACAATTCGAGCGTGTTCGGCGCCGTGAGCGACCCGATCGAGAGAGCTTGCAGTGAAGGTGGTAGCGCCATGGTTGCGAATTGCTCGTACTGCGATCCGAGTCCAATGGAGTTGGTGAATGGGCAAGGTATGAGCTGCGCCGCAGATGGTGGACAACTTTTAGCTTCTCGCCTCCACTCCGCACGGTCCGGTCTGAGCCTTGATGCTTATCGCCTTCCGTTGACGTGATTCGCAGCTTTGCTTGCCCCATTTCTTGGCTTGAAATGTGAGATCTCGTAACCTTGGACGGCCGGTCTGGAAATTCCTACGCCCGTGCACCGGTGAGGTCAAGTCTCGGCAATGCAGAGCTCTGGTGGAAGAAAGTTTGTGAATGACGAGACCGCCTGTACCACTCGCAGATCTTCGTTTGCAAAATGCGCAGGCGAAAGCGCGGAAATAAGGAAGTTCTCAACAGCAGCGCGTCGATGCTGACTGGTCCTGCGGCCCGTGCTGCTCGAGAATGGTACGTAGGAGCAGCGGCGTGAGTCAGGGATGAGTCGGTGCTTAGAGTTTCCACTGCGGCGGGTCGAGAGTCGCCGCACGAGTGCCACCGAGAGCTTACGAGGTCGATCTGTATAAGACTTAGGCGAGCTTCCATCCTTTCTCCGTCCGACCATCATCAGCCCCATCAACATCAACATGAGCGGCACACACAAGTTTTACACTCTTCCCGAGCCTTCCGCTCGCAAGGGCTTCTCATCCCTGAAGCTCAAGGAAGGTCCCGTCCCCAGGCCAGAAGCCAACGAGGTGCTCATCAAGGTTCACGCCGTCTCGCTCAACTTCCGTGACCTGATCATCGCTCAGAATGGCTATCCGCTTCACCTCAAGCAGGAGGAACTCATCCCGGCCTCGGACGGCGCTGGTGAAATCGTCTCTGTGGGCAACAAGGTGACCAAGTGGAAGCAAGGCGACCGTGTCGCAGGCATCTTCACGCAGGCTCACCAGAAAGGCTCGACGCCCGACAAGGACGAGATCAAGACTGCGCTCGGTGGCAGCGTTGACGGCATGCTCGCTCAGTACGTTGCTCTGCCCGACACCGGCATTGTTCGCATCCCTTCGCACCTCTCGTTTGAAGAGGCGGCCACGCTCCCTTGCGCTGCTCTGACGGCTTACAATGCGCTCTATGGCATCCCCACCGAGCAGCTGCGTGCGGGTGACACCATTGTCGCCCAGGGCACCGGTGGTGTCAGTGTGTTCGCGCTGCAGCTCGCCTCCGCCGCTGGCGCCAAGACCATCATCACCTCCTCGTCCGACGACAAACTCAAGAAGGCTCTCTCCCTCATCCCTCAGCACCTGCAGCACCTTGTCACGACGGTCAACTACAAGACCAACCCGGACTGGGACAAGGTGGCGCTCGAGGTGACCAACGGCGCCGGTGTCGACCACGTCGTCGAGGTTGGTGGACCCGGTACGCTGGAGAAGTCGTTCAACTCGATCAAGCGCGGAGGCGTCATCTCGACCATTGGATTTGTGGCTCAGGGCGAGCCCCCCAATGTGGCTTACCACGCGCTGCTGACGGGCGCTTACTTCAAGGGTATCCTCGTCGGCTCGAGGGAGCAGTTTGAGCACATGAACCAGATCATCGAGGACCACCAGATTAAGCCGCTGGTGGACAAGGTTTTCCCCTTCGAGAAAGCCGAGGAGGCGTACGCGTACCAGTGGAGTCAGGCCCACGTTGGAAAGGTGGTCATCAACGTCTCGCACTAAGTGTGTTAGTCCCATCATGCTATCAATTCGAAGCCGTTGTCACATGCAGATGTTGTATCGGGTATGAGATTGCTGGTGTGTAGAAAATGGCTCTGACCCATATGATCAGCGACGGCTACTTTGGCCCCTCTGCCTTGGGAGGCACAATGTCGCCGTGACTTGAAGTTTGTGGAGCCGACGAGTCCTGCTTCTGCTGCTCTTCGCGTTCTGCGTTCTTCTTGATGTTCTCCGCGTTCTGAGCGTACTTTCTGTCGAGTCAAATGAGCAATACTATGGTGAGCAACGACTTCGCTCTCATCTCTCTGCGCTGTCGACAACTCACCCTTTCAGGAGATCGGTCTCTTTCTTGACGGCGTCGAAGTTGACGGTGCCGTCTGGATTCTTCAGAATGTGCACCATGTTGTTAATATGGCGCCTGGTGTGGTCGGCAGATGTGGTGGCTAGAAAGGAAGCCAGGACGAGCAACACGACAAGCACATTAGCTTTGAGCGAGGTTGTCATGGTGTCTTTCCAGGCCGTCGGCTTGCTGTTGAAGCCGAAGCCTAACTCAGCCATGTTCGATTGACAGCTGCAAGCCTCCTCTCCCGCGACACTAACGACACAGCCTTCGGGATGCACTGTCAGCTGTCAGAAGCTGGACCGTGCTACGCCACTTTTTGGGCTCTGCAGACGGCAGTCTTGAGTGAAGCAAGACCAAAGCAGCAGCCGAGCACGGATCAGAACGCTCCGCAGCCTCCACAGTCAGCCTCCCAAAGCCCGGCCTCCTGACCGGAAAGGTCGACCAAAAGAAAATCTTAATTTATTTATTCTTTTCGAGCTGAGTTATCTGCCTGATGACCGCACTCCTGTGCCCTCCGGATTGAGTCTGCAGCAAGATTAAAGTCGAAATTGGATGGATTTTTGGTGCAGAGGGGCAGAGAGATAGCGGCCCAGTCCCTGTGACTGCCGCTTCAGGCGCGCCAAAACGAACGAGTGACCGTCTGGCGCGGCGGTCAACTCAGCTTTGAACCCCAATTTGCTTGCTTGATCGCTCGCTTAGGCAGCTGTTCAGGGCCCTGAGCCACAAAGACTCAGACTCAGACTCGCACAGATCGACGCTCGACCCCAGCCCCTTTTGCACCTTAGCCCTCTTTGTCGTGCACCTTTCCACCATCACCACCATCTCGTGTCTCTATCCTCATCTCGACCGACGACACATACAGATAGACACGCACCACCATCCATACACTCGCTCTCGAATACTAGAAGCACATAATGCGATCCTCGTGGCTCTCCACCGCTTCGGCCGCGTTTGTCTGCGCTGCGGCGCTTGCAAACGCCGCCAAGCTGCCGGCTCCTCTCGAGCAGATCCACTACGACCAGGCCGGCAACCTCGTCTGGTCCGAAGACAGCGATGTCTCCAAGCTCGTCCCTTCTCTGGGTCGACCCGACTTCTCCAGCCTCAACATGGGCCCCTTCTCCGGTGATGTCGCCCCCGCCAAGGAGGCTGTTGCGGATGTCTTGTCCAAGACCATGAAGCAGGCCGAGGATGTTCTCACCTGGGCCGAACACGAGATCGAGCGCATCGAGCACAAGGTCCAGGAGGCCGTCGCTGGCACCAAGCAGGGCGTCAAGGACTGGATTCACACTGGCAAGGTCATCGTTGACGGTCTCGAGTTCGACCGTCTCACCCACCCTGCCTTCCCCGAGTACTCGCTCCGCCTTAACAAGCAGTCTGAGTCGTTCTGTGACAAGGATGTCGTCCAGCACAGCGGATACCTCGACATTTCCGACTCCAAGCACCTGTGGTTCATCTTCTTCGAGTCCCGCAGCAACCCCAAGGACGACCCTGTCGTGCTCTGGCTCAACGGCGGTCCCGGTTGCTCCTCGTCGACCGGTCTCCTCTTCGAGCTCGGCCCTTGCCGTGTCACCGACGAGGGCCGCTCGGTCAAGAACAACCCTCACTCGTGGAACAACAAGGCCAACCTGCTCTTCCTCGACCAGCCCGTCGATGTCGGCTACTCGTACTCAGACAACGATCAGGTCAACAACTCGCCCGCTGCGGCTGAGGATGTCTACGCCTTCCTCCAGCTCTTCTTCACCAAGTTCCCCCAGTACTCCAAGCTGCCCTTCACCGCCTCGGGAGAATCGTACGCCGGCACCTACCTGCCCAACATTGCCTCGACCATCTACAAGAAGAACCAGGCCCTTGCCGTCTCGCGATACAGCAACCCTGAGCTCGCACCCAAGCACATCAACCTCGACACGGTCATGATCGGCAATGGCCTTAGCTCGCCTCAGTACCAGTTCCCCTCGGTCCCCGAGTACGCTTGCGGTGCTGACAACAAGTACGCCCTCTTCGAGCCCGAGAGCTCTACATGCAAGACCCTCGAGCAGCAGGCGGCCACATGCAAGTCGCTCATCGACTCGTGCCAAAAGTACAACTCGCGTTTCACCTGCACTCCCGCCGCGCTGTACTGCTGGAGCCGTCTGTACGGCCCCGCTCAGGAGACGGGCAAGAACCTGTACGATGTGCGCAAGGACTGCGACCGCGAGCGTGACGGTCCGCTGTGCTACAAGGACATGGAGTACATCGAGACGCTGCTCAACACGCCCAGCATCAAGAAGAACCTGGGTGTGCCCGAGTCGGTGACGTTCCAGTCGTGCAACATGAACATCAACCAGGCCTTCCTGCTGCAGGGCGACTCGATGCACGACTCGGCTGCGCTGCTGCCCGAGCTGATCGAGGACAACATCCGCGTGCTCATCTACGCCGGTGAGGCCGACTTCATGTGCAACTACATGGGCAACCTCGAATGGATGCAGAACCTCGAGACGAGCTACCTCGACGACTTCAACAACGGCACCGCCAAGACCTGGACCGTCAACGGCAAGAAGGCCGGTGAGGTTCGTCAGGGAGGCAAGGGCGCGGGTGCTGTGACGTTTGTTCGCGTCGCCGAGGCTGGCCACATGGTGCCGTACGACCAGCCCGAGGCGGCTTCGGATATGATCAACCGCTGGTTGGCCAACAAGCCCATTGCTTGATTGCAGTCGTCGATGTTACCTTTGATCGTTTTGGACTCGATGCTCGATCTGCTTTGTAATCTCGTAGTCTCGAAATGTCATGCTCGCCTAGACCTAGAATCAGAACACATCTCTTCTCTCCCTGACTGTGATGGTGGTGGTTACCACATTTGAGATTCTTTTTCTGGGCCTTATTTTCCTCCGCGGATATTTCAAGTCTCGCCCCGAACGTGAAAAGGGCTACTGGTAGGTTTCCGCCGAGCGCTCCACTTTCAACGGCTGCAGCTTCGTGCAACGTTGACGCTTCGACCTCCTCTTCGTTCGCTTATGGGCCTATTTGAGCGTGAGCGTGAGAATTTGACCGTGGGCACTCAGCTTCTGTCTGCGGACTTCCCCGACGTAAGCGCAAGACTCGCATCCTCCCTTCTTGCCCCATCATCTCTCCGGATCCGTGATCCCTGCTCAAGCTAGAATTCATCGCAGCCAGCATCATGCCGTCGTTCAAATCCACCGACATTCCCGACCTCACTGGCCGCGTTGCCATCGTCACTGGTGGTAACAGCGGTCTCGGCGAGGTCTCGTGCCTCGAGCTCGCTCGCAAGGGAGCCAAGGTGTACATGGCTTCCCGAACCGAGTCGAAAGCGCAAGATGCGATCGCCAAGATCAAGCAAGCCGTGCCTAACGCCGACATCCACTTCCTGCAGCTCGACCTGACCGAGCTCGCTGCAGTGCGCAAAGCGGCCGAAGACTATATCTCCCGGGAAAAGCGACTCGACATTTTGCTCAACAACGCCGGTGTCATGGCCACACCCTACACGTTCACCAAGGACGGCCTCGAGCTGCAGGTGGGCACCAACGTCGTCGGTCACTACCTGTTCACCATGCTCCTGCTTCCCACTTTGATCAGCACGAGCAAGCTGCCCGAGTATGCCAAGCCGGACTCTCCCTCCGTCCGTGTCGTGCAGGTGTCCAGTCTGGGCCACATCATGTCGCCCGGCGATACTAGTTTCAAAGATCTCGATGCGGTCAACAAGAAGTACTGGCCCGAGGTCAAAGCGACCTTCGACCGTTACGGCAAGAGCAAACTCGGCAACGTCCTGATTGCCAACGAACTTGCTCGCCTCGTCCCATCCGACGCTCGAATTGTCAACATCTCGATCCACCCGGGTGTCGTCCGTACCGGTCTGATTCGAGGCATGGACGAGTCGTACGGAAAGATCGTCGGCTCGTTCAACAAGTTGGCCTCTCGCTTCTTCACCGCACCGGAGGACGGAGCGTTGACCCAACTCTACGCTTGCGCTTCGCCCGAAGTCGACCGTCTCGATCTCAACGGCGCTTATCTGGTGCCCGTCGCCAAGGTCGGCGGCAAGAGCAAACTCGCCCAGGACAAAGAGGGAAAGCTCGGAGCAGAATTGTTTAGCTTCTGCAACTCGTTCATCAAGGAGAAGCTCAACCTGGACGTTGCGGAGCATGTCAAGGAGACCGGTGTACAGCTGCCCCAGAGCCACCTTTAGAGAGAAGATCAGGACTCAGATTGTAACCCCCCGGAACAATTGGCTCCGTCGCAACTCTAGATGCTAGACTCCGACGGGTTCGCTTTTGTACTGCTTCATCTACCCGTAGAACCGCTTATGTATATGTGATGCTCAATGATACCTTTCGCTTTCGTGCTTGCTCATTGATGGCCAGCTGGATGAGCGTGTGACAAGCCGGGCGGGTGGATCGAGGCAAGCTGCATTTGAGTTGTGCAGCAGGACGGATGTGGAATCTGCCCAGATCAAAGCTCAAAGGAAATCCGAGCGGAATTCGGGCCTCATAAATTCAGGGTCGAGGGTCGGCCGCACCTTTGCATTCAAGCTTTGCTTTCCTTCTGGTCTTCATCGCTCTCATCCTACCAGACTAGCGCATCACAAAGAATGACCCGTAAGTCCCCATCCCTGGCTCTGCTGATAGATGATGCGCATGCTGACATCGATGATGGTGGTGAACAGGCGGAAATCAGCGAGACCTGGCACGTGCCAAGAACCAGAAGAAGCTCGCCGAGGCCAACAAGGGCAAGCGCAACGAATCGAATACGTCCATCGCCGCCAGGAAGGAGGCCGATGCAGAGGCGCTGAGAGCTAAACAGGCGGTAAGTAGCGTACGACCATGCGAAACGACGGTAGGGGCACATCGCTGACCAAACTTCTGTTCGTGGGACGACAGGCAAAGGCCGCAAAGGCTGCCGAAGCGGGCGGCGGAGGGAAATGATGCCCCTAGCAACGACCATGTAGCAGCACCATACGAAGGGTCTTGATCGACATGCTCCTTTCATTCTCAAAAGCAGTGTATTCCCGACATCAACGTTCAGACATCTGCTACGAATACACTGGTTGCAAACACACACACCGCAATACACCAGCACGACACGAGCCTTATTCATAGCTACTTCCATTACACGCAGCACCCGCGTTTCGTATTTACAATCACACCGAGGCCTCTTCTCCAGCAACGCCTCTCACCTCATCCTCTGCGCGCTCTTCTTCATCGCCCTCTTCCTCTCGACCTCCTTTCTCTTGGCCTGCTCCGCGGGACTCAGCTTGTCGAACTTCTCCTTCTCGGCCTTGCGCTTGGCCTCCTCCTTGGCCTCCTGCTCGGCCTCGCGCTCTTCCTTGGTGGCCTCCTCCTGGAGCTCCTTGTCCACCTGTGCGCGGGTCTTGCGCAGCTTGGCCATGGTCTCGTTGCGCAGCTTGACGACGCCCGTGTCCATTGCGTCGACCAGGTTGCACGCGAACTGGAGCAGTTCCACTGCCTTCTGTGCGTCGGCGCGCGAGGTGGGCACCTGCAGCGTCAAGATGAGTTGTCGTTTCCTCTTCTCGGCAGGGACAGGGCCGTTGGTGGGTCGCGTAAACGGCTGATCGGTGAGCACGAGGCTGTCGAGGAAGTTGCCTGCTTGACCGGCGAGTAGGTCCACCAGGCCGAGCTTGCTTCGTTGCGCCACGCCCTTTTGGTCCGCCTCGCCGAGGATCGCGTCCGTGAGCTCGGGCGCTTCGGACATGATCGCCCACTGCTTGGACAGTCCACGCGACGTGACGGTGGTATCCGAGTCGTTGACCTTGGCGAACGTGAGATCGAAACGCCCAGAACGGGTGGTTTGGAGGGCTCCCTTGTTGACCAGCGCAAACACACCGGTGATGTTGTCGGCTGTCGGGGGAAGGGTGAACGTGAGCGTGATGGCATCGCGGAAAGACGACGTGCTCGACGCCATCACGGTATCCTTGATGAAAGCGAACAGAATCTCCATAGGGTCGTGGCGCGGGATGAAGTCGAACGTCACATGCAGGCTCGCGCACCCCCGGCGTCCGGAGGCAAACATCAGCGCCGAGTTGCCGCCGTTCCACAGCAGGTGGCTGGGACCATCGTCGTTGGCCACCGCTGCGAACTCCTGTTGGAGCGCGGGAAGCGCAGCATCGGCGAAACGGGAGGCCATCTGACGGTTGCGTGTCTTGCCCACGAGGTGGATGAGCACGAAGAGGAGACAGAAGCCGAGCACACCGCCTTCGAGCCAAAAGAGAGCCGGGCGGAAGACGAAGTTGCCGTAGAGAGGGAACTCGAGGCCGTCGTAGGGTGCAGCTTGCGAGCCGACGGCACCGACGGGCTTGTTGACTCGCTCGATGGTGATCAGCTGCGACAAGAAGGAGGGCATCTGGAAGGCGGACGAGGGCGAAGCGAGAAGCATCATGGTACACACGGCAAAGACGGCGCCGGTGGAGGCCCACGAGGACCTGCTTGTGAGCTGGTTGGTGACCATGTCGGGATGATCTGCGACGCCGGCGAGAGGAGGCGGATGAGGAGATGGTGGTGATGCGGGACAAAAGTGTCGGCATGAAGCTCGCCGATTCCCCTCTTCTTCCCATCTCTCTGACCTGCAAATTGACCGAAAGCGGACGAGAAGAACGCGTTTTGCTCTGCAAAAGTCCGTGCGAGCCGTGGTCAAAAGTCTTGTCATGTTAGGGCGATCGTCCGAACAACGCTAACTCGAGCGCTCCGCTCGCTTTCAACTCAGCATGACGTTGTCGAGCAATGCGGCTACGATACCCCGCATAACCTGCAAGACGCCTTGAAAAGAGGCGCAACCTTCTTGCATTTCATCTCGAGATCAGCCCTCTCCCATCCCCACCATCACCAACCAAAAGCGCAACCTGGTCTCATCCGCAGTCCATCACGATGGGTGTCCCGGGTCTGAGGGTGCAGATCGCATCCTACAATGCCAACCTCGCTGGAGCCGAGACGACTCGCCACGATCTCACACCATGGCTCATCCCAACTGCAGAGCAGAAACCTCTCGCTCCTAGATCCTCCAAGCCAGTCACCAACCACACCGTTCTAGAAGCAGACGCCTACAAGTCGGTCAACACTAAGACGCTCTCGACGCATCCCTCGTTATCGCGCGAAGCACCCGACTTCTACGCTGTGGGCTTTCAGGAGCTCATCCCGCTGCACACAGGTCTGTCTGGATCGGGCGACACCGCGCTATACAACACGGACCTCGACATCCGTAGAACTATTCGTCCTCATCAGGCTGTGGTATCCGGCAAGGGTCTGTACGCCAGTCAGGAGGAAGGAGGCGGTCCAGAAGGATACCCGCTGTTGTGCAAGGTGGATCTGGTCGGCATCGCCCTCTTCGTATACGCGCGTGAGCGACCAGCATTCTCCATCTCGAGATCCACATCCAGCAAAGCCAAGAGCGCCGCACACCGCGTCAAGGAGATCCGCACCGCTACGGTCGGCACAGGCATAGCAGGCGTGATGGGCAACAAAGGCGCCGTCGGAGCGCGCATCGTCGTCGCTGCCGCAGACGGCAAGGGCCCAGACGAGATCCTCACCTTCATCAGCGCGCATCTCGCCGCTCACGATCACAATGTGCCGCGCCGAAACGCCGACTGGAAGCAGATCGTACAGCGCATGGTATTCGAGCCTTCGTCCGTGCAGAAGCTGCCCATCCTGCAGGATCCCAAGCAGAAAGTCAACCCCAACGACCTGGATGCGCTCAAGGAGCAGCACGAGAGCGCCACCTCAGACAAGGGTAGGAAGGCAACTGCGCTCGATAAGAAGAGCTACACGGTGTACGACACAACACATCTGTTTGTGTTCGGTGATCTCAATCATCGGCTTGCGCTGGGCAAGAGCGAGCTTCCGTCGAGCGAAAAGCAGGGCGGCGAGCTCACGAAGGAGTCGCTGGCCAAGGCACTCGAGGAAGGCGACTGGTCCTTCCTCTCGCAGTACGATCAGTTGAGCTACCAACGTCTCGCATCGGAGCTGAAAGCCTTCCACGGCTTGACAGAGCTGCCGATCTCCGAAGCGGGGATCCCACCGACGTACAAGTACATCGTCTCGCGCCCTGGCAAGCAGACCAAGAAGAAGAACGCCGGTATCACCTCCGAGGCTCTCGAAGGACAGACGTTGAGCAAGAAGCGCATCCCAGGTTGGACCGATCGCATTCTCTGGGCGTCTGCCCCGTCGAAAGACGCCAACTCGGCGCACGGCGTCGAGGTCGAATTCTATCGCAGCATCACGCAGTACACCCACTCGGACCACAAACCCATCACCACGCTGCTCCGACTTCCACCGGCCCAGGGAGGCGAGGTCAAGCTGCTCTCGTCGTCCAACCCGTACGAGCCGCTGTCGTCGACTCAACGGGCCGTCCTGACGACTGGCGGAGTGGTGCTGGATAGACTGGTGGGGTATGTTTGGAGTTTGTTGTTGCTGGCAGGCGGAGGAAGCCTCGCAGGTGGACTCATCGAGGTCTTTGTCATCGGTCTTATCACTGCTTGGTGGTTCTCGCAGCCACGAAAGTAGAATCCTTATGACATTTGCAATGCAGAAACGCTACAGCTTGCTTTCCTTGCCTTGTCCTTCGAACTCTTCCGCGCCTTCCACGGCTTCGCAGATCTGCGGTTATCGAATCGAAATGAAACGGTCAGTGAGCTGTTTCGAAGCTTGTCAAGAAGAGGTGTGATACTCACGCCATCGACAGTGCGGACGACCCACAGCGCTCCCTCTTCCGTGGTGAGCCATTCGAGCCCCCGTTTGCTCGCGTCGTCCGGCTTGATCGAGTCCTTGGCCTTCATGAGTCCCCACACGTGGCTTGTCACCTGTGGTCCCACCCCTCCTTGAGCTCGCAACGCCGAGATGGCCACGAGTGACGTTCGTAGTCTGTTGACGTCCCACTCTGGCTCCTTCTTCATCTCCTCTGGGTCAGACGACAAGGCGAATGACGCCGGGCTGGAGAACAGCGGTCCGTACTCCGACTCGACGATGAACACGGGCAGGTCCGGGTGGGACGTTCCAAGAATCTTCAGCAGCTTCTCGGAGTGCGGTGTGTAGATGTCGTCCCACAGCGCGTATGCGGCTTTGTGCACGCTCTCCAGGCGTTCGCCCTTGATCTGCCTTCGCGGTTGGGTGGGCAGAGACTTGACAAGGTCCGCATCGGCCTCGACGGCTTTGCGAAGAGCAGCGAGGTTGTTGATCACCTTAGGGATTCCAATGAAGCCGATACACTTGAGGCCTGTTTCGCGCATCAGAAGAGCGACGTTGGTGCGATGGGCAAGGTCGGCACTGGTGGGTGCGGCGAACCTGTGGAGAGCAGCGAGACTGCCCGGGTTGTTGAGTGTGAAGAGCGTGGCCGTTGCGATCGAGACCCACTCGCCCCATCCGAGGCCCTTGGACGAGGCTTCCGCTTGGAGAGAGGCAAAGTGCTGAGCGACGGCGGAGAGCTTGGGTGTCGGGGAGGGAGCGGCGGGGCGACCGGCGGGGAGCTGAGTTGAGGCTGAGGACCGGGATGCACGAGCGGGGAAGGTGGGCTGCTGCAGGAGCTGCTTCAGCGCCGTGGGGAGAGAACGACCTTTCGACATGTTGACGCGTGCTTCTAGGAGATGGAGGATGTTGTTGCGTGGTGAACAGGGAAGAAGCTGGATGTCGATGTGAAACGAGAAGAAGGCTTAGCCTCGCACCGACCATCCTAAGCTCAAAGTCGGACTTGTTCGCTTATACACAAGTCGCCGTCCGCCGGTTATGCCCCGCAGAAATTTACGCTCTGTTAGACCCTTTAAGCGCGACTGCGTATCGCTTAGCCGCAAACCGCACATGAAGGAACACATCTTCTGCATCCGCAACCACATCATCTCGCTCATCCATCTGCAACATCATCAACACCGCCTCTGCGATTCGCATTCGCCAGCAGCAACGAGCACGTGGAACAAACACCTGCGATAAGATTACCTCGGCTCGCTCTCCACGCAGATCTTAGTGCGCCCCGCCTCGACGGCTCCTGCTCCGCCGATCGTAGCTCGACGCTAAGCATCAAGCACTCCGGCGGCAGCCCACCTTCTTCTCGAGTCGCAACGCTTGCGGAGGTGCACGCTACTGATCGATGCGCTAGGCTGTGCTCGGCTCGCATCTGACAATATTGCCTGCGCTTCTTCTCGGCTCCTCTGCTACATCTCTGCACATCAAGATCTTGACCACCTCGTAGCGCCGACACTTCTTCACCAAAAGCAGAAAGGGACAAAAAGACGACAGTCACGCAGACATGTCACCATTCGACGTATCATCTTGAGGTCTCTGCTGAAGAGACGTCCCGCACCTGCACTCTCGTCGGTCTCATCGCTGTGCAGCTCCTCTCCGACCATGGGCAAGCGCGGAACACCAAGAGCTTCTTGCGACCCCTGTCGTCGCAAGAAAGTCAAGTGCGACAAGGACCAACGTAATGCGGAAGGTATCTCGCTGTGCTCCTTCTGCTACACACGAGGATACGACTGCATCATCACCGACGATACTCGACCCAACGCCGACAAATCTGATAACGATGACGGGCCCAACAACCAGCCGGCTTCCACACCGGCCAGCGCGGCCAAGAAGAAGCGCAAGCAATCCGATGCAGGCGAGAGCGCTTCAAAGGATGTTCTTTCGAATCCAATCCGAGACGATAGCTTCGTGCCGGATCCCTTCGTGACGCCAGGCCCATCGACCGAGCCAGACATGCTCAATGTTCGTGGCCTCACGCGCTCGATCCTGGACGATTCAGTCAAGTCCCACTTCCGTACCACCTACTGGTGCAATCCGGTGATGGATCCGCGCCACTTCTACCCAAGGTACCAACGATACATTAGCAAGCTTGACAATGCAGCATCTTCCTCGACCAGTCACGACATCTTTCCACCCGCCGACATCATCATCCTTGCGGTTGCCTGCGCAGGCGTGGTGCAGCTCGGCTACTTGTCGCATCGCTTCGACCTCCAGGCTCGCATCTTTCGAAGACTCGAAAGACTCGTATCACAGGCATGCACGAAGGATATCACCGTGGCATTGGACGTCTTAGAAGCCATCCTACTGACATTCGACGTGCCTGCTCGCACCAAGAGTATCGACGAGGCCACCAACTCCAGCCTCGACGCCGGCTACGTTCATCCTATGAGCCACACCAAGATGATCCGGCTCTTAAACCATCACGGCTTCAATCGGTCCAAGGAGGACCCGGTCGTCATGGCAATTAGACTCAAGCACCGTACTGCCGAACGTGGCAGCCTGTCCGAGATCAACGACGAACGCATGCCGCTTGTCCTTGCCGTCGCTGCCAGCAACGATGTCATTCGCAGCTTTGATCTCTTCGAACGACACCAGCTTTTGCAGGAAGACATCGACCCGGAGGCCATGATGGCTGACCTTGGTGGGTTGGTAGGGAATCAGTGGGCCTGGCAGCTGTCCGTTCTGGCTTCGATACTGCGCACCAACAATCTGCCCATCTGTGCAGCTAGATCTCGCCGTCTCGGCATTGCGCCCTCTGCGATTCTCGAAGTGCTCGAGCAGCTGGAGCGTTTCGAGAGGCAGATGCCGGAACTGTTGCGATGGAACACATCCGCAGCAGAGAGTCACGGCTCCTCTCTACGGGCGCTGATCCCGCACGACAACACCAGCGAAGACATCATCTCGATTCTGGTGCGCAAGGCGTTTCTGTACTGTCTTCTCTGGAGTCAGTACCAATGCATTCACGCCATGGTGCGAGCACACGGCTTGCAGCGTCCAGCTCAGAGCTCGCGTCCGGAAGGGACATTGTATTTGCGAGCACGCCAGCGTGTCGATTCTTTGCTGCTGACTGCGTTCGACCGCATGTCCGAGATCTGCCCGCAGCTGGCAGCCATCACGGTGCCGCCCACCTTTGCTTCAGTCAACCTGCTGGACTACAGCTCGATCGCCTTCCGCAGCTCCATCAAGCGTGGAGCGTACTACACGCTCGAGATGGCCAAGCTGACGCGCAAGGCGGGCCTACACGAGCTCACTGCTGACCTGCTCTCGAAAGCGGGAAGGATGATCTACGCATTCAGCACGTATCAGTGCCACCCTGACACCCAAGCAGAAGCCTCCAAGCTGCGCAAGCTGCTGTCCAGCCTCTACTCGGAGTACGACATGATCCCAGGACTTGGACCGACAAACGACACCAAGCTGCGTCACGAGCGAGCACGCTTTTCGAGCGTATTCGAGCCAGCTGCTGCATTCCAGGACTCTGCTGCTACCGCGGCCTTTGTTGCGGAGATGGCAGAAACGCCGTGGAACGGCGGCAACGACCCTGCAGCCACGATCGGGACTGCAGCATCGTGGGCTACCACTCCTGGCACCGACGATCTGAATGCGATGAACGACTTCCTCGCCGGATTGCCGTTTGTCAATACAGCAGCAAGCGTGCCACCGTCTGCGAGTCCGGCTCAGGGACAATATGCGCAAAAGACACCAGCATCGACGGGGACAGCGACAACGCCGTTCGATCTGAATGCGTTCCTGGATACGCAGATCGATTCGAGTACTGTGCCTGGTCGGCAGGCAGGATCAGGTTTCTAGCTTCGCAATTGCACTTCTTCATGTATCGTATCAGTGCTACATCAGGTGCAGCCCTGCTCAATCTATCGCAAGGTCGTTTACCGTGATCTCCGCCTCTTACCTGTCTGGATATGTTGGTGATGATTGAGAGAAGAAGCAGAACCGGGATTCGGGCCGTGGATGCGCCGCGAGCTCTACCAATTTGGTGGATGCCGGCGGTGGTCTTCGCGAACGAGCCAGCCTCTGTCCCTCCATCCCTCGATCCTTCCTGCTCTTTTGCGACAACCTCGCCGGACAATATTTGCTGGACTGCTCCTTTTTGACCGACTCATCCCAGCTCTCGACCCGTGCGATCAGAAAAAGCACCCTCGTGACGCCGAGCATGTCCACACGTCCCGCGACCACAGCCCTAGCACGGCGCCAACCACTCACCTCGCGCCCACTGGACATCCTCTACCTGAGCTACTTTGTCATCCACCTGGCTGCCTCCGTTGCGATCGATGCGCAGCTCGCCTATCCGCCGTACTCACAGCGCCTGTTCCCAGAACCGCTGCGCAAGGTCCTGGCGGACTACCTGACGTCTTCGAAGGACCCGTTCCTGCTAGCGGCAGCGAGGGGATCTGCGGACCATGTGTGGTTCCGGGTGCTCCTGATCAGCGAGGCGGTGTTCCAAATTCCGTGTTTCGTGGTGGCCATCTGGGGGCTGATCCATGGTGAGTCGACGATGTCTTCCTGAAAGATCGCGAGACGATTGCTGACGTGCTGATGAACCGGTCTGCGTTTTGGCCGTGTGCAGATGAGAAACGCACCTATCCGCTGATGGTCTGCTACGGCACGCTGGGTAAGCACACACAAATACTTGCTGCAATCTCAAAGAGACGGCGACTGACATACTCTTCTGTGCCCTCGCCATCAGCCGCATCCTCAACATTGCAATGCATCTGCAGCATCCTCTTTGGCAGCGATGGGCGCAACCTCACGAGCGCCCAGATCACCGCTCTGCTCCAGTAAGTCCTCGTCTCAAGCGCGCGTGCACACAGAGCAGCGAGCTGATAGATCAACACTTCTCGGTGGGACACAGAAACTACGTTCCCTTCTGCCTCATTCCCACGCTGCTCACTGTCGACATGATGTTGCGCATCATGGGGCTCCTTTCGGAGAAGGAGGCGACGAAGGGTGGGAAGGACGAGTGAAATCATATTCATTAGATCGTCGAGAGACAAACAGGAGAGACCCTTACGAAAGGAGATGAACCGGCGATCCTTCCTCCTGAACGACGTGCATGTGTCGTGCGGCGAGATTGCCGAGAGGGCTCTGCACGCCCATGAAAGTTGTCTCTGTCCCTCGACCAAACGCACATTTAGATTCTTGTGCAAGGATCCGAGATCTGAGATAACGCTCATGGGCTCGCGGACTGCAGATCGACACGTTGGCAACGACTATCAGGGGGCGGAAGGAGTGAACGAGTGAGTGGGTTTTGATATTCGCCGGTGTTGGGTGCGAGTGACGTTGATATGCAGGTCTTCGGCTTTCTTCCAGGTTGTGCTTTGGCCAAGCTAGAAATCAAAAAAGTTGCAAAAGTATAAAGAACGCCGCCGGTCCACTAGAATCCTCACCATCACATGCATCGTCTCACACGACATCTTCTCGCCACAGACAACATGACATCCAACGCTGCCGCGAGCAGCTCGCACGACGAGCTCGTCGATTTCGACCCGACCGAGCATCCTCATCGGCGCTACAACCCCCTCACGCGCAGCTGGGTGCTCTGCTCACCGCACCGCACCAAGCGCCCGTGGCAGGGCCAAGAAGAGTCACCTCAAGGCACCTCCCTCCCTCCCTACGATCCCAAATGCTACCTCTGTCCCGGCAACGCTCGCGCCACGGGCGGCACCAACGACAACTACACTTCCACCTTCTTCTTCGAGAACGACTATGCGGCGCTCAAACCCCAGGCCGTCGCACCCGAGACGAACCAGCATCCTCTCCTGCAGTCGCAGCCCGCCCGCGGTCGATGCTATGTGATCTGCTTCAACCCGCAGCACAATCTCACCCTCGCTCAGCTCAGTACGGTACCATTCTCGCCAGAGGAGCACATCGTACCCATCATCGAGAGCTGGCGGACGATCTACCGACAGATCAGCGTGGAGAACCCGTTTGTCAAGTACGTGCAGATCTTCGAGAACAAGGGGAGCGCCATGGGCTGTTCCAACCCGCATCCGCACGGGCAGGTGTGGTCGTTGGACTACATTCCGGAGGAGCCGAGTAAGGAGTTGGCTTCGTTGAAGGAGTGGTGTCGCAATCCTGTTAACCAGGACGAGAAGATCAACCTTGGCGCGCTCGATGACCAGAAGAGGCCGTCGATGCTCTTGACGCTGGCCAAGCTGGAGCTGACAACGGAAGGACAGCCGCGTGTGGTGGTGGCAAACGAACACTTTGTCGCCCTCGTACCCTACTGGGCCGTGTGGCCGTTCGAAGTGCTTCTTCTGCCGGCAAAACGACAGATCCGACACGTACTCGAAATGACCTCTTCGGAGGTGGTGGCTCTGGCGCAGATTCTGGCAGAAGTGACGTGCAAGCTGGACAACCTCTTCCAGTGCTCCTTTCCGTACTCGATGGGCGTTCACCAGCAGCCGACGGAGAAGAGCCAGGGTGAGGAGGACGACTCTGCCCAGTTCCATGTGCATTTCTATCCGCCGCTGTTGAGGAGCGCGAGCGTGAGGAAGTTCTTGGTCGGATTCGAGATGATGGCCGAGCCGCAGCGGGATTTGACGGCGGAACAGGCGGCGAAGCGGATCCGTGAGTGCGCGGATCGCCACTATCTGACGACGATGAAGGAGGGCCCAAACTGACAGGAGCACCAATCGGTTCTCTCGCGATGTTCCGTCTTCCGTTTGACAATCCATGGTTTCGGTGTGATACAAATACAAACATGCGATTCCATGGTGCTACATTGTGATCTTGGCGAGCGCCTCCCTGACGCTCTCCTCGTCGAACTTGGGCAACCCATCTTTCCCCCTCAGTCTCGGCTTTACCCTCACACACCGCACGCCCAACTCCTCCAACGCCCTCTCATCCACCCCTACCTGACCGTCCTCAAAGTACGCCACATGCGTTATCAACCTTCTCACCTGCCACTCTCCCGGGTCGCTACGATTCAACGACCCGCAAATGGCCTCCACAAAATCCCTCGCATCCATCCCCCTCGTCTCTCGATCCTGGACCGAGTTCAACAGCAGAACTTTCCAGCGCAACGTCGGACTGGTCGCGATACTGCTCGCGACACTGCGCAGCGCAAGGCACGGGACGATGCTCGTCCACAACGACCCGCACGAGTAGATCAGCGTTCGACTGCGACCCAGTGCAGCGAGGAAGGAGGGATTGGGTGCGGGGTGGATCTCGTTTCGATAGGCGTTGACGTAGAGGATGCGTGCGATGCGCGAGGGCAGAGCCGAAGACTCGTCCGTCTTGGTGAAGATGATGTTGCCCGTCTTCTCCGGCGTTCTCTTTGTCGACAGGTTGGGGGGAGGTTTGGAGGGGTCGTCCTCTGCAGCACTGTTGGCGGCAGGCGAGTCCGGGTTGTCTTGGCCATCTTGCGAGTCGGCATCGTCGTCCTCCGGGTCGAGGCCGTCTTTCAGGTTGCCGACTGTGGTGAGACCCTTGCGTGTCTGCGCGGCGTAGACAGCGGCGCGCTCGTCGTCCAGCTGTGCAAAGAGAGGACTGGCGCCCGCTGCGACGCCTCTAGCTGGCGTGGCTGCTGAACCCGAACCCAGCTTGCCCGTCGCAGCATCCTTGACCGCCTCGACACTGCCATTCATCGACGTATAGTTGGACGAAGCGAATGGCTCGTTGATGTGAAAGTGCGCTGGTGGGCCGAAGCCTGGCGTGGATGGTCCGGCGTCCGCCAGTCCCAGCCCCTGCATCGCGTCTGCTGTCAGCAGGTTCGGATCTTGATGCTGATGCTGCTGAGTATCCCACACCGCCGAGGATGGCGTTCCCGGAGCCTGTCCCAGCCCACCTAGCGTCGCTGGCGCTCCCCTCCTCCCCTCCTTCCTCCGTGCAGGATGCGAGATCTCGCACTGCCCGACCAGGATCTCCCCACCCTCCAATTCGGCCGCGATCGTCGCGGTGTGATTTGTATTGATGACCGGAATGACTTTGCTTGCCAGTGAGTCGCTAATCTGCGTCGTTGCCGAAAAGAGGAAGATGGCGCTCTGAATCGACCTGAAAAACTTCTGTGCAGCCGCCAGGAAGAAGTTGCCGATGCTACCACCGCGAAAGTTAAAGTGGCGATGGGCGCGACGGAGCACTTCGGATTCGAACTGGACCAGAAAGCCACGAATGACCTCTTTGCGTTCGGGCTCGATCCCGCGCCAGAGCGGATGACGACCTTCGAGGATGTCCATCCATTCCTGCTTGATCGAGCGGGAGGAACCGGTGGAGGGGAGACGGTAGGAGAGGAGATTGTGGATCGCTTCGTTTGAGGAAGGTGGTGGGACGGTGGAGGGTGAGGAGGATAGGTCGTGACGAGAGGGCGTGGGGATGAGTCGATTGAGGCGGGAACGGAGGTCGCCGATGGAAGGACCACCGAGGACGCGGATGATCTCGGATGACGAGCCGCCATTGTCAGAGATGGGCATCACGTATGTTGCGCCAGGTGTCGCTCCAACGAGGTCATTGTAGCCGCTGCCTCCGCTGATGACGAGCACTTCGCCGAGGGCAGCTTCTAGCGTTGAACGTGATGCCTCTTGAGCTGCATTGTCGCTTGTTCCTGCATTTGAAACTTTGATATCGCTGCTTGCACCTTGGTGGGGCAGCGGGACCTCGAAGCTGATGTTGGGTGGGGACCCTGCGCCTGTGCTATCGAGCTCGATGTCGGTCGCAGCGTCGTCCGGAACAGTCAGTCCGACCGTCGGCGCGGGGCTCGCCATTGATCCCAGATAACGAGAAGCCCTTTCGGCAGGATTCTTCCGTGTGACAGTGGTGGTTGCTGAGCTAGACGGCTTCCACGTTGCTGCTGCACTGTTTGTGTCGCGTGGACGTGGTCAACGCGGGGTGCGAGCCTAATCGCTGTTCCCACGCCATCTCCGCGGCAATTTGGCTTTGACAGATATTTTCCTGACTGCGCTTTCCAATCTCGTTGAAAAGGAGTCCATCGACCATCGACCTTCACCCTCTCATACCATCATCCTGAACAACTCTTGGCCTCGCTTGATGCAAGCTCGGGCCCTTCGTACCACACTATCACGCTTCTCGTATCCTTGTAACGTCTCGGGTATCAGAATGTCGTCGACCACCACCGCCACTTCCGCCTCCTGGTCGGTGTCCAAGCCAGAGCAGAGCAGCATCGCACCTGCATTCTATCAAACGAGCCCACCTCCTCACTGGTCCAACGTGCCCAAGCCTTCAGCCAGCACGACCACACTCGACGTTTCCAAGCGCAAGTTCAAGTCTCCCTGGCCATCCGCGTCCCCGCACGGCATCCTAGGCTTCCTGCGCGCCCGCCTCTTCGACTGGGACGAGGTGCCTCTCCCCCCCAAGATCTCTTCTGGCGGGGCCACCCTCCCTCCCGTTCACAAGCCCACCTGGGTCGACCCCTCCTCATCCTTCGGCGACAACATCACGTTCACCTGGCTAGGTCACGCGATCTGTCATCTTCAAATCCCCATCTCCTCGTCGCGCACCATCACCATCCTCTGCGATCCGGTGCTCAGCCGTCGCGTTTCGCCAGTCCAGTGGTTTGGGCCCGAACGGTACACCGATGCGCCCGTCACAGTTGACGAGATCGCCGCTGCCTCCGCATCGGGTGCCAACGCATGGCCAGATCTGTTGGTGCTCTCGCACAACCACTACGATCATACCGACTACAACACCATTCATTCGCTGCTCCACCCGACTTCATCTGGCGTCAAGCGTCCGCACGTGTTCTGCACGCTTGGCACCAAACGCTGGTTTCAGGACAACTTTGGGCTGCGGGAGGACGAGGTTAGCGAGTGCGACTGGTGGCAGTCGTCCACCGTCTCGCTGGGCGGGGAGGACGTGTTGAACGTCACCTGTGTTCCAGCGCAGCACTTCAGCGGACGGGGTGCGACGGATCGCGATCGCACGCTGTGGGGCGGCTGGACGTTCCACGCCCCCGGCAGTGGGGCTCGCGTCTACTTTGCCGGCGATACGGGATACCGTTCTGTCCCCCGGGGCATGCCACGCGAGCAAGAGGACACATTGACGACCTGCCCGGCGTTCAGAGAGATCGGCGAGACGCTGGGGCCATTTGACGTGAGTCTGATCCCCATCGGAGCGTATTTGCCTCGGAACGTCATGTCGACCATCCATTTGGCGCCGCAGGACTCGGTGCGCGTGCATCAGGACGTGAAGAGCCGCAAAAGCTACGGGATTCACTGGGGCGCTTACCGTCTGACGCCAGAGGACGTGAACGAGCCACCGCGGCTGCTGGCGGAGGAGGCGAAGAAGTTGGGTCTCGACGAGGGAGAGTTCGACGTGGTGCAGATCGGGCAGAGTGTTGCTGTTCCCATTGCCTCTCCTGCAAGTAGCCACAAGGTCGACGTGGGCACCGAGACACAGGACCCAACCGTCACGTCGGAGGAAGCGTTACCCGAATCCAAACTGGGTACGAAATCCCACTGGGATGCTGTGTACGCCCGCGAAGTAACGAACTTCCACGACATCGGCGAGGAGGGCGAGGTGTGGTTCGGCGAAGACACGGTGATGCGGATGATCCGCTTCCTCGAGACTTACTACACCGACAACCCGTGCTCTGCACCCACGGTTCTCGACCTGGGCACGGGCAATGGGCATTTGCTGTTTGAGATGCTCGAGTCGTCCGCCGACCTGGAAGACGTTCTGACAGCCAGTCGGTTGGTCGGGGTGGATTACTCGGATGCATCTATTGAGCTTGCCCGTTCTATCGCTACAAAACGCGGGGGAACGTGCGAAGAGGTGCGATTCCAAACCGCCGACCTGCTGGATTCCTCCTCTGTGGAATCCCTCGTCACGCTGCCCAAGAGCCAGCTCGGCGCAGAGGAAGCCTGGGACTTGGTATGCGACAAAGGCACCATGGACGCCATCGCCCTCTCCTCCCAACCCATCAACAACCGTCTGCCCATCGACCTGTACACCGATGCCGTCGCCAAACTCGTCAAGAAGAACGGCCTGTTCTTGATCACCAGCTGCAACTTTACCGAACAAGAGCTCAAGTCGAGGTTCACAACGAGCGGGTTCGAGGTGGAACAGGTGCTGCCTAGTCCGAGCTTCACTTTTGGCGGCGCAAAGGGGTCCACGACCAGCAGTGTCGCTTTCAGGAAGCTTTAGCGCAATGAGCAATGGGAAATCCTTGACATTCGGAAGAGAAGCGTAAGACAAAACGAAGCGTGCGATACAAGGTATACTACAGATGAGAAGCAATGTTGTGACTGGCGCCCTTGTCGGCAGCGATGCCCTTGAGCAGCTCGGCGGCCTTCTCGGCAACAGCGATGACGGCCGCCGTGGGGTGACCCGAGATCTGCTCAGGGAAGATGCTCGCGTCGCACACCACCAATCCATCGGCGCCATGCAGTTGAAGGTTGGTGTCGACGACCGAGTCCTTTGCATCGGGGCCCATTTTTACCGTTCCAACCGGGTGGTAGAGCGTGAAGGCCGACTTGGACATGAACTTGATGAGCTGGTCGTCGGTGAGCTTGCTTGGGTCGGTAGCCGACATGGGCCACCAGAAGTCTTCCTCGTCATCGCTCTTGTAATTCTCGAGGTAGGGCTGCATGGCATTGGCCTGGACGATGGCGATGGCGAGACGCATACCAGCGAGCGTCACCTTGCGGTCGTTGTCACCAGGGTCGCTAAAGTACTTGGGATCGACCACGGCCTTCTCCCATGGGTCGGCCGACTTGATCGAGATGGTGCCCTTGGAGCGGGGACGGACGTTGAGACCGACGATACCGACACAGCCAGTGCCTGCAGGCGCAGCGACAGCTCCGTGCTCGACGTAGGCGAGGGGCGTGCAGATGAGCTCAATGTCGGGTCCCTTGCCCATCGAGCCATAGAACTCGGGACGGTTCTCAGGCTTGGTAAGCGAGTTGACCAGCGGCAGCTTCTCGTCGTTGCACCTGACAAACGCAGCAGCCTCGCCGGCGTTGCTCGAAACAGGGCCACCGCCGGTAACGAGCCAGCGTGCCAGCGAAGGAAGTGCCTTGATGTCGCTCGAGAGGTAGTCGAGTGTGTGAGCTGGCTTGGCTCGTGCGCAGATTCCAGAGTGGCAAAGGTGGTCACTGAGACGCTCGCCGACCAGAGCATTGTCGATGATGACGGGGATGTTGTGCTTCTTGAGCATGGCAGCAGGCCCGACACCGGAGAGCATGAGCGTCTGGGGCGAGTTGATGGCACCGCCGCAAAGCACGACACGCTGGTTGGCGGAAGCATAGTACTTGGGACCGTCCTTCTTGTTCTGCATCTCGACTGCGATCGCCTTGGGGCGAGAGCCGGTGCGGTCAAAGATGATGCGGTTGACCATGACGTTGATACCGATGGTGAGGTTGGAACGCTTCTGCACCTCGAGGGGAAGGTAAGCAGTGGCAGCCGAGGATCGCTGTCCCTTGCTGTCGATGAAAGTGGTGAACTGAGTGCAACCCTCACTGCCGCGGTGGGTGTTCAAGTCCGGGTTGAAGGGGATGCCGACCTCCTGGCAAGCGTTGATGAAGCCCTTGGAGGTGACCTCGGCCTTGTAGGAAGAGTGACCCGTCTGCCAGAGACCCGAGCTGCCGCGCTCCTCAGCTTTGACGTCGGGCTGCGAAGCGTGAGGAGTGTACTTTTCGGAGCGATTGAGGTAAGGGAGGAGGTCCTTGTACGACCAGCCTTTGCATTTGAACTTTTCGCTCCACTCGTCGTAGTCGGAAGGAGCACAGTGGTGGTACATCATGGCATTGATCGAGGATGAGCCGCCGATGAGCTTGCCGCGAGGCCACTGCATCTCCTGGCCTCGCAAGTTTGTCTGCGGCGTGGTGGTGTAGTCCCAGTCTCGCTCGGTTCGGAAATTCTTGGTGAAGACGAGGGGAGCCTTGACCTCGAGAGCATTGTTGTTGCCACCTGCCTCGAGGACAAGGACCGAAGTGTTGGGATCCTCCGAGAGACGGCTGGCGAGGACACATCCAGCGGTACCGCCACCGCAGATGATGAAATCGTAGCTCTTGGCTTTCTGGGCTTCCTGGACCGACGATGGAGGGAGATTGGCGGCGGTAGCGTACGCCGAAGCGTCGGGAAGGAGAGTAGGAGAGGAGAAGAGACCCATGATGATGACGGCGAGTTGGTTGTTGCAGAAGGCGAGGGCGTTGCTGCTGGAGAGGGGAAGATGGGAAGAGACGATGGTGGCCACGAACTACTTATACGCGTACACGGCCACAGTCGGTGCTTGGAGTTGACTCAGCTGACGGTGACTGTCGCCGAACGCCGCAATGTGACTAGGATAGAGCTACATACTTTCGGCTAAACCAGTGGTGTTCTGCACTGGCCACGCTTGCGCCACTGCGCGGGTAAAGCGGACTCTGCTGAGCGGAGCGCAAGACCCCCGTTACCGCTCAGGGTGCATGGCATGTTAGTTGGAAAGAAGCGCTTGCGACTGGGCACATGACCGGCAGCAGTGAGTGAATGCAAGGGTCCTGGCCAAAGTGCGGGGAGAGTGACCCTGCAGCCGCGGGTCCCATGAGGGAGAGAGCAGCGCTGTTCAGGGTCCTTCTGCGCTGTTTAGAGTTGGTCTCTCCTGCAGCCGAAGCGCGTCTAAAATGAAAATGCGGGGAAAAGCCTTGTTCACCATGGTCCTCATTTGTCCGTCTGCAGGCTGGGCCGTGCGGAGAAGAGCGCTCCCCGGCGGGATGGTCGTGTGTCACGGCTGCACAAGGTCTTTGATTGATTCGTCGAGGAAAGATTGCTTCTGCTTCTAGGGAGTCACATTGGATATGGTTGAACGGTGGTTGCAGCTTTTCGAGCGTCGGCTCTCGGCTGTTGCACGACCCGGTGTCTCCAGCTCACAGGGTCTGACTCCGTCGTACGCTGACGAGGTCGGCGAAGGAGCAGAGCAGGCGCAGAGGTCATTGCACGTGCGACATGCTCTCTGACCAGCCCCACTTCCTGTCATACCAACCAGCAGCTTGGATGCCGCCTTCGCCCATCCATTCCGCACTCTTATCCGTCACGATCCACTCCGGGATCATCGTTCCTGTGCGCGTAGGGAGCAGACGAGCTGCTCGTGAAATACCCCCTAGCCCAATACCGTGAGCCACCAGCGTCAGACCCTCTTCATAGCTGGGATGAGGGGCGAGCGTGAGCAACGTCGTGCCGTCCTCGTAGAAGCTACGTCCTTGTATCTCGAATTGTGCTGACTTGTCAGGCGACGGAAAACGTATTGGGCTTTCGTTCGGCCAATTGGCCAGTACGGTCCGAGTGAAAGCATTGAGACTGGGTCCACCGAGCGTCACAATGTTGCTGTGCTTCAAGTGTTCTTCTCGTGTTGATGCGCGGAACTCGTCGTCGGTGAAGATCTGCGAGTTGATGGCCCCGTACAGCAACATATCAGCTGCAAAGCGTCGGGCTACACGCTTCCATGCTTCGATTTCTGCCGCTGGGCCTTTTGATGGCACGATCAGCACCATGGGTCCTTTCGACGTTACGATGCGCAATTGAGGCCCGATGGGCCGGGCAGCAGACGAGAGAGCCGTCATGTCGTCGCCAGTAAGCACCTTCCAGACGCCCTGCTTGGATCGCACAAAGCTGATCCGATCGGCGTTGCTGGTGTCTGCTTGCGTCACCTGGCCGTTGAGCTTGATGCTGATCTTGGTCGGTTTGCTCGAGGAGACGGAACCAGGGCTGCTCCGTCGAAGAATGCCTGCATTCAACTCGATTCGTCTGACATTTCTTGCGATGACGTCGATGAAGCCGTCATGAACATCGGCTCCAGCTTCGACCCTTCCAGCTGTGTAGCGCACTTCGAGTTTGGCAAGCCGTCCGGGGATATCGACCTCGGTGATGCGCCATCCGCCTTTCGAACCAGCTTCCGCAGGGTTGAAGACCGTAAGCGTAAAATTCTGCGGCGCTTCTGGCATTCGGTAGCCAGATTTCTTGTCGGCAGAACAAGCCGCCTCTATGGCGTCCTGCACATCGTCTTCCGAGAAGAACGTGTCCCACCAATGCGGGCGCCCAGGAACCTCTGCGACTTTGACTTTGCCCTCGAGTCCAGATCGACGATTCCACCCGTTGACAACCATCGCCATGTCCCGCGAGTTCCAGGGCGGTACATTAGCATCCGCCGATCCATATTTGATCAGCAGATCGAGTCCAGCCAGATTGCTGGCGAACAGATCGTTTTCAAACATGGTCACTCCGCTGTGCAGAATGCTTTGTAGAGCAGGATCCTCGAAGTGGCGTCCAACTTTCCATCCGAATGAGACGTAGTCGGATACCTTCGTGTACGCAGATCCGATCATACCGCCGATGACTCGATCAGGGAAGCGCGACAGTCGATACCACGCTCCTTGACCGCCATTCGAGTGGCCCATCACAAAAAGCTTTTCTGGATCAAACTGCCACCTCCGTCTTTCATCCTCGGACATGGACGGCGGAAGCCCGTAGAGATGCTTGTGGAAAGCTGTCACCGCCGCATCTGCAGCCTGCAAGGAAGCGAGCTGCCAGTCGTAGCCCCACGGTGTACGTCCGGTTGGCAAGATGGACCAGCTCTCATTCTGACGGCGGATGCTGTTGCTGAAGAACAGATCGCGGACGTCTACTCCTGCTCCGTGTAGAGTGAGGATCAGTGGCGGAAGCGGTGCGTTCCCAGCTGATGCCCTGCTCGATCGTTTTGGCGGTGTGGCTGCTGCCATCTGGACAGATCCGTCGTCGGCGAGATAGCTGTACATGTATGCATTGTGATCGTCGTCGCTGCTCAAGTCAATCCAAAATGCAGGCTTGTGTATGAGCGGAACTTGTACCTTCTTGGCGATCGTGGTACTGGCTGGCGACGAAGCACTGCGGAGACGAAGTATCAAGATCAAAGCTTTTGTGGCTGAGTCCAAGGGAGCCGTCTGTTGCAGCTTGACCGGGACCGTGATCGTCTGCCCTGGCGCAATGCGGAGTCTGGATCCTAAGTCGGCGGTCAAACGAGGCTGAACATTGTCCGATGAGTGTTTGGCCACTTCGATGCTATGCAAGACGTAAGTGTCGTTTGGGTCCAGATTGCGCACTCCGAAGGATAAGCCCCAACCGGCGAGCCAGCCCCCGACGACATGTGGCACATTGCTGTGTTGCGCATCTGTGTGGACCTCCAAGAGTTCTTGCCGGTCGACACCTTCCGTGCTTTGCGCAGCAATGTCAATGCCAAGCGTCATCTTTGGGCTTTCTGCACCGCCGTCGTTGCGTGGGTCACCAAAGATTCGGATCTCGTATTGCGACCTGACCAGCAGCTTGTAAGAGCCCTGATCCAGGAATAAGGTGTGGTGTGAGATCGGCAGCCGACTTGCGTCGTCGTCTTCTCGAGCAAAAGCAGCGATGTACGAGTACCAGTCGCCCGTGTGCCATTCGATCGCCTCTCCCGCAGTGCTTCCGCCTTGATATGATGCATTCGGAGCGAAGTCGGCCTTGGGTGCGATCGCAAACTCGGCGGTCTTATCCATTGATATCGCGATCGCTGTGCTGTTCTGAGCAATATTGAGGTCAGTTGCAGCGACCATCTGCCATTGCAGTGAGGACCAGCCAGCACTCTTGCGCACCCACGCCCAGTCGACATCGGGATACTCCACGGTCAGCGAGTGCTTGGTCCTGTTGGCGCTAGTGCTCTGCACCTGCCCTTCGAACGTTTGCAGCTTTGTAGTGGCATTGCTTGATCCGTAGGTGGATGGAAAGTCCCGGACGCCGCTGCTCGGATCTAGTAGCTGTGCATAGCTAGATTCGACGGATGGCGGGAACCCACCAAAGGGCAGCTCCCTCATTCCAGCTGGGAAGGGTCCCAGTACCTGCCACGATGTGTCTAGGCTGACAGCTTCAGATTCTATGGCTACGGATGGCGCCATTGTCTCGGACTGAAAGACTTGCTGCGTCGAGACCGTTGATGTGATCAGCAGCGCCAATATTGAACCCAGTTTGAAGTGATTGCGCATTGTTGTTTCCTTGCTCTGAGCGAGCTTTGATCTCTGAAGTGGATTGTGTGAGGCGACGAGTACCTCTCTAGCGAGTCAGTATCAGCATGATTGGCCAGCTGCACGCACAGAACTCTACCAGATCAAAGGGCTGATTGAAGCGGGTCGTGGTGACAAGTGAAGCTTCGATGGACCGTGCGAAACACGCTCACGGCAATGAACGGCAACCAAAGTTGGTGGACCCTGCATGCCGGTCAGTCAACCTCCACAACGATGACAACGACCACCACCGCATGATGCGATTCCCATCTGGCCTCAGAACCATCACTCCATTCGCTGCTTGCACTCGAACCATCGTCTCCTCCAGAACTCACAAGCTGGCTTTGCAACGTTCACTGACCACCACGAAAGCTGGCTACACTATGTCGAAGCCTGCACCAGGACACAAGGACGCCGTGTACCACACCGAATGCACCGGGCAAGCGCTCGACACGGTCAGAGCTCACTCGACACCGTCTGAGCTTACACTATTTGGCGCTTGCTTCTGCCCCTTCGTGCATCGAGTCTGGATCGCTCTGGAATACCTTGGTGGTACGTTTTGACCGGGGACACTCAAAAGTTCGATGGCGAATATTGCTGACATGGCTTCACACGGTGCTCTACAGCTCCTTATCAGTACCGAGAGGTAGACCCATACAAGAAGCCGGCAGACCTCCTCGAGCTCAACCCGAAGGGTCTCGTTCCAGCACTCAAGCTGTCGAACGGCAAAGGTCTGGCCGAGTCTACCGTGATGTGAGTTGCTCTCAGGCCTTTTCAGCTATACCAGTGCTGTTTCCTGACCCCTGCTCGCACAACTATCACAGCCTCGAGTACGTCGATGAGAAGTATGGAGGCGGCAAAGGCGGAAAGACGCTTCTTCCTCCCCTTTCTGATGCCTACGAGCGAGCCGTCTACCGTCTAGCAGTCGACAAGGCCAACCGCAACCTCATCCCTTCCTTCTACCGCTACCTTCAAGCGCAGGAAGTCGAAAAGCAGCTCGAAGGTGCCAAAGAGTTCACTTCGCACCTCACCGACTTTGTGAAGTCCATGTCGCCGCCCAATCCGGAAGGTTTCTGGGACGGCAAGTCCCTCTCCGTGGTCGACTGCACCGTGGCACCTTGGCTGTTCCGTGCGACCAACGTGCTGAGGCACTTCCGCGGCTTCGAGCCTGAGAAGCTGCTCGAGGGCGATGTGTTGGAGAGGTGGAACAAGTGGACGGGGGCTGTCTTCGGTCTGGATGCTTTCAAAGCGACGACCTCGACCGACGACCTGTACTTGGACTCGTACGTGCGCTATGCCCAGAACCGGCCGATGACCTCGCAGGTCGCCGATGCCATCAACAAAGGTCGAGGTCTGCCCTGATCACCATCTCGACCGCTGTTCTCTGAATGCAATTGTCGACTCCGGTCTTTGTCGTCCTTCAATCTACGCTGTCAAGCATGCTTCGTGGTGACCATGAGGCCAGAGCAAGCTATGTGCTGCGGAAAGTGTGGGGTACGGCTGCTTAGCAAAACGCGGAACGGTTACCGCTTGAAAGCGACGTCGGCGGAAACCTTAATCGACGAGTTTCTTCTCGGAGCATGCATCTCCGCATAATCTGAGCCGCGTGCGCCTTTTTCGAACGTCGTAATGCGTGATCAGGGCTTGGCGCACAAGCTTCCTTTCTTATCTCCGTACCTAAACCATCGTCCCTGCCACCATCATAGAATCTGATCTGAACACCACTCGACATGTCGACGAAAGGAAAGGCTCCTGAAGCCGAGCTCATCGCACGCACGCTCGAGTTCAAAGGCGGCAAGGTCGCACGCAATCGTCTTGCCAAAGCACCATTGGAAGAGACGCTCTCTCGTACAGGAGGTGGACCTCCCAACCATGCCCACTACGAGCTCTATCGAGCCTGGGCGCGAGGCGGCTGGGGTCTCATCATCACCGGCAACATTGCCATTGATCCGCTCCATCTCGGTACGCCGTGGGACATCACCATTCCCTACGACGAGAGGAACCTCACCTTCTTCAAGACGGCGATGAAGCGCTACGCCGATGCATGCACCGGTCGTGATCAGCCTGACATGGTGGACCCGAAGTCACGACCTCTCGCGGTGGTGCAGCTGGTTCATGCCGGTCGACAGTCGATGCGTGGCTCTGGGCGTGGAATCACCAAGCCTGCGCTTGCCCCTTCGGCGGTACCCATGAGCACCATGGGTGGTCTCGGCCCCGTCGGTCGATTCATGGACCATCTCCTCTGGGGCTCCGTAGCAGCCATGACGCTGGAACAAGTCCACGAGCTCCGCGATCGCTTCGTCCAGGCTGCGCTCATCTGCGCCGAAGCCGGCTTTGACGGTGTCGAACTCCACGGCTCGCACGGCTACCAGCTCGCTGCCTTCCTCAGCCCGCGCACCAACCTTCGCACCGACGACTACGGTGGTTCTCCCGAGAACCGTGCTCGTCTTTTGTTGGAAATCGTCGACCTCATCCGCACGCAGGTTGCACCGGACTTCCTCATCGGTGTCAAACTCAACAGCTCCGACTACGTCCAGGGCGGTCTTACCGAAGACGACGCGCTGCTCAACGTCAAGTGGCTCGCCGAGACCGATCAGGTCGACTTTGTCGAGATAAGTGGTGGCAACTACGAGAACCCTTCATTCGTCATGGAAGGCTTTGATTCCGAAGCTGAAAAGGCCAAGCTGGAAAAGCTTTCGTCCAAGAAGAACGCTGCGGATGGCAAAAGGGATGCTAAAGCGACGGGGACGGGTGCTGCGACTGTGCAAGGAAGTGGTGCCGATCCGAACGCAAAGACCACGGAGAGGACGGGAAAGCGCGAGGCGTTCTTCCAGAACTTTGCCCGTCGGTGTCGATCGACGCTACCGGAGGGTTCGCGGTTGAAGATCATCTTGACAGGTGGACTGCGTTCGAGGCACGGAATTGCATCGGCGATCAACCCGGACGACGGTGCTGCGGATATGGCTTGCCTCGGTAGACCAGCCGCCGTCTTCCCCGCTCTACCCCTCCGACTCACGGATACGTCCATCGACGACGCATCCCCCGAAGCAGGCACACCCGAATTCAAGGTTCCCGCAGTGACAAGTCTCGCTCTCGTACCCATCAAAATCGTCGGTGCCGGCTGGGGAACCCTCTGGCACACATTCCACATGGCCCAGACCGTACTCGGCAAGAGCGACAACCTCGACAAATCCACCTACGCCCTCATCAAGGATTACACCAAAACAGGTGCGACACAGACCGGGTTCAAGGAACCCAATGACGATCTGTTCATGCTGCTCGTCATGGTGGCCATTCCGATGGTGGCGTGCATCGGTGTGTTTACTTTCGGGTCGAGGTCATAGGCTGCCGTACACATGCTTTCGTCTGGGATCATGCAATACACATGCTTTGTCTACATCCGCTGTTGTGTGCATGACCAGATTCGACTTTCAGTGGCGTGTATTGCGCACAAGCCAGTTGGGCTCATCCGCCAACCCTTGCTCTTCCAACCTCGTCCTACGCCTCCTGTTGCACTCGCCATTTACCCTTGCGACGTCTTCCACGGTCACCCCTCCCAGCAGCGTCACCTCCGCTTCGGCGTCAAAGTACAGCACGCGCCGGGGACATCTTTTCGGGCCCTTCACACCCTTCACCACCGCTGTGCTGCCCACCTCGAACCTTGCTCGCACTCCTTTGCCCACCTTCATCACCGCCCACTGACCGTTAGCAAAATCCAGCTCGACCCAGCGCTCGCCCTTTTCGGTCGTGTGGTGTGCGATACGCGCGAGGAGTGTCATTGCGTCCCCGCACTGCGGGTCGTGACGAAGCCACGACTGGGGTGCCGTAAGATCGTCCAGATGGATGTGCGTGCCAGGGATTGTTTCGAGTGGCTTGTGGATCGGCGTTCGGTCCGACTGCCGACGGCTGCCGATCGGTGCGGAGCTCGCAGGCAGGGTCATGATTGATGTTTTCACAGGAGGCGATCTTTTCGGGGGTGTTTGCGGCTCGGCGAGCGTGGATTGGCTGACTGCGGGACTGTGGCGAGGAGCTGGCGGCTCAATTGACTGTTCAGCAGCGGGCAGCTCGGGCTCCGCAGCCGCCGGTGATTGCTGTGGACCGACTGGCGGCTCGACCATTGAACGGAATCTCTGCATCGATGCGGCCTGTTGAGGAACGATGGGCTGAGGCTGCGCACACGTCTGATCATGCGGAAGCTGGCCGCGGAGCTGCTCGATGCTCGACGAGCTCGTCTTCAAGTACGGCACCTCTTGAATGAAGGGTTCGGATCGAGCGATGGGCCAAAGGTGCGTGAAGTGATCGCTCTGCGGCCGGACGCTAGCCGGAAAGGGGGCTACTGCTTCGCCATGGTCCTGAAAGAGTCCGCTGTGGGTCGCGTTGGCCGGGTCGGAAGGAGTGGTCCAAAGATCGAGAGGTGGCATGCTCATCGATGGATGGGATGGAAGCGATCTTCCGCTCGTAAGCTGTTGCGAATGAATGTGCGGATACGTGTCGTACGAAGGCCAAAGACTCGGTGGAGGCGGGCCGCGACGAGGAGGAAATCTGCTCCGCATTTGCTGCTGAGCGCTGAGAATACGCTCGCTTCCAAGTCGCTGGCCATGCTTGAACTTATGAAGGCCTGCAAAAGCCGTCTTGCTTGAAGAGGACTCTTCGTTGCCGACGACAGAAGGGATGATTCCGCGCTTCTTCAGATCGTTAGCATACGACCTAATGCCATCCACGAGATACCCGCGATACCGCTTGTATTCGAGAACTGCGAGAAGGTCCGCAGATGTGATGTTGGCCTCTTCGAGGAAGCCACTGAGCGCAAGCGCCTGGGTTTGGATGTCAGACCAGCCTGCCGGCATGGCTGAGAGGAACCGATGTGCGGATAGACCGAGCTGGGGTGATGGTGTTGGCGCCAGAGGAGACGATGAACGGTGAGAGATGGAGGTGGAGAGACGAGAGGCCAGCGGTGTGGGAGGCTGATGGAGGTGGGTTTATATCAATTCGTCGTGAGCGTGCGGAAGAGCTTTGACCGGCTCAAGGCTGCGGGAAGACGGTGCGGAAGCAGGATGCGGACAAACGTAAAGCAAGATGCGGAAGACGTGTAATTGGAGAAAGAGTCGTCAACTACGCATGACGACAAGCTCGAGGCGGCCACAAAAATGAACAGACTGCAGCTTCACTTGTCAAAACCTTGTTCTCTCTTGGCATCATCACAGCCATCACATCGATGCTTGATTTGCTGACCTTTGATCGACATCGCGAACGAAGATGCATGGTCAACGCCTCACTGCAAGCGGCGAGCGAGCGTTCAGCGAGCTCTGCCGATTGCAGTGTGGTGTTGACAATGCATCTTCGTCATTCCGTTCCCTCGTAGCTAGTGCTGCTGTGGTTTGAACAATCCCATACCTCCGTCGTGTTGTGATCTTCTAGACTCTTGAGCTGCTGATGTAGGTGCATACACTGACTTGCTTCCGAGCTTAAGCTTTGGTTCTTGGCTTTCAACTATAACTCTTTCCCAACGTTTCCTCAAATCGTGAACTCTTGCAATGCTTTGATGATGGGTGTCCTAATACATGATATTGACGAAGGTGTTCAGCATCTCTCGCATTTGGCTCGATCGAGCTTGGTGATCTTGGAGCTAGAGCTTGTCCGGCCATGGCCTTGAGCAAGACCTGGACGATGCGGAACCACGATCTGCTTCCGCACAAAGAGCTGAAGCTGAGCTTCCGCATCGGCCGCAGGGTATAAGTATCGCCGTGTCTGACGAGCCCGCCTCGCTCACTCTCACCGTCATCCACAGCATCGCCGCCGTGATTGGTCCCTCTAGGCCTTCGTGCAGCGTACTCAAGCCTTTCTCTATCCGTCATAGTCTCCCTCAACACATCACTGCTTGCGTATGCACAAAACGGTACATCGTCACAAAGCCCTGAAGATCGCTCGAGCATTCTAAGCTGCTGGTCCTACGCCTGCTGGAGACCGTCGCTATGCCGACCCGGACCATCGAGGTGGAACATCCCAACGATGCCGACTTTGATGTCCTGAAGGATCTCATGAAGCGCATCAGGGAGGGCGCATCTACTTCCAACGTCTACCGCTTCCTCTCGGACCCGCAGCGCGGTCCTAGCATCGTCCGCGTCGCTCACTCGCTGATCGAATCTCCGATGCCCCCTCGCACGTCCACCGCCACGCGCACAGCTGAAGGCACCAAGGCTCCGACCTCCTCGGCTCCAGTGGCTGGCACGAGAGAGGCCAACGCACGAACTCCCCGAGCACCCGTCGAGCTCGGCAGGATCAACCTGTGGACGCTCACTCCGCCTCGGTTCTGGCTTCGAGCCAACAAAGAAGACGTCCTTGGCAAACAGATGTCGTTCATTGCCGTCGTGGCGTGCAACATCATCACTCCCGCCTATCCTACGACCCAGAAGCGATACGTTGTCTTGCACTTCGGCCATGATGAGTGGGCCATCCTGTACGTGCCCCGCTCTATGTACCTGTACCACGACGCGGACGGCGAGTTCGTGTTCAAGGACGGCACTCTGGCACACATCAAGGGGGTCTACGGCCACGAGAGCAGGCACCAGCGTCTGCTCAAGTTCACCGAGACCTCGGCCATCGATCGCATCAAGACGGAGGACGCGCTCAAGGTGTGCACCTCGGTCAACGCCCGTCTCAACGCCCTCTATCCCTGAACCATGTCCTACACCGAGTCTCTCAATCACGTTCGCAACATCAAGTTCCGTCGTCCACTGTAAAACAAAGCACAAACCTCTAGCACAATTGCGTCATCGTAAAATTCGTACAAGGGGTATAGACGAAAAAGTAATCTACAAGTGTTTCGTCATCATCTCGAGGGTTGTTTGTGAGCAGAGCGCTCAATTGACAGCGGTAGACGAGACGACTGTCTCACTCCCATCCTTCTTATCGCCTACCGAACCGGTGTTGGACTCGGTCCTCGCGGCGCCCTGTTCGAAGCTCGACGGGGAATCCTTCTCCAACAGACCCATCTGGCTCACGTCGTAGCCGTTGTCGGCGAGGTACTGGCGGAACGCCTCGTCCTCCTTCTTCATGCCATCCTGCCCGATGTTGGGGATGAACAGGAACGTGATTGCTGCCGAAAAAATGGCCAATCCACCAGCGATGTAGAACGATCCGGCGTAGTAAATGTTCGAGTCCTCCGGTCCTAGATCGGCCTGGATCACGGGAAACGCATAACTGCCGCTGAACGCGCCTACTTTTCCGATCGCAGCACACAAACCATAACTAAGTCCGCGGACGGCTGATGGTCCCACAGCCTTGCTGGCGAGCAGACCGAGGTTGTTACCAGGGCCAAACTCACCAAAGGCGAGGAAGAGGCCGTAGACGGTGACGAGACCACCGAAGTTGTTGCGGATGGTACCGAAGGCGCCGCCCATAACGAAAGCGAGCACGGCTTGACAGAGGAGACCGACGATCATGGTGTGGCGAGGCCCAAGGCGGTCGGATACGAAGGCGCCGATGATGGTGCCGGGCAGGTAGAAGCAGTTGAGCGCAGTGGAGTAGGCGAGGGATCGCTTGAGAACTTCGTAGTCGGACAGCCCCTCGGATGGGATCAGCTGGGAGAAGATCAGGGACGAGTAGGAGCCACTAGGATAGGAAACATAATCATAGCAGAACCATGCAAGGCACACAGCGACGAGGCGCACCCAGTAGCGCTTGAAGATGAGCCAGTAGGGGACGTTCTTCCTGATCGCGTTTTTCTGGTAGTGCTCGGGCTCCTTCATGCCCGTGCGGAAGAAGAAGACAATCAACGGCGGCAGCGCACCGAGGCCGAGAGTGAGGCGCCAGACCCATTGAAGGTGGTTCATGCCGAAAATGAGGAGCAGGATGTAGGCGACGAGGACGGCGACGACGAAACCGAGGTCGATCATGGTGTTGGTGGCGATGATGAAGTACATCTGCTGACGGCCCTTGTTGACGCCCTCGCTCTCGGTGTTTTCGGAAGCGGCGACGGAGCCCGCAGGGTACTCGGCGCCGATGGCGATACCCATGATGAAGCGGTAGGCGGAGAGGGCGGCGAAGAGGCCACCGATGGAGCCACCTGCGCCCCAGGCGCCAGCGATGAGGATCGACCAGAGGGTCAGCCAGAGCGAGGCGAACCACATACCGTGTCGACGGCCAATGCGGTCGACCAAGAAGCCAAAGAGGAGCATGCCAAAGACGGTACCCGCAAAGACGAGGGAAGAGAATTGAGATTTGAACGCCGCGAAGCCGGGCGCGTTGGGGTAGGCGTAGGAGAGGACGGTAAGGGCGGGACCACTGGAGGCGTTGACATAGCCATCAGAGAAAAGGGCGGCACCGCAGGCGAAGATGAGGCCTACGGCTCCGAGACGAGACTTCTTGGCGAGAGGTTCGGCGGGCGCATCGTTGATGGAGGAGGAGGAACCTTGGACGCGCTTCTCCTCGCCCGCAGGCGAAATGCTCTCTTGATGAGAGTGTTGAATGTCGGCCATGATGAAGACAGTGCTTTCAAAAGAAAGGCACTGATCGAAAAGGTGTAGGAAGGATAGGTGAGGGCGTGAGAAAAGGTGAGGGGAAGGTACGATCAAAGCGAGGAGGTCTATATAGTGCCGCTTATGGGATTGGTCAGGGGTGGGGTGCGCCGGCTAGAATGTTCTGACGATTCCCGCAGAGCTCATTTGGCACAAATGCACATGATCCGTCCGGTGGGACCCACGGCAGTCGATCGAGCTAATGCCTGCGCAAATGAAGTTGTCCCCGTCGCCACCTCTGAGCGTGTTGGACGCCACGCTCAGCCTTGCAGTTGAGCGCAGCTTGCCTTTATCCGACACGCTCGCGAGCACAATAAAACTCAGAACTCGCTTAGGATCTCTGTTCGGACAACCAAAACGACTAAGCGAGGCAAGGAACGCCTGTGTCCGCATGCTCGCACAAAGCGGCGGTTCACCACCGGCACGGCAAGACGGCGGCGCGGCTGGCTGAGACTGAAGCGGCCCGCCGTGTGAAACTGCTGAGAAACGCGAGCTCTAATTTTCGCTCTTTTCTCCGCGCGGCAATGCATTGCACGTCGTACAATGGCAGCGGGCTATCGAAAAGGGGTTGAAGAAACACGTTCCCTCGTCCGTGCCGCCCACAGCCGATTGTGCTGTCAGCTGCATGCCACCCTGCAGTTCGAAACGGCGAACGTGCCTTTCAAGAACAAGGGGCCAAAGCTCTCATCCCGCCGGCCATCATTGTCGTTTTGTGTCCATGCAGAGATCTGGATCGGTATCTTCCCGCCGGGCTAGGCCTACGTGTAAGCCCAAGAAGCTGGTGTTTCCACTTGAGAGCATGGCTTGTCAGAAGAAGGCATCGAATGCTGGCTGCTACTTGATATGAACTGCATGAAAAGCGGCCATTGCGCTCGTCGGCGGTCACGTTCTCCTTTCATTGGATGGGAAGCGCTTCCCCTTGCATTCAGATCGATGCAGGCTGCTGCAAGTAATTTTCCGTCGTGCCGACAGCTGCGGGGCAGGCTTGACTTCGACTGGACTCTTCCGCTCTGCTGCAATCGATGTAGCCCAATGGCCGGCTTGCCAGCCTCGAAGCGTCTCCATATCGCTCACCACACCGGACCTCGCGCGTCTCGCGCGTTCCTAGGCTCAATAGCACGTTGTCTCGACCTGCATGCCTCGTCTGGGGGCTTAACGAGCCGGCGGCCGATCAACCGAGCGATGCGCACTACAGTCAGATCTGACCATCGCTTCAGGATCATGGCGAACCCCTCATAGGCTTGTGCAGTGGCGGCGGGTGACCTCTGTCGGCCGAAATTGGCACTGCGCCGAAATCCGAAATGGCCCAATTTTTTGGTTGATTCTTCCAAAAAGTTGCCCACACGACAGGTGTCAAGATGCCCACAGTAGCTCGCACAAGCCGTGCAACTCGACATCTTTGCTTCGCCTGTGGCAGTCACAAGAAGCAGCCTCGTGAAGATGGAGGACCTGCTCAAGGCGCTGCGCAAGATTGGGCTGGCGCTACCAGATCACGAGCAGCTGCTTCAGCTCTCGGACCCGGACAGCGAGGTTCAGGACAACCTGGCGCGGCATCTCTCGCTCACGCCGGCAAAGGACGACCTTGTAGCCGACGAGAAGGATGCCACCGACGCGGCCGACGCTAGCAGCACTGCGGAGGACGATGAGGAGCTAGCGCTCGATCCGCTTGTCGATGCAGACCTCTTCAAGGGCGCAGTACAAGCGCTGCTCGAGAACTACAACAAGGCGATCGACAAGGAGCGCGATTTCCTGCGCAAGGAAAGGGAGGCTCTCAGCGCACCGAAGAAGCTCAAGCCCGTGCCATTGAAAGCTCTACTAGCGAGGCAGGCCGCAGAGATCAAGAAGCGACAAGAGGAGGTCTACGTCGCGGGCCACGACCCAGACACTGGACGAAAGAGGAGACGACTTTATCTACCGAGGCAGACGTTCGACGGCGTCGGCAGCTACGCATCAGAAAAGCCGCTCGATCAGCTGAAGAGGATAGACGCAGACGAGCTCGAAGCACCGAAGCGATTTGACGGGAGGTATGTGCTCTGCAAGGTCGCGTCCAGCTTAAATCTCTATGTCGGGTGCACGTTCATCGGCGTGCTGCCGTCAGGCAATGCGATACCGATCAGCATCGCCCATTTCACCAGCAATCTGCATGTCGGAGGAAAGGAGTTGGACGCACATCTCCCTGTCGGCACTGTGCTCGCGATACGAGAGCCTTTCGTCAGTATCAACCACTTTGCAAAAGGCGGTCCGTGCCAAGGAGGCAAGAGCGTTCCTGGTATCCGTGTCGATACGCCTACCGACGTTCATATTCTCGATCGACTTAGCCAGGCAGATGCCAATATCCTCGATGCAACAACGTGGAAGATCGATGTGGCGCAAGACCATGCAGAGCACTTCGACGACGTTGCGTCGTTGCTCAAAGACTCTCCGGCAGCGTGCAACACGAAAGGCTGCAGATGGCTGCAAGACGGGCCATTAGCTCGCCTGGTCGCCTCATCGAGCGCAGAGTCTGCCGAAAGGCACATACGAGATCTCGACTCGTCACGAAAATCGGAGCTAGGCCGTAGGACACGCTCCCTCATCCAGTCGCTCCTCGGTGAGAACCGACCTGGTGCCGCCTACCGCGAGCTGTGTGCCGCACGCCTTCTCAAGCTCCCCCTCTCCACCTCTCCCGACAGCTCCATCGCCGAAGATCTCGAGCTCGAGGGTCAAGTCCTCTATCGCAAATGCGACTTCGCCCGCAGCCGACTGGCCTTCGAATCCGCCCTCTCCGCCTACCCTTCCTCTCAGCGAACCGCCGCACAAGATCGCATCCTCGACACCCTCACCGCGGTCCGTGCCGCGCAAAAAGCATCCGCGCTCGGTCCGACTCACGAAAACGTCTGGGCCTACTACTTCGACTCGCAGTCCTACGCCACGCCCCGGTTTGACGTGCAGGACTGGTTCGGGCCGGTGGAGATCGCCAACATCCCCGGTGCGGGACGGGGGTTGGTGCTGACCCGAGATGTGGACGAAGGAGAGCTGCTGCTGTGTTGCAAAGCGGCAGCGTCGAGCTATGCCGCGGATAGCGGGTGTCGAGGTGTGCATCTGTTGAGGTATACGGTGGAGTCGGGGGTGACGAGTACCACGACACAGGTGTTGGCGGCAACCAGGAGCGTGCATGCCATGGTGGATAGGAACGAGTTGACGTTGCCGATCATGGGGTTGACGGCGGGGCCTGGGGTGGAGCATTCGAGGTGGGTCGGAGAGGAGTATCCTTCGCCTCCGAAGCGGGAGTATACGGACGCGCAAGCAAGTGCGGACGAGATCGAGTTGCTCATCCAAGCGTGTTCATCGCTCAGCACCTCATCTCTGCAACAGCGCTGGCGGCAGACGGTCCTTGACGGGTCGGTTCGATCGAGCATCGACACGAGCTACGTCGACGGCGTCCTGCGCTTCAACGCCTTCGGACCCGCCGCCAATCCCGGTGGGAAATCCTCCTTCACACAAGACTCGGAGCTGACCCGCTCAACCATGGTCCATCCCCTGCCCGCCATCCTGAACCACGCCTGTCTGCCCAACGTCTCGTCCGTCTTCTTTGGCGACATCGTCACCACGCGTGCGCTGCACCCACTCAAGAAGGGGACCGAGATCATGCACCAGTACGTTAAGGGCGAGCAGCCGTGGCTCATCCGTCGCAGCCAGCTGTCCAAGCACGGCTTCAAGTGCGGCTGTGGTATCTGCGTGATGGACGAACGCGATGGCGAGGACAAGGTGCGAGAGCGCGGAAAGGTGGTAGGGGGATCGCTGAGCATGTTGCAGGAACGCAGTCGTATCGTGCTCAAGTCGTCCGAAAAGACGGAGAAGGAGATGGAGGATCATCGGGATCTGGCAGAGTCGTTGCAGGAGCTGGTGGACAAGGTGCAGGCCACTTATCATGTCGAAAGACCGATTCTCCGGCCCGACCTGATGAAGATTTACCAGCTGATGGCGCTGCACCAGAGCGAGTACGACTTGGACGCTGCGGCGCGGACAGAGCTCCAGGCGCTCCAGTCCATCGGCTGCACGGTTTCGCAGGGTGGAGAGAGGGTGTTGAACGATCTGCCGTCGCTGCACTTTGATGGTGGCATCACATCGATGCTGACGCTGGCCAAGTTCATGCTGAAGCAGGAGAAGAAGGACGAGGCGAGAAGGTGGGTCGAGCAGGCGTTCTACACGCATCAGTGCACGATCGGCGGCGGGCTCGATATCTTTTTGGATCGATGGCTGGATGCTTTCCCCGATCTGCCGTATCGAGAGTGGCTGCCCAGGTGTTGATCTGGTCAACACATTGCAATGATAGACAGTCTGCTACCACCTTTTGGCGTCACGCTGCTGAGATGTGATGCGGTGACATTGCGTGACTGAGGCTGAATCGAAGTGTGCTGAATGTTTCTACTCTTCACCGACCCATCTGGAGGCTATATCGCCGATGTGTGGCAGGTAGGGGTTTCTCGAGAGCGATGGTGCCGACTTATGTGCGGTTGATCTGTTGAGGTGAGCAAAAAAAAACGTCAAGGTCAGCAACCTCTCAGAACCTGTCTCCCTCTGGAGCAATAAGCACTTACGCGTTGACCCAGAACCAACCATATGCGCCCATTCCCACCAACAACCCGATGGTCTTAAGCCCAAGCAAGCTCCTCAACACCCACAGCCCAACGATCAACAGTGCTCCGCTCAGCCCAGACTGATATGCATGGAACCTCGCCAGATCATTCTCGGTCTCCCAAATCAGCACGAACGCCGAGCTGAACGGCGGTAGTGCCCATGCGATCGCGCAGATGCTGCTGAGACTCCACGCTTGCGACGTCCCATAGGAGCCTCCACCACTGCCACCTTGCAGCGACTGCGGCTGTGACTGCCACGACGCTCCCCCGCCGCGGGACGGATGTGATTGCGATTCGACCGCGGACGCTGCGTCAAAGACGACGTTGTTGTTGGCAGATGAAGGTTGGTGCTGATACGACTCGGTTGCGTAGCGAGGGTCGAGGTCTTCGAGCGACTCGCGGTAGCCGCCCGGATTTGATATGAGTGGTTGCTTCTGTTCCGACATCGTGAAAGTTGACGTGATGATGGTGTGAGAAGAGCAACAGGCAATCGGATTCGAGAAGGAAAGGGTCTCAGCGGGATCTTTTTCGGACGGTAAATTCGAGCAAGCTTGGCTCGAGCGCCAATTGTTCGGGAAAGACGAGGCGGCGTATGAAATTTGAGCGCTTTCAACCCGAGTCTGTGCGCTGCATTGCTCCACACTTCCTGGCTTGACAGCTGCGCGTGCCTGCATCAGACGCTGTCCACCTCGCACACTCGGACGACCCAGCAAGTCGGCTCAGTGTATCGTCCTCCCCCTCTCTCGACCCCACCATCCTCTAGACAAACCCATCGAAAGCGTGCCGACCATGTCCGACAACGATCCCAACACCAAGGATGGCCAGGCGGCACCCTCGGTCCTCACCTCGAAATTCGCCAAGCTCAACCCCTTCTCCCGCACCTCGGCCGCCGACCCCGATGGAGGCGGCGACAACCTCGGTGAAGAGGTCGAATTTGACTCGATCGCTGGCGGTGGACACGCCGCACGTCGCACCAAGATCACCAAGTCGGAGCTGCGCATCAGCCACGCCCTGCGTCAGTTCCTCGTCAACGAGAACCTGCTCTCCGCCGCCGACGCCTCGCTCGATGACCCGCAGGCGACGAGCTCCGATCCCCTGAAAACGCTTGTCGACCAGTCCCACATCGAAGTTCCGGACTATGTGCGCGATCGCTCCCGCCCGCTGAGCGAGTACTTTGTCAGCTCGTCCCACAACACGTACCTCCTTGCGCACCAACTCTACGGCAGCTCCTCCGCGGTGGCTTACGAGCACGTGCTCGTGACAGGTGCGAGATGCGTCGAGATCGACGCGTGGGACAACGAGGACGATCCTGCGGAACCCAAGGTGACGCACGGCTACACCCTGGCGTCGCACATCCCCTTCCGCGCCGTCTGCGAGACCATGAAGCAGGCGATCCAGAAGGAGGAAGCCAAGGCTGCACGGGATGGGTCGTTCAAGGTGGCACCCGTTCTGTTGAGTCTCGAAAACCACTGTGGACACGCGGGGCAGAAGCGACTGGTGGAGATCATGCACGAGGTATGGGGCGATCTGCTCATCTCTGGTCCCGTTGAAAAGGGTGAACCTGCGAGTGAGCATACATCGCTCGACCACCTCGGTGCCAAGATCGCCGTCATGGTCGAATTCCACCTCTCAAACGAGCCGCCCGTCGAGAAACCCGGGGAGGAGGACGATGAGGAGGAGACAAAGAACAAATCCGCACGGAATGAGGCGAAGAAGGCGGGGATCATCCCGGAACTCTGCGCCTTGGGCGTGTACGCGCAGTCGGTGAAACCCGTCAACTCGTCGTGGTACGAGACGACGCTCACCAACGGTCCGCACGACCATCTGATCAACATCTCCGAAACGGGCCTGTTGGATCTGCTCCCCAAACAGGCAGAGGCGATCAAGAAGCACAATGCCGAACACCTCATGCGCGTCTACCCGAAAGGCACGCGCATCAGTTCGAAAAACCTCAACCCGGTGCCGTTCTGGGGAGTGGGGGCGCAAGTGTGCGCGCTCAACTGGCAGACGTTCGATGCGAGTGTCCAGCTCAACGAAGCGCTCTTTTCGGGTTCCGACGGATACGTTCTCAAGCCTCCCGGACTGCGTATGGGTGGCGATGGAAACACCTCCCTCGGTAAGCACCGACTCAAACTGCACATTGCAGGAGCAACCGATCTGCCCCTACCCAAGGGCAAGGACGCCGACGACATCCGTCCCTACCTCAGCTGCACCCTCATCCTCCCCACCGATCTCGAGGGCGAACCGGAGAAACGAAAGACCAAGGCGTACAAGCAGCACAAGCTGGGGATCGTGCACAAGGGCGAACAGCCCATCCCCACCGATCCGATTTGGCACGAGACGCTCGAGTGGGACTTTGAACACGACGAACTGGCCTTCTTGCGCATCATGGTCAAGAGCGACGATCGATTTGCTAGGAATCCCATGTTCGCCGTCGCTACTGTCAGACTTACATATGCGGCGCAAGGGTGGAAGTTCATCCGACTGCTCGATTTGAAGGGCCGAGAGACGCATTCGACCCTCCTGGCTCGGTTCAAATTGGAGAGGTTGTAGATGTGTGCAATTGTATATTATGTTCGCTATCAATATGTGTGAAGGGTTACCAGTAGGTGACGGCACGAGCCTCGAGCTCACCCAAACCGTTCTTTTCCCTGCGTCGCTTCTCGAGCATCCATTTTTCGAACCACTTGGCCATCTTGGCCCGACTCGCCGGACTGCCCACGTTGACGGTGGCGATGATGCGATCGTACCGCGTGCTCAGCGCGAATGCCGTGAGCTCGAAGAAGCTCGAGTGCTCGGAATAGGGCACGCCGTAGATCATGTAGTCCGGCGTGCTGTCGCGCGTCGGGTAGAGGTTCTGACAACCGAATGTACGACCTTGGTTCCACTGGATGAGGCGGTCGAGGGAGGGAGAGACGGTGTCCATGCCAGCCGGCGGCTTGTATGTCCACCCTGTGGGACGGAAGGCTACTGCGTGGGTGAAGTCGTGCCCACGCGTGCGAAGGGCGGCGGCGACATCCCGAAGACCTTCGCCGTTGATCGCATGCAGGTTGGTGACGTGCACTGCGGCGGAGGGGGAGCGGGTGAGCATCGAGTGCAGCTCAGGGTCTTCGAGTTGGGCGTAGACGCGGTACTTGCGCGAGTCCATGCAGAAGATCTTGGAGTGCATGGCGCGAGCGACGGCTTTGACGATGCGCTCTTTGCCGATGGTGTAGGTGCCGATGACGACGAGGAGACGACCGCCGTCGCGACGTCGCGTGGTGGAGACTGCGTCGCGTGAGGACTCGGAATGCTTGGCAAGCCAGTTGGATGCAGGCTTGGTGTCCGCGGATGCGTCCGGCTTGATGTCGGTGCTGACCTGCTCTTCCGCTTTGACCTCCGCTTTAATCTCTTGCTGAATTGCATCTGTGACTGGCGGTTCTGCTTTCAAGTCCGCCTGAAAGTCGAGCAGGGCGTCTTCCGATGGCTCGAGCTTGACACGTGGCGCAGGCGAGTCTTCCGATGCATCGACGGGATCCTCGTCGGGAAAGTCGTCTCGCTGCTCCCCGTAGAAGAACTCCTCGTCGTCATAATTGAGATCGTCGTCCTGTGTTTCTTCTTGCTTGACGGAAGCTGTATCTGATGCGTCCTCCGTCTTGAGATCGTTGAAGCTCGAGTCTCTTGATATTGACGGGAGTGGCAAAGCTGAAAGGGTGCCGTCGGCATTCTCCACTTTCGTGCTGAGCCAGCCTTTGAACGCGTTAGCAGATGCGCTGTTCGTATCGATACTGTTCTTTGTCCGACGAGGCGGTGCTACAGTCCAGTCTTCCGCTTCACCCTCCGTCTTGACAGCCGCCCGGTTCGCTTCCAGCTGGGCTTCGGGTACGATGCGACGTACCAGCTCGGCGCAAGCCTCGATGACCTGGTCCTGCGCTGGGAAACAGTAGCGTGGGTTGCAATAGGTCGTATCGAGGTAGATTATATCCAGCTTCTTGCCAGCTATCGAGGGATGATTCGTGTGCACAGGGCTTGCACGAAAATCACCGCAATGCAAGTAGCGAAAGATCTTGCCGGTGCCGATGTAGGGACTTGCATGATTTCGCGAGAGAAGCTGGGATGTCTGCGGCCCTTCGAAGAGGAAAAGACATGAGCCAGGACAGTGGTTGGCTTCGATGCAGGTGACCATGACGCCTCCGCTGTCCGGAACAGGTACGGCGACTTCCATCGGGAGCGGCCGGAGCCATTGCCGATCGACACCGAGGTGAGTGTGGCAAAGATTGGCGGTAGTGACACTACAATAGATGGGACCATGATTCCAGTTGGCAGTCATGCCTCCGTAATGGTCGCTGTGGAAGTGGGTGAGAAAGTAGCCGCGGCAGCCTTCGATTTTGCCAAAGCGGAAGGCATCAACGGTGATTGGCATGCCTTCGAGCGCCTTGTAGAAGGGAGCGGTACGAGCTTCGGGTCGTGACCTCGCCTTGCCGCGATAGTTTGCTGCTTCGACTGCATCTGCTGTGGCCCACTGCTTCGACTCGGAGTGAGACTGCATCAGCACTGTGAAAGCAGACGAGGCTGCCTTCTTGACTGAGGCTAAACGGGACGATGGAGTCCTGGTCCCGACCGAAGTCGACATAGTTTCGTTTGTGGGAGCGACCGAGGCATCCAATGTTGATGCTAGCTCCGATATTGATGTGAGCTTGACGGCCTGGGGTGGCACTGTCGGATGCGTCGAGGTCTGGTTGAGAGAAGCCGGAGAGTCAAGAGGCGGCGCAGGAGAGCACTCCTGCCTGGTCGCTACATCATTTGGTGGTGCGACAGGCTGCTCGTTGACGTGATCTCTGAGAATCTGTGGCTCAGGTGCTATCGAGTCTGCAGCGTCGAGACAGGTATTGACGTGGGCTTCGACTGTGTTGAAGGGGACGCTTTTGGCGCATATTGGACACTCGGCGGTGCGTTCTGCTTTGGCATCGTCTGCAGGAGCATTGGTGAGCTGCCGCTGATCTGATGGTGTGCGCCTTAGAGAGTCCGAAGGCGATGGTGACGATGCTCTTGGCGGACCATTGCCAAAGAAGGAGAGAAGGGAGGGCTGCGCCGAGCCGCTTGGACCCGCCACTTTAGACGGTGAAGTAGAAAGCTTGCGCCTCTTGGGAGGAGAGGCGACGCTTGCAGGTGCCATTTTGTCCTTGCATCGCCCTGACGAGAGATTGACACGGAAGGATGTGGCAGCGGTCACTGATGGTGTTGGAGAGCGGTGGCTGAGCAGCTTAACCAAAAGTTGACACTCCGCAAGCTGCACCTCCACGCTTGCTTGCATGCAACTTTCCCGCCACGCTCAGGGTTCACAGAGAGAGAAATTTGATACTTTTGCGGCTGCAGATGGCTCAGTCAGAATTGTCACGTGCAGGGTGTTAGGTTAGCCAAGGCGCAGGGGCCTTCGAAGCTGTGGCTCGTCACACACTCGCAGCTGCGGCCAGTGTTGCTCTTTGTTGATCGCAAAGGATCTTACCCACCACCGTCACCAATCCATCTCATAGCACACACCGCAAACATGTCGATGGCACGGCCCGTAGTCGGCAGTGGTCTCGGTGAGTATATGTTCATGGGGATCGAGCCGAGCCGAGCCTAGTGGACGAGAAGCTGACGTAGACGATACTGCTTCTCAATACTGTTCTTCTTGGTGGACACAGCGACCTGCTGCACAGTGGTATCTGTATTCGGTGCCGTCATTCTCGCCATCTTCGGCTACGGCTTCTCGCACGACTGGCCCGCACTCATGGGCAGCACGGACGACCCAGAAGACGGAAAGGCGGTCGGCCAGACATGCTACATTGCAGCCATCATCTATATTGCCTTCATCGCCTTCTGCGGGTGTCAGCTCGGCGTTCACAGAAGATATAGCCGCATTCAGCTATAGCACCTGCAACCCACTCGAATCGAATACCAGATCGGTTGGCGAAATGCTTCGACCACATCTCACGAACAGCGCAGGCCTCACTTCGCCGATCTTTCGGGTCTGTACATACCACATCAGGATCCTCTTGACATACAGCACATCATCTACACTGGTTGAACGGCTTCAAACTACTGACATGGCGATGTTGACGAAAGCTTGTGGACTGAGCGATCCCTTTGGGCTGGTTCAAAGTCCTGCGTCGACAGCGTTGCAGAAGTGACCTCAATCTTGCATAAGTGGATTTGCGGATGAGCGACCTTCTTGCTCAGGAAACAGCAGCCGGCTTCCATGGCTTGTGCATGGATTGTGATCATCCAATGTAGATCAGCGCGACTTCACAGAGCGGATTCCGAGCTGGACATCGGTCCAGGTTGCGACGATGGAAGCAACGCTTGTCGTACGCAGGGCGATCGGACTTCTCGTTCGAAAAGGATCGAGGGCTCGCCCTCCACCTGTCTTCGATCATCCTCGGGCCTTGTGCCTTCACGCTGTCTATGCTTTGATGCTCACCAAAGGATAAGTCGAGCCTTGGATCTCTGCGATGTAGATTCGGTCCATCAGGGGCTGGTGTGACATCGGCAGATGAGCTGGTTCGGATCGGCGATATACGGTTCCTCGCAGAGAGGTGGTGGAACCGCGGTCGGCTGCAACCACATCCAAAAGGCATTCACTGCATGAACCAACGACCCTGTCGAGCTGGACACCGAGCTGTTCAAACCCTGCGAGACAGGATGCGCCGTTTGCTTGGCTGCGATGGACAACGAGCGGAACCGCGGTGCCTTTCAAAAAAGTCACAGCCGCGCTTCTTCGGACCATGAAAGGGGCCCAAAGCGTGCAGGCCGGCTGACATGTGAAGCCTCGGCTGCTACCAAAAAAAAACAAAAAAAAAAAGACCGAGACTCGCCCCTCGCTGCACCAAATTGCGGTTCCTCTGTTCAGATTGCCTACCGTCTCGCTCTCGAGCGCTGCTTGATAGCCGCTCACTTGGCACGTTTGCAATAGCAAGACGAGCTGTGGTTTCTCGATGGATGCTTTCAGACGGCGAAACCATTGTTGACGATGGCTGCAGGTTGCGGATCATGACCTCAATCACGAAAATGGCGCGCAGAATTCGGCGGCTCTGGTAGGAGCCGACGCGCAAAGCCTGCACGCCGCAAACAGCGGCTGCAGCGGCAGCAGACGCCTCATTTACAGCACAGAGACCTGTGCCGCTGCTCACGCTCGCCTCGCGACCAAAGAATCGCGGCTGCCACTCTTCTTGGCCCTGCTGACGGACCCGCTCGCTTCTGCAATTAGCCTCAGCCTTCAACGAAGCCGTGGTCTCGACTTCATCCAACAGCCGCTGCGGGAATCACGCTGCCAAAAAAAAAGCCCGGTCCGATGACGCTTCCTGCAGGCTACTCATCTTTTGGGCAGATGCAAGTGGGAGCCGCTGGTTCCGAGACCCTGGATCACAGGTGCACGATTGCTCTCCTTAGATTTGTATGCACTCTGCAGTGCGCTGCAAGGATCCCTGACGGAGCATTGTTGGCCGCCCGTTCGCACATGATGATGTTGGTCCCAGCTCGGTGCGCCTCGCTTACCATTCGCTCCCAAAGAAACGTCCTTTCAGCGGACCGTGAAGCGATCATGGCGTTGACCGTGCTGCTCACGTCCATCTGTGCCTCTTCTGCCATGAAGCTCCATTACGCCGGCCCAAGCATTGTGTTCAAGAGAGTACATAAGGCAACGATGCAATAGACCTCTCTCGCTTGATTGAAGTCGCATCACCCACCTTCCGCCTCTAGCCGGTTTACGCCATAACGAATATGTCGTCGCTGCTGCCAACCGTCTCGAGCTCCTTCGAGCAGCTCACATCACTACATATCGCCATTGGCTCGGTCATCGTTCTAGCGCTGCTCTGCTTCATCGCGCCTGACCGCTACATCTTTGCCTCGCACCGTAAGGGCATCAACGAAGTGCCCGGCGCTCTCCCGCTCGTCGGTAACCTCCCCTTCCTCCTCGACATCGCCGCCAAACGCCGTCGCTTCCTCGATGAGTTTCTCATCATGCAAAAGTCCATTGGCGCTGGGGGTCAACCCTGGGCTGCCACGTTCCCCTACCTCGGCGGCCGCATCACCTCGATCAACCGTCCCGAGTACATCCGCTGGGTGCAGAAGACCAACTTTGAGAACTACGAAAAGGGCATCAACTTCCAGAGGAACATGGGCGACGTCATGAGCCTGCACGGCATCTTTGTCGCCGACGGCGAGGTCTGGAAGAAGCAACGTAAGATGGCCTCGCACATCTTCAGTGTGGGCAACTTCAGGACGCACGTGCAGAGCACCATCCAGCGCGATCTCTCCAAGCTTAACCAGCTCTTCCGAGACGGCAGCGCCAAGAATACCGAGATCGACATGGCGGATCTGTTCTTCCGCTTCACGCTCAGCTCGTTCTCGCTCATGGCGTTCAGCGCGGACATCGAGTGCCTGCCAACCGACGTCCAGGGGCTGGAACGGGTCGTTGAGTTCGCCGCCAACTTCGACTATGCGCAAAGAGTCATGGACGAACGCTTCGTCGATCCGCTAGCGCGATACACCGAGTTCTTCTCATCCCAGGGAAGGAAGATGCGAAGGACCATCAAGGAGCTGCACAACTTTTGCTACGAGATCATCGACCTTCGCCTGGCCGCACGTGCTCGTGGTGAGGCCCAGGCCGCCTCTGGCAAGGGCGACAAGGATCTCCTGGCCCTCTTCATGGAGCAGAAGCTGAGTCGAGACGAGCTGCTTCCTGTTGTTCTCAACTTCCTCATCGCTGGTCGAGACACCACCGCCCAAGCGCTCAGCTGGCTCTTCTTCGAGCTCTCCAAGAACCCCGACTGCATCGAAAAGGCGCGCGAGGAGATTCACGAGAAGCTCGGTGCCGGCTCCTCGTTCCGCAGCATGGCGTACGACGATCTCAACTCGCTCACCTACGTCCAGGCGTGTTTCCTCGAGACGTTGCGGCTGCATCCGTCGGTGCCCAAGAACCTCAAGGTGGCCGTCAAGGACGATGTCATCCGACCCTATGCCCAGCCATCGTCGGACGCCGACGTCGCGCCCAATGCCGTGCCTAGCCCGCAGAAGCTGCCCGATCTGATCATCAAAAAGGGCGAGACCGTCACATGGCAGGACCACACAATGGGCCGCATGCCCGAACTCTGGGGTGAGGATTGCGAGCACTTCAAACCCGAACGCTTCCTTGAACAGCGCGACGACGGATCGACGGGCATCAAGACCTACTCGCAGTATCTGTTTCATGCCTTCAACGCCGGTCCGAGGTTGTGCCTCGGTCAGACGCTCGCGACGTACGAGGGCTGCGCCGTGGTCGCCGAGATCCTGGGCAATTTTGACGTACAGTACGACATGCAGGCGTTGAGGGACGACGTGCCGACATACGACGACTCGCTCACACTGCCTATCAAGAACCCGTACAAGATCCGGGTCAGGGCGAGAGACGATTGAGCCGTCCAGATGTGCACTTTCCGCTCCCATCGCATCGTCATTACTCCTCCACTACACACTACCTTTGGGGACTGCATGCGTCCATCTCTGTCTGTATCGTCTTTGTAATCTGGACTTGTTAATCATACCTCTCACTCGAAAGCTACGGCGGGCGTGTATGGGATCGTCGCTTGGTAGGGCAGTGGAGCCGGCACCATTCCGCCACGACAGCTCATTGAGAATGCGTGCAGGACGACGACCAGGGTCGCATCTGATTAACGACTCTGCGGCGGCCAACTTGAAAATCATTCAACCGCCTTCGTCCTTCCCTCCTCCTTCTCGTCAGGCACTTGTTAGCAGTGCCGGTCAACCCTCTTACATGAAAAGAACCCATCGAAGGCCGGATATCGGAATCGAGAAGGCGCAGAGGAGGTGGGCGTCCGCGGGATCAAATTTCAAATTCAGTCCCGCGGAACGCCGTCTTGACAGCCAAAGGGGAATTTCGAATTCACTTTTCTCTGTTGCTGCCCACGAGTCGCCGCCCCGCAATGCGCAAGCCAACCATACTTAACAGCATCGCTGTTGGTAGTCGACTTTGAATAAAAGCAAATCGTCTCGACTCGTGACCACCATCATCGTCGTCAGTGGTCCATCATGTCGAGCGCAACTCTGCCCACATTACAGCCCTCGCACGAGCCGTCGACGAGGAGCAAAGCCTCCACGCTCCGCGACGACGACGTGTCCTTGCCCAACGAAGACGGCCTCATCCTCGACCCCAATGGCGGCGTACCCAAGCTTCGGTCTGCTCTCCAAGATGCACGCGATTCGACCGGTGCAGCCAAGACCATCCTTCTCTCGCTCGGTTGGCTCGACCGGCTCCTTTCCCTCTTCATTATCCTCGCCATGATCCTCGGCGTCATCATCGGCAAATTCGCCCCCAACGTCCAGTCGAATTTGGCCAAGGGCAACTTCCGCGGTGTCTCCGCCCCACTCGTCGTCGGACTCATCGTCATGATGTGGCCCATCTTGACAAAGGTGCAGTACGAAAGGCTGCCACAGATGTTTGCAACGAAACGATTGTGGTACCAGCTAGGCATGTCGTTGGTGCTCAACTGGCTCCTGGGTCCCTTCCTCATGCTCGGGCTGGCCTGGGCAACACTGCCAGACCTAGACGATTACAGGGTGGGCGTCATCATGGTCGGTCTCGCTCGCTGCATCGCCATGGTCATGATCTGGAACAAAATCGCTCGGGGTGACTCCAACACCTGCGCCATCATCGTCATTGTCAACTCCTTGCTCCAGATCGTGCTGTATGCGCCTCTGGCGGTGCTCTTCATCAACGTGATCAGCAACGACGACGGGTTTCGATTGGATTATTCCGATGTGGCCATCGCCGTGGCTGTCTACCTTGGCATCCCGCTCGCTGCAGGAGTAGTGACACGACTCCTCGTACTCGGTCTCGCCGGCCAGGACTTCTTTCAGAGGAAATTCCTGCCCTTCTTCAGCCCTCTCTCCCTACTAGCACTGCTATACACCATCATCATCATCTTTGCTGAACAAGCCCAGCACATTCTCGATAACCTCGGCCCGGTATTCCGCACCTTCGTACCGCTGGTGCTCTACTTTGCGCTCATGTGGACGGGATCCTTCGCGCTCATCTGGTGGCTGTCGGTGCGGTACGGCAAGACCGAGTGGGGGTACCAGATGGCCGTGGTGCAGGCGTTTACTGCGGGGAGCAACAATTTCGAGTTGGCCATCGCCGTGTGCGTGGCCGTGTTTGGCGTTGGGTCGGACCAGGCGTTGGCTGCGACGATTGGGCCGTTGGTCGAGGTGCCCGTGCTGCTCGTGTTGAGCTGGGTGGCCATGTTTGTAGGGAAAAGGTTGAGGTGGGATAGCGGGTTGGAGGCGAGCCAGAGGGAGAGCAGGAAGAGGAGAGAGGCCGAGAAGGCGGATCTGGAAAGGTAGAACCCGCAGTTCATGGACACTTTTTACAGCAGTCGCTCATCTTAATCGCATGGCATTCTCACTAACTCTGCTTGTGCGTCTGTGATGTCTACACAGACTTCAGAAGTCAGGCGTCATCCATGGAAACGTCTTGTATTTGAGCATGATCAAAGTTCGACAGCCCCTCGGCTGATCCTAGATCGAGAATCGACCTAGTTCTCCTCGATATCCTGCTCGAGGACGAATCGGTAACGAATGTCGTTGTCCTCGACGCGCTTGACAGCCTTGGAGCAGTCCTTCATGGGCAGAACCTCGACCCAAGGCTGGATGTTCTTCTCAGCAGCAAGCGCCAGCATCTGCAAGGCCTCCTTCTTGCTACCAATGTGGCTCGAGCCCATCAGACAGCCGTTACCAGCAAAGTTTTGGATGCGCACCTTGAAGACGTCCTCGGGCATGCCGACGCAAATCAGGCGGCCGTGCACCTTGAGCGTGCTGAGGATCGAGGCGAGGTCGACGGCGTTGGACGAGGCCGTGTTGATGATCAGGTCGAACGGCTTCGACTTGTACTCCTCGGCCCACTTGGGGTTTTCGCCCGTGCTGACGAACTCCTTGGCTCCCATCTTGAGAGCGTCCTCCTTCTTGCGGGGAGAGTGAGAGATGGCGACCACCTCAGCACCGAGGGCGTGGGCGAACATGACGCCGAAGTGACCCAGACCGCCAATGCCGACGATACCGACGCGCTTACCAGGACCAGCACCGTTGCGGATCAGGGGCGAGAAGAGGGTGAGACCACCGCACAGCATGGGAGCGGCGTGCTCGCTCTTGATGCCATCAGGGATGGGGAAGACGAACTGCTGCTGGGTGCGGATGGTGGTCGAGTAGCCGCCCTGTGCTGGAGTGCCACAGTGGTGGTTGGCGTTGTAGGTGTCGACGAGGCCCTTGCCGCTCTTCTCGTTACCCTGGCAGTACTGCTCCTCTTCGTCCTTGCAAGGCACACATTCACCGCAACTGTCGACCTGGGCGCCGACACCGACACGGTCGCCGACCTTGATACCCTTGACGTTCTTGCCGACCTTGGTGGCGGTACCGACAATCTCGTGACCGGGAATGCAAAAGTCGTGGCTCAGAGGACCCCAGCCACCCGAAATGGTGTGGACATCCGAACCGCAGACACCGCAGTGGGTGATGGCGACCTCGACATCGTCATCGGTCTCCTTCTTGAGCTCGAAGTCGTAGACCTTGAAGTCGGTCCAGTTCTTGGTGTCGGCGATACCGTATCCGCGAGGCATTTTGGGCGATATTAAATGGATGTTTGGTTTGGGTTTTGATGTATGTGGTTGAGATGGAAGGAGGAATAGTGAGACGGATGACTGTCTGACTTAGCGTGCGCAGGTAAGCGGCAAAGAGGCGCTGATTCCTCTCGGGGCGACCAACGCCCCCCACGTTGAGTGAAGGCCAGTTTGGCTTTGTCTTTTCTTCCAATCACCGCGCGTGCTCACTCCCCTCTCTCGGTAATCCCAAGGTGATGATGTCGTGAGATCATTTTCTCCGACACTGGCGAAGTGCCTCTGCTCCACCTTTGCCTCACACGCGACATCACAATTTCAAAATCCGTTGGCTCAGAGTTCGGCGACTTTTCCACACCGTTCAGCCATGCGATCACCTCTCTCTCTTGACATCACTCGCGTTCCTAGGTTGCATGACCGGCGAGCTCGGTTGTGAATGCAAAGCCGCAACTTCCGTGCTAGACGCCGATCAGAATCGGCGGTTGACGGACGAGTGTCGTTACTGACTGGTGCGTGGCTTAGATGCAGTAGCCCAAGAGCAGGAACGACCTCTTGGTCACCCTCCAAGACGATGCGTGCTGTGCTGTAAGCTTCCGCTATCTTCAGCACCCGTCGTGCCAGATGACCTTGAGTGTCGAGCGAGCCAAGTCGATCCGCCCGCTTCTTGGTTGACGACGACAGCCGGTGTCTCAATGTACGGCTGAGCAGCGAGACCATTTTTGCGTCCCCTTTTTCGAGCTTCATTTTCGTCCTGCTTTTTTGCTGTTTTTCGCATCCCTTTTTCTTTCCACGTGTAATTGACTGCGCTTTTTTTCGCCTGTCTCTGATCTTCTCGACGTCTTCACTCATCTTCTGTCCATCATAGCTTCATCACAACACGAGCCGAACTCGTCATGTCGATATCAGCTTCATCCACATCCACCGCCATGCTGCCAACGGTCATCGCCGTGTCGATCGCCTCGCTCACCGTCGGCTACTTTGTCGGCATGGGCCGCTCTCTCGTCTCGTACAACTCCAACTCGCGGCGCATCCTCTCTGCCTCCGACGACGACGACTCGGACCTCGATACGGACGACGAGATGGCCGCGATCGCCGACAACTACTCTTCCTCTGGTAAGGGTCTCGAGGGAGAGGAGTGCAAGATGATCCTCGCGGTGCGCATGGACATCAAGATGGAGAAGGGCAAGATCGCGGCCCAATGCGGACACGCCGCATTGGCTGCCTACAAGGCGGCACGCAAGGTGACACCCAAATTCATCAAGCAGTGGGAGAAGAGGGGACAGGCCAAAGTGGCGGTCAAGTGCCCGGATGAGGACACCATGTTGGAGCTGGAGAGCAAGGCAAAGGAACTGGGGATCGCTGCGAGGAGCATCATCGATGCGGGCAGGACACAGATCGCGCCGAATACGAGGACTGTGTTGGGATTGGGACCTGCACCCGTCTCGTTGATGAACCAGTTGACGGGGCATCTCAAGCTGCTTTGATCGAAGTAATTGTACAACAGCTCAGCATCTCGCAATAGACACATCAAATAGGCAGAGACCAAGGGGGAACTATTGCGATTTCAGTTGGTCACCTCGGCAACCATGCCCTTCCACCTACGCTGAATCTCGATCGACTCCCTGAAGATCTTGTACTTGACATCCAGCAACCTCCGCAACTTCTCGTCCTTCTGCGGAAACACCAGCGTTCCTGGCTTGGTCATCCTAACCATCAGATCCCACAAATGATCCTTGTACTTGAACGAGCTCTCCTCTGCCGTCTTCTGATCTTCGATCCTGGTCCTCTCCTTTGGTGCGCTCTCGCCACTCGCCCCTGAACCATGGGGATCCTTCACATCCGCCGCGAACCGACCCAGAATCGCGCTGCCAGCAACAACACTCGCGCTCGAGCTAAACGGCAACTGCACCGGCATCCCGCACACGTCCGCGATCAGCTGCATGAACACCGGATTCTTCACGTGTCCACCAGACATGTAGATCGAATCGATCTGATGCCCTTTGGCGTTCATCGCTTCGACAATGTGTCGTGTTTGCAGGGCGATGGCTTCGAGCGTGGCGTAGTATTTGAGCGCCAGATCGGTCAGGGAGCGATCGAGGCGAAGACCTGTGATGCTACCTCGCATGGTGGAGTCCGCGAGGGGAGAACGGTTACCGTGAAAGTCCGGGTAGATGAACAGATCCTTGGTGAGGAGCGATGCGTGGGAAAGACCAGCGTCGGAGGCGAGCGAGTCGATCTTATCGTGCAACACCTGGAACGGCGAACGGTTGGTTTCCGAGGCGAGGGTGCGGAGAGCGGGCGCAGCGGGATGCGTATCGATGATGAAATCGATCAGTTGGCCAGTGGAGGATTGACCGCCTTCGTTCATCCAGAGACCGGGAAAGACGGCGTGCTTGTAAGGACCCCACACGCCGTCGACGAGGATGCCGGAGGGCGACTGGACGCAGTAGCAGGTCGAAGTGCCGGCGATGGCTGCGAGACGGTTCTGCGAGCTGATGAGGGAAGGGTGATTGTTAGATTCCGAGAAGGGATTGGTGGCGGGGGCAGCGACAGTGCCCACCCACCCTGCGTAGGCGTCGATGAGGGCCGAACCGACTGCTGTGCCAGGAAGCAGTCCGAGCTCAGCAGCGATCTCTTCAGTAAGACCGTCGCCTACGGGCTGTCCAGCAGTGAGCACGATACCGTTGCGCCCTGGAACACCACCCAACTGCTTGAAGTCGTCTTTGACCATCTCGCCGAGCCCGATCTGCTCGAAAAAGTCCGGCTGCCATCCAAGCTCCGACCCATCAACGCCAGGCGGCACGTACGAGCACTTGCATACCAACGAGCAGTTGCTCCTCGCCAGCGAACCCGTCGCCTTGTACGTCAGATAGTCCGGCAGGTCGAAGAACATGCATTGACGGAAAAGCTCGTCCGGCATGTGCTTCTTCAACCATAGGATCTTGGGGATCTCCATCTCGAGCGACATGGTCTTGCCGACGTAGTTGAGCACCTTGGAGCCGGTCGAATTGATAAGTGCTGCCTCCTCCTCGGCGCGGTGGTCGGCCCAGAGGATGACGTTGCGTTCTCCTGGCCCCCACTCGCTACTCGAGGACGAGGGTTGTGGCGTGACAGCGATTGGTTGACCGTTGAAGTCCGTCACTGCCAACGAGCAGGTGGCGTCGAATCCAAGACCTTTGATCAGGCTAGGGTCGACTTTGGACGCAGCGACGACTTGAGTGATGGCGAGCTTGATCTGTGACCAGATGTCCGTGGTCGACTGCTCGAAGATGCGCGAATCGGACTCGAGACGGTAGGTTTGTGTTGCGTTGGTGGACTCGGCGAGGATGTTGCCGTCGTCATCGACCAGCGCTGCTCTCGCAGAGCCGGTGCCAACGTCGACGCCGATGTAGTAGAACTTGGTCGGGCTGTCCATCATGGTTGCTGCTGCAAGGTGTTGGTGGCAAGGAAGGGTTGAGCACAGGTGTCTTTGATGAGAAGGACAGCGAGACCTGCTCGACTTTCCGTTGGAAGAAGTGCAATTCGCCGACACTCAACGCCACGCACAGACCGACGACGAGCAAGATTGCCGGCTCGTCGTCAAAATTCACCGAGTTCTTCCAAGGCCAAAAAAAATCAAGCAATGTTACACCATGGCATCCTCAGGGACGCGAAAATGCGTTCGGAAGAATCGGAAAACCCATCGGACATCGTCGGCAAGTTGGACGGCGTATCGCAGTGATAAAGCCTTAACGAGCAACGATATGCACGCTTAACGAGCACATCTCTCTCCCCGCGCTTTTGGCGCCAAGCTCAACGCACGAGATGTCTCAAGTCGGCTTCAGTTGTGGTTGAGGCATTCGAGCTTCCTGAGATCCCTTGAAGGTGCGCTACTTAAGCTCAAGCTCGATCCCCCCTTGCTTCTCCTCGAGCCCCCCACAACACACCTACGGCAGCCGTCATGGTTACATCAAGGACGCTGCTTCTTCTGGCGGCCGCCCTGAGCTGCGCGACTATCGCAGCCTCACACTCGCACTCATACCCTCACTCTCCCGGTCTCGACGAGGACCACCACGGCGCTGATCCTCACAGCACCGCCGAGTTCGCACCCATCCCGCTTGTCCAGTTCCCCTCGAACGACATCCCCGATCCCTGGACGAGCAAGTACGGCGGCGTTGCGCGAACCGCCTTTGCTGGCGTCACCACCTATGCGCATCTTCCCACCTCGCGCTGTCTCGACAACCCCGACGAGCTTTTCGACGTAGCGGTCCTCGGCATTCCCTACGACCTCACTGTGACCTATCGACCTGGGGCTCGCTTCGGGCCGAACGCCATCCGTCAGGCGAGCCGTCGTCAGCGATCAGGTCGCACGTTTTCGATGCATCACGGGATGGATCCGTACAATTCTGGACTGCGTTTCCTCGATTGCGACGACATCCCTACCTCACCGATGGACCCCGCGTTGGCGATCGATCAGATCGAAGCGGGCTATTCGTCCCTCTTGCAGCGGGTGGCGCACTCGGATCCCTCGTCTCGCGATCCCTCCTCGCCTCCCGCATCGGTGGTTGCACCCGAGACCTGGGAAGCCTTCTCCTCCGCAGGCCTGGCAAAAGACGGTCGCTCTCATCCGAAGATCGTCTCTATGGGCGGAGATCACACGATTGTACTCCCCATCCTTCGCTCGCTCTACCGCGTCTACGGACCCATTGCAGTAATCCACTTCGACGCGCATCTCGACACATGGCCCCCCGAAGTGTCACCCGTAAACTCCCCCACGCGACAACATCAGATCCAACACGGCACGTTCTTCTGGCAAGCCGCACTGGAAGGCCTCATCGCACGCAACCAGAGCATCCATGCCGGCATCCGAACCCGCTTAGGCTCGTACGACGATATCGAGCACGACGCAAGCATCGGATTCGACATCATCACTTCCGATGACATCGACGACATCGGTATCCCCGCCATCATCGCCAACATCCGCGCAAGGGTCGGAACCATGCCCGTGTATTTGAGTATCGATATTGACACGTTGGATCCAGGATTCGCCCCAGGGACGGGTACGATGGAGTCCGCAGGGTGGAGCCCAAGAGAGCTCAGGAGGATCTTGAGGGGTTTGGAGGGATTGAACTTTGTCGGTTTCGACCTGGTCGAGGTCAGCCCGGCATATGATCAGGCCGAAATCACGGCGTATGCGGCCAGCGATCTGATCTACGAATTCATGAATCTGCTGATCAAGGGGAACGGAATGCAGAGCAAGGGCAAGGTGGCTGAACCAAAGGCCAAGGGCAGAGGGAAGAAGAAGAGCGTGGTCGGGTCGCTTTTCGGACACGGAGACGAGCTTTAGCTGTGATGACGAGGAGAACGAGGGCAAAGGGACATACGACGGAGAGCATGTGAATGGCGTTGTTGAATGCAAGATGTTGTACAATCAGGTGAGGTCGATGATTTCCGTGGAGTTGACTCCTTTGACCTTCTTTGAGACCTTCCTCTTGGTCACCTTCTTCGGCACCACCTCGTCAGCCATTGTTTCTACTGACATAGTCGGCACAGCTTCTAATGCGGTCGGCTGAGAGCGCTTTCTCGCACGCGCTGGCTTTGACGGAATCTGAGGAGCTGCCGTCTCCGTCTCCTCTCCTTGCGCATCAACTGCAGCGGCTGCCGACTTTCCCTTCCGTTTGCCCTTGTTCGGAGAGCCGATCTCGACCGGCGGCGGCGGATTCAGATGCTCTGCCAGCGTCTTGCCCGACCGCACCAAGAACTGAAGCAGACGCTCGAAGCGCTCGTGCCTGCGATACATGGCTCGCACAACGTCGGCCCACGAGCCAACCGGCTTAGGAGCACTCGTATGAGAAGGACAGACGCCGTGTGTTGGAAGCACCGTGTTGACGCTGCTGTTGATCTCCTCACCACCGCTCTGCTGCTGCAGGGACGAGTCTGCTAGGCAAGAGAGGTGGAAGATCGAATTGCATGGCGAGTCTACGGATTTGACCGTGTTTGGGATTGTGCTTGACACGGCTGGCAGCGTGCTTGCATGCGGACTAGGACACAGAACAAAGTTTAGTTGCCGGGTGAGATCGACCGCGTGATTGCAAAGCGCGCAGGACGTCGTCGGTGCAGCTGTCGCTGTCTCCTTCGTGCGTGCGTCCTGTGCTGCGACATATCGCTTCACGCAGTCCTGCATGAACTCGCTCATGGCGTGAGCCGCAGATGTCGATGCGGAACCCAGTCGGGTGGCGATGACGTGTTCATAGCGCTTCCACTCGCTCTCTTCCAGATCGAGGTCGTCAAACTTCATCCTATGAAGAGGCCTGGTCGAAACGGATCCAGGTTCAACAGCAGCAGCAACGCCGCCGTTGAGATCGCCGTCCTCTGCCTCGCTCGCCCCCTCTTCGTCCTCCCCCGCCGCTGCAGCTTCCTTGTTCGCCTTCGTCGCGCGTTTTGCCTTTCGCGTCAGGTCGGTATTGGTCGCAGCAGCTTGTGGCGATGGAAAAGTGTCAAAATCCTGCACGCAGGCATCGAGGCCCTTGAGATTCGCTGACCGGGGGAGAGTCTCGGGCCACTGTGGAGGCTCGTCGACGTCTACCTTCTTCTTGCTCGAAGACTGCCGCTTCTTTACGGGTTGATCAGCTACGCCAGCATCCGTTCGATGTTGCGCTGAGACGTGCACGAGCGGCATACGCTTTCCATCGACACCAGCAAAGTCGCAGACTGCCAACGGATAGAGCGGAGGGAGGGCTTTGCCGGATCGACTGTGTCTGTTCAATTCCAATGTGGAAGATGCAGGCTCAACCATAGAGGCGGCATTCGCAGCTTCGAGTCGCTGATACGCCAGCCAGCTCCATTCGGTGAAGAAGGCGAGCTTGAGGCCCCAACCACAGAACGGCTCGGATCGCAGCAGAGCGCGCATCGTCAACAGTCTTGCGTTCGGCGTGGAAGGTGGTCGAGCGATCCTTCTCTTGGGCTTGCCCCATCGAGTTTGGCCCGGTGTCATGCTGGTCGATGGAAAGAGAGGCTTCCCGGCCCATGCCGATGTGTCCGAGATGGCACCATCGAACGAGTGCTCTGTGTGGAGGAACTTGAGGTGGCGAGAGAGATTCGGCTTGCCCCAGGCCCATTCGAACTGCAATGCGGCGATCTTGGACGGGAAGCCGTAGACGATGCAATCCATCTCCCATGGACGGGCACGAGCGGTCTTGTGTGCACCTTGCGTGAGGTCGCCATTGTGCTGACGCTTGCGGCGAGGCGGAGCTGGTGTTGAGCCGATGTATGTGATGCCAGGAGATGCGAGCGAGCGAAGAAAGTAGCAGGCGTAGAAGGACGGAATGGTGTGCTTTGTCACCGAAGATGGCATGATTGCGGGGGGGCGAAAAACCAGTCGGATGAGAGCGCCAAGTGCGCACTTGTCATGTCCGTATCCTCCGAGACATGGTAGATAGCGGCGAAGCAAAACTTTCACAGCTGAAGATGGTGAGAGGATGGGAAGTTGGAAGACGAGAAGAAAGCACAAAATGCAGGGTTCATCTCCTGGCTGAGTTGCAAAATCCGCTTTCTCACCGGTCGCGTGTCAAAGGTGAGCATCACACATCCACATTCGAAAGCACTCCGGTGTCAGACCTTGTTTGAGGGGAGGTGTTCCATTACGCCTTCTTCGACCTCTGCTGTCGGTCTCTCCACCACAGTCTGCCGGCTTCGTAGCTGCCAAGATATACGCCGGCTCCTAATGCAGTCCAGGCGCCTCTCAAAGCACCTCCTTTCATCAGAGCCTTCCAGCCTTCTCGCACAGCAATGTCCTTCATGGTCGCGATGACACCCAACGGTTTCTTTGCTTCGTCTGCCCCGGTATCGAGCATGATGCGCGTCTTGGCCACATCGATGGGTGTCGTCACCACTGCTGCGAACGACCCCGCTATCGCTGCCGACCCTCCCGCGACCAGTCCCGCCTTGCCAAACTCTGCTGCGACGCTCGTCTCATCCTGGGACGCCTGGCGTCTGAAGTCCTCTGACGATCGCACGTCATCGACACCGCCATCTTCCTTGTGTGTCCCGGCTTTGAGCCCTGCCCACTTTCCCAGACGCTCTCGTAGTGATTCGTAGATCGGGAACTGAAGTGCTGTGAAGGGAAGGTTGCGGCCGGCGAGAGCGAGATACGAGCGGCCAAATGTCGAAGCGATTGGCGACAATGCTGATCGATTAGGTCGCTGAGAGCTCATTTGCTGAAGCTTCTCTTGTGCGTCGAGGACGACATTCCTCGCTGTGGAAGCAGCACTGCCTGGTGGAGCTGATCTGGTCACCTTGTCTGCAGCATGCTTGACCGTCTCCTTTGCAAGCTTTGCCTTGGGCTCGCCTGGCTGAGCGTGCTGCAGCACTTCCTTTGCTGCGCCCGCGGCAGTTGTCGCTGGACACGCTGCTGAAGACTTTGTGCTGGAGGACGAAGCATTGCGATCCGCCTGCTTGTTGACCACCTGTGCACGCTGCTTGATGATCTCGGCTGGAGTGAGGACGAGACATGACACCAATTCTGCCGTTGAGCTGGCCAACATGTGTGACAAGGCTGGAGGTGCATTGGCTAGCGGCGAGCCGGATGATGCGAGCAGGCTCTTGGCTTCTTCGTACGTCGTGAAGAAGAGCCCGGCTGCTGGGAGAGTGGCAATGATGACGCTACCCACTCCTTGGTAGAGACCGCCGTAGAGGCCCCTGCCTGATGGGAAGCGGGTCGCATAGTCCGGTGCTTGCAGTCGAGTCTTGAGGGTGTCCAAGGGGTAGATCAGGAGGTCTACGGTGAACGCCGCGAGCGCTCCTGCAACGACTGTGTCCATACCGGCAAGGCTTGAGTGTGTCGAGCGATCCCGCTGCGGGCTGTCGCTGCTTTGAGGTGGTAGCTTGACGGCAAGAGGCCGGTTCGCCGTCAACCGGTGCTGCGTAGCTGCTGCTGTTTCCCATCAGACCCCTTCTTCATGCAGGGTTTTGTCAGAAGACTTGAGGTGGAGGCGTCAGAAAGTTCGGAACTCGGGCGGTTGTGACGCCAAAATCCAAGCTCTGTTAGGCCTTGATTTGGCAGGCAATGATCCTCGAGGCGATGCTGGGCCCGCCTGGCCATCGCCTTAGCGACACGACAGTCCTGCTGGTCAGTCTGCTTCAAAGGGCAAAGCAAGGTCGACCCCACCGTTCTCAGGTCGGGCCGCTGCAGAAACCAGGACTTTGTTGCTGGTCTTGCTGATTTTCAAATTGATTGGCTACCGATTCTCCGGCGGCTGTAAGGGTTCTGGAAGCCAGATTTGGCGCAACTTGAGCCGCCGTTGCTCCTGCACGAAGGCAGAACGTGCCACGCTTAGAAGGTTTCCAGTAGCGCGTAAGCGAGGCAACTCCGCACTTTGTTCCAAAGCACACAATCGAACCTCGAGACAAGGCAGAACAACGACAGTTCGTGACGGCGGCATGAATCCTGAATCAACAAACAGAAAGCCTCCTTCCTGAAAGTGGAACGGAGCTGGGCGCGGGGTGGGTCAGGGTGGTGTCTGGTATGAAGTCTGCCTCGCCCTGAAAGCCGCTTCGCCACAGATGAAAGTTCATCTACTGGCCTACCAAGCTATAAAGTTCCCGTGGACAATATGATATGCTACTGTCGCACTCCTCTCACCTGCCCACCAACCTGATCTTCAAACATGCTGTCCAACCTCGCTCTGGCTTTGCCATTGCTCTCGACGCTGGCCGCCGGCGTCTCTGGCGCCGCCATTCGCACTCGCGGTAGCGGCGTCAACCCTGCTGACTTCAGCTCCGAAGGTCTCGTTGCCATCGGTCAGTTCCCTCCCAGTCTGCGAGACAAGAACAACGAGACCATCGGTGGTATCGGCTCTGCTGGCGGTCTCGTCCCTGGACAGTATTCTCGCAACGGCGATGTCTACTCGGGCCAGATCTACTTCCAGCCTGACCGTGGATACAACGTCGAGACTACGATCGACTATGTCGCGCGTCACCACAGCTTCAAGTTCAGCTTCCAGGAGTACACGGGCTCGAGCAACCTCTCGTTCAACCAGGCCATCAAGCTTTTCAATCTCACCTATCAAGACACGCTCTTCTACCACGAGGCCTCTGGAAAGAACACCACCGGTCTCGACCCTACCCTCGTGAGGACGGGCGGACTCAGCGGCACCAGCTCCAAGGATGGCCCTCTCGGTGCAGCTAACGCTCCCAATGGTCCTTCTTCGATCTCCTTTGACGCCGAGGGCTTCTCAGCTAATCCGGATGGAACTTTCTGGGTCTCGGACGAGTACACTCCTGGCATCTACAAGACCGCTGCCGACGGCACCATCATCGCCTACATCACCCCTCCCGAGGCTGTCCTTCCTCGCATCGGTGGCAAGTACAACTTCACCTCCAAGTCGACCCCCGACTCTGGTCGAGGCCCCAATGCTGGCTTTGAGGGCATGGCCGTCTCGTGGGACGGCAATCAGCTGTTCGGCGTTTTGCAGTCGGCTCTGACGCAGGACGGTGGCGACGGCGCTCCCTACCTGCGTATCTTCGAGTGGGACATCTCGTCTCTGGCTAGCGTCACCAGCTACCAGGGTGGCGCCAACCCTGGCAACAACGTCTCGCTCATCGCTGAGTACGCCTACAAGGTGCCCGTCTCGAGCAAGGGCAAGGCTCGCAACGTCAACGACCTCATCTACCTCGGCCACAAGACCGTCGGCATCCTTGTCCGTGATGGCAACGGGTTCGGCAGCGACGATTCGGGCGTAAAGTACAAGCACATTGACATCCTCGATCTCTCCACTGGCACCAACTTTGCCAACACCAAGTACGACAACGCTACCGGCTCCATCGCTCCCGGCGGAAAGCTGGTCAGCGGCATCAACCTCGCTTCCTACAGCAGCCTTGTCGACTACACGAGCGACCTGGGCAAGTTTGGCATGCACGGCTCGGGTGACCCAGTCGACCCTACCCTGCTGGCTGCCAAGATGGAGAGCGTGGTGCTGCTCCCCACGCTGCCCAAGTCGAGCAGCGACAGCAGCTTTGACAAGGACGAGTACTACCTTGTTTCGGTCAGCGACAACGACTTCCAGACCAAGAAGGGCTACATGAGGGCGACGGGCGACTACTCGGCCGCTTACCCGCAGGACGTGCCCACGCAGCTGTTTGTCTTCAAGGTCAAGCTGCCCGGTGTCAACAGGGACGACGTGATGTCACGTCTTGGCCTTGCTTAGTGGCTCCTTCTTCTCAGCGATCCGCGATATTGCAATGGGCAAGTTGCTGAGTTCCTTCTGTCAATCGATTTGTGAAACACGTGTTTGAGCTACGAACAAGACGGGACGAGCTACAAATACCAAATTGACCGCGAACGAAAGGCTGAAGGGGCTTCGCAGGGTCTCCCAGGGTGTGCAGATCAAAGTTCGCCTTCCGCTCGACTACACCACGGAAGCTGACTTTCCGATCCTAGACGAACGACACGTTCCTAGCCCTCGCTCCTGTGTCCGCTTGGTTCCGTGTGAGCCGTGAGAACGCTAATGCTGTTCAGAATCGTCCCCGCATGGTCGGAGTCGCGAACCGACGAGCTTCAGGAGTGCAAAGGGTTCAGTGGTGACGAGGGCCCGCAGACTCAAGCTGTGAAAGCTGTCCACGTTCACGCTTCGCTTAAAAAATACAAATCTTGGCAGACCCCGGCAATTTTGTCAAGACCCCAGATCGCAGGTTGATTGCCGACATTTCCTTGAACAAGGTGTTGAGCAGTGCGGCCTCCGGTTGGTGTCTTCGATGCAAGTCAAACGGAACCGCAGGCTTCCGTGCTTCAATCAAGTCCACGCCCGTCCCCCCGACGAATGAGGGTGCACGCATTAGAGACCGACCTTAGGATCTGCACAGTGAAGCGCACGGTAGTCAGTGTCAACGTCGTCATCTTTCGAGCCCCGACCATCTCCTCTACCCTTACCAACGTGATGTCTCATGATACAAGAAGCCCACGTTGACCGTATTTCGTCTCGATGATCCAGAGCAAAGTCAGCTCTGACATAGCACCAGGATCGAAAAGAAACATCTTTGGTGGGGATCGCGCACAGACGTCTACTGTATTTGTGAAACGGTGATCTAAAGGTTGGATAGCCGGCGATCCTACCGAAGCTGGTGGCGAGCCACGAAACCCTGTCCTCTCTTGCTGCGATGCCAGACCCACACAAAATTGTCACTCATTCAGAAGAAGCTGTCAAGCGAGGCCCAAACGTGGGCGTGGGCACAGATCTGGTAATGCCGCTGATCTGTAAGCGTGCTCCGATTCCACCTCGTGCTCTCGTCCAGACGCAGTATCCTCCTTCGGACATTTCGCGCCGGCAACGATGCTCTGGCTAAAAGCTGGCTAAGCGCACAGATGTATATAAAGACCAAGATGGCTTTTGCTTGATCGCCTGTGACCGTCGATCAACTCCAACCACATCTCGCGAGCCATGAAGAACGTTCTCGCACCCTTTGCGGCCCTCGCCGCTGCCCTTACTGTCTCGGTGTCGGCTCTCGCTCCCCTCGAGCGCAACCTGGCCTACCGCTCGCCCTCGCTCCAGCTGAGCAACGGCGACGGTCTCAGCCATGACATTGAGCACATCGGCTCCGTCATTCGCAAGCGCGCCTACGACGAATACGTCACCAGCAAGATTGAAGGCAAGGCCAAGCGCAACAACGACAAGAAGACCCAGTACAAGACCGAGGCCGACTTCCTCGTCCAGCAGTACGACGCCAATTGGGGCTCGGACGGCCGCGACGCTTACAAGGGAAACGTCTCGTTCCCTTACGGTGTCGCTTCCGGTGACCCTTACCCCAACTCTGCCATTCTTTGGACTCACCCTGTGCCTGCTGACTCCAACACTGCGGCTCCCGTCTGCCTGCGCTACCAGACGTCCAAGAGCAAGACCGACTTCTCGTCGCAGAACCTGGTCGACGACAGCTACGCCTGGACCACCAGCGAGGTCGACTACTCGTTCAAGGTCGAGACCACCGGTCTTTCGCCCAAGACTGAGTACTACTACCGCTTCTTCCCCTGCCATGACCACTCGGTCGTCTCCCCCGTCGGAAGCTTCAAGACTATCCCTGAGTACAACGACGAGGACGTCGACTCGCTCAAGCTTGCCGTCTTCTCGTGCTCCAACCTGCCCTTCGGCTTCTTCAACGCCTACCGTGCGGCTGCCGCCCGCAACAACGGTGCCGACTACTTTGTCCACGTCGGCGACTACATCTACGAAGCCCGTGGTGATGGTCAGACCGTCGAGGGCGAGGAGACTTACGGTGACGGCACTGCCCTCAACCGTGTCCCTGCTCCTGCGAACGAGATCGTGACCCTCCAGGACTACCGTCTGCGCTACGGCTCGTACCGTGCCGACAAGGACCTGCAGGCGATCCACCAGGAGATGGCCTTCTTCGGTGTCTGGGATGACCACGAGGTCGCCGACAACTCGTACAACCACGGCACGGCCGATGGCAACAACACCGAGGCTGGCGCCGTCCGCGGGGTCCGCTTCACCGAGCGCAAGCTCGCCGCGGTCAAGGCGTACTACGAGTGGATGCCCATCCGTCAGGTCGACACCACCGACTCGCTCCGCATCTGGCGCAGCTTCCGTTACGGCAAGCTGGCCGATCTCTTCTTGCTTGACACCCGTAACTTTGACCGCGACCTCACGGATGTGTACTACAACACGGACGCCGTCGCTGCGATCAGCAACGACACGGACCGCTCGCTCATGGGCGGCAAGCAGGAGCAGTGGCTCTACCGCAACATGATCGACTCGCAGCAGCGCGGTGCTACTTGGAAGATCATCGGCCAGCAGATCATCATGAACTGGCAGAACTACGGTCAGCCCGATTTCATGTACAACTATGACGCTTGGCAGGGATACCGCTCTAACCGTCGTCGCTTCTTTGACACGATCGTCAAGAACAGCATCGACAACACGGTGATTCTGGCTGGTGACTCGCACGCCAACTGGGTCTACGACACTGTGCCCGAGGACCGACTCAACAACACCGCCTACAACCCTGTCACTGGTGACGGCTCGATCGCAGTTGAGTTTGCCGGTACCGCCGTCTCGTCGCCCTCTTCGTACGGTCGCAACCTCACCCAGCAGCGATACGATGCTGCCTCCAAGAGGCTCGTTGGCATTAACCGCAACCTCCAATGGGCCGAGGGAGCTCACCGAGGTTACTTTGAGATCGAGTTCACCAAGACCGACTGCTACGCCCAGTTCTACGGCTACCTCAACAACAGCCTGCCCAACTCGGAGGAGCTCGTCGTGGCCCAGTTCAACGTCAAGAAGGGCGCCAACAAGCTTACTCGCCCCATCAACTACGGTATCACCCCCAACTCGGGTGCTCTGCAGAGCCAGGCGGTGGACTACTCGAAGCAGTCGTGGAACGGCACTGCTTTTGCTTGATCCTCGCTCCAATTAGATGAATAAATTTTTGACCTCGCCAGTCTCGTGTGAAGTGTGTTTTAGATATGAACCACGCCGTCGATGCAAACAACGCACTCGCCGCCAATCCAGATGTCTGTCTTGTCTTGCGTTCGATCCACTCGCACGCGAACCCGACCCTGACGCCCCATCGCCGTGCCTTGGGAATTCGTATACTCAGCAGCTGGACTCTCGCCACTCGCCTCGAGCCACTTGGCAAATCCAGCATTGAGCGAGCCCGTCACAGGATCCTCCCCGATATCCTCGAACACAAACGCCCGTACTTCATTCGCCACCTCCTCCCCCCCCTCGTTCTTGCCGGATGGATAGGGGCCGATGAACCCCAGGAACAGGTCCCGAATGGCAGGGATGTCGCAGGTGGGTGAAGTTGTGTCGACGGCAAGCACGGCGGACGCCGTGCGGAGCTTGATACCGATCCACCGAGGACCGTTGTCGATGTGCCATGCCTCCAGCACGTCTTCTTGGTTCAGACAGAGGCACTTGATGATGCGATCGAGGGTGGGTGCGTCGACTGGTTCGTGACGGATAAAGTCCGGTGCGCGGAATCGTACCGTTGCGCCGTCTGAGCTGACTTGCAGATTCACCAGCCCGATGGCGCATTCCTGCACCAGCTTGCCCTCGCGTTTGGCGATGAGCGCGGAGGATCGATCCGAGCCAAGGTGTCGGAGGAACGAATGGCAGCTGCCCAGCGTGGGATGGCCCGCGAACGGGAGCTCTTCGACAGGCGTAAAGATTTTTAGTCGGTAGTCGGCGGTGCTGGGGTCTGTAGGAGGAAGCAGAAAGGTGGTTTCAGAGAGGTTGGTCCACCGCGCGAAGCGTTGCATCTGCTCCTGCGTGGGTGCGGGAAGCGTGAGGCAGTTGACGACGGCCACCGGGTTGCCCAGGTAGGGCGTCGCGGTGAACGTGTCCACCTGGTGGAACGGGTAGGTCGTTGTTGTGCTCGACATGACTTCGTCGCTCAAAGAGAGATGGTGTCGAGATCGAAGATGGTGGGGCTCGCGAGGGTGGACAAGATATCGAGTCATGAGGGACTGCGAGAGGATGATCACTCGTCAGGAAGAATTGAGTTGCCGACGTCAGGGTCCACCGTTTGTTTCGGGTATAACGCTTTTGTCCATGTGCATCCTTTCATATCCTTGTAGCTTAGCCAGATGCTCGGCGTGGTTTTGCTGATGATCTATCTGTCGCAGCGACGGCTTTCGCTCGATACGAAGCGGAAACATTGCCCTCTTGTGCTAAGCACAGGTTGCAGATGGTTTATGACAGTCAGGAGCCAAAACAGCACGAGCCGCCCGAACGTCACTCGGCAGAATCGACATCCGAAGTCTGAGGCCCTGAACAATCTCTTTCAAGCACTTCTGACATCTGCAGCTCGTTAGTCTACCGAATCAGAACGTTGAGAACGAGAAGTGTCATGTCGACTGACAGCAAGAGCCGCGGTGTTGGGCGGTTCCCTTTTGTTGGCACGCGTGAAACACGAGTTCGACCGTTCTGAACAATCACAAGAAGGGTTCACCTGCATCCCACTAGCCAGGCTCGGCAGAATTTCGTGGTGCAGGGTCTCACGCCTGCCAGACAGACCGGTCAAACCGGCTCCCTCTGAGGCGGTTTGAAGGCATGCGAAGCTCTATTCGGATCTGTCTCCCGGTCGCTGGAAAAAGCTGGAAGGACGACCACCAGCTTCTACTTAAAGGGACCAACGTCGTCTTGTCGGCTGGTCTCACGCTCCTCACCTCCTCTAACCACAAGATGTCGTCGCAGATTCCGTCCATCTCGGCTCCCAAGCCTTACAAGATCGTCTACTCGGACGATGAGGTCAAGGACCTTCGCGAGCGTCTCACCAAGACACGTCTCCCAGTGGCACCCTACCTTCCCGAGGATGCACGCAAACCCATGAAGCTGGTCTACAAGCCGGATCTGCCTCTGGTCAAGGAATTGGTCGACAAGTGGGCCGCCTACGACTTTGACGCCTTTCAGCAGCGCGTCAACAGCTTCCCTCACTTCACCACCTCGGTCGACTGGTGTACGCAGCTCCACTTTGTGCACAAGCGATCCGAGCGAGCGGATGCGATCCCCATCATGCTCATCCACGGCTGGCCGGGTAGTTGGTTTGAGTTCGCCCATGTCATCGACGACCTTGCCAATCCGTCCAACGCGGATGCACCGGCGTTCCACGTGGTCGTCGCCTCGCTGCCGGGCTTCATGGACTCGACCCCTCCGCCGAGCAACAAGCCCGGCATCGGCGATGTGCGCGGCTACACCCGTATCCTGGACGCACTCATGCGCGGGCTGGGCTACGACAAGTATGCCTCGCAAGGCGGCGATTGGGGCAGCCCGCACGCCCGTGCCCTCGGCGTCTTCCACTCGCACAAGGACGGAACCGGCTGTCGCGCCGTCCATCTCAACTTCTGCCCCGTCGCCGCGAAAGGCTTTAGCAAGTTCATGCTCGATTCTCTCCCCTACAAGCTCACGCTCGGCATCGCAAAGCTCGTCTATGGCCAAGAGTACCTCATGATGGCAGCGAAAGGGATCTATTTCGAGCAGAACCGCGCGTACTACGATGTGCAGCGGACACGACCGGTGCAGCTGCTGTACGGGCTTGTCGACTCGCCTGTTGGGCTGCTGGGTTGGTTGGGAAACATCTACGATACCCTGACCGAACGCAACCCGGACCATCCAAGACTCAACATGGATGCGTGTTTGGAAATCGCCACGCTCTTCTGGTTCACAAAGTCAATCGGGACGAGCTTCATTCCGTACACGAACAACATGTTCCTGCCGGAGATCCACGGTGCCGCGGAGTACAAGCTGCCCGTGCCCCTGGGATACTCGGATTACCCAGATGAGCTGGTCAACACGCCCAAGTTCGTGGTGGATGCGACGACCACGAGCGGCAAGACGAGATGGATCGGGAAAAGTCCCAAGGGAGGCCACTTTGCTGCGCACGAGGAGCCCACCATCTTTGTCAACCATCTCAGGAATGCGTTTGCAAAGGGTGGGAAGGGCAAGTGGGAGGGTGAAGATGAGGGGATCCAGTCGGCACAGATCGTCGGTGGCTTGTGGGACGAGGTGAGAGATCAGGAGGCGAGAGCTAGCAAGATCTGATGCGTTGCACGGAAGGCATAGATTTGTCCATGATCAAGCTACAGAGTGGAATTGCGAACAGAGTGAAAGGCAGAAAGAGCTCAATCGACGATGCCATGCTTCTGGAAGAAGGCATAGATCTTGTCATCCAACCACTTGACGTCTTCCAACGAGTCTCCTGGTCCTCCTGCCCAATGACCCCAGATGCTCGGAATTACTTCGAGCGTCGCTGTCTCACCCATCACTTTAGCCTCGTTCTCCGAGTCCTCTGGCGGAAAGTACAGATCCGTCTTCCCCGGCACGATCAGCGTTGGACACTCGATGCCCTTCAGCGCCCTCTCGAACGCCGCATCGTCCTCGCTCGTCGTCACGCCTCCATCGCCCCTCGTCCCCAGTCTCCCACCCTCCTTCTGGGGCAGATCGCGCTTGCTGGCACCGGCATACCTCGGTTGAGCGCCGATATCGCCGTGCTGCCAGGTCCACAGCATGTACAGCAAATTATTGGCGTCCTTCGACGTGGCCCAAGCATGCCAGAAGTTGCCCAAGATATTGCTACCACCTTCCAACCTGAAATGTTTCTTGAAGCCGTCTTCGCGGTAGAAGGCCTGACTGAAGCCCCAGCCGGCGTAGATGGTACCGAATGCCTTCAACCCATCGACGGGTGGGTTGGCGGGGTCGTACTTTCCCCCCTTCCACTTGGGATCGAGTGTGAGGGTCTGTTTGAGTGATTCTAGGAAGACCCAATTGTGAAGCGCCGTGCGGGCAGATCCGCAGAAGGGCACGGCAGCGCGCACCTGGTCCGGGTATTGGGAGGCCCACTGAAACGTCTGCCCGGCACCCATGGACCATCCGAGCACCACCACCTTGCCTTTGACGCCCAGATGCTCGTACACCAGCTGGTGCTGCGCTCGCACGTTGTCGTAGAACGTCGCACGTGGCATGTCGTACCCTAAAGGATGGTTCGAAGGGGAGGACGACTCGCCGTTGCCAAACAGCGCGGGGACGATGATGAAGAATTTGCTCGCATCGAGCGAACGCACGTCCGGCAGAGTGCGAGGGTCGCGAATGAGCCACTGGTTGCCATCGGTGATCGTGCCCGAGTACCATGTAGGATAGACGATCGCGGGCTTGGACGGGTTTCCATAGCGACGAAAGGCGATGTGCGCATTTGGGATCACCTCGCCCGAGAGGAGCGTGAAATCGCCCAGGCTGTACACCTCGACGCGGGAGTCTTTGGGCTCGAAGGCGACCTCGGAGGTCATGTTGAGTGCGGACGTTTGTGATCACGATAGAGACGGTAGTGGTGATGGCAATCCTACAAGAAACGTCAAGTATCTGTAGTGCGAGCGAGTCTGTCGGAGCGAAAGGGTGTTGTCCCGTGCTCGTGAGGGTCATGTGCGGGGTAGGCAGCGGCGAAGCTTAAAAAAGGAGCGAAGCATAGCCGGGGTGGAGGCCGACATCACCGATTTGCTTCGAAGATCACTGCGTATCGGTCCTCGCGACTGTCGTCAAACGACTCGACCAAAAACATGAACGTTGTCACACAGCACAGGAGCAGGGGAGAATCGTTGCTTGCCTTGAAGCATGAAAGCTAGAGCCTGATGACTGCGCCGAGATTGACCTGGAGCAGCGTCTTTACGAGCTCCGGCGTCTTGTGTTTACGGTGATCTTGCCACTTCGCTTGTCACCTCATTGTCTGAAAGTCGAATGCGCTTTGTCGATCATGTCGGACGTTGGCAAGGCCGCCGACCCACGATAGCCGGGCGCGATTACGGAGGCAGAGGTCCATTGTTTTCCATGAAGGGATCTCGCCCTCGGTCTTCATGCGTTGATCGTCATGCATGACTTGGACAATGGCGGTCGAGTCGCCGCGAGTCTCGCTTCATGCCACTCAACAAAGCTTGGCATTGTTGAGCATGCGATGCATCGGTCTTCATCTATCGTACTGACCTCTGCGCTAGGGCGTGTGTGGCTCACCTCGCAACGTCGTCGTGACACGGGAAGGGGCTCTGTGACTTTCCCGCACTCCTTTCAGCGTCAAAACCGTTCAAACGACATGCCTCCCATCCATCAAACGCTCTCCAAGCTCGACTGCACTGTGAAAGCTTCGTATGCGATGCGTTCTGCGGAGAAGCTGACAACGAGACAACTGAGGGGTCACAAGTGGGTCGTTGCGACACAATGCCGCCAAGACGTCGATCATTCGCGTACTGCGGCGTACTTGTGCAGCTCTGGATCTGCCTCTCAGAGCTGAGACGTGCATGTCGCAGGCTGCTTGGCCTTTTGTGCCGTCGCAGAGCCGAGCTCGGTGACAGGAGCAGACGAGAAGATGAGCGAAAGCTTCTTCTCGCCTCGACTGCTGAAAGTGTGCCTTGCTGGCGACATCTGAGTTTGAAAACAACATGCATGCAAAAAAGCCGGAAGGACCCGTTTGGTGGCACCAAAGCACACTGAAACAATGCACAATTTAGGCGTGCTTCGGCCTCGGCAAGCGTGTGGAAATCTGCAAGACGCGTTCAACGCCGCCGCCATGACCGTGTCCCACTTGTCGCTCCTCCAGTGTCGTCAGGTCGTTTCACAGCACACACACCGCTAAATAGGCGTCGGCGTATAGGCTCGAGAGCACGGCAACTAGTGGACAATACCATCAGTGTGTTTAGTGTTGGCGCAAGGGACCAAAGAAAAGCTGAGGTGGGCGTAAGTTGGTGCCGCTCAAAGACAGCCAATGCAAGAATCTGCTTGCTTGCTCTCCGAGACGGCAACGAGGCACGCAGCACACCTGCCATTGCCCGACCCACCTGCAGCAAGCAGCAGCATCTGACGCAGGACCACCAAGCCCCTCGGCACGCTCCCCTCCGATGCTGCAGCACGTTAGCAGCACAGTTTTTCCTGCCTGCCGCACCACCGACCGCGTTGCTGAGGCGTGCCCGCTTGGTCCTGCTACTTCCTAGTTCATACACGTGAGCCCTCATTGTCCTTCCTCTTAACCACATACCACCTTGCTTGTCGCTCCACCATCTCCGGATCCTTGTCTCTCGTTTCGCAAACCACCTTCGTTGATCGCAGGAAGTCGCATCCACTCTCGTTCGCCTCTCCACTCTCATCCAGCACCCTCACCACCACCACCACAACACGTCCACACATCACAATGGTTTCTGCCAAGATCACCACTCTCGCTGTGCTTCTGCTCGCTGCTGCAGATGCCGCCGTCTCGACCATCGTTGTCACAAGGCCAGTAGCGTAAGTAGTCCATCCAGTTGCGTTCCTCGTTCATCTAAATCAAGTCGCTGACGTCTTCTTGATTGACCGATCGCATGCTCACTTTCCCAACTCTCGCCACCACAGCTCCACCTCCGGCAGGGGCGGTAGCAACCTCCGGGTCGAATGGAACGACGACGGCAAGGCGCCCACGCGTCGGGACTGGGGTCGTGTCAACATCTATCTCGCCGTGGGCACGCGTGATGTGCAGTACAAGCTGCAGACCCTCGCCTCGAACATCTCGTACAACACCGACGAGGCCTCCTATCCGATCAATGCCAGCGTGGGACCGTCTGGTGGCTACTACTTCCTCCGATTCGAGGGCACCAATACGACCACCAACGTTGTGCCCGCTATGGCCTTCTCTGCGCGCTTCACGCTGACGGGCATGACGGGCACGTTCAACTCGACGGTTGCGCAGGCTGCGAGTGGCTCGGCCGGCACTGCGCCGCTGACGGCGGCAGCAAGCGCATCGACCAGCTCGGGATCGCCCAGCTTCTTCGGCTACACGTCGAGTTCGAGCGCATCGAGCGCCGCTGCGAGCGCTCTGGCCGGGTTGAGCTCCAGCGGTTCGGCAGCGGCCGCCCAGTCGACGGGCAAGTCCACCTCCGCTGCCGCACAGGTCAACGGCAAGCTTGCAGGGTACGCGAGTGCGCTCGTCGGTATCGCTGCCGTCGGCGCTGCGTTCCTTTGAAGGGGAGGGCTGAAAATCAGAGTCGCTCCGGTAGCACTCTGAGCGCGTCGACTCTGCTGCTCTTGTCGTCGATCATCGCTTTGTCTTTCGTTTTCGTCGGTCACTGCGCTTTGCTATGGTCTTGCGTACGTAGATGCGCTGCGTTTCTGTCTACATCTCGTTGTCTGTCATCTGTCTGGAAGCACAATACACACTCGTTTCAGGTCCCATAAAAATTTCACATCGTGACCTGAGAACGACTGAATTAACGAAGCAAGTGTGTAGGTGAAACGACAACGGACGAGCAGAACAGAGCCCTGTGGAAGTGGTATCAGAGCTTGGCGACCCTGGACATCTTCTTGACCTCGCTCATGAGTACGGTTTGCATCCTCAATCCGAGCATGATGTTTCCCTTGACCTTCACCTTCCCCTTCATGAACGCCACCTGTGGGCTCAATTGTCCCAGAGCGACTCTAATCATGTCTCTGTCACTGATGGTGAAGACGCAATCGGGCTTTGGTCTTGCTGGACCGGAGCCCTTTTCGATCTTGCCCTCCTTCTTCATATCTACGTAGAACTGCACCGTCTCCTTCCCTGCGCTTTCGGAAGACGGTTTGACGTTGAAGACGAATACGCCGTTGACGGCCTTCTTGGCCTGCGACATGTTCATCATGTCCAACCCGGCCATAAAGCCTTCTTCGTCCTCCGAGTGGAGCAGACCCCAGTAGACGACCGCGAAGAGCTTGGACACTTCAAAGCCGGGGATCTTGAGCGCTGTCGGGTCGATATGGTCCGACAAGGGTTTGGACGGGTCCGAGAAGTCAATGTCGTCCGCCTGGTCGAGGATGATCTGGAAGAGGTTGATCTCGTCCTCGGACTTGGCGTTCTTGCCCATTGTTGGAGGTCGAGCGGCGATGTGAGGGGAGACAAAGTGGAATGTGGGAGGTGGGCCGGAGGTGGTCTGTGACGCCGCACTTGCTAGTTGGTCGGAGATGGTATCAGCGACGATGGGTATATACGTGGATGGTGGTGCGGTCACAAGCCGTCAGTCGTGAGCTCGCAAGTCTAGTGGATGTCTTTTCACGTCCCCATTGGGATGCTGCGCAAGAGAGCGTTGTCCCACAAGGCAGCCCAAAATTGCCGAACAGGGTCGCATGCTCACACGGTCATGTGTCAAAACGCTATTGCACAAACGAGGTACATGACAGCGAGATGAGCTCGCGTGCCTGTTGTCTCATGAGACGGCCCGTACGAGCATTGCTTGGGCAAACAGCGAAATCACGGCGGTCTCGGCTGAGGCTCTGACAATGCGGCGGCAAGAGCGAGAGTGCGGGGTAAGCACCGTGCCGTGGGCGCAATAGCGAGCAGATGACCCCGACAGCCGCTTCTACGCCAGAGCTGAATAGAGCTTCCTTCGCTTCCGAACGGAGCGCGCCTTTCACAGTCGCTCGTCGGGTAGACTCGAGATGTTAGACTCCTGCTGAGTTCGTGCTGCCCATTTAATTTTCTGCGGCGTCCAAAATTTTTGAGAAGCTTCTCCGTGCGCAGGACTTTTTTGGAAGTTCTTCCTCCACCTCGACCAGCTCGAGTATGCAGAAGCTTTGAGTCTGACCACCATTGCTGCCAGAGCTGCGTAGATCAAAGCTATCGCTATCAGCCTCAACATCAGTCATGGCCGCCACAGACATCGCAGCTGCCTTTGCGCCGGACCTCTTGGCCCCGGCCACCGTCTCTGACTTCAACAAACAGTACGAAGCCAGCGAACCCTACAAGCATGCCGTCATCCCCGCGCTCATCAACGAGGACCTCCTCAAAGCGACTCGTCACGAGATCATCGAAGAGCTCCGCTTTGCCGAGAAGGAGACCGACATCTACAAGGTGAACCAAACAGGCGATCTGGCCAACCTCGACGGCCTACCCGCCGAGGAGGCGGGCAAGCTCCAAAACCTTCTCCGTCTACGCAACGCCATCTACTCTCAGGAATTTCGAGACTGGCTGCAGGGCGTCACCGGCTGCGGTCCGCTCAGCGCCAAGAAGAAGGACATGAGCATCAACGACTACCGCCAAGGCTGCCATCTGCTCAACCACGACGATGTGATCTCGACGCGCAGGGTGTCGTACATCCTCTACCTCCCCGATCCGGACCAGCCGTGGCAGCCGGAGTGGGGCGGCGCACTCGAGCTCTACCCCGTCAGGTCCAAGGGCGTGCCCGACGACGTGCCCAGCAAGATCATTCCGCCCAAGTGGAACCAGTTCACGTTCTTCACCGTTCAACCCGGCCACTCGTTCCACTCGGTCGAGGAGGTGGTCCACCCGAGTCAGAGCCGTCTCAGCATCTCGGGCTGGTTCCATCGCCCCCAGGAGGGAGAAGAAGGCTTCACCACCGAGGACGAGAAGAAGGAGGCCGAGGTGGAAAAGGAGATGAGCAGTCTGGAGAGCCTCTCCGCCAAGGAGAACGCCAAACTCTTCGAGGCGTATCCCGAGCACTTCGCACCCCCGCTGCCAGGATCGTCGCTAAGTCAGGAGGAGAAGAAGTTCCTGATCCAGTTTTTGAACCCGGCGTATCTGGTGGAGAAGACGCAGGAGCAGCTGTTCGAGCAATTTGGCGACGAGTCGCAGATCCTACTCTCGGAGGTGTTGCGCAAGGAGATCGCCCAGCCGCTCGAAAAGGCGTTGCGACAGGCGGACGCCCAAGATGGGTTCCAATGGTGGGTCTCTGACAATGGCGAAGAGTCGACACGCATCCAATCGCATGGTGTGGGAACCAACCGCGCCAGCGAGCAAACCACAGAGACGAAGGAGTGGAGCATCGCCGGTCCGCCGCACAAGCAGCGTTACGCGGTGCTCTCGGACCAGGCTGCGCCCAACAAAGCCAGCGAGATCGCCACTTCCCAGATACCCAACCCGCTCCCTACCGACGCCAGTGCGCTGCTCAAGCTGCTCAGCACAGTGCTCTTCCCCTCCGACGCGTTCCGCCACTTCCTCGCTAACATCTCGCAGCTCGTCCCGCTCGGCGCCCGACCCGTCGAAGCACGCCGTTTCCGCCCGGGTCTCGACTACACGCTCGCACGCTCCGACACGGACCCCGTACTGGATGTGACGCTCAACCTCACGCCCGATGTAGTGAAGCCTTCGCTCGAAGAGGAACGCAAAGCGGGCCCACGCGGTCTCGCCGGCAAGGCGAAGAAGGTCAAGACTGCTCCTGGTGCGTCGTCGTCGACGGGTACAAAGCTGTTGTCGAAGAAGCAGGCGAAGGATCTGGCGGGCAAATGGGAGAGTGGCGATATTGGTGGTTGGGAGTGCTACATGGCGCCGCATGAGGGCGAGGAGGATCCCGCGGTGTATCAGAGCGGAAACAGCGGCAAGAAGGCGACGAATGGTGAGGAGGGAGATGCGGAGATGAAGGTTGTCGATGGGGAGGAAGAGGAAGAGGAGGAGATCGTGGAGATGATCGAAGATGATGGAGAAGAGGATGAGGATTTCGACGGCGTGCTGCTCAACTTGACGCCCAGCTTCAACACGTTGAGTGTTGTGCTGAGGGACGAAGGCGTGATGCGCTTTGTCAAGTATCTGGCGGCGTCGGCGGGCGGATCGAGGTGGGATGTGATCGGGGAGTTTGAGATTGGTGCCATTGAGGAGGAGGAAGAGGAGATGGCGGAAGGTGCCGAAGCATGATGCGCCTTTTCTTGCGTCAACCCAACTAGACAATGCTGATACCTTTGCTAGCAAGTACAATGGGCGAGCTCCAGCATGTGTGTTATATTGAGACATGAGGAGCAGTGTTTCATATCGCTTTCGAGTGTCCTGCCGGACCCCAGCGCTATGTAGTGTCGCCTTCGACGTAGCCAGGTTGAGAAGGGCGCATGGCTGAAGACAGTTTGCCGCGTCTCGTCCGAAAGTCGAAGCGCGTAAAGTGCAGCTCAAAAAGTGTTGGTTTCCCAGAACTGCGCATGTCACTTTCAAGTTTTGAGAAGATGTCGGTCGAGCTACTTTGTGGCTTCTTTCCACAGCTCTCCACCATCTTCACCCAGCGAGCACAGGCACCATGTGGTAAGTACCAAGAGTCGTACAGCGTATCGTAGACCTCCTGACTAAATACCATGCTTTCCCCGTCGCTGCTGTACAGCAAACACATCCTCAACGCACAGGTGTCGATCCGAGCGCCGTGCTGTCAGAAGTTCTTCGACGTAAGATCCCTCGAGCAACGTACTTTTCGTCGACATCTAAGACCAATATTGACTAATCCTGTTTGTCTCCTCAGTGTCCACAATGTCATGCAGAGTCACAAGACCACGAGTTGCGGAAAACCATCGAGATGGCCTTCATCTGCAAAAAGTGTCGCAAGGCCTTCCGTAAAGATCTCACGCAATACGAAGAGTCGGACGAGTTCTGTCCGCATTGCGATAATCACTACGTACGTCCTCAACCTCACCCCACATGCCACCGTCCTCCTTGCTGACTTTGTCTTGTGGTGTTGTTTTGCAGGTGATCGACGCGAAAACGCCGCAAGCGGTGCTGTCGGTGGAAGGCGAAGATGCGCGGGTGGACAACCGCATGCTGCGCGACGACCGGGTGAAGTACGATCCACGCAAGGACTTTTACTTTCGTCGCGTGGCGGCGCAGGAGACGGAGCGCATCGACGAGGGCGGCTGGCTGCAGGCGATCAAGGATCGAGCCGCTGGCAAGCTCGGCCCCGACGGTCTACCATTGGACGCAGCGGGACCAGTGGGGGAAGACGGCAAACCCCTGCTCGACGCTTCCGCACTCAACGGCGGTCCAGCGGGGAAACAGTGGAGCAAGTTCAACGACGATGATCTCGACTGGTCGTAACGACGACGAGCAATTGTATTTGTATCCGACACACACTCTCTCAGCAACTCGACAACATAGAGGAATGGTGTCAAATGGGTATCATTCCGAGCGGAGCAGTTACACATCGTGTGGGATGTCGAAAAACTCTTCGGCAAGCTTGGCCAGCTCTCCTGCCAACTGCTTGCGCTTGGCATCCGGATCTGCCTCGTACTTTGCCTTGAGCGCTTTCATCTGCTCGAGGATCTCTTTGTACGTTGCGTCGGGCATATCCCTCGGATCGCGCACGTAGAGGTCGATGCCAGCGGGCGTCGCGGGCGTCTTTTCAAAGTACGTGACGAGCCAGTCGAACTTGGTGCGCGACGAGTCGGTGAGGTCGTACGGACCGTAGCCGATCACTTGCCATTTCGAGTGGAAGAATCGCAGCAGACCGTTGCCCGTCCACTGATACGATGCGCTGCGCATCACGAATGCAAAAGATCGAAGAGGATCAGTAAGAGAGCAAGGGAGGGAAAGGAGGAGGAGGGAAGACCTACCCGTTCTTGGCATTCTTCTGAAGCACATTGGTGCCCTTGATTCCGAAAGCCTTGTTGAACCAGCTCTCCTCACGCTTCCATTTGGAGGACAGACCCGAAGCCTGCACCGCTTCGGGATCGGCACTCTTGGATCGCGGTTCGGAGCGAATCTCGTCGGTGAACTTGACCTCGTTCGCGCCAGCACCTGGGTGGGGGATGTAGCGGATCACCACATTCTTCTTGGGCTTCCACAGGGGAAGCGAAGAGCCGACAATGTACCAGAAGCCGTCGATCTTTTCGTGTGGTCGAGAGGAGAAGTCGAGTGGATGCGAGGCGTCGTAGCTCGTGAAGGGGAGGTCGATGTCGAAAGCTGTCGTGTTTGTTGCCGCCATGATGGATCAGGGTCACGCAGCTGTGTCTGCGAGGGTTTGATCTGATGATGGCGAAGAATTTGGTGAATGCAACGTCGATCCAAACAAAGCACGTTCATTGAGAGCGTCAACTCCATGACGGTGTTTGGCAAAGCGCCTGGTTCGCTGCCAAATTCACCGTGAATGTGGTCTGATTCCGTTCTCAGCTCAGGGTCCTTTGGGAATAGATCTCGGTATACGAATCACCCCGATCGCGATCCCTTTGCTCTGGATATCGCGCGAAAAGGCGTCAGCCGTCGGCGAATCGAGACTCTGCACGACCCTCCTTTTCCCCGCATCGCTGCCGCTCAAGCTGGTCGCGGCCTCTTACCGCCTTGTCGGCCATCCAGTCTGCTTCTCCGCATCACCGTTCTGCATGGCACACAGATCTCATTTCCGCCTTGTCCGAGAGTCATTACGGCCTAGACTCGTTCATTCTTCCTCCAGACACTTCCACTCCATCACGCCCGCCTCTGCGTGTGCGAGACTGGAAAAGGGGACCCACGGCTGTTCCTGACGACGTGTTTGAGCGCAGAGTGGCTGCATGGGGTGGCTTGCCATTGTCGCGCACGTCGCTCTGTCTACCAAGAAGAGGCGCTTTGCATCTACGAGATGCTTGCCGAATCTTTGTGTCTCTGTGCGCTGCGATGTGATGCGATCGCGCTTGTGGACCCTCTTTAATTCCTCCACCTCGCCTAAATGGGAAAAAGCGGTCGAAGCGTGACTGTACCGCTGCTCGGCTCGAGGCTTACCCTGGACGAAGGGGTCATGCCAAGCCGCAACGACTTCTGCGCTGGGTACCGTGGGAGAAGCCTCGAAGAGGTCATCGGTCACGTCGAGACAGTAGAGACGGCCAGAGACAGAAGAACCATAGAGAAAGCAAGCAGAAGGCTCAAGGCGAGGCTTCTGCACTTTCGGCCAGTAATCTCCGATCCCCTCTTTTCCCCACATCCGCTTCCAGCCGTGTGGGCTCGCCGGCCTTCCAAGCCTCGTCCATCGGTCAACAGACTCGTGACTGATCCTCTCCCCTTCTTGGCCTGAGCCATATATAGCTGGTCGATCGCATCCTGCCTCCTAACCATCACCATCTCTTCGACCACCGACATTCCACCCAGAACCCCATCCGCAACCATGGCACCGGGTCTCATGTCATCCGAAGCCAAGGGCAACTTCAACGCGCAAGCCGTCGAGGTCAAGTCCGCCTCGGTCAACGATGGCGGCGCCGCGGAAGGTCTCGGCGGCGGCAAGACCTTCGAAGGTCAATCCAAGCTCCCGCACCTTCCCATCCCCACCCTCGAAGACACCTGCCAACGCTACCTGTCGAGCCTTCAACCGCTCCAAACGCCTGAACAGCACGCGACGACCCAATCCGTCGTCGCCGACTTCCTCAAGACTGACGGCCCCATCGTCCAGGCGCAGCTGCAGGAGTACGCCAGCACGCGCGCCAGCTACATCGAGGAGTTCTGGGACGAGAGCTACCTCCAAGCCTCGGACTCGGTGGTGCTCAACCTCAACCCGTTTTTCATCCTCGAGGACGATCCTACGCCGACGCGGGGGAATCAGCTGATGCGAACGGCGAATTTGATTCTGGCGAGTCTGGCGTTTATCCACGATCTGCGCACGGGGGTGCTCGAGCCGGATAGCGTGAGGAGCACGCCGCTGGACATGTTTCAGTACACGCGGCTGTTTGCCACCTCGCGCATCCCTACGGCGAACGGGTGTCGGATGGAGGTGGAACCTGAATCGCGTCACATTGTCGTGATGCGCCGGGGCCAGATCTACTGGTTCGAAGCGTTGGACGAGGAGCATCGACCGTTGCTCACCGAACGCGCGATGTTGGGAAACCTCCAAGCCATCATGAAGGACGCCGACCAGATCCCGACCGAGGACGTCGCCAAGGGATCCGTCGGCATCCTCACCACCGAAAAGCGCCCCATCTGGTCCATGTACCGCGAACACCTCCGCGAAGACGCGCACAATCGCAAGTGTCTCGAGGTGGTCGATTCGGCGCTGTTCGTCGTGTGCATGGACGATTCCGCTCCCGCAGACGCCGCCGAGCTGAGCAACAACATGCTCTGCGGCACGTACAAGCTCCAACGCGGCATCCAGACCGGCACGTGCACCAACCGATGGTACGACAAGCTCCAGATCATCATCTGCGCCAACGGCGCTGCCGGCGTCAACTTTGAACACACGGGGGTCGATGGTCATACGGTGCTGCGCTACGCTGCGGATGTGTATACGGAGTTGATCATGCGGTTTGCCAAATCCATCAATTCGGCGACCAAGAGTCTGTTCAAGGCCAAGACGAGTCCGTTTGCCAAGGGATCGGGTAAGAAGGCCAATGGGACCACCAGCGAGGTGGATGCGCAAAAGGCGCAGGACGTGGACCAGGCGACGGCGCCTAAGAAGCTCGAGTGGAATCTCACCACCAAGCTTGCGGACGGCATCCGATACGGTGAGACCCGACTCAGCGATCTCATCTGCCAGAACGAGTGCGAGGTGCTCGAGTTCGATCGGTACGGCAAGAACTTTATCACGCGTCACCGGTTCTCGCCCGATGCGTTTGTGCAGATGGCGTTCCAGGCGGCGTACTACACGCTGTACGGGCGATGCGAGACGACCTACGAACCGGCCATGACCAAGGCTTTTCTTCACGGACGCACCGAGGCGATCCGCACCGTCCAACCGCATTCCGCCAAGTTCGTCGAGACCTACGTGTCAGGTGCCAAGAACGAGGCCAAGATCGATGCGCTGCGCAAGGCGTGTGATGGACATGCCAAGCTGAGTCGTGCCTGCGCATCCGGTCAGGGTCACGATCGACATCTGTACGCGCTGCACAATTTGTGGAAGAAGCACAATGAGAAGGCGGCAACTCCGGCCATCTTTACGGACGCAGGGTATGCGAAGCTCAACCACACGGTGGTCTCCACCTCGAACTGCGGCAACCCGGCACTGCGCATGTTCGGCTTCGGCCCGGTGGTCCCAGACGGCTTCGGTATCGGGTACATCATCAAAGACGACGGCATCACCGTTTGCGCCTCGTCAAAGCATCTCCAGACCAAACGCTTCTTGGACACTCTCGAGTCGTATTTGCTGCAGACGCAGACGATGATCATCGAGCTGTACAAGTCGGCCAACGTGCGGTCGAGGAGCACCTACATCGATCATGCGGGTGTCGAGTGCGATGTGCGCACCGGTCTGCCCATCGGCAGCAAGAGCAACGGCTACACGCACGACTACGACGATGCGGGCAAGAACAGCCAGGTGGGTCAAAGTGGATATTCGTTCTTTGGCGACGAGAACAAGGCGGCTGCCCGCAAGGAGGAGGAGCAGACCGACGGAAAGAGGAGGAAGCGCATCGCCAGTGTCGGAAAGACCATTTTGTACGACGAGTATAATTGAGTTCGCATGTTGGATACGTTTAGCAAAATGCATTCGCGTCTTATAGGATCGTCCATGTGCGAGTATGAGTGTGGGTGAGGAAGTTAGAAGCCAGGAAACCCTTCGAATCGCTCCCCGTCCTCGTCGGGGACCACCTGACTGCGGGCGCGCTTCTCGCGCCAACTCTTCTTGACCCGCCCCGCACCACCCCTGTCGCTACCTGCTGTGATGACGCCGAACTCGTTCGCGTCCACATCGGCCTTTCCGAACTGGGCACCCTCGACCTCGTGCGCTGCGCCACCCTTCGTGCCTTCCAGCCCCGCTGCGGGGGTGTACACCTCTTCCGACTCGCGACCCAGCGGCGAAGTGACGCTCGTCGCCACCGTCGACGGTGCGTTTGGGTGCAGAGCGTTGGACGACTGATAGGAAAAGATGCCGGAGGAGGAGTTGGACGACTTAGAGCCTCGACGGGGTCGATCGCGATAGGTGGGGCGGGTGATGCTATTGCTCGAGGAAGAGCTGGGCAGACCGCGTGGCGTGAGCCCACTTCCAGAGCGACTACCTGCACTGCTGTCGTGGTGTCGCGATCGAGACGCCTTGCGGCCAAAGGAGAGCCCCGCGATGTCAGGTTCGTCTTCCTCGACCACCTCCTTGACTGGACTGCGATCCTGCTGAGCGGGCAGCGAGGGCTGGTAGACGAACACTTCTTCCTCCTCCTCGGCTGGCGGGGTAGCGTGATAGTAGTGGTGGTGAACTACAACTCCAGCCGGTCCTTGCTCTTGCACCGTCGCGTAGTACCCATCCGCGCCTTCCTCGGCATCGCCATACTGCTCGTACTCGCCGCCGTGCATCTCCTCATCCGCATCCTGGTAGTCGAAGTGTTCCTCGGCTGCGTCGTGATCGTACGACTCGTCCTCCTCCGCATCAGCAAGCCCAAACCCGCCAGCAGCAGCTTCTGCCTCAGCCTCGGTTCTCCATCCCTGCGCTGCCTTGTTCTCCTGTTGCAGCTTCAACAGCCCCGCTTTGGCAGCTTTGCGCTCGGCCTTGCGACGCGCTTTGGCGATGGCAGCTTCCTCTTCTGCCGCGAGCCTCGCTTCTTCGTCTTTCTGTCGTTGCGCTTCTGCTTCGGCTTCCTGCTGCAGTCGCGCGGCCTCAGCTTCGAGTGCTCTTTGACGTTCTGCTTGTGCGTTCGCCTCAGCTGCTTCTGCTTCCGCTTTGAGTAGTGCTTCGTCTTCTGCTGCCGCCTGAGATTGAGCTGGGGACTCGTGGTCGTGTTGATGCGTGGCTATCGGCTGACCAAACCTCGCAATGTCCACATCATCCAGCATACCCGCATCATCGTCGACGCTCTCCGCAAATCCGGACCCGGCCAGACTGCCAGCGATACTATCGAGGCTCGCATCGCTGACCGATCGCTGATGTGTCAATGCCGCGACGGCCTCCTCGTCTGCCTGACTGCGTCTGCCGCGACTCATGACGCTGCCAATCGACGCAGCGCGTTGTCTCCTCCCTTCACCTTCTGAGGTGCTCGTCCTGCCGAGCAGCCCGCACGATAGCGCTGGGATCCACTCTTCGACGTCCAGCCAGAATGTTCCGCATGTTCGACCTTGTGCTCTGGCCCTCGCACGCGCACGACGACGCGCGGCAGCCGATCCGCTACCACCCCGGCGCGAATCACGATCCGCAATGTTGGAGAGCAACGAGATGGCATCCGAATCGTCAAAGTCGTCCGCGCTCGGAGACGGGAGCAAAGATTCTCGCTCGTCCCGATGACGCGCAGAGGACGAGGCGCCAGGTCGACTCCACCCGAGACCAGATGGGTTGGATGATGGTTTGGTCTGTCGTCCACCAAAGAGGGACAGCGACCAGCTGGTGGCTGGTTTGGGCTGCCGACTGGGATTGCTCGGTCCGGCTTGAGCGATACGCTCCCGCCCGCTCATGTTGATTGTGTAGTGGATGGCGATGGGATGGACAGATGGGATGGTGGACCTGATGAATGGTGGTCGGGGCTGAGCATGTGTGTTTGTCTCTCGGTTGGATTCACAGGCACAGCGCATGGAGACTTGAATTGGCTAGCCGACCGTTTCCAAAAATGTGGCAGGGTTTAGCGCTTTCAAAAGGCCTCGGGAGTGAGCTAGCGCGTCTGGTGGACCCTGCCCCTGCAGTTGACGCGAGGTCTTGGACATCATCAGCATACTGCGAACTCACGAAAGACAATGTATTGCAAACTGGATCACGACATGCGACAAGATACTGAGGAGAGGCTAGAGGGAAGAAAGAGGACCCAAATCAGCTCGAAGCTGCATTGCATGTTACGTCCGCCTACACCACACCCCACTCCTTTCGAGGCTGGTTCTGCGGTCGCTCGATCCCCCACCCGCTACCCGACGCAGCTGCATTGTTGGCATCGGCAAATGGATCGGCAAACGGATCGTCGTCCGCCTCCTCCTCGTCCCAGTTGAAGCCGGGTCCGATGTTGGGTCGATGGTTCTGCGTGGTTCGCAGCCATTCTTCCTCGTCCGAGTCGTTGAGGTTGGACCACGACCCACCTTCGGGTCGCGAAGACGATGCGGCGAGCTGACGAGCACGGCCAGGCGCCTGCGGGTGGGCGTGTTCGTCGGCCGATTCCTCCGACTCGTAGTCGCTGTAGTCCGACAGGGCGCCGTGCTGGGCGCTGCTGCTCCCAGCTGCCTCGCTCGCCGTCATGCCTCGACGCGCACCGCCTGGCTGGGTCTGCGAGTGATAGCGTCCCTGATCCTCCTGGAAGTCGAGATCGATGAGATCGTTCATCGCGCCTCCTCCTCCTCCTCCGGCAGCTCGCTGGCTCGAGCCGGCCTGGGAAGCCTGTGGGCTCATGTCGAAGCTGCGCATGCTGCCCACGCGCGAGTTGTGACGCTCGATGCGCACCCTTTGGCGCGTCTGTAGCTTCTCCAGCTCGCTATCGGGGGCGTTGAGGCGGGCATCCGCGATGCGTTTGCGCACCATCTCGATCTCGGCATCGTCCGCCGCCAAACGGGCCGCTGTCTTCTGTTGCGCCGTCTGCCCCGAGCCCGAGATGGCGGCCAGCGGCTCTTCGTCGTCGTCCGAATCCAAGTCGGCAGGCTTGGAGAGTCGATCGTACAGCTCGAGCGCCAGAATGATCTGGTCGTTGGCTGAAATGAGCGAGCCGAGGAACTCTTCATCCTTGACGAGCTGGACGTAGCGGATGATCTTCTTGCGCTCCACCTTGGTCTTGACGAGGTAGTCCTGCACGCGTGCGTTTTGGGTGACGCTCTCCTTCTCGCGGTTGACGTGCTGCAGAGCGTTGACGAGCGCCGTGGCGACTTGCTGCGAGATGGCGAGCGATTGCAAAATGGAGGGCTTCTCCTGCTCGAAGTTGAAGGCGGGTCGTTTGACGCCCTTCTTACCGCGTTTCTTGTCCTCTTCCTTCTGCAGCTGCTCGGCGGCTTTGCGGTCGCTACGGATCTGTGCTTCGATGCGTTGCTTCTCCTGCAGCTTGCGGTACGCCTCGGCTGCTTCGTTCTTCTTCTGCGCCTCGGACTTCTTTCCACCGCCGCAAGCGTGGTAAAGACCTGCGACCATCTTTTTAGTTGGGTCGTCCTTGAACTGCTGATGCCACGAGAGCAGAACGCGCATGAGCAGCCGGCGCACCGAGGCATCCACCAGCTGATCCTGCGACATGATCTTGATGCGATCGACGAGCTGATCGTTGGCGAACGTGTTCTGGAATCGCTGTCCGCAGTTTTCGACGAGCGCCTTGAGGATGATGAGCGCGCGCTTCTGACCGTGGACATTGGAGTACTTGAGCTTCTTGCGCAGGGCACGGCTCGCTTCGGTGGGACCGGTGGACTGGAGGTTGATGGCCTCGACGAGTTCGGGAATGCCATCGTACTCTTCTTCGGCGTAGCGCTGGGTGCAGAGTCGGTCGATCCAGTCGGTGACGGCGGTAAAGGGCTTGCGGTTGCCCAGGTAGCCCTGTGCTTGACCCGTGAGTTCCTGTCGCATCCGAAGTTGAAATGGGTAGACAGTGGTCAGTCTGGTTGCTTATCGGTGTGGATGGGTGATGGCTCGAGGGACCTACCTTCAACATGATGCAAACCTACGAATCGATCTCGAGGGGCGACCGTGGATGGATGAAGTAGATGATTGTGGTACAGAAGAGCGGACGGTGGGCGGATGCAATGCGTAGGGCGACAGGGACAACGTGGCAGACAGGCTCGATGAGGGGCAATCGCAGCAAGGACGGGGTCCAATTTCCAAGCGAAGAGCGGGGTTCAGCAGCAGCGATGGCGATTCAGCTTGGCCTGTGCCACGATCCCTCTTTGAGCCTCGACTCGAGCTTTGAGCCTCCGCTCCAATTCAGGCTGCACTCTGACGTACAAAAATCATTTTTCGGGCGCAAAGACCGAATGAAACGAAGATATAACAATATGCCAAAAATCACCTCAGATGTGAATCCCAAACAATGGTAGCTCGATCGCCATTGTCAGCCCACCGAATGCAGAGATGGAGATGGTAGTCGAGCAAGCTGTTGCCAGTCTCGAGACCGATAAGGACAACCCTCGCCGCAGTGGATTCCGGTAGATCCCGGTCAGATCCGATTCCATGTCCACAATCTGCCTGCCTGCCTGCGAGTCGGGTATCGGCTGTTGAACTGAGCCGTAGGCCGAAGAAAAAGCGAACCAGAAAGGCGGAAGGGAAAGATTTCCACCCGAGCAAAAACACAGTCAGTCGCAGTCTCAGCGGCGAGCGAAATTTTAGACTGAACCGGCGCTGAGGGCGCTAACCAAGCGCGTGCCGACTTGTTCCTTTGCCTCCTACCTCCAACCCACCGCTTTGCTCCAAATAGCCGAAGCTCGAGTCCCCACCATCTCGGCAGCGCAGATGAACTCATAGCCTCTCGTCGTCTCATCATTCTCCCCAGCTGACCACTCGAGCATGACATCGCTCCTGTAAAGCTGCGGATCGACCACCGCAATTCATTCTTGTGCAGCCATGCCTCCTGCTCATCGCGGCCCGACCGGCTCGCCTATGGATCGATGGACCGATGCTTCTCCCACCGCCATCTCGAGCGGCTTCCAGACCGCAATGTCGCTAGGTCCACAACCGCGCTTGGAGCAAAGCATGCCCACCTCCCATCTCGCACAGAGCATGACCTCCGCCCACTTCAACACGGATGACGACGACGATGAGGATGAGGAGGACGACGACGATGGAGATGGCGACTCGCCTGTCCCTGCTGCCGCCGCTAAAAAGAAAGCCAATGGCAAGGCTGGCAAGGGCAAGAAGAAAGCGGCGGCGGGTCCGGCGTCCACGGAAAAGGGCAAGGCCATCACCGCGGCTCAGCATCGAAAGGAACAGAACAGAGCCGCACAGCGTGAGTTCCGACAACGCAAGCAGCAATACATTCGCGCTCTCGAGGCCAGGGTCGAGCTTCTCTCCTCGGACCACGACACGCAAGTCAACCGACTGCGCTTTGCGCTGCGTCATTTGCTCGCCGAGAACAACACGCTCCGCGGCATCGTCGGCAGTCTTTCGCGCTTCATCGGCGAGCGAAGCATCGGCGGATGTCTCGTCGAGGCCGGCATGACAAGAGAGATGCTCGACTCGACCATGAACTCGTCCAGCGAAAAGGTCATGTCCGAGGCCTGGGCCAACTGGCCAGGAGCGGGAGAGTGCGAGGCGCTCAAAGAGATTCGCAAGGAGAGCAACATCCCAGCCGACGGTTTGCCCGAGAGCAAGCTCCTCAATTACTACCGCGAGGCGAACAATAAAGCGGATAATTGCAGCTCAACGCCGGACGCTGCGAGCAGTGATAAGAAGAAGAGGACCGCCGATAACACGGGCAGCAAAGAGGCAAAGCGAAAACGCAAGACAGACGATACGACCACCTCGAGCACGGCTCCGACCCGCCATACGACTTCGACTCCTTCCAACCAAAGCAGCCCCTCGACGTCAGCTCGACCCAACCCGACAGCAGCTGGCCAGACATCGGTCTCTTCGCCCTCCAACATGGGTCCCAAGGACATGCAGCAGATTTGGCAGCCGCCCCAACAGCAACAGCAGCAGCAACAGCAGCAGCAGCAACCACCGATGCAGTACGCGCTGCCGAATCAATTCTGGCAGCCGTCTCAGCTGGAGATGCCCCGCCAGTACCGCAACGACGTCGACTCGCTTTTCGCTCAGACGCTGCTCGGAGGGGGCAACCCGGATCTGTCCACCTTTGCTTCCCTCTTTCCGGAAGAAGCCGCCATGAATCCGAACTACTTCCCGCCAAATGGTGCAAGCTCGTTCGGTGGCGGGTTGGGTGGCATGTCGGATCCAAACACCTACGCGAATCTTCTCGGTTTCGGACCTGCGACTCCGAATTATGGCACAACCACGACAGGACCCACTGCCATGGACTCCTCCTCCTCCGCCTCCTCGTCCACTATTCCACCTTGTGCCACCGTAGTGCCGCCCTGCAGAGCCACAGGCGGTGTGCCGACCCTTCTGCTGCCCAGCACCATCCGCGGTCCACCCGAGCATTTGCGTACGATACGTCGACGGTTCGCGCGCGTCATGGCCCAGGTCAACCGTGTCTGGGTCAAGCGCGGTGCCTCGCACTTTCTCAATCTGCCCAACGACTACCAGTTGGACGAAGAGGATCTGCGGTTCATCGAGCACGAAGAAGCCACCAATCCGCACGTCAAGCTCGCCTTTGTGCGCCTGCCCAACGACTGGGACGAGGGGGATATGAGCGACACGCGCAGCAGCAGCGGGTCCACGCCCAAAGTGGCCTACGACACCGAACGCAAAGCCAACAGCTTCCAGCAGTTTTCGTATCACATCTGGAACCACCGCCTCAATCCCAGCTACAGCCTGCCGCCACTGCTCAAGCCGACGCCGCTGCAGCAGTCGACGCCGCACGATCACACGATCGATTCATTCCCGTGGTCCGCCATCCGCGACAAGCTCATTAACATGCCTGATGTCGAGCTGCACAGCTTCGCCATCGACGTGGCCCGGTTCGTCTGCATGGGTGACGGAGACGTCAGTTCCGAGAGGACCTGGGTGCTCACGTTGCCCTTCTTTGTGAGGTATCCGCAGCTGGCCGATGCGACGCTGTTGGCGAGCATGAATGCACAGCGCAAGGAGCGTGGAGAACGGGAGGTGAGCATGGACGACGTGTGGAAGGAGCATCAACAGTTTCAGCTGTTTGCACAAGCCAAGATCAAGAAACTCGGTTGAGGATGCGTTGGATAGAGGAATGCAAGACTTTGAGCCAGTCTCACCCATGCCGTCTGTGACGTTCTCGTTTCTGTCAGAGAGAGGCTGTAGGACCGTGATACCGGACTCAGTGACACAATCATGTCTGTAATTGTGAGGGTTCATGGCAGCTTGAAATAGTCTTGTATGCTACTGGAAAGTCTGCCTCCACCCTCGAAGCTGGCATTTTGTTCGGCGAATTTTGAGCGCAGCCATCTCGGTTACGTGTTTCCCGTTCAACTTTCTTCTTGTCCTTAACACCACAACCACCATCACCACCATTGAACTGGGGTCGCACGATGCTGAGGTCGATAGCGACGTCTCGCGCGGCATTTGCGCCTGCCTCTCGTCGGATCGTCTGTCGCTTCTCCTCCAGCAGCAGCTCGACCGCCGCCTCTTCCAGCACCGATGCTTCTTCTTCGACCTCCCACCATGCCTCTTCCTCAACCTCCACGCCTCGACCGCGCCTGACACTTCCCGATCCACCACCGCCTCGCCCACGTCCCGTCCGCCGCGCCCTCTTCACCCTCGGCTGGCTCCCCGTCGCCCTCTTCATCACCTCCCACCTCTACAGCCTCGGCAACGTCACCGGTAGCTCCATGTCACCCACCTTCAACCCTGCCCCCCAGTCCAACCGCTCCGACCTCGTGCTCCTCAACCGCACCGTCACGTACAAGCACGCCGAGCTGGCCGTGGGAGACATTGTGACGCTCATCTCGCCGCTCGACCCGCGTCTGCTTTTGACGAAACGGGTGATTGCGCTCCCCGGGGATAGTGTGAGGGTGTGGGTGCCAGGGGGACGGTGGAGGAGGATCCAGGTGCCACCCGGTCATGTGTGGGTTGAGGGGGATGCAGCGGTAGATATCCTCCCCGGATCTCTCGAGCGCGTGGCCAACGGTGAAAGTGCACCGGCGGGATGGAGGAACAAGAGTCGCGACAGCCGCGAGTTCGGTCCCGTACCCATGGGGTTGATCACCAGTCGCATCGAGGCGGTGGTTTGGCCGCCCGAGCGATGGGGTCGACCCGCACCGAGACCAGAGCCTCGGGGCGAGGCGAATGGGAAGTACCCACAATCGAGCAACGATCGCATGACGCAGGTCAACCCGAGTCTGGCCAGAGTGTTGGACGAGATGACGCTGATGGACAAGCAGGGGAGGGGGAGGAAGGCACATCCGCAGGACTCGGTCATCAGCCCGTACGTCGATTGGGACGATCCTCACGCCCAAGACGAAGGAACGGATCCCAAAGAGGAGGGGGAGGACGGGAGGAGGAGAAAGCACGCATGGAATCAGTCGAGCAGAGGAGGACGGTTGGGGGACGATGCTGATTGACTTTTCACGTTGTACACCAGTGCACTAAGCGGTCTCGATGTGAGGTCAGCCAGTCATCCTGATCGACGCCTCGTTCAATATACCACCCGTCGTCCCGGCTGGCGATCTTCGCCTGGGCGGCGCTCTCGCCGAGACTGTCCATCACCGCAGCGTGCTCCCACGAGGGGTCGACGTGGACGAGCTTGATCCACCTCGGACTGAGACACCACGCGGTACCGATCGTGTCGTAGACGCACCGATGCTGTGTTCGTACCAACCGCATGAGCATACCCCACGTCAGCAGGGATAGCAGCGTGACGATGAGGAAGAGCGTGTTGCTAATCATGCCCAGCAGTATGCTTCCCACGAAGAGGGTGCTGGTGATGACGATGGCGATGAGCGCGCCTCTCGTCTCGAACATTCCTCGCCATCTCGTCGCAAGGTATGGAATGGGTGCCCAGACGACATGATACACCGGCCCATCCTCTAATCCAACCACCTCGACCTCCAACTCCTCCTCCTCCGAATCCTGCTGTCTCCCCTTACCCTTCCCTCCGTCGCGTGCGATCTCCCTCACACTCCTCCGGAGCTTCACCAAATCCCACCCCCACACGGCCTCCCGACACCTCAGTCGCTTGGAAAAATGTCGATCGTCCGCAAAGCACTCCATCGCCTCCTGCAGCCCTCCCGACACAAGCCATGATGTTTTGCGCTGTCGAGTCTTGGCGAATACCGAGGCGAGGTCGAAGTCGCCCATCCCACTGGAAGCGTCGAAGAGCTTATCTACGTCGTCTTGCCCCTGTTGCTCTTCGGTAGGCGCGGGGACGGTGGGTGGTGCGGGGAGGAAGTCGTCATTCACCGACGTCCACGGGGGGATCGTTCCCGTTGCAAACCGAGTATGAGAACGGTCGACTTCTTCTGATGTTGCGTAGAGCGGGCGCTTTTGCGAGGCGTTCCACACCTGCAAGGCCCCTTCCCTGGCGTGCCTAGGGGTTGAGCCGGTGAGCTCACCAATCAGTCCCCGCACAGCATCACCCCATCCTCTCGTACCCGCACTCGGTAGCCCGCGCAGACACGGTACGTCATCCGCCACTGCGAACGGGAGCGCATCCTGCACCGTCAACTTCGGCAATGGCAGCTCGATCCGTTTTCCGCTCCGCCCGAGGGTGATTCGCAGAGAAAGGGCTTTCGCGTGTTCGGCATGCGGTCGCGTGTCGGAGAGGAACGTTTGCAATAGGTCGGTCGGGTCGTTGGCGCGCGAGCGGTAGGGCGAGTGGGTGAATGTTCGGCGTGTGACGGATGAGCAGGGGAAAGAGGGCTCCAGCTCGTCCTCCCGATCAAGCGGGGCGTAGCCTGAAGAGGAAGGTGGGTAAGAGCTGCCATTGAGTGGGAGAGGTGGCATTGTGCCGAGTCTCGATGCTGCAGAAAGGACGACGTCTGAGCCAGGCTTTCGAAGGTGTTGGGTTGGGAAGGGGAGGAAGTAGGTTGCTAGGAAGAACGTGTTGGTTCCGAGCTGTCGGTTGGAAGATATGCCGATTTCCGAACACGGCGCAGATCAGGGTCCAATCCTTGGCACCCTCGCCATACCCTTCCTGACCATCATCGTCTCTCTCGTTTGGAGTGCAAGACATGAGTCGGTGACCTTTGCATCGCCTCGACGGCGATTCTGACATACTCTCGATGCCGCGCGTGGACAAATATTCCCAAGTGCACGTTCAGGTAAGGACCCTTCCTCTTCCGATTCTGCACTCGCTCGCCATCTTAACCATCTCCATTCCCACGTTGTGCGCTGCAGGGCACCTCGAACCGACTCTTTGGCGCTCTCATCCTGCTCGTATCACTAGCGCTGTTCGGCAGCTATACGCTGTGGGCGCTCGTTCTTGTAGGTCCTGCTCCTCACCAGCCACACATCCCTCCGATTCGACCTCCACTGACTCTTTCTCTCGGGTGCATACAGCCGTTCCTGCCATCCGACTCGCCCATCCACACATACGTACCCGATCGACGATGGGCGATCACCCTGCCCTCGCTTGTGCTACTTGCCGGGCTTGGCACGGTAGGCATCTACGCGGCGATGCTTCTGCGGCAAGACGCACAGGCGATGCTGCGCAGGCAGGAAGCGAGGGCCAGATGAGCCAGCTGCCATGACTGGCTGAATTGACACTAGTCACAGCGATCTGTTTACGTGCTGCTGCATTCGAGGTGCTGCCATCCCAACCGGTCCGCAAGATCGCGACCAGCACGCTGGATGGTAGCACGATGCACTCCGACTAGCCCGGCCTCCCCAAGCCCACCAGCGTCCCTCAATCCCATCCGCCAAGATCACAACGACTCCATAAGACGCACGGTCGTAAGACGGACCGGCGAGAGCCTGACGCGCTCACGCCCTTTTTGCAAGCTCACAACGTCTTAAGAAGACAGCAGTATCGCATGGATCAGGCTGTCGCGCGTTGGACTCGCGGAGGGTCAGTCACGTAAGACAGCATCGTTGCTCTCGTGCGGCGCGGACATTCTCTCCGACCTTCCCCCCAAGCGAGGCTCTCAACGAAGACGGTACAAATCTCATCCTCTCACACAACGCACGCTTAAAGCATAGTCATAAGCCGTTTACCATTCGAAAGACCCATAGATCCGAATACAGAGCAAGTCGTGGAAGAAGTAGAAGTACAAAAAGGCGTCACACGGACACGTTGAGAGGCGAAAGCGAATCGCGCTAACCGCCGCTTTTGAGAGGGGTATTTAAGAGGTACCGAGGACACCGGCGATGCAAGCCGAGGAGCAGGTGACGAGGATACCGGTGAGCAGCGACAGAGGGGCCAGGCGGGCAATGGCACCACCACGGCTGGGGGCAAGACCGCTGAGCACACCAATGTTGATACCAAGCGAACCAATGTTGCCGAACCCGGCGAGCATGAAGTTGGAAATGAGCACGGATCGGGCCGAAAGCGGGTCGGCACTCGCCTTGATGTCGGCGAGCGCCATGTAAGCCACAAACTCGTTGGCGACAATCTTGGTGGCCAAAAGCTGGCTGACGCGCAGAAGCTCGGCCTTGGGAACACCCATGCACCAGACGAAGGGGTAGAGGATGTAACCGAGGATGAGGGTAAGCGTGAGCTTGTTGATGGTCCAGAAGTTGCCGATGTAGGTCAGGACACCGTTGACGGCGTAGAGGAGCGAAACGATGCAGAGCACGTTGCAAAAGATGAGCGCGGCAACGCGGACACCGAGCCAAGCACCGTTGGAGAAGGCGTGGAGCGGGTCAACAGCGTCCGACTTCTCGTTGAGCTGAATGTTGACCGAGCCGGCAGTGACGGGCGTCTCGGTCTCGGGAACGACCATCTTGGAGGCAGCGATCGAGGCGGGGATCGACATGACGGCGGCGGTGATGAGGTGGGTGGGCGAAACACCCATCTGGACGTAGGCGAGGAAGACGGAACCAGCGATGGTGGCGAAACCCGAGGTGAGCACCTGGAAGATCTCGGCGTTGGTCATGAGGTCGAGGAAGCTCTGCACCAGCACGGCGTTCTCACCCTGACCGATGAAGGGCGAAGCAGCGGCGACAACGGCCTCGGCACCCGAGATGCCCATGAGCTTGAAGAAGAGCCAGGCGAACTTGCGAATGGCCCAGGACATGACACCGAGGTACGAAAGCAGGACGACGAGGGCAACGAAGAAGATGATCGAGGAGAGCGTGTCGATGAAGAAGTAGTGCTGGCCGGCGAGGTTGCCCCAGAAGAAGGCAGCACCACCGAGCTGACCCTGAGCGAGCAAGTCGGCGGCGGCGAAAGCGAGCCACCTAGCAACGCTGAAGAAGGCACCCGTCTTGAAGACGAGGAGACCGATGATCATCTGAAGACCGAGACCGGTCATGACGGGCTGGAGCTTGATGGCGGTGCGACGGGTCGAGATGACGTAGAAGAAGCAGTTGATCAGGAAGAGGCCGAAGAGCGAGCGAGCACGGTCGGCGTATCGCGACTCGGGGATCTCCTTGACGCCGAAAGCACTGCCAAAGTAGAGAGCGAGGAGAGCGAGCCAGCCAAGACCGATCTGACCGTAGTGAGGGATCATGCTCCAGGGCTTGGAGACACCGTTGGACCAGACAACCTCGATGGCGTCGGCAAAGGGCTTCTTGGGGATGTATCGGTCGTTGTGGAAGAGGATGAGGAGGATGAAGAACCAGGACCAGATGGTGGTGATGACCCATCGGTGGCGAGTCTCCTCACGAATGATGCCGGGCAACCACCAGCCGAGGATGAGGCAGATGAGAGCCATGTCGAAGATGATGCGGGTAGCCTTGTGGGTGCGAATCGAGTGCCAAAGCTTGCTGGCACGGCCAGGCTCGCCCTGAGGGTGGGGCTCGATGGCCTCGATGGGAGGGCGACCGCTGCTCTCGATGTCGCGATCCGACGAAGAGTAGGCGATCTTGTCGTCGTGAGCATCGTGGTGGGAGCCGCTGCTGGTAGCAGCGTGCTCCTCGATGGGAGCGTCCTTAGAGAGCTGAGGAGTCTGGGTAGCCGACATGATGACGAGCGAGTGTATGCCGAGGGCGGAGGGGAAAGGTGACGAAGGATTGCCACTGCTTTTACTCGTCAACGAGCGAAGATGGAAGGCAGGACCGCGAAGAATAAGGACTGCACAGACAGCAGGGAAGGGCGGAGGGGAGACGTGTGGGTAAGGGACGGAAGAAGGGTATGAAGACGGGAAGAGCGGGGTGATATAGGAATGGGCGAGGGCGAGGGCGAGCGAGATTGAGGATAGCCAGATAGGAAGACGGTCGAGGAGGTCACCTGGACTCTGTGAAGTTAGCGTGGCGAAGGGCGTACGAACCAGAGGAGAGTTGCACCGGCGAAAGAACAGTCGACATGAGCCGGTTCGAGAAGAGACTTTTTTTTTCCAACTAAATTTCACCCGTGAAGGGAACAGCAGAAGGGCAGCAACCAGGAGATTAAATTTTAGGACTTTGTGCAGTCACTTCGACTGTCGACGCATCCTCATGACAGCTACTTGATATGCTCTATCTCGCTCATTCTCATCACGAGACAGCTTACAGACCGGCGAGTGGCAAAGCGTGTGGTATCGTCTTTGGAGCATCGTGTCAGAGACCTATTCTTTCAGGAACCGAGGTGAATGGCAGCACTAGCGCAGCGATGCCATGGCGTTGGTGGCATGTGGCGAGGGGCAAAAGGGTCGAGCGCGCGCAACTTTGTGAGAGATAGGCGTTCGCATGAGGCCGACTGCAATGCACTCTAGCCCAGGGGAGCATCCAGAACTCTCTTATCACGGGCTAGCATGCAGTCCAGTCGAGGCGGAACACCAACGGAAGGGGCGGAGCAGTGAGGTTGGTTGCAAGGCGAAGCCAGGGATAGCATCCGGGTTCGGACTGGTACTGACACGGCAGCCAATGAGAAAGAACGCGCTCCAAAGAGGCGTGCGGCGATAGGCGAATGCGTCAGGCACACGACAAAGAGACGAAGTGGGGAAGAGGACGGAAGCTTGACTCCGAACCGGTGGGAATGGCGGGTGGCTTTGGGATGGTGTAGGCGTAGGCGAGACGAGGCACTTGGCGAGTAGGTATACCTGGGACTCTGCTCGTAGACGAGGTGCAACGCGACACGATCCAATAGAGAGAGTAGCGGCTGCAGAAGGACGCAGGATCAGACGAGGAACCAAAAAGTGAAAGGCCAAGCGAAATTGAAAAGGAGCAACGTCTTCCGAAGCATGTGTGTGTCGCAAATTGAACCGCATCCACCCAAGCCTAGACTGAGTTGGCTCCTGTTTCGCCCGTCCACAGAACTCTCCGCCTTGTTATGCTCCGTCAACCTTATCGTTACCTGCTGTTCCCGTTCCAGCATCAAGCTCGTATCCGATTGAGTGCGAAGGACGTATCTGTGCAACCTGAAAGCCAATGGAGATGGCCAAGGTGTCCAAGATGGCCCCTCGCTTGGCAGAGTGGCTGGTCCGTGGAAGAATTCCAAACGCCGCATTTCTTTGTAGTAGGGCCAAGTTGGACAGAGAGATAAGGCGTGTTCGACTGGCCAACCGCCGAGCCCAGAGAAATCTCGCCGTAGAAGCGCTGGCCTCGCACTTTAAAATTGATAAAATTCGACAAGAACTCTGTTTATCGGCTCTAACGGCGGATCCCCCGTGACTGGTCTCGAGCCCGCTTTTGCCTTCGCTTAAGCTTCTTCGGGTCGAGCACGAGATCAAACTCAGTCGGCTGTGACAGGTCTTCTTCCTTTCGCGTCGCACGAGAGATTCGTTTTCGCCACACGACACCACACTCCATCGGAAGGATGTCGGTTCGGCACAGCGGCATCGTGACAGTATACTGGGAGGACTGTTTCTCATGCCGCAAAGCCGAGGAAGTGAGCCATGTACAATCGAGCAGGTCACGCGGGATTGGTCAGTCCTGTCACTAAAAGTTTTTGCGATGCACCAACGAGACAAAGGAGAAAAAAAAACTTGTTCTGCATGGTATGCATGCACGAATTTCAACTGCCGCGCTCCAACTCTTCTTTGTCTAAGCTGCTCAACGCCAATCATTGCGACGCTCGATTGGCTTCCGTCGCAACCCGAACCTTCTATTGGTGGGCTTGCGAAGAGCCTCAGCATCATAAGCAGGCTTCGATGTCGATTTGGACATGCTAAGCCTTCTTGTCACACCGTCGACTCTCGTCGAACCGTATCGAGAGCGGACAAGAAGGACTAGTCAGTTTGGTGCAGTGTCAGGGCGGGAGCCGATCTGCAGCAGAGGCGGCGGGGTAAAAATGTCCTTCTATCATCGAAGCCACTTCCGAGCTTCCATTGCTCGACCTAACAAACTTCACCCGCCAAAACAATTCCTCCTCACGACGCGGCTGCTCGGAAACGTCTCGAGCACCACCATCCCCTCTCTGCAGCCTTTGATAGCAAAAACCATGCCATCGTGACCGTTGCTCTTCCCACATGGCGCCCCGCACTTTCGCAACCCAGTCCGCTCTTCCCTCAACGATAAGCGCGAAGATCCGGGTGTCGTTTGCATTGAAACGCTGCTATCTTTGGGAGAGATGATTGCTTGGCCCCGCACAAGGTTCGGCCATCTCCGAGACTTTCTCCACCACCAGCGTGATCCGCGTTCCGCAAAGATTGGAGCAGCATGACCCTGCAGCGCTCGGTGGTGCCTTGCATAAGATTGGACGATGCGTGCCTCGCACGGAGCGGGGCATTCATTGATAAGCGAGCCCCATCGCGAGAGCTCACGTCGTCGGAGAGTGGCCGAAGGCTCAAGCCATGTTAGCCAGATCGCCGATCTCAACTCATCTCACTCGACCGCTCGATTGAGATCGGGAGACGTCTTGAGCATGCTTCGAGCTTCTATGTTACATGTTGGCCCTCTACTCGGCGATGATGAGCGAGGCTTTGCCGTATCCAGTCCCGCAGCAGAGCGTAGCCACCCCCACCTGCTGGCCCGTCCTCCTCAGCTCGGCCAACAGACTCGTCACCAATCTCCCACCCGACGCGCCGAGCGGGTGTCCCAATGCAATCGCTCCACCCTTGACGTTCACCTTGGCCACATCCAACTTGAGCGTATCCATCACCATCAGGCTCTGCGAAGCAAACGCCTCGTTGAGCTCCCACAGATCCACCTCCTCCGTCGTCACCCCAAAGCGCTGGAGGAGCTTGGGCACGGCCTCGGCGGGACCGATGCCCATGACGTCGGGCTTGACGCCCTTGGTCGCTGTTCCCACCCATCTGCCCAAAATCTCCATCCCTGCTGCCTCGGCCACATCGCGTCGGGCCATGGTGAGCGCAACCGCACCGTCCGAGACCTGCGACGAGTTGCCTGCGGTGCTCCGCCCGTCCTTGCGGAAAACAGGTTTGAGCTTCGATAGCGATTCGGCGGTGGTTCCTGGTCGAATGCCTTCATCCTTGCTAATGAGTTTGATAGACTCGGCACCGGTGTCCGTGTCGATCCATCGGACTTCGATGGGTTCGATCTCGGATGCTAGCCGACCGTCCTGTTGGGCGGCCTCGGCACGACGGTGCGACTCGGCGGCAAACTCATCTTGACGTTCGCGGCTGATGTTCCACTTGTCCGCAACACGTTCGGACGTCTCGCCCATGGGCAGGATGCAATCCCTCGCATCAACGCTTTCGCTTTCTTTGAGCAGCGGACTAAGGTCGGTGGGGATAGCGCGGGAGCCATAGTTGCGCGTCATGGATTCGACACCCGCCGCGATGCCGCACTGGATCTCACCGGCGCGGATGGCGTTGGCGATGTCCGTGATGGATTGCAGCGAACTCGCGCATTGGCGGTTGACGGTTTTATAAGCCGAAGTGACGGGCATGCCCGCGTGCAAGGCAGCCATTCGTCCAGACTTCGCGCCACCCAGCTCCATGAGCACCGTGCCCGTGCAGATGTCTTCAATGATGGAGGTGTCCACGCCACGAGACTCGAGTCGCTCGCGGGTACGGCGGAGGACGTGCGAGAGGAGCTCTTCCGGATAGGCGTCTTTGAAGCCCTTCTTCATGCGCGCGATGGGCGTTCGAAGCGCCGTGGTGAACACCACATCATCCGCTCGCTTTTGCAGCAGGCTCTGCAAGCCTTGTCGCACAGCTGAGGTGGTACGGAATGCCATAGTGATGGAAGTTGCGGTGGGCTCCTTCGACGTCGTTAGCTTGTTCTGTTCGCTGCAGGAGCAGTCTTGGTGCTGGATGGCTTCAAGCGTGGACGGGATGCTGTGGTGGTCGAGACGGAAGATGGTAATGCCGTTTGCTAGTCTGTTGTTCTTTCACCTCGTCGGTTGTGGGGGAAGGCAGCACGCTCCACCTCTCGTGCTGAGGAAAGGCGGCTGGCTTCCGTCATTTCCGTGATTCTTCTGTCTCAACTTTCTTCCGCCGCAACTTTCTTCCGCCCCGCGGTTTTGGGCCGCGTGTGACCGGCCTCTTTCTCACAATTTTGGCAGTCATTTTCTCGACCTTGATTTCTCCTTCTCATTGTCAGCTCCGGCGTCAAGATCCATTTCGTCGACATCGTCGTGAGACCCATGAGATGCAATGCGATGAGTTCCGTTGATGAAGGGTGTAGAATACAACGAAGATACTTGAACGAGACTAGTGGGGACCGGTATCGCCTACCGGAACAGGCTGGCGATCTTGTCCTCGACCTCCTGTTCCGTCATGCGAATATGCTTGCTCGGGTTCTTGGTAAAGTCACCGGCCTTGTGCTTGCCGAGAAACCTCGCGTACATCGGACCGACGAGTCGTGTGACGTCTCGCTTCAAGCTCTCCTTCAGCTCAACGTCCTCCCTGCTGACAGGATATGCGCGGTGGAGACGCTCCAGATCATCCAGCGCTTCGTAGAACCTGGCGAAACGGTCTTTGACCTGGTTCTTCTCGGAACCGGAGCCAACACCGATGAGCTTGGATGTCGCGTGGCGGTGGTAGTGCGCGTTCGTGTTCAGCGGCTGGTCCTCCATCAGCGGCGCGACGACCGGCGACCAGGCATCGAGGTAGGCCGTGTTGGCTTGGCGCAACGCCGTAGCAAGCAGATCATCGCCCATCTCCCCGAGGTGCAGCGAGATGATCGACACACTGCTCCCGTCGTCTGCTGCGCCAAGGTAGCTTGGTAAGGGTGCCGATAGAGAGCGTCGAAGGTGGCCGATGTTGTTGAGCAGGAACACGGACGCAGTAGATGGCTGACGAATGGCACGGGACCGTGCTTCAAGCGAGGTGAGGATCACGGCAACGACATCGTTCAGGTAGTCCCCGACAATGCTCTGCTTGCTCGCGTCGCTATCCAGCCCCAGCGAGAGAACGGGTGCGACGCCACTCGCCATCATCCAATTGCCGTTGCCAAGCGTGTGCAGCAGCGGCGAGACAATGTCGCTGTACTCGGTGACCTGGCGAACAAACTGCAGCCCCAAGTAGGTGATCTCGTTGACCGAGGTGCTGGGAACTTCGGCCGCTTTGCGTGTGGGGATGGCCTTGATATCCTCGATGAAGCGTGGAAAGATGCCGATGGCGGTGTTTTTGAGCTTGCTATAGATCTCGAGCAGCTCCGAGGCGGGTGCAAAGCCTGCATTGATGTCAACATCTGTCTTGTTGATCGGAAAATTGCTGGACAAAGGTGCTTCCGGAGAGTCTTCCATCGAGCGCACGAGCACCTCCCACTGACCCGTCAAGATGATGCCTGACATGGCGCCAATGAGATCGAGCAGGAACGACGTATGAGTGCCCAAATGCCGGCGGACGTGGGATGAGATGGAGCTGAGCGATTCGATGAGAGCCGCGAGGGCAGCAGACACCAGCTGCGAGAAGGTCGATGCCAGCAACAGCGTCTCCTCGCCCAGCTCAGCCGAGACCATGACCGCCTGCAGGATTCGATACTCGTTGTCCAGCATGCCGTAGTACGCTTCGAACAGCTCGACGGCACCGGCCTCGCCGCGTCGATAGGCCGAGTGATGATCTTCGTCGTCATCGTGGTTGGCCATGGTCATTCCCGAGCCGCCGGCCCCAGTGCCGATCCTTTCAATGGCATGCTGTCGCAGTCTCGCTGCTAATGGGTCCAGGCACTGCGTGAGATAATTGCTCCTCACCGAGGCATATGCAGCAAAGCCAGCGGAGAGCGGTGTGTAACCCGTGCGAGGATGTCTCGGTAACGTCGAGAGGTAGTTGAGGATGGGAACGATCGCATTGTGCGTCTCTTCGGAAGGCACAGGGTAGTGAGCATCGCGGCTGTATTCGGCCAAGTCGATGGGTTCCGAATCAGCGCGAACCCAGTCTGAAATGACGCCGCAGAGATTGCGAGAACCCAGCTCGATGAGGTCGTACATGCGCTTCATGACACCCTCCTGGCTTTTGAGGTTCGATTGTTCGAGGTATTGGAGTCCCTTGACGACGCGGTCGATCGTGTCCATGTAGGGTCGTGTGTCTCTAGCGTCGGCGCCTTTCTTGAGCAGTGGCTGTTCATCGAGGACGACATCGTAGTGGCCAAGTGTCTTGTTGAGGGCGGCCAAGGTGAGATCGATGTTGTCCGACATTCGCGCCAGCCTCTGTGTGCCCTTGTGAATGGGCAAGATGCTGCCTTCCAGCTTGATGAGGCGCTTGTCGAAACCGGAGAGGATGGTGGTCATGCGACTTGTGAGGGTGGCCAGCTTTCGTTGATTCTGCGAGAGCATCTGTAGCTCTGCAAAAGCGACTTCGGTGTCGTCATGACTACCCAAGCCTGCATGAGTAGCGTACGCAGATGGGCTTGTTGAGCGCAGAGGTCGGGTCGTGGACGACACAGAAGCACCGCTGCTCGGTCCAGCGTACGACATCTTGCCTGCCAGGTTTACTCGATGTGTCCGGAAAAGTCGTACAAGATTACAGGTTGACCATGTCGTACTCGCCAAGTGGTGGTTGAGGTAGTGCAAGCCCACGATGTCCGTGCATGCATCAAGTGTTGGTCTAAAGGGTCCTGGGAGATCGGGAGAGAAGTCTGACTATCTGCCCGATCCCGGCTATCCTTTTTTCGAGGCTGAGCGCCTTTTACTTGAGCGGATCACGTCATCTTCCGATTTGACCAGCTGCGGGACGGGTGTGGAGAGGTAGTGCATGTCCAAGACGGCCAACACATCTGGAACCATTGCCACTTCGCCTTGACACCCCCCACACCACCACATCAACCGATCGCATCGCCCAAACTGCGTCGCCTTCTACTTACCGCTGTATTCGGCCTACTTGCAATCGTCTATCTACCTCTGATGAGCCGATTCTTCTCGCTCTTCACCAAGTCGTCGCAACCTCTGATCCAACACTTGGGACCTCCCACCACTCCTACCGCACAAGCCGCTCAGCAAGCACTCGAGAGTTCCCACGCCATGTCTGGACACGAGTACGCCACCGTTGCCAACGGCTGCTTCTGGGGCACCGAAGAGATCTACCGCAAGGCCTACTCGAACGGCAAGGGTCTGCTCGACTGCAAGGTCGGCTTCATCGGTGGAAAGGAGTCGAGCAAGAACCCTTCGTACGAGGAAGTCTGCACCGGCCGCACTGGCCATGCCGAGGCGGCACAGATCAAGTACGACCCGTCCAAGGTGTCTTATGCCGAGATCATTGAATTCTTCTACCGCACGCACGATCCGACGCAGCTCAACCAGCAGGGCAACGACCGTGGCACCCAGTATCGATCCGCCATTTTCGCACACGACCAGAACCAGCTCGACATTGCCAAAAAGGTGACCGAGGAGGTGCAGAAGAAGCATTTTGACCCCAAGGGCAAGAAAATCGTAACGCAGCTTGAGGTTCGACCTAAGGAGGACTTCTTCCCTGCGGATGACTACCACCAGCAGTACTTGATCAACAACCCCAATGGCTACCACTGCTCGACCCACCGCTACTGGTGGTGAGCGTAGGTGCTTCATCTCGTCGGTTTCGATAATGTAGACTAGGAATGTACGGCCTCATGCGCAAACAGAGACTGAAGTGCATACCTGGAGACTCCCGTGTCGTCGACATCTCAGCTATGGACATATCTAATGAGGCCACAGCTGCTACGTATGTGTACTGAGTCTGCAGCCCATGCAAGGCATCAGCAATGGACCGATGACTGTGACGCTTCCGAAACGATGCTGTTCCAGCGCTCGACTTCAAATGTTAGATCTAGAGATGACCTTCACCGCGTGCACGAAATCTTGAGACGCGTTGGATCTGTGCATCTCTTTTCAGGGTCGAAATCGAGATATGCATGCAACAAACACTGCACAGCCGTGCTGCGCCACGCTCAACCCACGGACAAACGACATCAAGCAACACCTCCACAGCCATCTGTTGCACTGAGCTGTCATCCTTCACTTCCACCACAATCCACACCTCCTCATCTGTCCGCTTCGCCGCTTCTCCGCAAGCCTCAACGAGCTCTTCGACGCCACTTCCTCAGGCTGCCGAGTTCGTCTTTACAGTCACGCAATCCTGGACACAGAACCGCCGCACGGGCATCGAAGCAACCGTGCCTCATCCGGTCTGATCTAATCCTTCGTCTCCTCGTGATTACTCCCCACCATGCCTCGATTTGCAGTACCAGCAGCGCCAAAGTGCGCTAGATGCAACACCTCAGTCTTCTTGGCAGAGCAGGTCATCGGTCCAGCTTCGAAACCCTACCACAAGACGTGCCTCACGTGCGTCGTGTGCAACAAGCGACTTGATTCGACCTTGCTAGTGGAGCATGACGGCGAGCCCTACTGCAAGAACTGCCACAAGGAGCACCTCGGAACGGGCAAGGGCGGATTCGCCAAGGCAGTCTCGCTCAACCCGACCTCGCCCAAGTCTCCGCGCTCTCCTGCTACGAACTTGTCAAATGCGACTCGAAGCCCCATCGGCACGCCTTCGAGGACAGGACCGGCTTTTGCGCAACAGCAGTACAACACACCCGAGACAGCACTGAGCAGAGGTCATCTCGAAGCTGAGAGGCGATCGCCAAGTCCGACCAAGTTCCATCCTGGTGCGTCGCTGGCAGGAAGCGAAGACCAAGTGCCGGGCATCAGCATCCGTCCGCGCGGCCTTGGTGCAGCTGGCCAGGTTGCCTCTCCACCGTCGCCGACCAAGCCATCGTCTCCGCTAGCGTATTCGGCTCAACAAGCTCCAGGACATTCTAGCACGAGCGGCTCAGTCGCCCCGATCCGATCCATCGACGAAGCCATCGCTGCGGGCGGCATCGACATGGATGACCCCGTTGCCCGCATTCAAGCTGCCGTAGGTGGGATGAGCATCGGCAGCACGCCAAGGACCACACCTGCCTTCGCCAACGAAAGTGGTGCCGAGGCTGTCACGTCCACGCCAGCCCCAGCCCAGTCCGTAGACCCCTCTCTCAGCTACACCGCCACGCCCTCGCCTCCCGCCGCCACCACTCGCTCTACCCCATCCACCCAACCGCAGTACACCGAAGAGACCTCGTTCTCAGAGGACGGCACGCCGATCACCATCCAAACGCGTCGCGTTGCCGCTTCCGACACCATCGGCTCAATACGCTTCAGCGGTACCTCCAACCCCACCACCTCCCCCACGCCCGCATCCAAAGTCAACACGCAGTCCCCGCTCTCCGCGATCGGCGCGCTCCCGCCTCCCCGTCGACCGGACCCGAAAACCCTCACGGGCGCCTCGTCGACTGCCAAGATCGCCCCTCCGCGCTCGATCCCGTCGAGCTCTTCGACGGACGACGACCTCGCAAGCCGCCGGAAGAGCGGCATCGATCGCATCGGGCTCAGCTCGTCGATCTTCGATGCGTCCGGTGGCACGCCCTTGTGCGCGCGCTGCGTGAGACCCGTTTATTTCGCAGAGCAGAAGGCGGCTGCGGGGCGAAAGTGGCACAGAGCCTGTCTGAGATGCGACGGTTGCAGTACCACGTTGGAAAGCGGCAAGTTGGAGGAGGGACCTGTGGACGGGGGTGGGGTGAAGGGGGGTGCCAACGTGTGGTGCAGGGTGTGTTATGCGAAGTATTTTGGGCCCAAGAATTTGGCTGTTGGGCTGTCGTTGCCCGAAACGATGCGGTAGATGGTTAGGAGAAGAGGAATACTGATACCCTGTTCACTGTCTTGACTGTGACATCGACGATTGTCACGAATGATGAGGCACGCTCAGGAGATGAGATGAACGATGCCAGGGTATATTATCGATGATGACGACAAAGGATTAGCGCAGCTCAGCGGGCCATTCGTCCCTCTTCCTCCATACGCCCTGCTCTCCGAACCTCGGGTTCATCGGGAAGCTCAATCCGTCATTGGGATGCTTTCCTAGTGGCAGCACCCACAACCACACCGACTCGCCCAGCGCCTGTCCCATGTTCGTCCTAAACGCCCCGTGTCCCTTACCTCCCTGCTTCCCAGCATCCTGCTTCTCACTCTCCTCGCTCTCCCACTGCGCCTCCCGCGTGCTGCCGAGCCACCATCGATTCCCCTCGCCGGTCAATCTGCCCCACTCCCGATCCCACCCTCTCACCATCTTTCGTTTCTGCTTCAGATTCAGCCCGCCCACCTTACCGCCACTTCCGCTTGCCTGGGTAGCAAACCAGCGATCCACCAACACCCTCTCCCTTCCCTGCATGCGGTTCACACCGACATGCTCGATCGTCGTGAGGTTGTGCGCCATCAACCAGATGTGCGTGCCCAGCAGTGCGCCTGTGAAGATGAGGAACACGGCGCAAATCGGGAACAACGAAATCAGATATCCGTCCACCCGCCACGCGCCGCTGTTCGAGAGAGACCGTATGCCGCGGTGAAAGTAGATGGCGGTGGAGATCAGAGTGTAGAGCTCGAGCAGCGTGACCCAGAGGACAAAGGTGAAGAAGAAGCGCTGGTTGTGCGCACCGACGCATCCGCCGACCCAGGGACAGTGGTGATCCATTTTGAGGACGCATACGCCGCATCGACGGCAGTGGTGCGCTCGAGGTGGCTTGATGCGGCGACAGCGATGGCAGTAGAGCGCGGCGGGGGAGAGCGGCGGTGGGTCGTTTTGAGGGCGACGTTGCGGTGGTGCCCAGCCGGACGATGTTGGATCGCCAGGGGAAGGGCCGGATACAGGAGCTGCGTTGGCTTGGTCGATGGCTTCGGCACCTTCGCGCACACCGTGGCCTTCTCCCATGGCTGCTGCGGCGAGTGGGCCGAGTATGCCTGGTAGCGCAGGGTCAGCCGCTGGGTCGGTGGTTTCGATATCGTCGGTCGGCGGCGGTGGCTCTGTGGCTAGATGATCCACTGGACCGCTGGACGACATGTTAGGAGCGTGCGACACATCAACACTGTGATCGAGATTCGGCTCCACTGACCCAGGCAGCACACGCATGCTGTCGGCAGAGGCGCGGTGGCCTCCGAACCGCTCGAGGTCGGCGTTGAAGGACGGGTACGGCAGTGATGTAGCGGGTGCATGCGCAGCAGCGTCGCCATTGGCAGCTCCAGGAATCGCAATGGGCTCAGATGAGCCCTGTGCATACGGCTGGGCCGGAGCTGGTGCGCCGTTCCATCCTCCCTGGGCAGCAGCGGGAGGAGGATCTGATTCGGCCACATAGTCCTTGACCAAACCAGGACCCTTGGAGATGACCACCACATACGACCAGATGCTCATCATCCAGAGAATAACGAATCCGACCAGAAGACCGATTCCTTCTGACCGAGTGCCCAGAATAGCGCCGGCCGGATTCTGCTGTATCAATCGACTGCAGACGCGCCACACGAAAGCAACAAACACCCAGGAGAGGATGATGAACACCATCGGAATCATGGCCTTTCTCGCTACCACAGGGTCACCATTCTCCTGTCTCTGTGCTTGTGCCTGTACTCTGTTCTGTTCTACGCGCTCGTTGAAGCGCACGATGTCCTGAGTGCATGATTCGATGCTGGAGATGCAGTTCTGCATGCATGCCGGTGGTGGAGGACGGTCGGCTCGTGGTGAAGCGGTAATTTTTTGGCGGCCGACCTGTGTGGTATCGGGTATGTGCTGAGCGATCGGAATGGCAGGGGCAGGGATCATGTCTTGGTCGAGCCCTGGTGGAGCGGACGGCTCCGAGCCATCTGCGTGTTTGGCAGACCAAGCGGTCATCTTTGTCGGCGGTGACTGTGACAGTGCAGTGTTCAAGTCGACGTGCGTCTGGGAAGAGGTGGACAGGACCGAGACTGTCCGGTCGCTGACGTCCCAGGATGCATGTGCAGCGGTTGTTGCCATGGTTGCAGGGTTCTTGGATGCGTTTCGTCGACCGAAGGGGCTGTGATTAGAAAGAGGACGGCGAGTTTTACTTGCCCGGCTGGATGGTCGACATGATGGAGTACCGATGGCGGTCGGATATCAAGTCGGTTGCAGTACGATCCCGGGGTGACTGAGGGTGATCATGGTGGGAGGTGAAAAGGCAAAAGCCAAGAGTCGAGGACCCTGCTCGACGTCATGAGGATCGAACCGCGAGTCTCCTGCATGCCAGTGTGTTGGTTTAGGGTCCAAAAAATCTCCACTTCCCAGATCGAAGTCAACGATCTCACATGTTTCGGATTTTACGCGTACCGGCTCGCTCCTGCCGCTGCTGCTGCCGCCAAGAAGCGGGATTTGTCGTTCTTTTCGTTGAAACTCAAACTGACAGCTCGAGTGCCCCGCGCAGTGATTCAGTAGATGCAGGGATCTCGCATTCTACGCCATCTCGCTCACTTCATGACGTTTCTCACCACCGCTCGTGACATCTCATCGCTGTTCGGTCGACATTCGTGCATCGCCGTTGTCAGTGCCACTTGCCTGCACTGAAGCAGCGTCTAGCTGGCTGGCCCGCTCACCGCCAAAAGTGCGCCACCTCGCCGCACCAGAGGGCGCCAAGCTGGATCCGACTTGCCACACATCTAGCCACGACCACCGCAGTCACTCGTTCAGCCCAGCACAGAGACAAGACGTCGGACCGACAGCATCATTATCGAAGGATCAGTCACGATGGCGGGCATTCCGATGACGGTGACGGCCGTTCCGGCATTTCCGACGCAAGTGCCGTTCAACAGCAGCTATCCGCCTTTACCAGCGATTGCCAACGCATCCTGGGCTTCTCGCTTCGGCCCACCCGATGATCTGGTGGTCATCTCTGCGCGGCGTGTCAACTCGATTCTTCCGTCTCTGATCACAGCATCCATGGCGCTCGGGCTGGTGGTATCCGACTGGTCCATCCATCTGCCGTGGGAATGGAAGCTTCTCTCCCGACGCAAAAAGTGGAAGCTCTCGCACATTGCCTACTTTGCCTCGCGCATTGGTGGACTGGGATTCAGCATCTGCGCAATACTCCACTCGGTAGTGGGCAATGTGGCAGGCGGACCCATGGAACTGGGCGCACGACGCTGGGACTACGCCAACATGGCTTGTTCAGCTGACCGTCGCGCGATGACATTCTTCTCGATGCTCTCGATTGCAGGCAGTAGCGGCATCCTGCTCCTGCGCTGTCTCGCGCTCTATCGCTTCAACATCATCGCTGTGGTCTCGCTCGGTCTGCTGTGGCTCGCCACCCCCGCATTCCTCATTGTCAACATCTTTGTGCTCACCAGCGGGAGCAAACGTAACGGAATCAGCGCATGCGATCCCGCCCCACCAAAGAAGCTCTCGGCTCCCATCATCTACATGATGCCGTGGTTCGTGCTGCCCATCTTTGACTCGACCATCCTGGTGCTGTCGCTGCTCGGTCTGCGACGGGCCTCGCACCGACGACGCAGCTCGCCTCTCGAGCGCATGTTCCGCAAGGACAATATCTTCTACTATGCGATTGTCTTCCTGTGCGTCATCCCGATCCCCATCTGGTACCTGCGTTCGCAGCGCGATGGCAGGATGATGCCGTATCTCAACCTCTACATTGGACTGTCGAGCATCTTGTCGTGTCGCATGTTCATCAATCTGTGGAAGGCCATCGGGAGGGAGCTGGCGTTGGCGCATACCTTCGGCAGCAACACGCAAGATCCTTACCGCATAGACACGAGCATGGACCAGGCGACGGCAGGATTGGTGGGATCTCGCGTCAGCCTGCCTACCTCCGAGGTGCGCGAGGGCCCCGACTCAATAGCCGAATCCGCTTCTCCGACGGATGCGAGCGCAGCCGGCGCCTCTCCGCTTCGCGAGAAGGCCCCTGCGTCATCTACTTCCATCGATACCAAGTCAGCGTCCGCGTTGGCCATCACCAGGGACTCTGATGCAGTCTCGTCAACGCAGAGCCCTCACGCAACACGGTACCGCAGCATCGTGCCGGATTGGACAGATGTCGATCCTGATCTTGCGTATAGTTTGAATGGCGACTACTATGAAGGTGCCAACTCGCTTTCGTACGATCACCGGTCGCGAGGAATGCACTCTACTCCCTTCTAGACCCCTTCCCGGTGACATCGTCTCACCACGTCTCGTCGCATCGTCTCTTTCTCTCGCAAATATCTCTTCTCGCAAATCTCTCGCTCGTCTATGTATTCTAGTATCACGCTCGCAATGGCGCTTCTTTCCGTTCCTTCATGCATGACAGTGTGTGACAATGTCGACCAGATCCGAGAGATCTCGGATGGTCCGTTGGCTGACGTAGCTCTGCTCCTGCTCGCTGTTGCGTGTCGCCGACATCTCTTGGTATGGTTGGTTGCTCTCGAGGGTGGACGGTCGTTGCAGCCATGCCGCTTGAAGACCAGCATCGGTGGCCCCCCAGAAATCTTCATACAGCTGATCGCCGACGTACAACACGTTGGCCGTCTCGAGCTTCATCCCCGTTCCCTGATTGCGACGGACGGCAGCGCGGAAAAAGTGGCGATCTGGCTTGGCGCACTTTTCAAAGTACGACAATGTCGGTCCTGTTGTCAATGATGGGGTGACATCGAGCTGTAGGAATCGGTCCAAGCCGAAGCTCTTCAGCACGGAAAGGATGTGGGAGTCGCTGTTGGTGGCGAGCGCCATCGAAACAGGACCATTGTCGTCTGACCTTATTTGCGCCAACTTCTTTAATGTCGGCACCACGTCTTCGAACAAGTCGTACGCTTCATCGGTGCCAAAGCGGGTCACAAGACGCTGAGAAAGCGACGCTATGCTGCTGTCATACTGTTCTCGGGTGACCTCTGAGTGGAGATGAGGTGCAAACGTGCGCTGAATAACTAGCTCCCACCATTGATCGGGCGTTGCGATGTCGGTGTCCAGGCCATAGTTCGGATGCTCGACCGATGTGGCGCGAAAAGCGTGCTTGAAGGCCGACTTGACGTCGTTGTCCGAGACTCGAAGGCCGTGCTGTCTTGCAACTGCGGCGTACTGCAGATGAGGTGCGGATCGCGGCGTGACGAGCGTATCAAAAGCGTCAAACAGGATCAATCGGATAGGAGCCGAGGTCGGAAATCTCGGCATGACCCAGGCGAGCTCAAGCTGCGCGTCGAGATGTCAGTGTGTGTTGAGACAGTTGATGGAGACGAGACAGAGAGTTGATCGACCTCGTTTCATTTCAGTTGCGCCGTTACAACCTTTTCTTGGCCGCGCTTCCGAACTCGGTCAATCTTGTCGGCAGCTTGCTCGACGTCGCCATCGGCTGGATCCTGGACTCTGAGCATGTCTTCTACCTTCCGACTACGATCGAGCTCGCAGCAACCATCCGGAAGCATCATCGAGCTTGTCTATCGAGCTTGTCTATTGACGTCGTCTCCGACGACCGGAGAGTGGCCCGTGTGTCGATGCAGGTTGCCGCTGCCGGCCAAATTTGTAATTCAGGGTTCAGCCACCGCGGCTTTCCTCGCCAAAAAACAAAATAGAAGCCGGCGACATCATGCACACAGATGAAACCTTCCAGATCTGCCTTCTCACCCGACCAGCGCAGCGCACCTCGAGGACTTTCTCGTGTCGCATTGCGCAGGATGTTATTGCAGCCAAGTTCAGATCAAGCGCAGCTTTCGATTTGTCAGAGCCACGATGCGTGGGAAACGATGCGCAGAGATGTCGGCTTGTCCGCTTGCTTACACTGCTTTTCCGGTCCAAAGTTCGGATCTGCTGCGCATCTCGCCTAGATGACCGGCCGCCGCAAGCTCGCCTAATAGCGGCGGGGCCGAGATGACCAGAACCTCATGACTCGATGGTCATCCAGAGCAGAAGCTTGCTCATGAAGCTGAACCACAGCTGCGCTCAACTTTGTCTCCTACCAAAATGCTCCATCTTTCACACAGATTCTGACCTGGTCGCATTAGACCTCCCACTCGGCAGGTCGATTCTAGTTTGATCTACGCCTTCACGCTAACAGTCGGTCGCTCCCACATCCATCACTGTGTGCGAATAGCCACACGTCAACCGCGAGCTCGAACCAAAGCTTACCCTCGAGGGTCGTCTCAAGACAAGGCAGCGGTGATCAATTCCGTTGACCTGGTTGCGGACCTATAAAAGCAGCTTAGCTTGAACCGATCTCGAAAACTACCACTCGCCTAAGTTCTGCCTCCAAGGGCCTCATTCTGCCCGCGCTGAGCTCGCAAGTGTTCGAGAAACATGACCATCACGCCCATCACCGACAGCGCGAGCCTCCTCGCTCCCTTCGAGGGACGATGGAGCACCAACGCCCTCATCGACGATGTCATCGAGTCGTTGCGCGATCAGGTGTGCGTCTCGTACATCAAGTCGACCGATCCATTCGAATGGCAGCACATCACGGGTGCTGACCTCGACCGATGTATTCGCGCCGCCACTGCCTACTACGCCGATCGCATTGGAGTCAGGAATAAAGACCAGACCTGCAGACAAGTCAGCCTCCTGTCCGACTCGAGCTTCGATCTCCTGGTAGCCCAAATCGCTCTGATGCGTCTTGGATACGGCGTCGTCCTCATCTCGCCCAACAACTCGGTTCCTGCGATTGTCCACCTTCTCAAGGCAACAAGCTCGGTGGCTCTGATTCGCAGCCCAGAGAAGAAAAGTGAAGCAGAGCAGGCTCGAGATCTGCTGATGCAAGAGCAAGACGCGGAGCTCAAGCTAGCCGAGCTCTGCCCGATCGAAAGAGCCATCGCACACGATCAGCTGCCGCCCTCCACCACCAAGAAGGATCCGTATCGATCGGATGTACCTTACGAGCAGCAGGCAAATGAACCAGCCGTCACCCTGCACTCGAGTGGCAGCACCGGCTTTCCCAAACCATACACTTACACGTAAGCTTCTTGACACGAACATCCATTGAGATCGCCTTGGCATCCCCTCGCTGACTCCGTTGACCTCCCCTGCTATACTTGCTCCTGCGCCTTTGCCAGACACGAGGTATATGTCGTCATTATTGCCGACTACATGCCGTACGATGCGCTCTGCACCGCACCCGTCTATCACGGCTTCGGCTGTGCTGTCGCCTGGAGACAGCTCATCCACCACCGTCGCCTCTATCTCTACACTGGCACCATGCGCCACGATCTCGTCAGCAGAGCGGTTCGAGACAGTACCATCGACATCATCTACGCCGTCCCTTTCACCTTCAAGATTCTCAGCGAGGACAAGGACAGCCTCGCCACGCTCTGCAGCATGAAGATCTGCTGCTACAGCGGCGCACCGTGTCCCATCGAGGTTGGCGACATGCTCGTAGCCAATGGCGTCAACTTGGTTGCCTTCCTCGGCGCCACTGAGGTCGGTCAGATCATGGACAGTATTCGCGATTTTGACACCGACAAAGGCTGGAACGTGATGCGGCCCAGTAAGCGTGTGGACCCCTACCTCAAGTTCGAGAACGTTGGCACGACCGAGGAAGGCCCGTACGAAATGGTCTGCATCAAAGGCTGGAAGGGTCTTTCCAAGGTGAATCGCCCCGACGGCAGCTATGCCAGTGGCGACCATTATCGCATTATTCGAAATGACGACGGAAGCCTTCGCGGATACGTCTATCTGGGCCGAGGCGACGACACCATCGTCCATCTCAACGGCGAGAAGACCAATCCGGTGCCGATGGAGCAGAGCATCAAGTCTTCCCCTCTACTGCGTGACTGCCTCGTCTTTGGCTCTGGGCAGCCATGCACCGGTGCTCTCATCATTCCGTACGAGCATGCCTGGGAACCACACGCATCTTCGTCTCACGCTGAGAGACAGTTGGCGCTCAAGAAGCAGATCGAGCCCTTGCTCCGTGAAGTCAACTCGCAGTGCCCCTCGCACTCGCGCCTCGTCCCGGAGATGATCCTGTTCCTCCGTCCGCAGGACCGCTTCCCAACGGCCGACAAAGGCAGCGTCAAGCGTTCACCTGCCAACTCGATGTTTGCCGAGAACATCACCCAGTTGTACACCGAATTCGACCTCGGAACATCGACCCCTGAACAAGACAAGACGCTCATCGAATCGCAAGCCCAGCTCAAGCCGTTGCTGAAAAGCATCCTCGAACGCTTCATCGAGCTCACTCTGGACGGAAAGGAGGATGTCGATCTGACCACGCTTGGCGTCGACTCGGTCATGGATAGTCAGATTCGCAGTCTCATCCATCGCTCGATTCGCATGCAAAGCCCGCTCTCCAACACGGTGGTGTTCCAGCATCCGACGTTGAACAAGCTGACATTGGCAGTCTACGAACACATCCAGGGCAGCAGTGCAAATGGTACCGTCAACGGAGCCGTCAAGAAGCAACAAGAGGCCGCAACTCGTCAGATGCTTGCGGACTTGCGCTCCGAGCTGAAGCCTCGCGATCAAAGCTTATCCGATCGAGCGGCGCAAGGTGAGAAGGAGATCATCGTGTTGACGGGAGCGACTGGATCTCTCGGCGCCCACATCCTCGATCAGCTGCGTCGAAAAGCGACGGTTGCCAAAGTGTTCTGCCTCAACCGCGCTGCTGACCACGCTGACGCAGCCAAGCGAACAGACGAGTCGCTCGAGGCACGAGGGCTGCCACCGCTCAAAGACGGCCAAGGTGCGCAGATTGTGTCACTGGCCGCCGACATCAGCAAGCCTGATCTCGGCTTGTCGGAGTCCGAGTTCGACGAGATCGCAGGCACGGTCACCTGCGTAGTCCACAACGGATGGCCGGTCAACTTCAACTTGTCCGTCGAGTCCTTCCAGGCTGTTCTCGAGGGCTCGGTGCAGCTGATGAACCTGGCAGGACAGAGCACCGGCACCCGCTCGCCCCGCTTCCTATTCTCGTCCTCCATCTCGGTTGCCTTCAACACTGCTGAGCCGCTCATCCCCGAAACCATCCTGGACCATCTGGACCACACGCACGAGCTCGGATACGCACACTCCAAGTGGATCGTCGAGAACCTGTGCCGAGATGCTGGAACCTTGATTGGTGGTGGGTTCGAGTCGGTGGTCATGCGCATTGGTCAAATGGTGGGCGACAGATCAAAGGGAATTTGGAACGAGACCGAGGCTCCGCCCTTGATCATCAAGAGCGCGCAGACCGTCGGATGCCTACCCGGACAGCTCGATGATCTGTACTGGCTTCCTGTGGATGTTGCCGGTCTCATCGCGGCCCAGCTCACCAACGCAAGCATCTCGAGAGACTGCGAGCTGGTTCACGTGGTCAGCGATGCGGCCATGCCGTGGAATCTGGCGCTCAAGACCCTCGCCGAGCCGCAGAACCTAGGTGACTCGTTCGAGGTGGTCCCGTACGCCGAGTGGCTGGAGCGACTGGAGAAGTCGGATCGAAATGTCACGCGCAATCCGGCGGTCAAGTTGCTCGAACACTACCGCAGCCTGTACAAGGAGATGCAGCGCAGGAAGAGCGCTCCGGCCAACTTCGAAACGACTAAGCTGAAGGCGGTCTTGGCTTCATCTCCGGAGAGCGAACGGGTCGTCGACGGGCTTGCGGCGTACAAGCCTGAGTACCTCACTACCACCGTGGCTGCTTGGAAGCGATCTGGTTTCCTCAAATAAGGTCGGGTGGCCCTTTGCCCTACCAGCAAATTACCCACATGATGCACTTGCTACGGTCTTGTCTTCTCCTTGTCTCCGTGCTCAATACTCTCTACTACATCTCCTCCGCTGACGAAACGGTGCTTTCAATGAAGGTTTAATGCCAAGCCATGCTGTCCGAGCCTGTGATCAGGTTAGCCGCGCGTGACGCTCATGCTTGATCGACCAGCCCACCGTGGGTCGCAACGCTTTATCAGCATAGCGGTGTGGCGACGCCGAGTGGGGAACGATGATCAAAGGGGCGTTGTCATGCTTCCTTAGCTTTGCCCCTCCCTGTCCTCCTCCTCTGAGGACATTGCCTTCGACATCAGGTGGGTGAATGTGGGGCACCGAGCCGGCCCCTGCTGTCCGAGATGAAGCGGTGGCACAGTGACACTGATTCATGACACGAGCTGGGCTGACGTGAGCACGACAACGTCCCCATCCGTAACAGTGTTGCCACTTTCAACTGATGAGATGGAGGCTCCCTCACCAGAAGAGCAGGTGTATAAAATGCAGACGAAGCTTTCCTCTCCCCTCCTTTCTACCTCATCACTTCCCTCCTCATCCCCCACTGCCTTCCTTCTCCTCCCTACACCTGCTGTGCACGTTTCAATGAAGCTCTTCTTCGCGGCTCTAGCCGCAGTGCTGGTTGTCACCGCTCACGGTAAGTTCGTACGCGACACGTTCTCGACGACGCACGACGACAGCTGACACGCTTTACATCCCGTGTCTCTGTCTTGTCTCTGCCTTGCTTCTTTCAGGTGCCGCCATCCCTGAGGAGGCCCGCACCAGCGACAGCCCTACCATCAAGGAAGGGCCTCAAGTGGTAGACGGCGTAGGGACCTCATCCAAGTACAGCGACAACATTCCAACGTCCGACCTTGAGCCTGGGCCCCTCCGCTTCCGCAAGGGCCCTCAGGTGACTGACGGGACTGGGGCCTCCTTCCAGTCCGGCCGTCTAGCCGTCAAGCTCGCCACGGAGCCCAAAGCCAAGTGCATCTACGACATGAACACCTTTGTCGAATCTAACCTCAATTGGGGCACGGATGGCGGTCTCTACGCCGAGATGATCCGCAACCGCGCCTTCCAATCGTCCTCCGATTCCGTCTTTGGCGTTGGCGCGAATGACAGCATCGGCTCTGGCTCGCTCACCGGCTGGCAGCCTATCGGCAGCTCGAAGCTCGAGCTCGTCGCTGAAAAGCCGCTCTCGGCTGCCCTTCCCAAATCGGCCAAGATTACCTGCGAGACCAAGCAGGGCGAAATGTGCGGCCTGAAGAACCTCGGCTTTTTCGGTCTGCCCGTCGAAGCGGGCGAGACGTACAACGCCAGCTTCTACATCCGCACCGACAAGCCACGCAAGATGCGCCTCGAGTACGGACTGTTCAGCACCGACCTCACCCAGACGTGGGGCAAGTCGGACAACATAGTCGAGGTGGGCAGCGATTGGACGCCCGTTCACCAGGTACTGACGCCTCTCAAGGGCGCATCTGATATCAACAACGTCTTTGCCATCCAAACCAATGCCGACGGTGCCACGTTCCAGATCAACCTCGTCAGCCTTTTCCCGACCACCTTCGAGGGTACGGTAGTGCGCAAGGATGTAGCGGAGAAGATGATGAAGTTCAAGCCCAAGGCGATCCGCTGGCCCGGAGGTAACGACCTGGTGGGTCACTCGATCGCTTCGCGCTTCCAGTGGAACAACACTCTGGGACCGCTGATGGATCGTCCTGGTCGTCTGGGTAATTGGCAGGGCTGGAACACCGACGGTCTCGGTGTGGTCGAGATGTACCGATTCATCGAGAAGATCGGTGCTCGCCTCATCGTTGGTCTCTGGGCCGGCGTCGATGCCAACGGAAACTCTGTGCCGCTCAAGGACCTCGAGCCGTACATTCAGCAGCAGGTCGACTTTGTTCACTTCCTGCTCGACCGCGAGGGCAAGTGGGCCGAGTTGCGAGTCCAGTCCGGCGGATCGTCTTCGCCCTACGACGTGCAAGCCTTCCTCATCGGCAACGAGGGTCAGCTAAAGCCCGCCGTCGACTATCAAACTCGATTCGACATGCTCACCTCGCGCCTCAAGAAGGAGTTCGCCAGCTGCAAGGGCTTTGACGAGATCGACCTCATCGCTTCGGCCCCTATCACCGTCCCGACAGGCTACAAGTACCGCGTCGACCTGCTCAATCAGCCCATCTACGGCACGTCCGCCGACTTTGTCGACAAGTACCACATGTACGACTCGGCCTCGCGCACCAACAACACCCTTTTCTACAGCATGGAATTTGCGGTGATCAACTCGGGCATGGAGGCGGACGACAACATCTGGTTTGGCCCCGGACGTCTTCACCACAGCATCCTGCAAGGCTCGCTCGCCGAGACGATCTTCATTTTGGGTATGGAGAACAACTGCGACATCGTCCGTGGCGCTGCGTACGCGCCGGAGCTGTCGAATGAGTCGGACGACCGGGCTAGCGAGTCGACCCCCGGTATGCTCGAATTCGACACCACCAAGGTCGTCGGCTCCACCTCGTGGTTGATGCAGAGCCTGGTCAGCGCCAATCGTATCAGTCAGAGTCTGCCCGTGGTCAACAGCAAGGAGCTCGAGACCGCCAAGGTGTACGTCTCTGCCGGTGTCTCGGAGAAGGGCAGCATCGTGCTCAAGCTTGTCAACTATAGCGAGAAGAGTGCTGCGCTGGCCATTGACACTGGTGCTGCTACTGTCAAGGATCCGGTCTGCAAAGAGGTGGCCGGTAACGGCCCGCTGGACTCGAACACGCTCGAGAAGCAGCCGATCAAGATGCAGACCTGCCAGGCACAGACGTCGGGTAGCAGCGTGTCGGTCGAGCTCAAGAAGTGGTCCTTCACCGTGCTCAACATTCCAGCCGGAAGGGTTGCTTGAGGACATCGGTATGGCTCCAGTCCGTCGTGCCTTTACCAATGGTACTGTCCGTCGATCCCCCTCGTTCTGATCCTGAATCGAAGACTTCTCTTCAGCTGGTCGACTTGTGGGTGTCATGAGTGTCGAGCAGAAGTTGAATGTAGTCTGTTGAGGTTCGTGAGTCCATGCTGTCCCTGACAGCGCTCGGACCCTGAAATTTAGGTGTGGGTTGGACCCTGAACTTCCCAAGTCGCTTCCACACTCGACCTTCCTTCTTCCCTTTCACCACCAGCAGCTACGACCTCTCACACCTCTTCACGAACCCCTATGCGCATCACACTGTCAGACCGCCACTTGTATGCAACATGAACGGTGGCTCACGGCGGCGCCTCCATCCCGTGGCAATCGAGCCGTCCGCATCCGCCTTCCTCGCCGCCGCCTCCTCCAACCGTAAACCTGACACAGCCCAACCGCTCCCCAGCTACGTCGCGTTGAACTTCAACTTCAAGCCCGACTCGACGCACGACTGCCGCAAAGGTGCACTCTTTCAGCCGACCGCCGGTCGGAACAGCAGTGCGGACTGGCAGCTCGAGCTCGAATCCACCGAGGATCAGCCCAACGCTGGGCCGGACGACAGTGGAAGCAAGAAGCCAGCACACATATTCACAGGACCACAGACGGGAGCCAAGACGTACGATCTGGTGTTGGTCTGGGACGAAAGGGAGAAAGTGTATCGGCTGGACCGCATTGCGTCGACCTTTGCGCTCAAGTACGAGCGGTCAAAGACGGTGCTTAGTACTGCGAGTCAGGATGCTTGGAAAGGCGGTGCGGGTAGGCCCAAGAAGCGGGCGCACGATGATTCCACGGCATCGAGGGGCGCTCCTATTGCCAGCTCTAGCAGTGCTCCCAAGCCGTCTGGGCAAGGTGAGCTCAAGCTGCGCAGCAAACCGATCTCGGCTCCTACACCGATACGACGGTCTTCGCGAAGAGGACTAGCTACGGAGGTGGAAGAGTTTGAGAATCCGGCTCGAGCGCCAGAAAATCACACCGAGAAAGCAGCTGCAAGTTCGTCAAACCGACGCTCATCATCGCCGGAGCGCAAGTCGTCAGTCGCAGAGGCAAGCAAGCGAGACAAATCGACAGCCTCTCCAAAGGATCGTGGGTCGACCGACGACCCTGCCGCTGGACTGCGTCGCAGTCGCCGTCGATCAAGTCAGGCTCAAACGGACGACTCGTCTGCCGCTACAAAGTCGGACCCGCCTGGAAGCGCAGATGGCGAGGACGACGGACTAGCCCTTGAGCTAGAGCGCGAGCTCGAACGCGAACTAGAAGTAGAGATGCAAGACGTAGCCGAGGTTGAAGAGCCACTTCGTTCCTCCGGTCTAAAGGCTCCGCCTCCGAATCCGACGTCGAGCCGGACCCTCTCTCCGGTCTCACGACTTCAACGCGCCGAAAGGGGACTGAAGATCGATACGCCCAAAGCGCACACCTCTGATCCAGATCATTCCGCGCCTACATCAAAAGCGTTCCGCCCGTCACCCTCCCCCTCATCACCCCACCTCGCCCCCGCTGCCATCAATAGCAACGCACCTATCGGACTGGGCCTGCACTCCACCGGCGTCGGTATCACCCCGACCTCGTCCCCACATCTCGACGTCACCAGTCCGAAGGGTCCTTCGAAGGGTATCCCGGATGAAGAAGAGGAAGACGATGGGCTGGACGACTTTGCTGCTGAGCTGGACATGTCTCTGGCCGAGGTGCCCGCTTCTGCACCCAGGAGGAGCTCGCGCGCGCAGCAGGTGCCGAGGCTGGAGCGCAAGGCGTATGGCCTAGGTGGGCCGAGGCAGGAGGAAGAAGAATTGGAGGATAGTGACTAGCTCTGCCGCACCGTTGCTCTTGAGCTGCCCAGCAATGATCTTGATCGATCCCTTTCAACAGTGTGCCTGTGTGACTGTATGAGGTTAGTGGTGGGTATGAGCGAATAATGAAAGTGTGTTAGACCCGTCTGACGTGGAGCGCAGGCCATGCTGTCAAGAAATCCAGGGTCCAGCTCATCAGGACCACCTTCCCACATCGCACCTTCTCTCCCAATCGCATCGACCTTGTCCGAACCCTCGACGACGGCCCGCAGTCATGGAGGCGATACAGAAGTTTGTCGATGGCCGCATTGTACGTTCTCTCCCATTCCGGCTCATGCGCGCTCGCACTGACACCCTTCTTCTTCTGTTGAAACGGGCACAGGACTTTCAAGCGCAGCGTCTGGCCGACCGCATCATGCAGGAAGGCCTCGTAGCCGCCGCTGCAATCGCCTTCCTGCTCGGCTACTTCACGCAGAACATGCAGCTGTGCATGATCACGTTTGGGCTGTGTACGCTCGCGGTCGCTTTGGTGAGTGATTTTGCGTCAACTTCCCCCCGAGGGCTCACGGGCTGACGGGTTCGAGGCTTCAAAGGCTCCAGAAGTCGAAGACTTAAGATCTCAAGGGCTCAAGGTCTCAGGACGCTTCGAGATCAGCATGGAAGAGGCTCACATGGTCGATGTTGTGTGAGGAAAGGGCTCAAAGCTGACAAGTTTCCACATGTGCGTCTCTGACAGGTGACCGTCCCAGCATGGCCTTTCTACAAGCGGTACCACGTCGAGTGGCTGCCTGCTTCATCCACAAACATCGAGCAGGAGGCATCTCCGACTGTCAAGCAGGAGCCATCTAGAGTCGAGCAGGAGGCAAGGACATGATACGCTTTCTCATTCGGCACGCGCGCAATCACACAATATTCACATCATCCAACAGCTTTCTGGCATTGGGCTCGTGTTCGCACCGAAGATCACGCTTTCGACTGCATCGACGAGGACTTGCCGTTCGAAGCGCTGGCGCCAGAAGAAGGACTGGTGGCAGGAAGCATCGAGAGAAAGTCGAGTAGCGTCGAAGCGTCCGTTTCTGCTGCTGGCTGTCTCTCTGTCGCGTGAGCAGCGACGAAGTTCGTTGTGCCGTTCAGCCGGCTCGGTGTCTGCTGTGTGCTCATCGGATCTGTTGCGTAGATGGTTTGGAAGGGGTCCACACCGACACCGGCGTATGCTGAGGGTGAAGCAGAAGCAGGGTTGGCGAAGAGCATCGCATTGGCTGCGGCCTGGCCAAAAGCGCTGTTGGCCGTCGTCGTGCTGAATTGCCCCAACCCGTCGGCACCGCCTTCGTATGGTTGGAGAAGCCAATTGTGGAAGCCGAACGTTGAAGCGACGTTGCGGTCGGTAGAAGAAGAGGGATCCTGGGTCGTCGCAGCTGCGTTGCTGGAGATAGCGCTGTTCTGCGCCTTGATGCTGCCATCGATGTCGGCAGTAGCGTTGACGGAGAAAGCATTCCCAATGCCCGTACCTAGATTGCTGAAAGCCATGGCCGAAGCAGCGGGCGCCAGGTTCGCCGTGTAAGACGTTTGCATACCCAAGCTTCTCGGCGAGAAGGTAGCACCGTTTGCGAACGTCGGCATGGTTGGTGTCGCTGGTGCATGCTGAGATCCTGCGTTCTGTGTGGTTCGCTCGCTCAGCGTGGGCGTCAAACTGCGTCCCGGCGCACTGAATCGAACAGGCCGCGGTGGAGCAGCTACAAAGATGGTGGACCCGGGAGGAGGAGCAGCATTCAGTGCGTTGAGCGAGCTCCAAGTCGAATCCGAGAGCCACGTTGGCTGCTGTTGCTGTGCGGCTTGCCAGAAGGTTTCGCGATGCTGCGAAGCGCGTCTCGGATTGCCACTCACATCGACGAGCGAGGCGATCTGCCCATTTTGTGGCTGATGAGAACGGAGCGAATCTGCTGGCGATCCACGCATCAGATCCTCCACGGACGACATGTCGATCGACGTGGAAGAAGAAGACTGGCGGACAGAGCCAGGCTCAAGGACGGACCGCAGCACAGCTGAAGCAGCTGCATCAAAGGTGTCTCGGATCTTGGTGCCATAGCCGTCATCTCTTGTCGTGAGCGCTTCGAGCGTAGAAGCGCAGCTTTGCACGTTGAAGACCACCTCGACAACCGGGCTTGGACACGAGACGCCAGTTCGAGTGAGCTTCTCCAATGCATTGAGGTGGGTAAGACCCGAGATGAAGAGGTGGTGCGTGGCGAGCCATGGGAAATTGATCATAGCGCTGCGATGCATACTTTTGTACATCTTCATCGCACGTCCTGATGCTGTGAATGCCTGTTGAAGTCCGTGCGAGTCGGGTCGAGGATTGTTCGGTGACGGTCGAAAGAGTAGCGAGACGGTAAGATTGTGGTTCAGCTCGATCCAGTCACCCGTGATGAAGGGTGTAGCGGTGGAGCTGACGCCCTCGCCCAGGACTTTCCGGTCAGCAATGGGAGATGCAAGACGGATTTGATCGAACTCGGATCTCCAGTCGACGAGCTTGTCCATCATCCGCGATTGCCATTCGAGATTGGGTGTAGGCGGACCGACTTCCATGACAAGCGCAAGCGACGGCTGTGCTCCCTGTGAAAGGCTGACGCCGTCGTGGTCGAGTGCATAGTCACGCGGATTGACGCTGTGAAGACGACAGAGGATCTCGGACTGCACTCGGCGAAGATGGATGTGGGATCGGAAGATTTCCTTGTGAGGGTCGGCCTCGACGGTGTCATCCGCTAGTCCGCTCGACTCGCGATCCAACCGAAGCAATTCGGTATCGGAAAGCAGACTCGGCAGTTGAACATGGATCCAAGCGTCAGAGAGACCGGGAGGCCTTGCGAGTGCTACTGACAAGCTTCGATCGAGACAGTAGGTTGTCCAGAAAAGACGACGTCGAAGATCAACACTCTCCCGCGTGAAAGGCGCGTTGGATGCAGAATCGTAGTCGCGATCGACATGCAAGTTGAGCTCGGTGACGAGACGGATGGCAGCACCGGACAACTCCCATACACTGCCTGCCGATGGCACCAGCAGCGCATACTGTAGCTGCAGTATGGTCGCGCGTAGCTTGTCGAGATCGCCGAACCGGAAGAACACAGGAAAGAGTGCCTGTGCCTCAGCCCAATATTGATGCCCAAGACGGCGAAGCTCGGGACTGAAGTTGTGAGAGCGGCCCAGGGATGCCAGAGCGATAGCCAGAGACATGAGGACCACGTATCTGTGTTTGGACAAGGTGACACGATCCGTGACTGGGGATGCTGGCAAAGGTGGGGGTGGCATGCGGTCGTGCGATGCCTCTGAGAGTGCTGTTAGTCGTGAGCGATCATCGTCTTGGTAGACAAGAGCCGCCAGCTCCCACATCCGTACCTCGTTGATGATGGGGAGGGCTGAGTTCATGTAGGTGAGGTATCGTGCGATGAGGCGATCGAAGAAGGTCCGTTCGTATCCCGAGATGGTGCCTGACCGCCCAGGTCGAGACCTGGACTTGAACAAATATGGTGCTGCTGCATCTCTGAGTCTTGATGAGCCTGGAAGGTGAGAGTTCGCCTCTTCTCTATACCTCGACGCATTGGACGAGGACCTGCGCTTGAGGCGATGCGGAGACTTCGCACGGTCACTGTGACGTCGGGACAGGGCAGCTAGAGCCGTGGCCTCGTCGCTGTCCAATGATTGCGTCGTCGGTCTTTGCAGACTTCGCTGATCGTGGCGATGTGTAGAACCCGTGAGACCAGACGACAGGCTTTCGAGAATGGTGCTGGTCTGCTGCACGAAAGCGTTAGGAGAAGGCCCTATCGGATCCGGAGAAGAAGAGACGCCACTGGAGGACGAGAACTCTGCATCGCTGTCTACTCTTTGGGTCGCATCGTCGAGACTGGACCCCCCTTGACGACCTCTCTTTGCACGTTTTGTGGATGGCCTGCACGAGCGGCTGTCACTCGAATCGGAATGATCACAATTCCCATCCACATCTGCTGCAGTCCGCCCGCTCGCAGCAGATACTGAAGACGCAAGAGCAAGTCTGCTCTCCAGATCCTTGACCTTTTGCTGCAAGTCGTAGATCAAGCCGCGGGAGACGTTGGTAACCTTGTCGCGGCCGAAGCATTCCCGACCGGACTTTTGACAGGGAGTGCAGGCCGGAAGAAGAGCATCGCATTTGACCTTGCGACTCCTGCAGGCTTCGCAGGCTGGCAGCCGGGTCTCTCGATCTCTGTCTTTGGACTTGTGGTCCTCGTAGGAGGCGCTCGCTTCTCTGGCATGCTTCTTGTCCTTGTCGGCCTTCTGGGTTGCCGTGCTTTTCGAAGAGGAGGATGCACCCGCACCAGGCGAAGTGGCACTGACAGTAGACGGGCGTCCTCTCGCTGGGCTAGCTTTGGCCGCTGCGACCGCGTTGGCCGGCGGTGTAGGTGTGGTCGACATACCAGATACCGACAAGTTTACCGTCTGTTGGCTGTCCTGACCGGGATAATCCTGCGTGGTGAGGACCTCTGCCGACATACTTTCAGCTTTTGAAGGAGCCGATCATCGCCGCCGGTGCTGTTCTTGATCGAGATACGACGCTGGTGGTGGAAGAAGGATCGATGTCCGTGTTGGTGTGTGTGACTCTTCCGAAAGGGTCCTCTCCTCTGGGCCTAGCCGTGCTGCGCTTTCCTGCCAAATTCTTTTTTTCCCGGGCAGATAGCCGGGATGAGTCAAAGCGACATGTGACACTCGCTACAGTAGTAGCAGCAATCATATCACTGCTCATATCACTCAACGACGACAATTCTCTTGGCTCGATGGTTCACAATTCAATTTCATTTCGTGAACGTCACTGCCAGCAGCCGAGAGCTACCTCACCTCCTGTAGATGACAGCGAAAACAAGAAGCAGAAGAAGAGAGCTAAGAATGTTAGAGAGACGAATGACCCCCCTTCCCTAGCGCAGTACGGAGGAGGAGGGTAAAGTGAAGCCTGCTCTGACCGTGAACTCCAAAGTCCCCCTAACTACAGTCAGACTGCGGAGGGACTCGGCTTCGGATTGGATCCATGTGGGCCCGGCATGAAAATGTCTTCGTCGTAGGTTTGAGCGAGAAGACATCGATTAATGGGCCGCGTGCGGAGACGCATGGGGAAGTGGGAAGGACGAAAGGAAAGAGGGGGGAAGGAGAGCACAGTCAGGAGGCGGCACAGACGGAGGACGACGGTCGCGGTGAGATGCCGCTAGTCTGAGGCAAATGTGTAGAGATGTGCAAAGCCCCTGTTGAGGGCCGACAGGTCCTGGTAGGTGACATGGTATGACCTTGGTATCGAATAAAATGCATGTTGCGAAGCGGGTTGAATGATGAGTTCGGCGTTGGGATCCGAGAGGCGTCGAGCGGCTGAGAACGGAGTCGCTGTTACGAGCCGAGGATGAAAGCGCAGGACGACGTCTACTTGGACGACTTAGGTCCTTGACCGACGGCACACTGCTGCTCCCAAGACCAGCCTTTGGGATGCTGCAGCGACTTGGCGATCTCCTTGAATGCTTCCAACGTGCACAGCTCGGGCTTGCCCTCGTAGTGCTTGCCCGGTGCAGCGCATGCTGGCAGCTTCATGTCGCGGTCGCCGTATCGCACTCGTACGTAGTGCTGTTGCTGTGCAGATTTGAAGCCAAGAAGATTCTGCACCTTGCCAAATACGGAAGAGGTCGTCGGCGCCGAAGTGTCGCGGAAGAGCTCGATGCCCATCGACGAAGTGAAGGTCGGCCAGCGACCGTCAAAGCAGTCGAGCGTGTTGAGCAGTCCAGCGAGTGCCGTGTCGTGCGTGGCGTAGACTGCGAATTTGAGCGGATCCTGCGCACCGTTCTCAGCGCGGGACGACATACGTGTTGCCAAGTCATTGACAAGTCGACCCATGGCGAGACGGCGGAACTCGGTCCTCTTCTCCGGGTCAGGGTCGTTGTATCCGCTGAACCATTCGGCGACGACGGCTGTTTCGACCTTTTGCTGCATTCGTGGGTCGGAGAGCGCGGCAGGCATGGGGAAGCCGTGCGCTTGTGCCGCTTTGACCGAGTCGAGAATGCCGTTGAGACGAGGTCGTCCGTCGATGCGCGGCTTGGCACCCGTCACGGATTCAAACTGGCTGTCGAACTCCTCCAGCGAAGGGTTATAGGCGCGAGCTGCGGCGTCGGCAAAGGCTCTGTCGAGTGCGCCTAGTCGAGAGCAGCCAAAGGTGTTGGGCAGAAGGTTTTCGTCGGTGCCATTGCGGACCAGCACTTTTGGGATGAATTGACCCTCTGTGTTGGGTTGCGGCGCGTTGGAATGCAGACCTCGGATGACCTGTTCGAGACTCTCAATGGTGCGGGACATGTTGGTGCTCCGGAAGTAGAGCGCATCGTGATCCTTGCTGGTGAGCAGTTGCGGCAAGAAGCCTAGACGGTCGACGTAGAGGCCCCGAAGCTCGCGACCGAATCGAAGCGTCGACAGACGACCTAGGTCGGTGAGTTCGCCGAGCATGCATTCGCCTTCTTCTTGGTCCTTCTGACCTCGCCCGGAGATGGACGATTCGGTTTCGACGCTGCGACGCATGCGCATGATGCTGCTGTACGCGGTAGCGGTCTTGCCTGGACTGACCTGCCCAACCTGGAAAGGGGCGATCGAATTGGATGCGCTGGGAGTCAAGTCGAGCACACAAGCGTCAAACTCGCGCCCAGCCCGACACAGGTTCCATCTCTCTGGGAGGATGTGTGTGAGACGTTTGCGCACTGGTGTTCGTTCACCGTGACGAACGAGGTAGTGTACCTGAGAAAGTTCGAGGCCTTTGGGAGGGTCCCTCCAACCGAGACCTGGACCAGCCGCGCCAGCGCCGGCATTCGCGATTGCTGACGCCATAGGGATGCCGGCGGTGAAGGGTATGGATGCGAAGTCGATGGTGGTGGCTTGAGGGGAAGAGGGCCCAGCGTTGCTGGAGGTGGACGTCGACATCTTGGATTATGGCAGGAGGTGAGGCGTAATGTGCGGCAACGAGCTTGACCGGCGGAGCGTAGTCACGTAAGAATCGGAGTCTGCAAAGATGCACAAAACTAACGAGAGACCTGGATCAGCAGATGTCGAAAACTTGTTCGAGCGATCCGGTCCGATGAATGTGCCGAAGTGATAAGGCTATCAACGGAAAGATGGCCGGCAGCTGGGACGAGGTGTTGGTAGGAAGACTGAAGAAGAGGAGCAAGGCAAGATTGGGATGCAAAGAAAGTTGACCGGCGATGCTCGGGAGCGTGGGACAGAGGGAAAAGACGAAGAGCAGCGAAACAGAGGAAGAGATGCAATGCGATCCAGACGAGACACGGAAGAACGAAGGATGAGTGACAGAGCGAGACAGAGAGAAAGGGCAGAAGCGACGCAGAAGAAAGGAAGATGATTGCAAAGAAGAAGAAGAAGTTGCGCTGCGCTGCGCTGCTCTGCGCTGCCATCTCGACCGCTCGACTACGGCAATTTTTCTGATCGGAGCGTGCGCCGAGGCTGACCAAGAAGAAAACTATTTTACGAAAAAAAGAAGGAAAACGAAAAAGAGAAAAGGAACGTCCGACATCTGAACCGCAGCATGGTCCGCAACGAATGACAGAACTCGCATCTATGGCCATTCGAAGCGATCCTCCATTCGCGCTCTGCCCCTTCATCGTCGTCAGGGTGGCGAGAGGAAAGCTTGCATAATCGGACCCTCTACTGCCTTTGCTCTTCAGAGCCGCGTGTCACCTTTTTCGATCCAATCCCATTCTAGCAGACGGGCGGGCGAATGGTGTTGCGTGCTTGTTCGTCGGCTCCATTTGAGAGCGGCTCCGACGCCATGGGTCGTGAGGAGGTGGCCAATCGAGCTGAAGTGCGCGAACAGCTGTCGAGCAGACCAGTCGATCGAGCGATCCCGAGCCAGGACTCGCTCGGCTGCAGAACCACTATATGCAGGGCGAGCTAATTTTTCCGGTAATCGCATGCCGCTCCTCTCACCCACTTGTCCAGCATCCGATCACTGCTTGTCGACCACATTACATTGGCTTGCATTTGTCGAACAGCTCGGCGCCAAGCCGTCCATCTCACAATGGCGCAACGTTGATTGTGTGGCTCACTTGTTCTCGAGAAAGCGCATTGAAAACAGAGGCGCGCAAGTCATGCACGGGCAATCAAACCAATTCAAGAGTTACTCCGACGCTTGCAGCTCCGCCCCTTCCTCTGACTTGTTCTCTGAGCAGCGGGCCAGCCCCTAGCTCAATCCATCTCTGCCCTTGTGGATGCGACGACAGCTCAGCTCAGCCCATACAGTATTCGAGAACCGCTTCGGCATTGGCTGTTCCGCGTCTCGATGCGAGAGTGGTTCGGCGAACCCGTGGCCCAGACGTTTCTCCCTGCTCTGTGACGGATGGTTGCCTCGAGCCTCAGGGTCTCGCCTCCGCTTTCTCGGGACGCCCGTGGTAAGGCCTATGACATTCGTGACAACCTCGCTGGACCCTCTTCTTTTGCCCATGTGGTCGCGCCGGTCAAAAGCCTGCGAAACTTCACACGCCCCTCGCCCACTCTCCTTTCTTTTCCCACGGACTCGCTGAACTGACTTCCGCACCGAATTTGCCCAAGAGACGGCACACGCTGTGATTCGGGCAATGTCTTCGCCTGCTAAATCGTGATTGAGTAAAAGTGACCGCGCACGGAATGGCACCGAGCGATCCGGGGCAGATGACAAATCACACCTTGGCTACGCCCATGACCGCCAAGAGCGTCAGCACCACCAAGTCTCGGTCCAGCGACTCGACCGCAGAAAAGCTGAGCACGCCCATCTTCTTGTTTCCTGCCGTCTCCTCGGTGGGCGATCCCGCAGTGTCCCTCGAAATGGGCGTTGATCCCGTCTCAGCATTCGTTCCGCCACCATGGAGGAGCAGCGAGGCCCTGACGTTTTGGACAGCATTGTTGTGCACTTGCACCACCGCCTCGTTTGAGACCACTGCCCTCTGGTGCTGCCACAATCCATGACCGCGGGCCGCGCTTCCGGCTGCCGTCGGTTGTGATCGGAGAAGCGGACCCCCCCGGATGCCTCGCAGCGGAATCTGTGGCTCGCCTCTCCCGACCCCTCCTGCTCCTCCCCGAACCGGGATGGCCAGCGGCACCACCTGAGCCGGTGGGAGCACGGGAGCACCGATGCTCGACACATCCTCGGGCAGCGGCTTGGGCACGCTCTTGGTCCTTGGCTTGAACAGTCCCAACGCGTTGCGCACCTGCGAATCAGCTGTATACGTCGCCAGCTCGATCGTCTGGGAACCATCGACGGTATGCAGGTTCAGATCATATCCTTCCAGCATGTCGAGCGCGCTGTTGCCGCTGGAGTCTTTCCTTGGCGATAGCACAGATGCCTCCACCTTGCTTCCTTGCCACGTCCACTGCTGACCCTCCCGATTTTGGAAACGAGCCGTGAAGCCTCGACCTACTTTCTGCTGGATGTGGATTCGGGTTCGCTCGGCGGCGTCCTCGAGTGTTGCTAGCGATGCATCGGTGCGGTTCGATCGCGATCGGTCGTGCGTCAAGTCGTGGCTCGAGTGAAGAGGCGATGGGAAGGCACGCTCCAGCCGGTGGGATGGCACGCTTGCTCGCGACGATTCCGAAGGCTGGGTCGTGTGACTAGCACCACGCGGAGCATGGCGACGGATGATCTCGATCACCTGCTCCGTCCCAGCACTGGTTGTGCGCGTTTCGCTCCGCACGGAAAACGTGCTCTTGTTCACCTTGGACACAAGCAGTTCCCTCGCGTCGAACGTTGAGGCAGATCGCTTCTCGGACGAGCTTTGGTCCGCTTTGCTAGACAGATCCACGCTGGATCGCTGAGCCTGCCTCCTTGGGCTGCGGTTGCCCACGAAGGCCGCAAAGATGCCCGTAGCTACCTCTTGCTCGAGCTTCATGGCCTTGCTCGAAGGCTGTCGACGGATCTGATTCTCGGTTGGCGCCGGTGTCTGTGGCTGTTGCACCTCGACCGCCTTCCAAAACGCCAAAGGACGAGCGGTGCGGCTAGAAACCTCCCCATCCTCGACGCAGATGCGCAAGTCGTTGCCATGCAGCATCACAGTGCCAGGAGCCAGTCGCTCGAAGCTCGTAGATGGCACGATCTTGCTGTCGTTTGCATTGCCGCTTCGAGGAGCTTCGTCGGGCGCTGCTTTGACCGTTGTCGGAAGTTGCTCGACGATCTGCGTCTGCGTCTGCGTCTGCGCCGAATAGAACCCAGATCCGGCTCGGTTGGAGAGGTTGACACGCTGACCGAAGCGCACGGGCACTTCGGCGTCCTCCTCGTCGTAGTCCATCTCTTCTTCTGACTCGCTATCGGAAACAGACTCGGATCGATCCGAGTCGAACAGGTCCGAGCCTTCGTCCTCGTAATCTCTGAAGGGTCGCTCCTCCTCCACCATCACCTCTTCGCTCGAGCCGAGTTCGTGTCGCGAAGAGCCCGACCAGTCTCCCAATTCGGGCGCCATCGACTTGACCGTGCCTCCAGCAGCATTGCTGAGATTGTAGCCCATGCGGTGGTCTTTCGACGCATTGAGGTATGCGTCCTGCGATTTCTCGGCATTGTGAGATGGTCGGTGCGACTCGCTCGATGCCGCTACCACGGGGACCGTTGGTGGTTCCTGGCTGCTCTGCATTTGGTTCTTCTGTTTGGTCGCCTTCAGTTTCGCCTTCGTCTTCCTCGCCGGCAACGGGCTAGGCTGCGGTACGTGAATCCGGCCATTCCCCGCGATGTGGATGGTCGATGCGGCCAGAGCAGAGATGGACCGTTCGGCACACAAGTTCTGCAGGATGACGTTGCGGTTGGCGGTGGTAAAGCCAAGGTTGCGCATGAACGGGCCTTTGTTGGGCGACGTTGTCGACTCTCGACTCGTTCGAGGTGCTGCGTTGACCTCCTCAGAGGGCGAGCGCTTGACGAACGAGGCCGACCTTCGCTTGGACGGGACTACCGAAGAGGTGGATGTGACCTTGGGCGGCAAGACGACCTCCGATGCTGCAAATCGGCCCAGTTTCCACGGCTTGTTCTTCTTCTGCTTCTTGCCCTGCTGCTGCTTCTCGTTGGAGAAGTGACCTGCGCCACCGTTGCCGTACGCACCGCTGACATTTGGTAGCGGCAGGTCGTTGACCGACACCGAGATCCACTCAGCGATCGAATCATTATCCCTCGTCATCCTGCCCTTATGGCCGTCGACGAGCAATCGTATGGCTGAGGGACGACTGTCTGTTTCTGCGTCTGAGGGCGAGCGTCGGTCGACCGATGGCTCAATGGTCGCAGGCTGACGCAGAGAAGGCATCGAAGCGGCAAAGCGGTCCTTAGGTGTGGTTGCGGACGTGGCACGATGGTCGATGCTGTCAGCAGGTGCGGGTGCGGGGTCATGGCGCGGACGCGAAACCAGTTTCTGATGAGCGATCGCTGGCGACTCCATCGTCAGCGCCGTGACTTGCGAGGCAGGGCTCGATTTCGGGTCGAAAGTCACCTTGTCGAACGACACGCGCTCGTGCGCCTTATGAGAGTCGACCGAGGAGGTAACGGAAGCCTCGGAACCGCGGCGAGAATGATAAGGAACGACGTTGCGACGAACGGCGGCTCGGCCAATGGATCGACGACGCTGCTGCAACTGCTCGGCAGTCACGTCAGACCCAGTGGCGACCGGGGCAGCAGCGGGCGCTTCGGCTACGACAGGTCGGGGTGTCGAGTTCAGAAGAATCGGACGCAGCTCCACCGAGCGACGCTGATCCGCAGAAGTGCGTTGATGATTGTCCAGCGATATACGCTTGGCCGCTTCCGCCGATGCTGCAGTGGGAGAAGGTCGACTGACCGCTGCAGAGTCGACGCTGCTACGGTTCGATGACTTGCTGGGGTTCATCTTGGCCAGGAACGCCATCGCACGAGACGGGGACCGCACAGGCGTCGCGATCGGCAGGTTCTCCTCCGAAGCGCGTGTGCGAGGCACCGCTGGGATCTCAAAGGAGAGGGACTTTAGTGGTGCTGTTGCCGGAGCCTCGGTGTCGGCCTTGGTGGCAGGGTCCTCTTCGATCTTGGTTAGCGCCGGTGCAAGGGCGATACTGGCCACGGCAGGGGGCGATGAGGAGTAGGTGCGATCCGACGTAGAGCCAGAGCCTGAGCTCGATCGTCGGTCCGATGACACCTCGGAGGCTGTGCTCGGACTCGTCACGACGACCATGGGTCTGCCCATCCCAAGCGCGCCCGCATTGGGTGCGATGATCTCCTGCGTGGTCTGCATCGTTCTCCGGGCTGAATTTGTCCGAGCGTCCTCCGAGGGAAAGTACGCCTCGAGCGGCGTCGTGGAGGGGGTGGATGGCCAGCTGGAGTCGTCGTCCGCATACTCGTCGTCGTCGAGGTCCTCGGCGTCCCCTCCTAGCTTGTTGCTCATCGAAGCGGTGCTTCTTCGGCGCCTGCGACGCTGTCCTCCGGTACTTGTACCGCTCGCTTCCGAGTCACTGGCGTGCGTCGAGTCGACGAGAATGGATGGGTATCTGTCTTTGAACTGCGGAGGCGGAGGCGGCACCTCGATCTGCAAGCTTTCGCGCCTCTTGCCTAGCTTTGTCGCTGATGGAGTCGCACTGTCCCCTTCGGAAGGGGGGGGTGGGTCGGATGTGGGAGATGGCGCATCTTCGATGTCTGAGTTGGCCGACATTTCGCTCAATGGGGGCAACGGATTTACCAAGGAGGTGAGCGAAGGCTTCGGCGGGACGTGTGTTGGTGGCGCTTGCTGATTCGATGCTGAAGATCCTGCTGCTGATGATGGGTCTTCCTCGCTTCGCTGTCGATGGTGGGTGCCATCGTAAGCACTAGCCATCCCTCTTACCTTCCCACTCGAGCTGAAGAAGCCTTCTACATCCCTTTGAAGTGGGCTTTGCGGAACTTCCTTCCCCTTTCCCTTTCCGAGTGGATCCACGGAGGCTGGATGAGAGGTCGCTCGACTTGGGCTTGATTCGGTCACGGTAGCAACCGACGAAGTCGTCGCAGTACTAGATGACGAAGAGCTCTGGGCCCTCCGACTCGCTGCCAGCTTTGCCAGATCGCTGCGAAGGGCTGCGTTTGCCCGAGGCGAACGTGATGATGATGGTCCCGAAGCGGACGATGATGCGGTGCCAGAAGGAGATGTTCTGGCAGCAGCCATGAACTTTTGGTGGTCACTTAACGCGGACGCTGGCAAGACGCGGGTGGAAGGGACTTTTCTGAATGTCTGCTTTGGCGGTACTAGCAAAGGTGGTGATGGTCGTCGTTTGCCGTTGCTTGACTCGCCCTCGGTCGTTGTGCTGGAAGACGCATCTCTGTTGTGGCTCATACTGGAGGATGGGATGCGTGGTGGCGGCACCGGCGCGACTGGCGTGCTGTCGACATTTGGTGAAGGTGGACTCGCGGACGACGCTTGTGTCTCATCTGGTTTCAAAGGCTCGCTGGGTAGGGTCGGAGATGGCGCCGAAGCTGCTGTCAAGGACGATGCTCTCGATGGTATGGATGCCTGCGAAGGGCCTTTGCCTTTGTTCCAAGCCGCTGCACTGGCTCGCGCATCGAAGCTGGTCGGTCTTGGAGCATCCGTGCCGTCCTCGCTGGCGATGACCCATCCTCTCCGCCTGTTGTTGGACAGAGGCCCGACGCGGTCCTCCTGCGAGGAAGTCGCGGCCATGTTGTGGATGGCTTGGCCGAGGGACGGCTCTCCGTTAGGGACGCGACGCTATGACGATGGCGGACTCGTCCTTCCTAAGTGCAGATGGCCATATGGGATGTAAACGCGCGCTGAGAGATTCGTCGGTCGCTCGTCGGATGATCGAGAGGAAGCAGGCCGGCCCGTATCGTCGATGGTCGGAAGGATGTTGGCCAAATCTATTCCGTCGAGGACGCAACCTCTTTGGGTGGTGAAGATGGTGTTGCGGATGGTCAGGGTTGGCGGCGAACCTGTTTTGCCATGCTCTCGACGATACCCCGACGGCTCGACGAAGTCGATCGGACCCGATCTAGACGGGCGCGGAGGAGGCTCTTGAGACAATGAGGAAGGGATGGCTCGACACGACGGACGCAGCTCAGCTTCGCAGTCCCAGGTCATGTTTTGCGGAATCGAAGTCGGAGTCGCAAAACGGTGCTTGCCATGCCCAGCAAGCGAGCACAGGATCGACGACGGACAGCCGAGGGAAGTGCTCACCGGAGCGGAGTAGGCCCTCCTTCGGGCACCGGGAGGGGAAGAGTCCTGTTTTGGAGAAAGTTCTCGCCGAGCAGCCTGCTGCAAAGACGAGCAGATGCAAACGTCCAACTCCGACGCGAGCTGAGGTGCTCTGGGTTCATCTGCCCATGATCGTCGTCTCACAGTCATACTGGCCCTTGCTTGCCTCTTCGAGCCATCTCACGTGGCCGAACGCCAGGCTCGCTTGCCATCATGCGAGGCTGCGAAGTCATCAGCGACAGGAGCATTTTCTCGCCTGTTCTCTCGCTGCGTGCATGGTGATGCAGCTGCCTCGGCGTTTTCGTTCTGAATGCATTTTTTGACGTGCCCGCGACTCGAAATCCAAAACACCCTCCAAATCCAGCAAGCTCCCCACCCCTCATCATCAGAGCCGATCTGGGCGGCCCGGGTTGTGCGCCACTTACGGGATCGACGCAGTGCATGCTGTTCATTGTCGTGGATACTCACCCTACTCCCATAGGCGCCCACGCGCCGCCTCGTAGATCGGGAAGCGAGAAGCGGAAGATGTTCCCGTGAACCCGTGTTCACACCCGATCTCTGCCTGGGCATACTGTATGTTGCCTCCATCTTAGCCGAGCGTCAAGTGACAGAGCCACGAGAGGAGGATCAGTGCGACTGATCTTCACAACTCGACACTTTCCGTGTCCAGAACGACTTTGGACTTCCTCTCGATGTGAGAGTCGACAAGGAAAGCTGCGACGACCTGAGCCAACGACTTCTGAGACACACCAGAGCCCCTGTCTCATTGACCTTTGTGACCGGTGCCCGAAACCATGCCTCCCTGTTGCTTGACTTTCAAGGTTACAGGTGGCATCGATCACTCACGCACGTCCCAGTGACTCTCCCTTGTCGTCCTGGATCGTCCCTACAAACTATGTAGCCAGACGCCGATGGCGATGGGGCAAGAGCGTGCGACAAGCACAGCTGGACCCTTTATCTACCAACACCACGCGCCAGAGGCGCAAGTCGTCACGTGAACCTGCTCGAATTGTTTTGGTGCTCCTGCAGCGGCTTTCTATTTGATCGCTCTAACAGTTGGAAACTTTTTCGCGCCGAGATCCGACCACTGTGCACCGGCCACTTGGAGAAGAACACCGATTCTCCACTTGACCGCCTGCATCTTGACCTCGACCACAGTGATCCAGACATCGACGACGATGACAACAGACTCGACCGCACCGTCGGAAACCGACGCCAAGTACCGTTCGTCGTGGTCGCGGCCCGGCTCGGCCGAACGCAACGCGCAACCCATCGCGGACGCCCTCTCCTCCCTCCTCCCCTCCCCCTCCTCCTCGAAGCGCAAGACGACCATCCTCGAAGTCGCCTCCGGATTTGGCCAGCAGATCCGCGCGATCGCGACCACCTACCCTTCCGTCCAGTTACATCCGAGCGAAGCCGACGCCTACCCACGGCATCAGATCGACACCCTCACCTCCAACCTCCCCAACGTCGGAAAAGCGGAAACGCTCGACCTGGTCGACCAGAACGACTGGCTCACGCTCGCCCACAACATCTCGGGCGAATCGGCTTCCACGGAAGAAGGGCTGTTCGACGGCGTTCTCGCATGCAACCTGACGCATATCGTCCCGTGGCGCGTCACGGAGAGCCTGTTCAGCCATCTGGACCCGCGCGTGGGGTATGTGACACAGCAGGGGTATAGGAATTTGTTGAGTCGAGATGGGTGGATCGCCATCTACGGGGCGTTTAACGAGAATGGCGAGTGTACCAGTGAGGGGAATCGCAACTTTGACAAGGAGATCCGGGAGAGGGACGCGGAGTTCGGGTTGAGAGATGTGCAGACCGAGATCGTGCCCCTTGCGTGGAGGCATGGGTTCGAGCTGAAGGAGCGCATCGAGATGCCGGCCGGGAACCTGATGCTTGTGTTTCGGATGCGAAAGGAATGACAAAACAACAGGAAGCGATTCAACAAGACTGAATCCTTGTGAGCCACGCTAGGTGTGTCTTGTATTGCTGTATGTGTTGCCGTCGATGCAGGCGGGGAAAGGGGGAAGTTCTAGAAGTCGGACACGTCGACGATCCTCCTCTCGAGATCGATGGTGATGCTCTTGCTCTTCCCCTTCCAGCGCCAGTTTTGCTGAATCGTATCTAGAAAGAGATGGTAGCCAGGCATGTATCTGTCCACAAACCTGTCGTTCCGAAAAGCGCAGAAACAATAGAGGTCAGACTAAAAGCTCTTCTGTGCTCATCGGCCGGGGGGAGAGTACTTACGCCTTGACCCCGTCGTCCGTCATGCCGATCCCACCGTTGCTCGCCTTCATCGCGTGCTCCTGTTGAGTCCTCCAAATGTACACATTGTCCAAGTTCGTCGGTCGGATCTGCAGAAAGACGCTGAAGTTCCGGTACCACTCTGTATAAGCTTCGAGGTTGCGGTTGATCTGGTGCAGCGCTTCCACTGTGTACTTCCTCAGAGGGGAGTCGGATGGGCTTGCATCCCGCTTTGAGGTGACTTCTTCTGGTGGAATGGGTGAAAAGCCCATACTCCACCCTTCGAGGATGAAGACGTCCAGGGGAGCTTTCAAACTCGGCCCGGTGGGCGCGGGATCGCCTTCGAGAATTGCCCCTGTCCTGCCCGGGGCACGATCGCCTTGACCGTCAAAGAGGCTCTTGTCAAATACTGGCAGCTCTACATGCCTCTTCGTCGCATTGATTACGTAGATGCTCGCCAGGATCCTGCAGCCCAGTGCGACGTCGTGCGTACCTGGCTGGCCACGACCAGCGAGCAGCGGGTTGTCCGGGCTCTCCTCTGCGACCTTGCGCAGGTTTGCGTGTGTGTGATACAGGTCGTCCGTCGACAGCACTCCCACTGTAAGCCCCGCTGTTTGGAGGTAGGCCACGAGCGACCGTGTGACCGTCGTCTTGCCCGATCCTTGTGGACCCTGCATCGCCACAAACAGCGGTGGGTACGCCGGAACCCCGCTGAACTTGGAACGGAAGCGCGGAAGTTGCTGCAGAATGTGCGCGCCGAAGACTTCGACTGCTTGAAGCGGCGCTTGCGACATCGTACGAGTGGTCCTGCGAGGCGAGCACGTGGATCGGAAACACAAGATGATGGTGGGGATCGTGGTAGGAAGGGATGGTGGAATGGGTCGATGGAAATGCGGGGTTGGATAGATTCGGCCTTTTAACCGGACCAATTTTGGCGGGGATCTTTCTTAAACGTATGCCAAGGATCAAGGGCTGTCAGCTGTAGAACAGGCATGGACGCACAGCTGCAGACCACTCCTGCCATGCTCGCTCGACCACCCGTCACCGAGCTCAGAGCGACCGCTACCGTGTGTGTGAGGAACACATCGTAGTCACTGCCAGTACATCGGATAGAGATTCGGCTGCTCCAGCCATGTTCGCATGCATGATGTTTGCTGGACTTCGTCTTCGTCTGCCTCACACATGATCAATCGACCGTCTGGCTATGTGATCATTTCGATCGTGTGTATTGCATGCCTTTCTCCGACACTATGCCTTTGACCTCGGCTGGAGCGCCTCCTGCGTCTCATCCACCGTCTGACCCGTTAAGAACCTCTCCACAACCTCGACAAACTCGCCCGGCTTCTCGGCTTGACACCAATGTCCTGTTTCCATCGTCACCAGCTTACTGTTCCCAAAATACTTCTGATTCGTTGGGATGTTCCTGCGATTCACATACTTGCTCTTTGTCCCCTTGATAAACAACGTCTCACCATCCCAGGTGCGCTCCTCTGCATCATCACGTGCACCGGCGAGCTCGTCCTCCGTAGCCTTAGGAGGGTTATACGGAAAGTCACCGATCTGCGCAATGTTCTTGCGGATGAGATCGACGGGTATGCGCCAACCCCAATTGTCGGTCCCTGCCGGCCGCGTTAGGTTGGTGAGCAAGAACTGCCTTACGCCCACGTCCTTTTCTGTCTCCTGCAGGATCTCGTCCGCTTCACTCCTGCTCTTACACGGTCGGTCCCGAATGGCGACCATGGCATCGATGTACCGCTCGAACTCGGGTGACAGCGGCCCACGTTTCGCAGACATGTCCACGCTGATCAGCTTTCCCACCATCCCATCCGGCAATTGCGGGTGGAGCGCAACGGACATCCCCACTTTTCCGCCCATGCTATGCCCGATCAGCGCAACGTTCGATAGCTTTTGCGAGGACATGAATTGGATGACGTCGGCTGCCATGTCCGAGTAGGCGAGACCATCGATGTGCGGGGAAGTGCCGTGGTTGCGCAGGTCGAGGGCAAAGACTGGGATGCCGAAGCGAGCTGACATGGCCCTGCCGAGAGAGCGCCAGTTTTGTTTGGACCCGAAAAGACCATGACAGACGACGAGGGAGGAGACGGGGACGGCGGTGCGCGGCGACGAGGTTTGGGCGGACGTGGGCTGGTAGGCTTCGTAGTCGAGCGCAACGGTTTCGCCGGTCGCGGCGGCGGCAGAGCTCCGTGCCGGGTCCGAGGAGGGGGTGGAAAGAAGCCGTCTGCTGGCGAACGCTGCGATCGCATATGATGTGGGTGCTGCGCCGCGCAGGCACTGCCGCGGAACGAGCGTCAGCATCGTACGTCGTGGCCTCGAAATGATGTTGATGAAGGATAGGAGGGAAGAAGATCCACTCGGATGCAGATCGACGTACCGACCGTGCGCAGCCGAGTGCGAAATTTGAGCTCTTTTTCGAGGAAGCCGAACAATTTCCCGTTCCCGACCCGGTAGAAGCGGCAAGCTTGTCCAGCGAGCCGGTAGAAAGCCCTGCGCGATACACACTTTCTCAACAGTCACGGCAATGAATTGCATCGAAAGCGATGTTCAATGAAGATAGAAGTACAGATGAAAGATGACAAGCCTTCGAAGAGTTCAGCCGAACCGCAATGCCAAGCGCTTACTTGTCCGACACGGCAGGCCCAGCATCGCTCTTGGTGGTAGCGTTGGCCTCTTCCGGAGCCGGTGTCGGCGTCGCAGCCCCCGAGGCAGGCGTGCTGGTGCCGCCATTGTCCAGCTTTCTCCTCTTCTTCCTCTCCTCCCTCGTCCTGATTTGCTCTTCCAGCTCCTTGCGTCGCTCCGTCGTATCGATGTGACGAGGGCCGCCCTTGGCAGTCAGGATCTCGACACCGGTCTCTGTAATCAGCAGCGTCTCCTCTGCCGCGGCCGATCGCGCGCCATCCACCGTCGCAACGGTCCAGTCATCCGGCCACGAGAGATCCCTCCATTCTGAACCCAGGTTGAGCATGGGCTCGATGGTGAAGATGTGTCCTGGCTTCATGATACCGAAGCTCTTCTTGGTGGCATGGTGGTAGACGGTAGGCGCGGCGTGGAAGCAGTTGGAGATGCCGTGACCCGTGTAGTTCTTGACGACGGCACAGCCTTGCGACTCGGCCAGGGGTTGAATGACGCGACCAATCTCGCCATACGGTATGCCAGGGCCGCAGATGTTGATGGCGGCGTCGAGGCATTCGCGCGCTACGCGGATGAGCTTCATCGATTCCGCGTCGGCTTCGGCCTTTGCACCGACAGGGAAGGTCGCGTTCAGGTCGCCGTGGTAGCCCTTGTGGAAGAGAGTGACGTCGATGTTGAGGATGTCGCCATCCTTCAATGGTCGTTGATCGGGGATGCCGTGGCAAATGACTTCGTTGATGGAGCTGTGTGAGGGGGTCGTCAGGAAAGAGTCAGTCTAATCGGTCGATGGATCACGGAGGCAGAGCGATGCCGAGACTTACGTGCAGACACTCTTTGGGTACCCGTGGTAGCCAAGTGGACTTGGGTAGCAGTCTCGCTTGATAGCTTCCGCGAAGACGACCTTGTCGATCTCGTCTGTGGTCACGCCGGGCTTGGCATGTGAAGCCGCGATCTCGAGCACCTCGCGAGCCAGCTATTGCGCAAGCAAAGATAAGCAATCGCTGTCAGCATCTTCCCTCTCGCACAAACTTCCACAACAAAGAACGCGGCATACGCACTGTTGCAGCCTTCCTGACGCCTTCCTGGTCATTTTTGTTGTTGACCTTGATGTTTCTTGACTCGAGAAACTGTTTCGTCGAATCGATCGCCAGGCCGAGCAGCAGCAGCGCAATCAGAGTGGAAAGGTCAGCATTCCGCATCAGCACAAGGGGCAGGGAGACGGTCAAAAGCGGAATTCTGACCTGCCACCAGAAGAGCAACCACATTCTCACCCCTTCCCTGGCGTAGTTGGGCCTTCGAATCGACGGCGGGATCTTGGGCTTGGGACTCAACGGGTAGACGGCCTGGACGGACCCGGAATACTTGAAGCTGCGAACGGCGGCGAACGGATCGAAAGTGAATGAGCTGGTAGCAGCTGCATCGTCGCTGCTGGTGGTAGCCGTCGGCGACATGGTGCGAGAGGATGCCGATGATAGATGATGGTCGCGAGAAAGGCCGTCTGGATCAGCTGCAAGGGGCGAGCTTTGTGCGTTTCCAAAAATTTTGGACTCAGTTTCTCCACTCTGCGAGAAAAATGGCATCATGTTAGAGTCGTGCTATGTGGAATGCTATCGATGCTCAGACCCTGCCTGGCTCGTACTAAGCATGCCTCACACACGGTCATCGACGGCATGCTTGTCTCACTCGAGGCAAAACACAGGTTCAAAGTGATCCACGTTGGGAGACAAAAGTAGAGATGGATTACAATCTGTGCAAAAGCGTTCAGATACCTCGGCCACCAGTAACCTCGAGGATCTGACCCGAGACGTACGAAGCGAGGGGGCTGGCGAGGAACAGAATCGAAGCAGCGGCCTCCTCGGCGTCACCTGGCCTGCGCAGAGGAATATCAGCCACCGCAGTCACCGACGACGACTTGGAGTCGCCAGCGGCGGGACGGCCTGGGATACCAAGGGCGATCTTCTTGCCGCCGATCTCGATGGAGGCGCCGGCCTCCTTCGCCTGGGTGAGACGCGTGTTGATCCAGCCGAAAGCGACGCAGTTGACACGGACGCCGAAGGGACCCCACTCCTTGCACATGGTCTTGGTGAGACCCAACACGCCGGACTTGGCAGCCGAGTAGTTGACCTGGCCGACGTTGCCGTGGGTGCCCGAGGTGGACGAGACATTGACGATGGCCATGTTCTCGCGCTTGCTCTCGTCCTTGATGCGGAAGTAGGGCGCAGCAGCACGGATGATGCGGAAGGGCGCGGTGATGTGGCACTCGAGCATCAGCTGGAACGTGTCGTCGTCGGTGGTGTGTGCCATCTTGTCCGCAGTGAAGCCGGCGTTGTTGACAATGATGTTGAGCTTGCCCCACTTGTCGACGGCAGCCTTGACGACCCGCTCGCCAAAGTCCTTGTCCATCACGTTGCCGGCAAGAGGAATGGCCGAACCGCCGGCCTTGGTGATCTGAGAGGCGACATCCTGGGCCTTTTTGGCGTCAAGGTCCGAGACGACGACGTGAGCACCGTGGCTGGCAAAGAGCTTGGCGGTGGCTTCACCGATACCCTGACCAGCACCGGTGACGATAGCGACCTGATCCTTGAGGAGAGGCGCGGCTGTAGAGCAGAAGCGAAGAGCAAAGGAGTAGACGGTTAGCGATGTGATGCTTTCGATGAGCCACTATGAAGCGGATGGACACTCACGACCCGAAAGGTGGCCGGCGATCTGAGAGACTCGTTGCGACATGGTGCTTGTGTGAGAGTGTGTTGTTCGAGAGAAGGTGGTGTGAGCTAGAGACGTGGCAGAGACTGCTTCACTATAAGTATGGTCGGATGCAGGAGGCAGGCTCGGATGTGTCTAAACTTCTTGCCTTGTTTCGTGCGGGCGCGAGGAAGCCGGTCAGGCCGAAAGTGTCTGTGCCCGCAGCTCATACACAGAATCTGGGGAAGGCGCTTCACCCCAGCCGGGCCGGAAGCCTTCATACCCGGCGCCCAAAGGACATTTTTCGGCCGTGAAGGTTGCGAAACAGCTCTAACAAAACTCTTTTTATCAAATTTTACATTTGTTAGAGCTTTTGAGGTGACTGTCGGGCTGAAGGGACAATCCACTATTCCCGGCATCGCCTGTTCGGCACGTTTGCAGGAGGGTGCCGTCTCTGCGCCAACGACAAAAGAGGTGCCGGTCAACGTAGACGAGCGATGCAGTTAGATCTTTGACTCGGCGTTTGGGAGGTCTTCGCCACGCGAGGACTCAAGAGGGTCGGTCGTTTCATGACAACCTCAAGGCAGTGCGTTGGTGTGCTTGTTTGAGCTTCAATTTGAAAATGGCGCAGCGCAGGAAGCGAGCAGGGCAGCAAGGCGACCAAAGGCAGTTGACAGGCTGGTTTGTTTCATGCAGACGGCGAACCCTGCAGCAAAAGGGAAGCGAGCCCATTGTTCAAACGCGCCTCGTGGCTCAACCGTGGGGGCAATCGTGTTCTTGTCAAGCTGGAAGAACCCTTCGCAAGATGCAAGGAATGATGCCGACCTTCTTCAAGACGGACCAGTAGTGAGCGCGGGCGACCACCATCACTACCACCGCCACGTTCCTCTTCGCACAGCATATCCAGCCCTTGGATCTCCTGACTATCGACCGCGTCTTCCATGCTCGCCAACACATCTACCACACGATGATCAACCTGCGGCTGCGCTACGTAGCGCTTGCGCTGGTCGCCCTCCTCTCGTTGCACTACCTCTTCAGCTACTCATTAAGCGCCTACAACACTCAAGTGGACACAATACGCTCGAGCTTATACTCGACCTCGTCGAACCATCACGATCTCGCGCTTCCACACGCCAACACGCCCAAGGCGAACGCAACCTTTGTCATCCTCTGCCGCGAAGGCGAGATCAACGAGATCCTTCAAAGTCTTCAACTCCTCGAGACGACCTTCAACGACCGACCGCATCACCGCTACCCTTACGTCTTTCTCAACGAGAAACCCTTTTCGGCCAACTTCAAGCTGCGCGTCGAGCGCGCCGTCTCGTCGAGCGTCGAATTTGGTCTTGTGCCGCCAGAAATGTGGGACATTCCACCGCACATTGACCTTGTCAAGGCGCAAAAGTCGTGGGATCGGGCCAAAAAGAGCGGCATGCCATATGGAGGCTCGCAATCCTACCGCCAGATGTGTCGATTCCAGTCCGGCTTCTTCTTCCGCCATCCGCTCGTGCTCAAGTACAGGTACTACTGGAGGATCGAACCAGGGGTCAAGTTCTTTTGCGATCTGACGGATGACGATCCTTTCCGGTACATGGAGCAGAACAACAAGAAGTATGGGTTCGTGCTGGCGATGCACGACATCCCGGGGACGGTCAGGACGCTGTGGATCTGGGTCAGGCAGTGGTACGAGCAGAACCAGGAGCTTCTTGCGCCCAACAACATGTTTGGCTTCGTCACCGAAAACAACGGGCGCGGATACAACAAGGTACGTTCCCCCACTCCACCATTCAACATCCATCTCGCTGGATACTGACAAGCTTGTTATCTCCCTTCGTACCGCTTCAATCTGGGTTCCGGCAGTGCCACTTTTGGTCCAACTTTGAAATCGCGGATATGGACTTCTACCGCTCCCCGGCGTACCTCTCTTTCTTTGACCACCTCGACAAGATGGGCGGCTTCTTCTACGAGCGATGGGGAGATGCGCCTGTTCACTCGATCGCCGCCTCGCTCCTGCTCGACAAGAACGAAGTGCATTACTTCGACAACATCGGATATCTCCATCCGCCGGTCATGCATTGTCCCAAGACGCCCGCCGCCAACGCCGTCTCGCCACATACGGGCAGGTCGAGATGCTACTGCGCACACGAGTCGTCTTTCGCCTTCGACGACAACCGTCAGTCGTGTCTGTACAACTACCTCGAGGTCAAGGGCAGAAACTCGAGCGATGCAAGAAAGGCCTTCATGAAGTTGGACATCTGATTGCGCGGAGGAGGTTGCTTCATTTTGGATCCAGCTTGGCGAGGATGGCAGATTGTGTAATCGTTCATCACTGTGTTTCTATCCCACGTGTCGTTCACAAAGTCAAACTGTAAAAAGTGGCGAACCAGATCGACTCACACAGAGACAAAGCGCAGAATTCAAAGGCGTGTGAGGGTGTAAAGCGTGGTACATTGACAGAGGATGTCTTGACGAACGGATTGAAGATGGCATGAAGAAGCAAGATGCGCGACCTGGTTCGAGGCTGCGATAGGCCCAAGGGCTTAGCGCACTATTGGCGTCAGGATGGCGATGGGCCGAGAAGTCGGCGAGGGAGATCTTGGCAAGCAGAGACACGTCCCGGGGGACAGAGCGATCAACGGAAAGAGCGACTTGTAGCGCCCGCAGTCGTACAGCTGTGACCTCACCAACCGGTGCAGTTGCTGTAGAGACCGTGCAAGTAGATCTCGTTGATCAGCCCCACCATGCGATCGATGTCGTGCGTAGTCACGGCTTCGGGCGTGTGGACCAGGCTGAGCTCGGCGATCAGTCGAAGGCGTCTGAGGAAGTACCAGTACCGCTCGGGGCTCTCCTTGATGATCTCGAGCTTGTCGTCGGTCGCCTGGTCGAGCCGGATCAGCAGCAGCTCGCTGACACGGCGATCGGCCGGCTCGTTCGGGTCGAGTTCGAACATGATAGACGCTGAGGACGAGCGCAGAGAAGGAGAAGAAATGTCGAAGTTTGACGTACGAGGGATCGCAAAGTGAGCAGATGGACAGGTCGAGGAGAAGAGAGGCGGACGCTGAGGTGTCTTTAAGAATGGCGGACATCATCCTGGCTGAGTCGAGCTGGATCGACCAGCAAAGCTCGTGCGCAGCCTTTCAGCCTTGCACAAGGCTTCGAGCGGGGCGATGGGACAAATGCTGCGCAGATCAGTTGCGGATGTAGCGCAAGGCATCCTTGACCGCGCTCGACCTGCACATCTGCGCCATCTCAAATGAAATGAAGTGGGACAATAGAGGGAACGGCTGCGCAGACTGCACCAAGCGAGTAACAACAGGAGAAAGAATCATTGAGATGGTACAAAGCGAGACGACACATCTACAAACGTGGTGCACAGCCTTACCAGACCAGCGGATGAGCGTCCTTGCACGAGGCGTGGCGTTGTCTATTGGCGCAGCAGGCCGTTTCAAAGCTCCGGTCCAAATATGGCGAGAAACTTGTCATGAAGTTGCCAGCTCTCGAGGAGGTCGATCAGGCGCCCTTCGTCTAATCGCATGGAAATCAGTCCTTGAAGAAGTGAGCACTCGGATTCCTGACCAATATATCGCCACCTCGTAGCCTAGAGACTCACCTTGCGCCGTCAGACCCGCGGGAGCAATCGTCCGAACGATGATGAGGCAAAAGTTCTGGCCCTTGAGCTCTTCGCGAACACGTTCTGCCACGTCGTACCTCAGACGGGCTGCACAAGCCTCGCCGACGTAGGGCCCAAGATTGGTGCAAGGCGTCAGCGAGCCGCTATCATCGAAGATGGAAGCAAGCAGGTTGACGAGATCTTCGAGTTGAGCGACATCGGTCTCCGTCATGCCGTCTGGAAAGTCGACACAGCTGGTCTGAGCCAGCAACTTGAGGCAGTTCACATAGAGATCGTGCGACTCTTCGAAGGCTAGAACGATGGTGCGCTTCTGGCGAGTCTCGGGTCCGAGATCAGCGAGCCAGAACTCCTGGAAGCGACGCTGAAATGGCATCGAATCCATGCTGCGAACGAGAGCTCGGAACAGCGACGTCTGGAAAGGTGGCTGATGGCAGGAGCGGGGGGATGGACCAGGCGAAGTCAATTGGCGCTGCCATTGAGGAGGAGAAAGCACAAAGCGGTCCAGGAGCTATAAGTACGACGAGCCCGGCGGCCGACGTGAGCCTGGCTCAGCTTTGCAGAGCGTCGTGTACGTAGCCACCGGGACGACAACTGCGCAGGGCCGAACGATCACAGGTCTTTGCAGTACGGAAAACAAAGCGCAAGCACGGCAGCGCAAGCGAAATGAAGTAGGACAATGGATATGCAGACACAAACCTTATTCCTCACAGAGGACACAGGGAACGAAAAGCTAAAAGACGATGTGATTTGCAGTCGTACTCGAGCGAACGGTGATGATTTGGACGGACATCTTTGGGGAAAGTCGTTGACCCATCGCGTGCTGGACAGCGTTCAATCATTTCGACTTCGGATCTTCGTCAGGGATCCATTTCTCGAAGAGCTCGACGATGCGCTCTTTGTCTGACGCCGACAAACATCAGACTCAAAAGGTCAGCATGCGATCGAGGTTCGGACGAAAGTGCCACTGCGTGAACGCTTACCTTCCTTTGGCAGACCTTGAGGAGCGAGGCTATACACGACGATGGCAGAAAAGCCCCTCTCCGCGGTCTCAGTTCTGATCTCATTGTCGGAGGGAGTGACAGCACGACGGCTCAAAACTGGACCGGGGTCGGCGCAGGGGGCCGAAGGAGGCTTGTTGGTGTATACTACGGTGAGCGTGTGGATGAGCTCTCTGACATGCTCGACATCGGAAGCGCTGATTGCGTCCGGAGTTGCGTCCATGCTGATTTCTGCGACGACTCGGAAGAGCTCGATGTAGAAGTCGTGCTGCTCTTCGTCTGATAGGATCTTCTGAAGCTTTGTGTCGATGTCGTGATCATGCTTGATCTCCCAGAGCGCATGAAATCGTTTGTCGAGAAGCGCAGATGCCATGCTGATAGTTGGTTCGTCACTACTGTGCAGGGATGCAAAATAGAGTTGTGAAGTGAGTGGATGGTGTCGAGAGATGAAAGGAGGAACGAGACACGATCCATGTCTAGTGGCAGCACAGTGACAGGCGTGTGGGAAGCGCCGGTAAACCATGCAGGGAGGCCGGTGCGTTGCCAGACATCCGGGATGTAAGCACCGACGAGCACGACCTTTTGAACTATAAGAAGGAAATGCACACGTGACATTGCAACGGAAGAGTGACAATAGAACAGATGCATGCACAAGCCCACTAGGCAAAGGCAGACGGACGTTACAATGCGCGCCTACGCCAGTGCCGACAAGATTGGTTCGAGTGCTAGTATCAAAGCGAATGAGGATTGGCCGGAAAGATTGCGGAGGATCGATAGATCGAGAGGAAGCCACCGATCTGTCGCCTGTTCCTCGCAGGCCCATTCAAAACTCGTAGATCGCGTTGAGAGACTTGTTAGAATCCCAAGTCTGGAAGAGTCTGACAATGCGCTCCTCATCTGTTGAAGAACGACATATCAGATCAGACCTGTCAGTATGCAACGATCACGAGCAAGATTGTCGAGTCTAGCGCCATCGTACGGAAACCAACCTTCAAAGGATAGACCTGGAGGAGCAAAACTATGGATCATGTTCGCAAGAAAACCCCTACGCCTGGGGTCAACACTCTCAGTCGCGCCCCTCATCATGCGTGCGAAGCCAGCAGCGCTGGAGTAGGGGCCAGGATCGGTGCAAGCGGCTGAAGGAGGTTTGTTGCTGAAGATCGAGGTGAGCATACCGACAAGCTCTTTGACATGAGCAGAGTCCGCGCTCCTGACGGCAACAGGATCCGCAGCGACGCTGATTTCGGCGAGCATTGCGAGAAGGTCGATAAAAAAGTCGTGCGGATCCTCGTAAGCCAGGAGCCTCTTGCGCTTTTCGTCAGTCTCAGGGTCGAGCTTAATCTTCCAGAGCTCCTGAAAGCGAACGTCAGGTAGAGGTGGAGCCATTATGTGCTTGGCGATTGTTGGATGAGGGTCGCGAAAAGCTTGCGGTGTGAGTCGATGATGGAAATGAAGGAGAGGCGAAAGCGAAGCCAAACACGGTCTATATATGATGTCGGCTCAACAAGAAGGTTGCAGCTTTGCAAGAAGGTGGGTTCATCATCAGATGGACGGGACCGAAGCGCAAATGAGCACGGTCTTGGTAAACAATAAGGCGGAGACGCAGCTGTGACATTGCAAAGGGAGTGTGACAATAGAGAAGACAAAAGCACGACATGCAGCAAACTTCAATATGCGCAGGTGGGCGCATCTGGAGGGACTGTGCATTGGAGCAAACATCGGCTCAGTCGCACTTCTCGCTAGATGTCAAGCCTATCGAAAGCGGAAGAGAATGGACGGAAGTGAGAAGCGAGCCACGAGATGGGAGCTGAGCTACGCGTGGAGACGCGCGTGCTGGCCGGGTTCCGGTAAGGGAACTAACCGATGGTGTTGATGTCGAGGAAGAACCACTCGACGTTGGTGACGCCCTTGAAGTCGGGGTCCTTCTGGTTCTTGTTAAAGAACTTGGGGTACAGACCCTCGTCGATCAGCACGCCCACTTGAGGGCCGTTGGGGTTGTTCTTGCCAGTGTTGTCCCAGTAGCCACCGTCGTGCTCGACAACCCAGGCCTGGACCCAGTACTCGGCGTGCTCGTCGGTCTTGGGCACCTTGATCATGGCACGAACCTTGCAGCGACGGTCGTAGACGTTGTTGAAGTACAGGTATGGGACTGCCATCGTGTACCGGGGGATGCCGGCAGGGTAGGCGGCCGGGTTGGCGGTGTCGAAGCAGGCTCCACCAGGCGGCGTCAGGCTGGCCGTGACGTTCATGGCCTTCGCGACAGAGTAGGCGTGGTACTTGTAAGATGGCGACAGATAGCACGACACGTTGTAGTCGTCGAGGAAGGCATATTGACCGTTGTAGTGTCGCCACTGGCAAGTGGGGAAGGTCGACTTGACGTCCTTGGGCGCAGGCAGACCCTGACCGTTCCGCTTGAGGTACTGGTTGGCCAGGTTGAGACCGAACTCGGGGCTGGTAGAACCCGACTGAGAAGTGACGACGGCGTCACGACGCTGGAAGGCCATACCGACGGATGCAGCCTGAGCAGCTGGCACGAGGGCCGCGGCGAGGCAGATAAAAGCACCAAATGCGAGCTTCATCGTAACAGAGAGAGTAAGAGAGAGTGTGTCTACGTTTGAGAGAGGGGAATTGGGGCTTGTTGCGAGGAGTAGTGGAATGAATGAACGAGGATGAGGGACAGACTTCTGAATGAGCCAAAAGGGGCCTCTATAAGTACTGGAGATCTCCAGACTTCGAGATGACAAGTACCGGAAACAGGATCACAGCGTCTCGTGCTATGACAACCACTTTGACGGTCACATGTTCTGACTGACAGCAGCACTCGCTGCTCGAGAACGAAGTCTCACTGACGCCTGTGGTGGGAACCCCTGCTCATGATCAGCGCCTTTCCTCCCACGTAGGTGGGACCGAGTGGGCACAGACGCAGGGCCGTTGTCACTAGCACCACACAAGCGCCCACCATGCATCACAACGTCTCTCTCACGTGCGACTGCTCGGGCCCAAGACCGTCCTGGGGTACTTTCGCCGTTCTGCTGTGGAGCCCAATCAAGCCGACCCGCTGATCAGGCAAGCCAAATTCAAGCCCGACGACATTGTCTCGATAAGGTTCATGGCGCCGAGTCTTTCGTGCGGGCCTCATGCCCTTCTGACATGAAGGGAACCGAGCAGCCGTCAGGACGAAGGTGGGACTGCCAAGCAGCTTGTGAGAATTTCATCTCGGATCGAAAGCGAGTTGCGATAGGCTGTCCTCAGCAAGCTCGGGCCTGCTGTCCCGGACGGTCTGCGGTTCCGACGGCGCTTGCTCCCACACAACCTCGGCGGGGCCGGTTGCTCTCCATCAGGAGGTCTGGGCGAGAGTATTTGGTCAAAGGGGTGACAAAACCTGTCGACTCCGCGTCTCATGTAGGTCTGCCGAGATCCGTGCTTCACTATCACGCGTGAACTCTGATCCGACCTGATCCGAGCACAGCACAGTGTTGAGTCCATGCGAATTACAGATGAGGAAGGGTATCAACAGCCGACGTCTCGATCGTCGTCACATTGGGATGAGGGCAATCAGCAGCCTCCTCCTCCACCACCGCAGCCGCCACCGCCGCCCCCACAGCCGACCCCAGCCGCGCCCATGAGACCGAGGCTGTATCCGGCCGCAAAGCCACCGACAGGATTCATCGAGACCGCCATCAATCCATAAGCACCATAAGTGGTATATGCGTTGACAGCATCGCCTGTCGAGCCTCGACTGACAACATGTGTGCTGTAAAGGGGTGAGTGGTAAAAGGGGTACAAGCCAGGAGTGTTGTATCCGAACCTGTTTGACGAAATGGGGGCAAAGCAAAGGTGGGTCAGTATGAAATGTTTGACTGGGTGGGGATGTGGCGGTGGTGGGGGTCAACTTACACAAAGGCACTTTCGTGGCCCTCTCGGCGTTTGCCCTGGGCCCACTCTTTGACCATCTGCTCGCGTAATTTGTCGTGAGACTCCTCGGCCTCTTTGACGATGACGGCCTGATGCGCGCTCGGGTGGGTGGCGTCCTGCCAGTGGGTGGTGTGATCCTGCTGGTCGCCGTTGAGCGCCTTGGCAGCTCGCCACTTGCCTTTGAGACGAGAGGCGAAACCGGACGACTTTTCATTTGCAGCATCGGATGACTCGGCCGCAGTACTGTTGCCACCGAGGAAGCCTTTGAGCTTCTTGACGGTACCGGGATTGTTGTAGATGCAGCCGCAAAGTGAAAACGGCTGACCGTATCGGTCTTTCCACAGTGTCGCCGTGACGTCGAAGGCGTTCTTGAGGATGCCGGTCTCGATGGCGTCGTCGTGGTTGATGAAGCGACCGACCAATCGGAAGCTCTGGTCATAGTATTTTGCTTGAAGTTGATGCGTGTGCCAGCAGAGATCGATGTCCAACGTCGGCGTAAGGAGCGTGTGAGTTGATGCCATGAGATCCAAAAACTTGTAGTATCGGATCAGACTGCGCGAGAGAACGTCGTCGAGGGCTCCCTGATCCAAGAGGTCTGGATGCTTGGACCAGCCCAACTTCTCCATCTCTTTATTGAAGGACGTCTGTCGCTTGACAGCATCGACCAGATCACAGGAGGCTTCACCGAAGGCGGCAGCATTGCCGGTCTGATAGCATCGCATCACGGCAGCGATGCGCGCCATCTGCTGTCCCTTAGCTTGATCGCTGTTGAGTCTGGGCGAGACGGCATCGCTCATCCAGCGATCCTCGAACCACTTGCGGAAGGTGATGAAGTTGTAGTCGCACTGTTCGGCAATCTCAGTGATCTCTTGAGTCGAATGCCCTTTGCCTGGCTTGTGTGTGACGTAACGATTGGCGTAGAGGATCCTGCAGGGCTTTTCGCTGCGGAAGATGGGTTCCAACAGAGCGCCGCCAAGATTGTCAATGGCCACGTTCTGACGATGCGGATCGGCGAGCTTGGTGCCAGCCATCCAAAAAACACCCTCCGGATAGAGAACCTTCTGAGGACGATGAGTCGAGGTGCGCCAGAGGGCATAATGGTCCAGAAAGCGACGCATTTGGAGATGTTCGGCGGCGATGGATTGGCCACAGCCCTGATCCGAGCAGGTGCGTTGCCATCCGGTTTCACCGAGGCCGAGTTGCTGAGGCTTGTCGCCGACACCGGTCCAGGGGATGAACTGAGACGTTTTGCAGCGCGGGCAGTCGATGGAAAGACCAAAAATGGAGCCACCGTAGGTTTCTTGAGCGTGGGTTGGATGGCCAGGAGGGGGTTGCAGGCTGAGATCCCAGGGCTGCTTAGAGCGCTTGGCGGTGACGGCCTCGTTCCAGAATGTCTTTGCCGGCTCGACGTTGTTGAGAATAGGCAGGGTGGAATGAGCGCGTTGAGCGAGCTGGCGAAGTGGATAGTCAAAGTTGAAGAGATTGTAACGCGATCGGAGGCGTTGGGTATCTTCCTCCTTGTGGAGCGGGTTGAGGTGATAGGCATGGAGCATGAGGGCGACGTCGATGGGAGGCAACGCAAAGTCGGGGAGATCGAAGCCGTCTAGCGGTGCCTTTGTCGTGTCTTGATCGCGCTGAGGTTTCAGAACCGTGTTGTAGTGATTGTTGAGCTTGGAGGAGGAGAGAACATTTTGGCACCACAGCTCGACACGGTATGCAGCGCGGTTGAGAAAGATGTTCCATCGACGCTCTTGAAGAAGCTGCTGGCTGAGCTCGGCAGCGGCCTTGTCCGCCTCTTCTTTGGTTGGTCTAAGACCGGTCTTGGGATGGACTTGAGGAACTGGGTCTGCAGCGGGTGCGTAAGGAGGCGGAGGAGCGTCGATGCCTGGTTCGTCGATGTGACCTGCGTCTTGGTGGCAAGAGGGATAGTCAAAGTATTCGGTTCCTTTGTGAACAGCTTCCCGCAGTCGATCAAAGAGATCGAGAAGCTTGAGGTGGTCCTTGAGACGATCGAGCGAGCAGAATCGCTGAGCACTCGTGTTGATCAGGCCGACACGGACGCCGTCCTGAAGCGCCTTTTCAAGCTCTTTGCGTTCTTCGGGAGTGAGACCAGGACCATCACAGATCTTGATGGAGGCGCTCTGAAGGGTAGCGGTAATCTTTTCGACGTCGGCCGATGTGGATGGTTGCGGAGCGCTGCCAGTGGCGAAGCCGTAGTCCGGGAGATGCGAACTTGTTGGCTGCTGCTCGGAGGGGCTATCATCGGAGCTGGACGTAGAGCCGTTGCTCAGAGGGGGAGTGGTAGTGCGCGCCATGATGAGACCTGACACGATGATGATGGATGATGATAGTCGAGACGAAAGCGTTGTCTTTGAAGGAGGACAGAGCGGAAGGGCTACAGTCGACAGGCGGACGCCGGTCAATCCGGCGGAAGTGGACGATTGATCATGTGCGGCGGCGACCTTTGGAAGCGGGCTATGGAAGAGCGGCGTTATCTCGCATGTGAAGGCTGTCTCTCCGCACTCGCCACTCAGAAAGAGGGCATGTGCCTGGCGTGGGGTCAGCTGAGGGTCAGGGTCCACAGGGCGCGAGAGACGCAGAGGGAGTGGGAGAGAAGGCGAGCACCTCGGCTGATTTTGTGCGGCTGAGCTTGATCCGCGTCCCTAACAATTTTAGCTCGATTTTCTGGCCACATTTTCCAGTCTGAATTTCAGTCTCTTATTTTTTTGGTGCGAAAATATGTGTTGCGCACGCTGTGAGATGACGGAGCCGAGGTCAAAGCATTTCGAGCTGCTGTGCCTTCTGGACCCTTGAAAAAGACTTGTTTTACGCCTCTTGCTTCTTCCCACCCCCATCCAAGCCTTCGAGATCCGTCAAGCGAAGATGACAGCGATACGAATCGTTCACCCCGCTCCTGACGTCAAACGAGGCGTGCAGTACTGGGAAGGTGTCGAGGCCAGCGTCGATGGCGTCCTCGGTGGATTCGGTCACGTCTCGAGAGTCGAATCGTTAGGCTCGCGCTCTTTCCTCCTGAGCGTACTCCCGCACCTCTCCTTCTGCGCTCCGGCATCGTCCAATGTATCATCGTCGCAATGGAAACAAGACAGGGTTGCGGAGCGAGGCGGAAAAGGCAAAGCACGCACGCGGGCTCTCGACTGCGGTGCAGGTGTCGGAAGGGTGACGCAATACAGTCTCCTCCCCATCTTTGACGAAGTGCACATGGTCGAGCCCGTCGCTAAGTTTCTTCTAGAGGCAAAGAAGCAGTCGATGTCGTGGCCTCAGATCCAAACACCACCGAGCAAGTCGCCTTTCAAAGCACGCAAGGCGGTTCACTACCATTGCTCGACGCTGCAAGACATGGATCCAAGTCGACCGTACACTTCTGCACCGCGCGTGGGTGACGGCGATATCCGGCCCACAGTCTCCATCGACGACGAGCCTTCCTCACAGCAAGACACCGCCACGAAAGAGGCGGCATCATCAGAACAGGACGGCGTAGCAGGATCGACAGCAGAGCCCATGACTTTCGACCTGGTCTGGGCACAATGGTGTCTGCAGCATCTTTCGGACCGAGACTTGATAGCCTTCCTTCAGCGATCAAAGGCGGCGCTCAAGCAAGGCGGTATCATTGGTGTCAAGGAGAACGTCTGCAGCGAAGAGGCAGATGGCAACGAACGAGTCTGGTACGACGACGAGGATCACAGCATCACGCGATCGACAAAGGCGTACGAGCGCGTCTTCAAGGAAGCAGGACTCGAGATTGTCAAGTGCGAGATCCAATTCGGCATGCCCGCCGAGCTGTTTGTTGTCAAAATGTGGGCATTGCGTTAGAGCACGAATCATCCCGACGGATCTGCAATCATACCAAAGGCACCGACAAGAAGGACTTTGGCCCCAGAAAGTTTTAGGACACACAGTCATTGAGGTGAACGGAATACGATTCGGACTCGTAAGCACGAGCCCGCGGGTATGTGTTTTGAGCGATGAACTGTGCTAGTTCGCAGACTTGCGAATCTTGTCGAGCATCACCTCCATCCTGGCTCCCAGGTTCGGCTGTCCTCTTGCTTGACCGGTACGACTGCCGCTGGCTTTGTTCCACATCTTGTTCTTCTTGAGACGCTCCTGCTCCTTCTCCTCTTTGCTCCTGGTGTCTCGTATCCTCTCTGGCTCTTGATTTGAAGGAGCTTGTGCTTTTGGCAACGGATGTGGCAACGGCTTCTTGCCCCTTGCTTTGCCCGTCGGCTTTCGTGGTCGCAGATCCTGCTTGCTTCCGGACAGCGCCAGATCCAGTTCCGCACCGTCATTGTCTCCTGCTCCGTTCTCCGGTGCAAATCGACCCTGATCTGTTGGTAACGAGAAGGGCAGACTCGAGTTGTTCTCTGCAGCTGCTCTCTTTTGCGCTGCGCTTCCTCGCTGTCCTAATGGCGCAGCATTCGAGCTTGTGCCGCTCCCTGATGCCGCCTTGTCCTGCTTGATCTGCTTGTAGTACTCCTTCTTGACCTTGGCCTTGTGGATGAGTTCGGCCTTGATGCGCTTCTGCTTGCCCAAGTAGGCTCCATCGGGAAGATGTTTAGGTCCCACTTGGAAGCCACCCGACTTCTTGCCGTTGGAAGGTGTCGCCGATGTGCGGTGCTTGACAAGCTGCCTCTTGGTCAGCTTTTCTGGCGCCATTCTGCCAAACAGTGTGTCGTTGCGTATTCGACGCTTAGAAGGTGATGGTGAAGCCGAGGAAAGAGAAAAACCACCAAAAAGCTGCAGTTGCGAATTTGGCCGCGGAGTGGAGTGACAGCTGAGAAACCTAAAAAAGCCCGAAACGAAGTTTTCAGCGTGGGACCCTGTCTTTTGTCAATCACCACTCACTTCTTCTCGTTTCGCCATCACATCACACCAACCCTATTCGTCAATAGCCACAAGCTCAGCCCGTGTTACCATCATGGGAAAGTCAACAAAAGACAAGCGCGACATCTACTACCGCCAGGGCAAGTCCGAAGGCTACCGAGCTCGATCAGCATACAAGCTTCTCCACCTTAATGAGCAGTACGGCTTCTTGGGCGGCGCAGAAGGGTATGCACTCGATGCCGCCGAAGGATCGTCCTCATCCTCTTCATCAGCATCTGCAAACCAGCTCGACTCGTCCTCTCAGAAGCGCTTTCCGACGCCGACGAGAGTGGTCGACCTATGCGCTGCACCCGGATCCTGGTCGCAGGTCCTCTCTCGGCGTCTCGCCTCCGTCCCCGGCTCCCATCTCGTCGCTGTCGACCTGCAGGCCATGGCACCACTCCCTGGCGTCACACAGATCATCGGCGACATTACTACTCCAGCCACGGCAGACGCGGTCAGCGTGGCCCTTTCCGACGGACCTTCACCCGATGCAAAGGGCAAAGGCAAAGCCCGAGCCCAACTCATCGTCTGCGACGGTGCACCAGACGTGACAGGTCTCCACGACCTTGACGAGTACCTTCAATCACAGCTCCTGCTCGCTGCGACGCAGATTACCTTCCGACTTCTCGAGGTGGGCGGCACGTTCGTCGCCAAGATCTTCACGCAGCATCCGCAGGCCGGGTTGGGAGCCTCGCTGGGCAACATGGATCTCAAGGGTGCCAGACCAGCGACGTCGGGTGCACTGCTGGCGGATCAGCTCAGGACCTTCTTCGACAAGGTAGACATTGCTAAGCCCAGAAGCTCAAGGTTGGGTAGTGTCGAGCATTTCTTAGTGTGCTTGGGATTCAGGCCTCCGCAGGGCTTGCCGGCTGGGATTGTGGGGAGCCTGGCGGAACTACCATCAGTAGCGGACGGGACAGATACTAGGATAGAGGACGAGGCGAGGGAGGACCTCGTTCGATACGCTCAGAAGCTCAGGTCACAGCTTGAGCGTCCTGACGCTTTTCACGGGCTCACACAATCGACGACGAAGGAGCTTTCAGCAACACTGCCATTCGTAGCATACGGCGATCTTAGCGGCTTCGACCAGTAGGCTTTGCATTGCAATCTATCGCAGACGGAGTTCGGTCATTGATATCTCGTCTGCAAATCCCAGTATTCCTGAACGTGGCCGTGCGTTAGGGGTTCTCCCAGTCATTGGCCTTCTTCTCGGACCAGAACTCGCCCGGCTTGGCGCCGACCTCTTGTAACGCCAGCAACACGGGCGTCTCTGCGCCCTGGTCGAGCGTCTTATACCCTTTACCCTTGGTCATGTCAGTGTTGACGTAACCGGGACAGCACGATACGACAAACACATTCTTGCCCTGCTGTTCGTACTCCTTTGCCAGGGCCCTCGTGTACGCAATGACACCGCTCTTGCTCGTAGCGTACGCGGCGCCCTTCCAGCCCTTTTCCTTCCAGCTTCCATCTGCTACGACGTCCTGGAACTCTTGCATGAGGTCATCTACATCCTTGATGCTCTTCGACTCGCGGAAGCGATCGCGGACATTGTCGCCAAAGTTCTTGAGCACTCCCGTCAGCGAGGCGATGTTGACGATGCGACCGCCGTCCTTGACCTTGATGTTCTGGATCATATCCTGCACGGCGTAGTAGTTGGTCCGCACCGTCTGCTTGGCAACGTTGCCGTCAAAGCCGTCCATCGCAATGCCGGCGTTGTTGATCAGGATGTCGACGCCAGACTGCAGCTCAGAGCCGAGCTTGACGATCGAATCGTGCGACGTGGTGTCCAGCTGTCGGACTTCGATGGAGACCTTATCCAGGATGTCACTGGCAAGCTCGGACTGGAGCGACTTTTTAGCGTCCTCTCCCTTTGAGACATCGCGCGAGCCAAGGTAGATGGTGAGCTTGTCCGAGGTGGACTTGGAGAGTGGCGAAGAGGGGTACTCGTTGGCCAGGCGGCGGACGATGCCGTACCCCAAGCCGCGGTTGCCTCCGGAAACGAGAGCGGTGACCATCTTTGCGAAAGATCCTGCGAATAATCTGGGAATGATGGTGTGCTGGAAGGAGTCAACGAGCAAGGGAGAACTTATAAGTCTTCTGCGCGCTGACTGTTTGCCGCTCAGGTGAGAAGATGATGATCTTAGCCGCGCGAGGAGGAGTGTGTGGAGGTTGACTGGCTCGGCTATTTGATTTCCTGCAAGTGCACAGCCGAAATGGCTCAGTCGAGTGAAGGATTCAGCTTTGGATCATCGTGGTCGGTGCGCAGCTTCACCTCCTGCACAACACTTCATCTTCGTCGTCTCTTCCTTCCATTCTATCGTCCCTTCTTCACACCAGCCATCGACAGCCTCAAGTCCTCCGCAACACGTCGTCAGCAATGACTGCGCCTTTCAGAGCCACAATGGGGCTGCGCATCGCTGCAGAGGCGCTGGTCCGTCCCAGCACCAACTCTGCAAGTTCCATTCGCTACTCCTCTTCAGGACTGGCGGCGTCTGGCTCGAGGCTGCTGTCCACTACTGTCGTCACCTCGACTCGTCGTATAGAGGTCGCTGAACAGTCTCTAAAGACATTCCATGTCCAAGCTCGTGGCCTGTCACGATCCACCCCTATTCGACGAGACCAGCTGTCACCAGAAGCACTACGCAAGCAGATCGAAGATCAGCTCTTTCGACGCGTCGGTCAAGTCGGCCAGCCACAGTATCGACAACCCGCCCAATATCAGCGCTTTGGTGGCGGCGGCGGTGGAGGCGGTGGTCGCGGAGGGGGATCCTTCTTCTCCCGACGCCCTCAAACGCTCGTCCTCCTTGCTCTCGGCGGAGGCGGCATCTACTACGTCTTCCATCTCGAGCAGGTTCCTGAAACAGGTCGATGGCGATTCATCGACGTCAGCCCAGCACAAGAGCATCAGATGGGCCAAGAGACCTTCCAACAGACCCTGGCCGAGTATCGCGGTCGCATCCTGCCCGCCTCGCATCCGGATTCGAAACAGGTGCGCTCCGTTGCCAGTCGTATCGTCGCAGCGCTCGACAAGGCGGTTGACGGACAAAACCAGCCGCAGCACACTAAGGGCGATTCCAGCATGACGCACCACTCGCATGGTGAAGAAGGCGGTATCTCGTACGGTTCCCACTCTTCCGGCGGTAGTGGTGCACAGTCAACGAGCTTCGGCCAGGCGAGTGCTGACCCATCTCAACCCGCCACCAAATGGGAAGTCTTTGTGATCGACGATCGCAAGCAGAAGAACGCCTTCGTGCTTCCCGGAGGCAAGATCTTTGTCTTCACCGGCATCCTGCCCGTGTGCGCCAACTCGGACGGCCTAGCTACGGTCCTCGGTCACGAGGTCGCCCACCAAGTCGCGCGGCATTCCGCCGAAAAGGTGTCGGGCTACAAGGTCCTCGTCGCCGGCTCGTTCCTGTTGGACGCATTCGGACTGGACATCGGGCTGAGCAGAACGCTCTTGACGCTGCTCCTATCGCTACCCAACTCGAGAAAGACCGAGCTGGAGGCGGACTATCTGGGACTGAGGATCATGAGTCGGGCCTGCTTCGATCCGAGAGAGGCCAGTCGGCTCTGGACCAGGATGAGCGAGAGTGAGGGTGGGGGAGGTGGAGGTGTGTTGGATAGCGCACAAGCGCTGCTGTCGACTCATCCCGTGTCAAGTCAGAGGATCAAGAACATGGAAAAGTGGTTGCCGGAGGCGATGAGTACGAGGGAGGCGAGCGACTGTCCGGCGCCGGAGACGGTGGCTGGGTTCCGAGGTGCGAGCGGGCTGGGTCAGAGATCCTTCTCGCCCTTCTGAGGGGTCACATCCGATCAGGATTCCGAGCAATGGTCACCACTTATCACACACAGAAAGCCCGATGAGATGAATGCTGCTTTCTATTGCTGTTCCTACTGAGACGTCTTCTGCAAGTTGACACGCCACGCGCTCGGCGGCAGCGCCTGCAGCTTCCTACAAGCCGGAAGAATGTACGTCACCAACAACACCGTCCCCACCACAACGCACAGCGTCGATGTCCAATAGTACCCGTCGCGCTCGATGACGCACACGCCGCCCGCTGCGGAACACGCCGCCTTGCCCAGATCCGAGGTGCATTCATCGCCTCCAATGCCCTTGGACGCGGTCGCCCAGAGCTTGGCGATCTCGGGATCTCTGAGCAGCGACCCACTCGACGGCGGCTGGCAGCTCGAGATGGTGAAAAGGTCGACGGCTTTCAGCACAAAGTAGCGCGGCCACGTGCCACCCAGGTTGGAGACGGTGTTGAGCAGCGTCATGTAGGTTCCGCCGATGAGGGGGTCTGCGATCTGAGTGTGGAATGCGGAGATGCCGACAAACTGGACGGTGGACGCAAAGCTACCCGCGACAGTGCTGGCGATGACGACGAAGAAGTAGCCCGTTCCGATGGGTGCTTTGGGCATGCCGTGCACGATGGCCATCGACAACACGGCAAAGCCGAGACGGAAGAAGAAGGCGACCACCCACGGCTGCAACGCCCGCTCTCCTTTGCTCCACCGCGCAGCCAGATAGCCGAAGATGAGCTGGAAGGGGAAGTCGATCAGAACGGCCAACGCAAGGTCCTCCTTGCCAAAGCCCTTCTCGACCAGCTTGAGACCTGTCACTGCTTCGTTGGCCTGGAAACCGATCTTGGCGACAAAGTGGATCAGGATGAAGGTCTGCACGTGCTTGAGGCGGCAGATGCGCCACATGATCGAGTAGACCTGCTTGACGTCCATGTCCGGCGCCTCGTCCGACTCCTCGTCCTCCTTCTTGAACACCACGAGCCACGCGGTCACCAACAAGAAGCCCACCGCCCAGAACCGCATGTACGCCGAGAGCGACAGCAGCGGATACTCGAGCGGTGTCGATCGGAAGTACTTGTTGCTGAACTCGACCGAGTTGAAGGCGAGAAACACGGTGAAGCTGAGAAAGTAGCCCGAGTTGAGACCCACCGTCTGCGCCGTGCTAGCATACGACAGATTCTCCTGCGAAAGCAACGTCAGCGCCCAGCCGTCGACAGCAATATCTTGGGTCGCAGCAAACAGGATGAGCACGAAGAAGATGAGAGTGATGAGCTTGACGTTAGGCAGGTCGGCGAGGAGAAGTTGGTCGACGTTGCTGGAGAGGTACCAGAACATGACGCCGACCACAGCCTGGATGGGTACAATCCAGCTTTTGCGCCGCCCGAGCGAGATCGTGCCGAAGAGCGGGAGTTGCAGCTCGTTGACAAAGGTGGAGTCGACGATGGGGCTCCAGAAGAGCTTGAGCGAGTAGGGGTAGGTGCAGAGCATGAAGAAGCCGATGTCGCCGTAGCTGAGCTTGGACTTGAGCAGGAAGGGCATGGTGCCGAATGCGAGTCCTACTGGTACGCCTTGCAAGAGGTAGAGCACCACGAGCAGGATCATGGCCTTTTGATCTTGCGGCGAGAGATCCATGAATCCGGACGCTTCCGACTTGGTCTGCTCCGCGGTGACGGAGACTCCGCTTTTGCCGTCGACGGACGTGGTTGTAGGATTGAGCACTGCATCCTTGCCTGTTGCAGCCACGACGCCGCTCGCATCCGAGTCGTTCGACGTTTCGAGCAGGTCGGACCTCTCCACGGCTTCTGAGCTAGGGGTGCCATTGAGCAGAGCCGCTGTGGGTCGTTGACGGAGGTTGCCTTTGGACGGCGTCGACGACGAGCTCTTGGCTCCTTTTGATGTCGCCATGCTGAGCAGCCTAGATGGTGGTCGGGAGAGAGACAGAGGCTCACACCAAAGTTTGAGGTGATTACTAAAAGTTGGGTGCATGACACACATTCTTACTGCGGAGAAGTCGAGCTTTGCTGGCTCCCTCGCGTGTCGCAACCCGCGGCGTTCCACGTCGCTGTTTCTTCCAAAGCAACAGGTGCGAATGTTCAAAATTGTTACATCGAAGGCAACGCCTGTGTCTGAATAAGTAATTCCGATTTTTTGGGGTCTAACAAGCTTGAGAAACTCCCTTCGGCCCATTCGAGCGCTTATCTCCAAGCTTTTGCCGAGCAGCCGTGTCGATAAGAAGAGGGTCGGCTATCAAGTTTTGATAGGACAGATAGCGAAGTTTTCTTCTTGCCGCAATCTTCCCGCGGGTGGATCCTGCTTTGCCTTTTTGCCTCTGCATGCGACATGAACGCCACCAACGTGAAGAGGCCGTTCGAATCGCCAGTATGGTGTGCGAGGTCATGTGCAGTCGAGCGTTCTTCAGCCTGAGCGTCGACTTCTCACTTATATTCGTACTCGGCAAAGTCGAGCTTGTCCTTCCTTTCTTCCTTTCCGACAACCCATACACCCTCATCAACCAACAAACACCATGGCTAATCCGGTGACGGGCGTCGTCGTTCTCATCCGACATGGTGACCGACAAGGCTTCTATCAGTCTCCGTCCACGTACACCGCCTCGTTAACCAACCTAACCGTACTCGGGTATCTCGAAGAGCTCAATAGCGGCGCTCAGCTACGATCCCGCTATCTCAATTCCAGTTCTTCCTCCCTCATCCAAGGCGTCGATACCACTCTGGCCGAGAACACTCAGATTGAGGTACTGGCAGATGCTGGTGGCGAAGGTGGTGTCATCGTTGAAAGTGCCAATGCCTTCATGCAGGGTCTGTTCCCCGCCTTCGCCGAGAACATCACCCTTGCCAACGGCACCACCGTGTCGTGGGACAACCGCGCACAGCTCATCCCTGTGCAGACCATCGAGCCAGAGCAGTCCTTCGTGATGGAGCCATGGACTATGTGTGACAAGTTTGACGACTTCACCAACGGTTGGTACCAGAGCAGTGACTTCAAAGCCAAAAGCGCCGAGGCTCAGCCCTTCTACGACTCGATCCCCTCCTCTGTCATCGGCAACCGCAACAAGACGCTTGTCAACGCCTGGAACGTCTTTGACTATCTCAACGTCGAAAAGATTCACGACGCCGTGCTGGCTCCGCAGATCACCGATGAGATGCTTTCCAATGCCTTGACGTGGGCTGAGTATCACGAGGCTGGTCTCTTTGGACAAGCAAGCCCTGAATCCCTGGGCAGCATCGCCGGTCGAGGGATGCTCAATCCGCTCACCGAAGCCATCAACCGCGTGGCCAACTCTTCCGACCCGCTCAAGGTCTCGGTGCTCGCGGCGTCGTACAAGCCCTTCTTTTCGCTGTTCAGCCTCTTCCAGATGCCCGAATTGCAGGGCAAGCTGGTTGATTACGCTTCAGCTATGGTCTTTGAGGTACGCCAGGACAAGTCGATGCAGATCTTCTTCCGTAATGGATCGTATGGCGATCTGGCGCAGTACAAGATCCTCGATTCAGACTCGCTTCCTGTCCAGACCTTCTTCGACCACTACAACCCGATCAAGCTCGAGACGGTGGCCGACTGGTGCAATGCGTGTGGCGAGACGGAAGCACGAGGATGTGCGGCACTCAACGCCCTCAATGGTACCGGTAGCGGCAACAAGTATGCCGATGTCACTTCGACCACTGGCAAGCACCAGGTGTCGCCGGTGACAGCCGGTCTGATCGGCGCCATGGTCAGTCTTGCTCTGGCTGCTGTGATCGCCGTCGCTCTTGGTTTCACCATCAAGAAGCGCTCCAAGTCGAGATATCCCGGACTTCAGCCCTTGCGCGGAACAGGGTCCGCAAGCACCGTGAATCACCGGGATAATAGTGTCGAGCTGCACTCCAACGCTGACTCACACCGCAAAGAATCGTGGAGAGCATGATGGATCGATGTGATGAACCTCTTTTTCCGCTTGCCGTATCTCGCGTGCGCCTGGGACTGTTCGCCATGGTGTCTGTGCAGACTCCGACGATGAGTGAGAGCCCGTTTGGTGTGTTGACAAGGTCGAGGGAAATTTCGGAACCCGGCTTGCTTGGTGACCCGTGCGTGCTGAGTAAAAAGTGTTGTGCTTCCCTCCACCTTCTGCCGCCATCCTCTTTGCCGCTCTACATCAAGCAACGTCGTTGACCCTCGCTTATCAGTCGCAGCTAGGCCTCCATATCAACCATGTCACTTCTCAAAACTTTCGGCCAAGCGCTGCAGCGCTCGGTCGAAGTAGCTCGAGACGAGACCGCCAAGAGTAAGTTGCGCACACCTCTACCTCTCGAGCATCCGATCGCACACTGACATCCACGTCCATCTCGTCTACTTCTGCTCACAGTGATGCGCATGGAGATCTCGCCGACGTCAAAGAACCAAGGCGCACTTCTCATCTACGCCTTGACCCAGCCTGCGCATCTCTCCAACTTCGCAACCGGATCCGACTCGGACATTGGTGGACTATCGCAATGTCGACTTGGCCTTGACGAGTCGTCGCGTGGCCGCTTCTACGGCACGCTGTCGTCGCAAGTGCCGAGGGGAGGAAAGATCGAGAAGAGTGGATACGCAGGCTTCCGCAACCGTAACCGACCCACGCTCTTTGGGAATCAGTGCTGGGACACGACGGTACACCCCTACCTGGCTCTGCGAGTGAGGAACAAGCTCGCTAGGAAGCCGGTAGCGAGCGCAGAGAAGAGCGACAAGGCGGGAGGGCAGACGGGAAGTGGATTGCGGGCGGCTCTTCATGCAAGCGATCCTTCCGGTCCGGCTGCAAGTCGCGCCATCCACGCGCTTGGGCTGGGCAGGAAGGAGCTACCCGGACCCAAATTCTTTGTCAACGTCCAGACCGACGGACCTGTCACCAGTGACTTGTTTCAGCACCGACTCTATCTCGACGAAAACAAGGGCTCAGAATGGCAAACTGTAGTGGTAAGTCCGCGCTCGTGTTCCCGCAACAGCACCAGAGCCGGCGAAGATGCTGACACTTTCCGCCTCGTCCGTTTCCAGATTCCATTCGACGACTTTGTGCTCACCAACACGGGCCAAGTGGCCAACTCGCAAGTCTCGATGATGCGCGAAAAGATCCGCACGGTCGGTATTTCAGCCGTGCTCGATGTGCCAGTTCCCCCGTCCGCATCCAAGCCGCCTACCAAGGATGCGCCACCGTCTGCACTCTCTCGCGGCTCGCGCTCGTCAGAGGCAGAAGAGGACGACTGGGCCGTCGATGGCGATCTTCGAGGTGATAGCGACGAGAGCGAGGCGGTACGAGGAAGCAAGAGGGGAGCGACGTTCAATTTTGACTTGGGACTGGAAAGCGTCTATGCGGTGGGCGAGCTGGAGGAATTGGAGGGCGCGTTCCAGCAGTAGCATCTTCTCTTTGCCATTAAAGGTTGTTGAGACGCTCTTGTCAAGTCATGGAAGCTGCTTCATCAGATGAGGTTGCGCTGCGCAAAGTGTGTGAAGCGTCTCGGTTTAGCTCCCGTCTAAGCTCTTGCTCAGGCGAAGACCCTGAGCTAAAGTGTACGTGAATGATCCACCGCCAAGCACATGCCATTCAGCCGACCCCGCATTGTTTGCCTGACATCCTCAACCGAAGTCCAGTGCAAGGGTGCGGAAGGGGGACTCGGGGGACGGCAACCATATAGACCGAGCGCGGGGTGTGCTGAGCCTGTTGACCGGCAAGAAGCAGCGAGTCGAGCAAAAGGATTTCCGCTCAGTCAGGGTGCGGACCGGGGATCTCTGCAGATTACCGGTGTGTGTGCCGTAAATTTGAGAAGAAAGCCGGGGAAGAGGGAGAGGAGCACGGCCAATTCAACGCGCCGTGGCAGTCAACGGTGTGGAGAAGCTTTGGCGGCCGTGCGCACAGCAGACAACGTCCTCGAGCGAGCATCTCACAAGCCGCACACCGGTCAGCTACTTAACCAGCACCTCTCATCGCTGTACTGCAACGACAGGCCCGCTTTCGAAACCCCATCAATCTTTGCCAGGAAGCAATAACGACAAGATGGCCATCGACCCTTTCAAGCCCATCTTTCTGTCCGCCGACAACGCCGACCTCAAGGTCTCGGTGATCCCCTACGGCCTGACCTTCCACAGCTTCTCCACCGAGGAGGGCGAGGACTTCATCGGCGGGCCAGAGGACCCCAAGGACCACCAGGCGCGTGGACGCAAATTCCTCAACCCCATCATCGGGCGCTACTGCAACCGTCTCCCCGCGGGCAAGCTCGAGTACAAGTCTGCCAACGGCAAAGTCACCCACATCGACCTCCCGGAGTTCAGCGCGCCCGGTGTAGTGCTGCACGGCGGTCCGGAGAGCGACAAGGAGAACAAGGTGGACAGCATCGTGCAGCACGGACCCTTCGACAAGTGCTACTGGCAGCCGGTCGACACCAAGGACAGCCAGCTGTTTGGCGACTCGGGGTTCACCTCCACCAGCAACCCCGGTGAGAAGCAAAGCAGCTTGATCTTTGCCATCGAGTCGCCTGATGGAGACTCTGGAATGCCAGGTAAGCTGCGTGTCGAGACGCTGGTCGCCGTTGTGCCCGGCACCGGACCGAATGCAGAGCTCGGCAAGTCGGCCGGCAAGTTCCTCCTCCGCTACCGAGCGGCCTTGGACAGCAACGGATCCGTTGAAGCGACGCCGTTCAACATGACCCACCACTGGGGCTTCAACCTCTCTGCCTCGAACGAGAAGGTCGGCAAAGAGGACAACGGCACGGTGTACAACCACACTTTCCAGTTGTACGCACCTGCAGGAAAGACCATCTCGCACCTCGAGCTCGACCCTGCCCAGATCGCCACGGGCGACCTCAAGCCCCTGGACGGCCCCGCTGAGTCGTTCTCCAACGCCGGCGCACAGAGCTGGGACAAGGAGGGCGGTAAGCGCATCGGCGAGGGTCTGCCCTCTGGCGGCTACGACGACTTTTATGTCTGGGGCAACGTCGAGAACATCCCTCAGTCGGATGACATCAACAAGATCGCCACCGAAGAGACCAAGCGCGTCCGCCTCACTTCGGAGGCAGCCGGCCGATCGGTCACGATGCACTCGAACCAGGCAGGTGTCCAGCTGTGGACGGCGGGCGCGCAGCCCGAACACCCCGCTGACCCAGCCCAGTCTGGTGGATCGATGAAGAAGGCGCACCGCAAAGGAGGTCTGCCGGACAGCGGCAACTTCAACGGCGCTTTCGCCGCCATCGAGTTCGGCGGGCCTCACTGCGGATTCCTCCTGCCAAGCCTGGTCGGACTGGGAGGTCAGGAAGAGATTTTGGAAAAGGGTCAGGTGTACGACCACTGGGTCGTTGCTGAGGCCTGGCGCAAGTAGAAGCGACTGTAGAGGATCAAGAAGGAATGCAATCGACACACTCGTTCATGGATCTCCCGATTTGTGCGCCACATGACGACGATGTGACGTTCAGTGTGAGTCTCGACCCTGCGTGAGACGCGGGGCTAGGCAATGTCTTGTGCCGCGAAGCTTATCCTCGATAAAAGGTGGCGCGGGACCCTTAGCAAGACACCGTCTTGTGACGTGAAGGTGATGCCATGCCACGAGTGACCCCACAGATCTGGCAGGGCCTCAGACAGCGGGGGAACGGAAGATGCCCGGCCGCGCAAAAAACCCCTATGCAGGGACTCGACGGATGCGGCAGGAGCCTCTCTGCGTTCCCACGGAGCCAGACGTCACATTTGGTCCCTTCACACGCTTCTCAGGTGTCTTTGGCGCACCGCAGGTCCTTGCGGCGATCAAGAAGGCGACACGCGAGAAGAAGCAATTGGCGTGACAGGTGTCGCTATTCCTGCCATGGTGAACCATTCCCACCGATTGCCACCCAAAAACACGGGAAATGAAAGCCCGATCAGTCGTCAAGCTGAAACACGAGCAGTCCCACGGGTCATGATGGTCTATATTGGGAGACGGGGTAACAGTCTATCCGCCGTCTGAGACGCCCAACGGCTAGATTCTTCAAGCCACAAAGAAAGAATAAGCTCATGCTTACCTGATGAGGTCTTGATCAAGAACAGGGAGCAACCATCATCTACGATGCATCGTTGGCTGGGCGACAGACAGGTCGGAGTCGGAGTTGGAAAGCGACAGGTGCCGACATGGAGCTAAATTGCCTGAAAAGGGAAATTGCCAGCGGATCATCACCCTGATCGACCGAGCGGCAACTTTCGCAGAGGCAAGACATTTTTAGCGCTTGTCTCGCTCTGCCTTCTCCTCTCCTTCTGTGCTGCCCGACGTCTGTCGAAAATGATCCCGCGCACCCGAGGCGCTCGCTTGACACGTCGTGCAGTGCCTTCTACAGCGCCGCCCGCTCGCTAGCGTCTTTTCGATGAGCAATGGCCGGCGGCTATCGTATTCGTTTCACCAGCTCTCCCTCGATGGTGTCTCGCACTCAAATCCCGTGGTTGACTCTGTGTCTACCGTGGGAGAGCTCCCTTCCGGAGTCCAGAATCGGTCGCGATCCTGTCTCGAAGCAAAGCTTCCCACGCTTTCGCCTGACAAAAGAGAGACAGAAGCGATTCTTCTAACAGTGGCTTGGTGCAGGTCGCCGTTGCAAGGTGCAATTGCCGCCACCCTGTGCGCCTTCCGCATGTTTTGTCGATGCTACGGGGTGAGAAGCTGCCAGCGGCGTCGAACGTCGATGCAAGTTCTGCGGCAGCTGATGAGCGCTTTGACAGGTGTGCAGAGTGTCGTGATGCATGCCAAGATGTGATCTCAGAAAATTACTGCGCGAGTGCACAATACGACAGCGCAGCATGATACCGAGGATTTCACCTCGACCCACCGCATCGAAGCTTCTTTGTGGCTCCGACTTCACACAGCACAGAGACCGGAAGCTAGCGTTGCAGATGAAGCATCTGCGCTGTCAAGGAAGACAGCAGACGGAGAGAGGGTGACAAGCGCGTGTGTGCTGCAGTGACAGTTCATGCGCCGCAGCCCTTCTGCAGCTCCGCCGAGCCTTCCGAAGCGCTCGCCGAGCCGCAGCGCTTTTCGTATATCTTGACCATCTTCGCACCCCCTCCTCATCCCTTCAACTCGCACATCCCTCACCCATACCCTCGACGCTCACACACACCCCTTGCTTTCCATCCACCACCACCATACCAACCTCTCCCCTCACATACCCTAGGTCGCGATAGCTTTGATAGCATCCAACCTATCCCCCCATAAAGCACTCTTCTCCCCCTCTTCGTCCCTACATTGCTCCACGGTAGTCCTCTAGTCTTGACAGACAATACCATCGTTCAGCCACTCTTTCTTTGTATCGACTACTGTAGCAACATCAACACCACCCATCTCTCCACTACCGCGTATACATTGCGTTGCCCTTTCGCCCATCATGCTCGTTATCAACCACAAGCTCATCATGCTGGCCGTTCTGGTGCTGGCCATCTTCCTGGCTGTCGCTGAATCGGCCGAGGCTGCCTCCACAAAGCACTGCCGTGCCCTCAAGAAGAAGAAGCACCGCAAGCACAGGAAAGCACCCACGTCGACTCGAAAGTCGACTCCTTCGCCCCAGCCGACCACCAAGTCGACGCCCAAGTCGAGCCCAGTGCAGGCTGCCGCGCCGAAGGTCACCTCGTCCGCCGCCTCCACTCCCAAGGCTACCAGCTCCAAGGCGGCGGCTCCATCCAGTTCTGCTGCGCCTGTCACCGCGGCTCCCTCCAACATCACCGTCACCGGTTTCTCCCCTCCTCACGGCAAGGCCGGTGTTGCGGGCGGCAACTCGCTCAAGTGGCTGTCCGGTGCCGTCGGGTGGTACTACGACTGGACTCCTACGCCCGACAACCCGAACATCGGCAACGGTCTCGCTGTTCCCATGCTGTGGGGTCTCGGACGTGTCAACCACGACGACGACGTTGCTCGACTGAATGAGTTCAAGACCGTCAAGCCCGGATCGGCCCCTTTCGTGATGGGCTTCAATGAGCCCGATTTCACCGGTGGTGGATCGTCCGGCACGATCCCCATCGCCGACGCTGCCGCCGGATGGGAGCAGTACCTTGCACCGCACAAAGCCGCCGGTGCCAAGCTCATCTCCCCCTCCATGGCCATGCAGCAATCGGAAACCTGGCTCGCTCCCTTCCTCAAGGCCGTCAAGACCCAGCCCGACATCATCGCCGTCCACATCTTCAAGGACAACATGGACGGAGTCAACACGGTGCTCAACCACTTTGCGCAGTACGGAAAGCCCATGTGGATCACCGAGTTTGCCTGCATCAACTACGAGGGACCCAGCCCGGTGTACTGCGACCAGGACAAGGTCGACTCGATGCTGACGTCCATGGTGCAGCTGTTCGAGGCGGACTCGAGGGTGGCGGCGTACTCTGTCAGCGACGCCGCCAACGGTCCCTACGGTGACCTGACAACCAACCAGCAGGGTCAGAACCTCACCACCACCGGCCAGACCTACTGGGACGCCATCAAGGCCGTCAACTCGAGGAAGCAGCGCCGAAACCTTCGTCCCGCTCGCCGATAAAGATGTGCTGGTCTCATCTTTTTTTTAGATTATAGAGGTCGCCGCTCGTTCCTCCCATCTCGACGATGAGGGACGACACTCCTGGGGCCTCTTGAACCTGCTTGTTTTCCCTTGTGTCTTTCTAGCCCGCATTCCCCTCTGTATCAACTTGCTCCCTTGCCAAATCAGCCTGATGCTCTTTCGCTCGTCCTGTCCCTGCCATGTGAAACGCGAGAATTTTGTGACGGATCTTTTTGAGCCGCTTCGCTCGAGTGTCGTGAGGCTGGCAGCGTCGCTGTGGCAGCCTGTTCCGTGGTTGTCGTCGTGTGTCGTCGTGTTACATCGCACAGAGGTCGTGGACGTGGAAGATTTTGACACCATTTGCTAGCTGCTTGACGAGCGAACACAGGCACGACATTGAGCAGTTGCAAAGCTTTGTGCGGGATGTGTTTTGAACACTCAACAAAAGCATGTTGTCAATGAGTGCTGCCGTCTCCCGTGCAGCACACGTGCGGTGTTGACGAGCACAAAATCTGACCGTCAGCCCATGGTAGCGGCGGGCCCACAAGCTCACAAAGCGAAAGGCATCATGCTTCGTACAGTCCTTGTTGAGCGTACTGAAGCGAACGTTGTTGAAGTGTACATGGTTGGGCGCGTTGCCCGATGACTCGCCGCTGGCGTGGTTGTCAATCTTTTAGTGGGGCAGAGAAGATGTGCGATAAGCCTGGCCCTGGTCAAATTCATCGACAAGGTCCAAGGCGTTGTCATCGTTGACTTTCGACACAGGCGAAGGGAACGGGGCACATGAACTCGAAGTCCACCGTGAACGCTTTGGCCGTGAGGCTGAGATGTCAGAGGCCGCAGCCGGTGGCAGCTCGGACTGTCGCGCCCTTGCCGCGGGTGCCCTTCCCCCTCTGGGTGCCGACCAAATCTGTAAAGGTGTTTTAGCTTGCTTTGGAGCTCCCAGCATACCTGGCGGGTGGGAGCGGCTTGGCCTGTTTGAACGATTCGGCGCAGGTCTGGCCTTTGTCGGTCTCGAGGAGTCGAGGTGCCCTCATCGCCGGTGCGTCTTGTTGATCAGAGCACCTGAAACCGAGTGAGACAGGGCGATGAGGTCGTACATCTCCAGAGCTTCCTCCAGCTTGTCAGCGTCGAATGTGGCTGCGGCGGTCTTCCTGCAATTGGCGCCGTGAGTTGTAATGACTGCGAACCAAAACCTTGACGATCAACCCTAACGCGATGAATGCGTGTCGATTGCGCCTCTTCCAATCCTGCGTATTGGCCGAATGAGCTGTGACACGCAAGTTCTTCCGCCGGTTGTCAAGCGGGACGCGATCGATATGATTGACGACATCGGGGCTGTGCCTGTGCACGTTTTTGAGCCAGCGGGAGAGTAGGACGCAGTAGCTGTCGATTCGCACATGAGCACGACCATACTGGAGACTGGTCGGCACTTCCATAGCTTGAATCTTCTTCCAAGATGCGCCATCGACCAGTACCTTCTTGTCAGCGTAACATTCCTTCACAGAGAAGAAAGCGATACCCGCCTCCCCGTCCTTGTTGGTGATCTTGAGCGTCTTTGCGATCGCCGTCCATTCCTTGTCCTTCCGGGCCTTTATGGCATCGATGCCGTCCACGCATTGCTTGCCAGCGGCTCCGGCGTGCCGAAGGGTTGTGAGCTTCGCACCGCTGCTGCGTGTGCCGTGAGCGCCACCGCAGATCCTCTCGCCGTAGTGGACAGGTCGTCGACGTGGAGGATTATGACTCCTTTGGGCAGTGTCTCGACAAGCGCGCTGTGCTTTGCCTCAATCTCGATCTTGTGAGGCAAGCGGGGTGCTTTGTTCAGGTCTCCGAACGCGTCTCGGCAGAAGGTGCTGTGGACTAGAGCTCCTGTCTCTCTCTTCCACACTTCTGTCTTACAAGCCCCGTCTCCCTGTGTCAGCTTGCTCCATTTCACATCCGGCTTGATGCTCTTGCTCGTGCTCTTCTCACCATTCCGAGTTCGGAAAAGCCTGTTATTGCTCCCTAATTGATGCACACAAACGTCTGTGTGTGCCGGCGTGTCGAGCGGAGCGAACATGTTCGAGCGCGAGAATGTTAGGGCACATGGACGTGGAGCAGTGCTTTTTCCCGACGGAGATGATGCGAGTAGAGAATGCGATTGGAATGCGGATGAGAATACAATGCGAGAATGCGAAGTGCGTGTGCGCGACGAAGCGAGTGTGATGCTGATCAAGAGTTTGGCCGTGATTGTGTTACCTGAACGGTGTGACGGTCTTGTGCGTGCTCGTTGGTGTTACCGTTGCCGCCTCGCTCTTCACCTTCGTCGCCGCCTTCCCATCCTTCTTCCCATCCCCCGACTCTTTTTTCGGATCCTTCTTCGGATCCTCTCCGCAGCCGCAATCGTAGCTCTCGTCGAGCTTGTCGCACGGGAACTCCTTCTTGCCCAAACTCTTGTTCACCTCGTTGTGCACTGCGCACAACCACAGACTCGCACCCATCCTAGACCCAACCTGTGGGGGAAGCTCCTTGATGAGCTGTTGGAAGTGCCGTGCGCACTCTCCGCACGGATACAAGAGCGCAAAGTCGTGGAAGAAGCTGCGGAGCGTTTCGGACTCTTCCTTGGTGGGCTTGTCGGGGAAGCGCAGCGTCATGGTGTGCAGGTAGTGCCATGTGGAGCGGCCGAGTGCGGCTTTGGCGGTGTCGTTGGCCATCTTGGGCATGATCACGCCTGGAACGCGGGCTGTGTCCTTCGCTTTTGCAGCAGCTGATGTGCTTGACGCCTTGTCTGACGATGCCTTCTCCGGCTTGGCTATCGGTGCTGTGGTGGAGTCGTGTGGGGGACGGAACGAGTCGATCAAGCCCTTTACCTGGTCTTCCACTCGGTGGACACCTTTGTTGACGTTCGAGGATGCGTCTTGCCAATGCCACCCAAAGAGGTGTGATCCATCGACGCCCTTGCCTTGCGACACCTGCGCGTCCGCATTCGCCGCTCCACCGGGCAGAATCGAGTCTGACGAATAAGCCAGTCCTGAATGTGGATCGATGAGCGTTGTTCGCGTCGGATGTGAGAGGTAGAGGAAGCTGGGGATGAGCAGCATCATTCCTGCGAGCAGGACGAGCTGGAAGAATCTCGATACCATGACGATCGCTCCTCCAATGCTGGTGCCGCTTCCATATGTCGTTCTCGCAATGATTCGATGGTGATGGTGAGTTGGAACGAGACCCTGGAGATGGCCGAATTTCCAAAAACTCCGTCTGTCACCGATCTGGCTTCTAACACAGCTTGCCGAAAAAATCGTGCCCGTTCCGACCGGCAAAGCTGTGAACCCTGAACCGCAGGCACGCGCGAGTGCTGGCAGAAGGGAGCGCCGTGCCGAACGAGCTGCATGCCAAGCTTTCCATCGTGCCGATTAGATGCACGCGGGTGTAGCGCATGCACCTCGTTTCCTTCCGATCCCTTTTTCAGCGAGCGTAATACACTCCTTCTCTCACCTCGTCTAGAAGTAGAACACACTCAGCACAGACAGACGCACCGCACCATGAACTCGGGATGAATTTGAGATGGAAAGATTTGGTCACTTGTTACAAATGTTGGTGATTCGGACTCGCCTGCTGTGATGACTGCGGGACGATGAGCGCCCAATCGAGCTCCATAGCCTCGACCCACTCAGGGTCGCTCCTGGGCATGGGCGGGCAGTTGCCTACATCCTGTGCTGCCTCCGCCGACCCCCTCCTGGCAAAACTCGTCGTCTGCAGACACCTCACCCTCGACGCCCGTCCCTGCTCCGCATCAGGCGACGAAAGGGTTCTCAGGTGCAGGTACAAACCACGTGCTGCGGCGGGGAATAGGTTCTCCGGATAGTTCGAGTAGAGCTTGAGCACCATCTGGCGGATCTTCCATGACGAGCCGAGACGGTGTTCTTCCCCTGCAATCGTCACTGTGGATGAAGTCCCGTCGGAGGAGGAGTCGGGTGAGGTCTTGAGCAGCTCCACCACCTGCGCCTCTCGTTCGAGCCGATGGTCCAGGTACTGCTTGAGCATCTTTTTGCCCTCTTCGACCACTAGGCCGTGCGCCGGGTAGAGTCGGTTCTCGCTTGCGGAAGAAGGTCCGAGCTCCTCCAGTGCACGAGAGCATTTGCGTAGACTCGACATGTACGCTGTCAGGTCTTCAAAAACGGTCGTGCCCTGGCCGAGGACGTGATCGCCCGTGAGCAGCGTCTTCTCTTCCGTGAGGAGAAGGCAGATGTGGTCGGCCGTGTGACCGGGTGTGTGCAGCACTTGAAGTGAGGATGACGCGTCTGGTCCGGTGATCTTGACGGTGGACCCTTCGCGCAATGGCCAGAGAGGGGAAGCTCGACCGCCGTCCTCGCAGGGGATGAAGGAGCCCTTGGGCAGGTTCTGCAGCACCTTGACCAGGTCCGGATCCGATTCGGCGTCGAGGAACTTGTGTATCCTTGGCGCGGGCAATGTCACTGTGGCTTCTGCCCGTAGCTTGGAGAGCAGAGAGAGGACGGATGGCAGTCCACCGACGTGATCGTGGTGCTTGTGGGTGAGAACAATGTCCGAGATCCACGAGGTGAGATCGTCTTCGTCCTCTTCGTCCTCTTCCATGGCGTCGTCACGGTTTGATGCCGATGCTTTGCCGTTGCTGTTCTTGGTCAATACATCGCCATCGACAGCTCCCTTGAGAGCACGCTCGAGTAGCGGAATGTAGCCATCTGTGCCTTCACCCGTGTCGACGAGCACAGAGGGGCGTGAAGCCAGACTGGATGAGGCGACGGGCGGAGTCGAAACGAGGTAGGTGTTGGTGCCTGCGAGCGTGTAAGGTCCAGGGTTTTGGCCGAGGATGCGGATCACTCGACTCGAGAGCCGTACGAGGTCTTCGACGGCCTTGCGTGCTTCCGCCATCGGGTGCTGATGAGACTCGCTTTCAATGTCTGACTGTTCCGAGTCCTGAGGTGCAAGCAGTGTGCGGGGATGATCACGTCGAAGCTGATGAGAAAGCGGATGAAGAGTGCGAAGGTGGTGGTGGTGGTGGGGATGACACCTGGCAAGTGTTCGCGGGGCAAGTCTGTTACGCTGTGGTTCCATGTGACCGTCGCCCGGCAATCAAACCATCCGATGACACGCAGACAATGGCGCCGCGCAGACGATTCAGGGTCGAATGTAGCTCGGCAGGGCGGAGTGCAATTTGGTGCAATGCCAAGACAAAAAGCCACTTGGCGAAGCCGCGCTCAAAGACTCAACCGCCGATCCAAGCGGGCCGAAGGCTGGCCCATCCTCTTCAACCTTGTCGCCTGAGCTTCTAGCTCGAGGAGTGTATCTCATATTTGAGGTGCACGTGAGTACGGCAGGATCCACGTTTGAATGTGACTACGCGCTGCAGCATGCCGCGTCAAGTACGTACGCCTTGACGCCGACCGTTTCGAAAGCGGCAAATCCCAGCGTCGTGCCCTGACATTCCCCGTTCTTACGGACAGCAACGCTGCTCCGTGATATCCTTCGCTGAGATCAAGCTAGCGCTTGTTCGCCGCCTCGTTCACCATCAAGTTCGCATCATCTACATAGCTTGCGTTTGTAGCCTCCTCCACGATGTGCCACCTGGCACCATTTGTGCATCGGCGATGCTGCGATCTACCGTATGCTTCCCGTATCAATCTCGCGTGCGCAGCTAAGCCTTGCAGACAGACACGGAAGGTTGGCTCGTCTTCCGTGCAAGCCCGATCTTAGCTTGCCGAAAACGCTGCCGAGCACAGTTTGCACTTGTGTCTCCGTCTCGGTTTTGCAAACATTTGCCGCTCGACCATGTGGTCCCCGCTTGTTCGAGAACGTCCTTGCCGCCGATCAAGTCCGAGCCATCCTGCGCTTGACCGTGCTTAGGCGGCCAGCACCTTCATCATTCCCGTCCAGACAACTTACTGGAGTTGGCCGTCATCGCTGAATACACCGTCGTCGATTTTTCTGAACATTGTTCGCACAGCAAGTGGCGATTCAACAACGAACCTTTTTTCGTGAGGCCCTTCTTCTCCTTGTGGAGGCTTGGCGGTGATTTTCTCGCCTACCAACCTCGTACAAAGCTTCTTCTGTCTTCTCGTCCGCACCATCACACCTCCCGCAGCTGCCAACGGCAATCGCGAACGATGGGCGTCAAAGGCTTGACCTCGTACGTCAAGCAGATCCAGCATGCTGTTTCCGAGCAGGTCACCGTCCCCGTCGAGACCGATGCCACATCCTCGTCAATTGGTGGACCATTCGTCATCGACGGCTGGGCATGGATATATCGCGCCTACCTCGACCACTTCACCGAGTCCCTCCGCGGCGGCGACTACATAGGCTACACCCTCCATGCACGTCACTTCGTCAACGCACTGCGCTCCGCCGGTCTCGAGCCCATCTTCATCTTTGATGGCCCTTACCTTCCGCTAAAGATCCCAACGGTCCTGTCGCGATTCGGGGAGAGCGCCGCGAACAACTCGGCGTTCATGCGGTCTTCATCGCGATACAAGCCAGGCTTTCAGGTGTCGATGGGCGTGTTTCCGCCATTGCTGTACGACTGCACCCTCGAGGCGCTCCGTCAGTGCAATGTCAAGGTGGTGATCGAGGAGATCGAGGCGGATAGTGCGGTGGCCGAGATCGCGGACAAGATGGGCGGGTGGGCGGTGAGCAACGATTCCGACTTCTTTGTTCTTTGTGCCAGAGGAGCGTCGTGTCGAGGGTACGTGCCGATCGACTCGATCGAGTACCTCGTCAAGCCGACACTCAAGGAAACAGAGGGCGCGCAAATGGTTGCCGTTCCAGCCGACTTTGACGATGATGGATTCGCTCCTGTCGGCAAGAGCGGCAGAGCAAAGGGACGAAAAGGCATCAAGGCTGCTGATCCAGTTGAAGTTCAAGCGCAGCTTCTCAACCGCCCACCGGCAAACGCGCAGGAAGGCACGCTCACAGGCATCCGCTTCACCTCGTACTCCTCCTCTAAACTCGCTGCCGCTCTTGGCATCCCATCGTCCATGCTCTCGCTCCTCGCCGCACTCGTGGGCAACGACTACACAGCCCCTATCCAGCGACGCATCCTCGACCCAGCACTCCCCTTTGGACCTCAGCGCATCACCTTCATCGCCAACGCCATCAAGACCGAGACCCAGCGCATGGCGTCCAACCGCACACCCGGCCGATCTGGCACAGCAACCCCTTCCGCATCGCGCACCGGTCTCGGTCGCACCGGCTCCGGATGGAGCGTCCCTTCTCGTGGTTCCGGATCGGCGATGACATCGACTAATGCGACCCCCATCGGCGACGCGATGCATCCCAAACTCGATGAAGCTCTCGCCGCGCTCTCGCTCAACGACCCGGTCCGATTCATGGTGCAGAACGTCACCACCCGCATCTTGGCTGGCGTAGCAACACATACGCGGGAAGCATACATCACCTCGGGCGAGCAGGAGCAGTTGGTAGACGCGATCATCGATTCGGTTGCGACCTACTCGCTGCTCTCCGACCCGTCGGCGATACACCGTTCGACGCCGGGTGCGGAGTTCTTCGCGCGTTCCGAGGTGAAGTTGTACAGGAGTGCCTACGAGAAGGGCTTCTTCGACCGCACGCTCGTGGAAAGTCTTACGCAGCGATTTAGTTTGAATCGAATGGCGCCGGAAGATCCGGATTCGAAGTCGATCCAGAGCACCCATGCGAGGGATCTGCGCAGGTGCACGACTACCACGCTGTTCGGCGCCTGGGGGATGGATTGGGCGAGGGAGACGCTCGAAGAGCCTCTAGCTCAGGAGGACGCCGAGGAGGAGGAGCACGTGGGGGCGATACCCATTCTAGCTGGTCCGGGACCCAACAAGGTCAACTGGGAACAGGAGGGCGATCCGAACGAGATGATTCCTGTCCAGACGCCTCCTTCGTCCTTTGGCAGCTCGATGTACGAGGACGAAGAAGAGGATGATGAGGAGGAGGAGGTGCGGTCGAGACCTGGGTCCGCGGTGGGTTTGCTCGATGAGGAAGAGGACGGCGTCAAGCCAGCGCCCGCCGTGATGGATTACAGCAGGAAGGGGGACAGGTATGCTGGGGAGCAATGCCCGATTCTGTCGCTCGACGCACTGGTAGCGAGGCACAGGCAGGAGCTCGGCATCGAACCGCCCCAGGTGCTGAGCAAGTACTTGCGCGCGTAGCCACGAACTCAATAGACTCATAGACGCCCTCTCAGAAGCTTCAACCGTTCGTGTGTGTGTTCGTGATGATTCATTCCGAAGTGTGAGTATACAATGGGGTGAGCAGCGGCGAGATATCTTGCCAATCTATGCGGTTCATTGAGGGCGGTAGTAGTCGCCGTTGGACACGGGTCGAGCCTCGGTCATGGGCGTCTGGTAGAGACTGCCCCTTTCGCTGGGCAGACCCGAGTTCGCACCTGTGGGGCTGCCACCGGCGGGAGCAGGGTGCACACCGTGCTGGCTGTGCATCTGCTGAGCCGCCTCGGAGGGGTAGTAGGTGTTGTTGTTGTGCACACCATCGATGGCGTAGCTGGCGGTGGGTCGGTCGTCAACGCCCTGTTCCTTGGCGAGCTGCTTGTTCTCCACCACACGTCCATCCTCAGAAAGACCCAACTTGGCGTGCTTGTGCGCCGGGAAGAGGTCGACCAGGTAGGTGAGGAAGAAGATGTCCAACAGGAAAGCGATGGCCCATTCGCAGACGGCGGCGGCGGAGACGACGCGATCGCATCGCCCATCGCCTGGGTTGACGTTGCCCCGGCAAATGCCGTACAGGATGATGAAGGCTACCGCCCCCGCAATGGCCAGCGACCAGATGAGGATCTTGATCACTGCAATGATCTTGAGCGTCTTCAAACGGTTGTAGTCGTGCGCGAGCGAAAACACCTGCAGCACCTGGAACAGCACGCTCAATCCGACAAAGACGACAAAGATCAACGTCATACTCCAGTGCACCCTCGAGTGGTTGAATGCATCAAACACGGACAGCAGCACCAGCGCCGCAGATCCAATGATGGCGCAGACCACACTGCATATATCGAGCACCGTCTGCTTCTTGCGAATGGACCCCGGGATGCGACGCGAGTGACGCAGCGCACGCTCGGCGAAGGTGGTGCTGATGTAGAAGAAGGCGGTGAGGGCGCAGAAGATGATGAAGAACGTGCGATGAGCTGCCCCGACGTCCGAGATGAAGACCACCGAGGCCTCTTCGCCTTCGTAGCGGCGGAACATGTCGCGTGCCCAGAGGGCGAGCAGGCCGACAATCGCCGTGGTCCATGAGGCGAACGTCAGGACGGGCAGGATGTAGAACAGGCCAAAGAAACCGATCTTCATTTTGACGTGAGGGCCGTGGTGGAGGTAAGGGTGCGGTTACGGTGGGGTGCGCTGACGAGCGAGTCCGGCTGGGTAGCGCCAACGAGGATGAGGGGGCGCAATGGGGCCTGGCTCGAGACGAGGGCGGTAGGGATGAGGTGATGGGGTTGACAATAGGTGGGAGGGAAGGAAGAATTGTCTTGAGTCTTACGAAAAGGTGTTATAAGAGAAGTCGAATGACAGCTTCGCAGAAGGCAGGGGGTAAGCAGTAGTTCTGGTTGACCGAGAACCGCAGGCTCACAACCACGCTGCTCAATGACGAGCGTCAACCACGCGCATCGCGAGCGGGTCCAACACCATCGAGAGACATCCTTCCCTAGGGTCGGCGCGAGAGTGAGGTCCCTGAAAGCTGGCCAAGCGAGATGGAGCCGGTTGCACAGCACAACGTCGGTGAGGATGAATGCCAAATTTGGATCATGAAATTCTCCGCCAAGAAGGCTTGTTTCGTGCAGGCGGAAGCACGCGGCTGGGCAGTGACGTGCAGCGTTGCAGTCCAAAACACGGCGGTGACGTCAAAAGCCGTCAAAACGATGCACGAGGAGAACAGGAAAATCCCCTTGGAAAACTGAAATTCCACATCCCGTCTTCGATCTCCGATCGTCAACAGACCGCATCGCGCATGACGCCGTCGAGGAACCCGACTTCCTGCGAATCTCGCTCTCTCTGGATGATGTTGGTTGGCCTGGCCCATCTTGCAGTTCCAGCTCTGTCGTCCGCAACGTTTCATTTTCTGCCTCAGGCCTGACTGCCGCGTCGGACTGAGGATAGGGTTTGACCTAAACCCGTGTGGAGACCCTGCATCCTGTAGATTTGACGGGGTCGGCTGTCAACGTCTCGGTCTCGAAAGATCTTCTCCGCAGTCGAATGCTACCGAGTCTTTCTGAAGGGCATTCTAAACTACTTTGAGTGACACAGAATCGATTGATGATGAAGCTTGTCAGGGGTAGAGTATGCTATGCGACAAGGACGGACGGTTACGATGATACACTATGAGAAAGAGCACAATTGCAAGGCCTGCTCTAGGCCGCCTTGGGCATGACCTTGTCGGCCTCGCTCCACGCCTCAAGCACGGTATCCCTCAACCTGTTGAATGCCTCCTCGACATCCTCCTCCTGAATAATACTGAAGCTGGTGCGGACGTAGCACGTCTTGCTGCCATCGGGGATGAAGGCGACACCGGGCACGGCGAGCACGCCCTTGGCCTTGGCCTTTTCGGAGATCAACGCGAAGCTGTCTCCCTCCGACTCGCCCTCGTTGGCAGGAAGGTTGAGCTTGAGCCACAAGAACATGCCTGCTACCGGTGTCACCCACTGCGCAACACCCGCCTGGGCCAGCACCTTCTGTGCTTTGGCCTCAAAGTTGTCCCGACGCTTAGCGTAGTAGCGCGCAACATTATCGACGTGACGGAGGAAACCCGGGATGCCCCAGTGGTGGAGCAGCGTATATGCCACCGCGCCGGCGACACCCGAGGGCTGCAGGTTCGACATGGCCGTGTTGGCATCCACCGCGTCGAGAATCTCGTTCGGACCCGTAGCGAACCCGAGTCGCAAGCCGGCAGCGAGGATCTTGGAGAAGCTCTCGAAGCGAATCACGCGGCCGGTTCCCCATCGTTCGCGGTGCTCCTCCTCGAGCGACCAGTAGCTGCGGCATCGTGGACGCGTCACAGCGTCCTGGTCGAGCCCCTCAAAGTGGAGGTAGTAGTACGGGTCGTCTTCGAGCACGAGGAAGTCGTACTCTCTCGCGAGCGAGAGGATTTGACGCTTGCGGTCGTCGGAAGCAGTGGTGCCCGCCGGGTTGGCTCCCGTAGGCGTGGTGTAGAGACACTTGGGACGGGGCAGCGAGGAGGTCTGCGGATCAGTGTCCCACTTTTGCAGAATCTCGGCGAGTCGGGTGGCCATCATGCCCTGCTCGTCGCTGGCGACGGGGATGATGCGCGCCTTAAGCATGACCAGCGAAGGCAAGATACCGGTGTAGACGGGCGACTCGACCAAGATGACATCGCCAGGGTTGAGCAGCGCGTCGAACGTCTTGTTGAGCAGATCCTGCGATCCGTTGCCCGTGGTGACGCGCCAAGGCGTTCGACCAGCGACGCCGTTGAGCTTGGACGTGGCCGTCACGGCCTCGCGCTTGTGCATGTGAATCTGCAGCTCGGTGATCCACTGGACGAGCTTGGGGATCCCCGAAGTGGAACCGTACTGGAGCGCAGTGGACAGGTCGTCGCCCGTAATGTTGAGCTGCGTGGGTCCAGCCTCGGCGTCGGCCTTGACGTTGAGGGTGATGCTGTCGAAGGGGAAGGTGTCCGGGTTGGGCTTGCCAGCGAGGAGCGAGAGCATGCCGGGGATCAGCTCGGCAGGGAAAAGGGATCGGATCGCAGAAGCAGGACGATCGTGCGAGCTCTGACTGAGGAAACGAGCCGGATCGACACGGCTCGCCTTAGGAACCGTTCCGGGGGTGTTGGCGAGGTCGCCCACCTTATCCCCAAGATAGGGACTGGGGTTGGCGTTGACGACTTGGGCAGAGGGCGACATGTTGGCGATGATCAGTTGAGGCAGAGTGAGGAAGGTGGTGATGAGCGCGGAGAGCGATGTTGTGATGGGATGGCCTGGGTGCTGTCTCGTTCGTCTGCGTCGGTCTGGCCCTTATATGCTTTTGGAATGCCAGCGGAGATGCTGAAACGGATAGGAGATAGGCCGCTGAGGTTGAGGTTGAGCACGTAATGATTAGATTAGGCGGGGACGTATCTATTCGACCAAAGCAATAAGGTATGCCGGGTGGGACTGTCTATTGTATGGCGTGATTGTCTGTGTTGAGACAAGATGGTTGCAGAGGATAAGCAGCGAGTACACGACAGCCTCTGGTTGTTGCTGTGAAAGTGGCGGAAGCGCTGTTGAGAAGGAATGCAATGGCGAGCAGCAAAGGGATTGAATTATGGATGGCAGTGATCTTGAGTGGGGGATCTATATGAGGGAGAGCTGGTTGGGTGGGAGGATCAAGTCGGTGATGAAGGAAGCCGTACTTCATAAGAAGAAGAACTTGACGAGACACAACCGGGCCGAGTGCTGTCCAACAAGGCCCGTTACAAGCGAATATGACTCTGACTGGCTGAGAAGAGATAGCGAAGTTTTGACGGTCTGCCCGACCCAAAAAGAATCCCCCGCGAAACGAGCCGATAAAGCAGGCAGCTGAGCACAATTTTTTGCCTCTGCACCACCCTACCGAGATTAGCCCTGAGCAGAGCCGAATTTGCTCGCCTCTTTCGCCGCTGCTCTTCTGTGCCACTAATCCTCCGCGAAATTTCCCGACGACCCTGCGCTTCAAGTGTAAGGTCGAGTCAGACAATCACTTAGGCACATCTCGGTGGGGACTGCCAAGAGCCTACTTCATTGTGTCGGCACTGATGTCACCCCCACGAGCGGACTGGAGACGACAGTCGTGTGCGTTGAGCTCATTTCAGAGTTGAGATGAAGCAATGTTGCGCATCACCGGCTATTCGCGCTTATCGGTCGTCGGAGTTTGCGCTGTCCCCACGCCTGCTCGTTCATTGCTCGAAATCAGGACCCACTCCGTCGGCACGTAAGGCACGCTGCGTTTCTGTTGCTATCGACTGTATTCGTTGCGTGTACACCATTGTAGATGTGGTCTGCGCAAGATAGTTGCCATGCCGACTGCCGCTTCTCATTTACGACGAGGGCAAGCGCAGCACCGAAGTGCCCCAACTCCTCCACATCCTCTCCACGGCGCTGTGCTCGCCCGACTCGAGGTCACGAATGTCCTGCAGGAACTGGCGCTGCAACCGTCTCGCCGCCGCCTTCTTGCCCTTGGACAGCGTCATGAGCAACGGCCCCGATGCCGAGCGCAGCGTTGACAGATCGAGCAGCAACAAGCCTTGCGTCAGATCGTCTCTGCTGCGTCCTTGCTTGTCTGCCTCTCGGGATCGGCTGTTGTGCCTATCAGCGACGGTGGGTGGGGACGACAGAAGGCGGTCAACGCGACGCATAGCTTCCCACGCCCGCATCTGATATCCGCGCCCGGACGACTCGGACCTGCTTGTAGTCAGATTGAACAGCTTGGTGCGCACGTAGTTTTGTGAGACGTAGAGAATGCCCAGCGCAGGCGCAATGCCCACTGCGCCAAACAGAAGCTGCTGGCTCTTGAGCATCTTGTCGATCCCTGACATGGCCACTTCCAGGTCCACCTTGGCTTTCTGGATCTGGATCAGCAGCGAGCGGATGAGCGAACCGCTGACCATCGACTTGACCGGGCTCTTGAGCTCGGCTTCGTACACTTTGAGTACAGGCGTCAGATCGCCTTCCCTCACCTTGGCTGCGAGAGCGTCCAGCTCCGCGCCCGACGTGCCGTACTTGTCGGCGGTGAAATCGATCACCATCCTCTCGAGCGACTGCAGGTCCGAGGCGAGCGATTCGCGCGACATGATGACGCTCCCTTCGTTGCCGTGACGAACCGTGTCAAGCAGCTCGACGCACGGCTTCCACACCCATTCGATCAGGAAGCTTCGCATCGTCTCCTGCGCTTCTTTCAGCTTGGCTTCGATGCCGTTCCAGTTCTTGGAGAGGTAGCGTCCCAAGAGAAGCAGGCTGATAGGGTAGAAGACGAGCTTGGGCCAGCGCTGAACGAAGGCGGATGGCTGACCAAAGACGTCGGGAGAGAGCACTTGGCGCGTTCGATCTTGGTGTTTCTCAAAGCCTTCCTTCAACAAGAGCCGGAGTGTGCTGAGGGTGCTCTCGGGGGTCAGACTCGCGTCCATGTCGATCTTGACGTCTGTAGACGCCGGCTGAGCGTCAGAGTCGCTTGGCACGGCGAAGCTCTCGACTAGGACCTTGAGCTTGGCGTTCAGATGACCAAGCACGGCTGTGCTGGGGGAGTCCGAAGTGGTTGACGAGGTGAGCTCTTGGGCCTTGTCGGACAGCGCTTCGTGCTGGAGAGCCAGCCGGCCCAGCTTCTCTGCCAAGCGATTGCGCTCATTGACGAGTCCACGGCGCTTGCACCTCGCTTCGTGTCTTGCAAGATAGGTCGGAGTGAGGGTCAACATGGTCGAACGCAAGTCTTTAGCGCGCTGCTTCTTGGTCTTCTTGGAGCTGACCGACAGCTGATCACCTGCCTCGCTATTGGCGTCGAGCTGTGTCCGCAGTGTCGCCACCTTCTCTCGCTGTGAGTTGCGCTCTGCCAAGATAGTGTCGAGGTCAATGCCCCTTTCTGGGCGGAATGCGTACGGGAACAGCATCGACGTGATCAGGTTGGGCGTATCGAGGATGCTGCGCAAAGCCGCTCGGACCGTGTTCTTGTCGACGCGCTTTACCTGCGAGGATTTGCTCTCCTCCTTGTCCGCAAGCGTGCTCTTGAGCGTGCTGGTCGCTGTGCCCGCTGCGAGCTCCAAAACCTGCACGCTGACATGATACAAGCGCACAGGCAGCGTCTGGACGAGAAACGAGAGCGTCTTCCGTGTCGATTCTTCGATGTCCGTCCAGTACCACGTTTCATCCTCCAGCTTTCCCGCATCTTGAAGTAGCGTGTCGAGTGCGACAGCGTAGGTTGCTACCACCAGTCGAGACAGGGCGACAATCTGGAGCTCCTCAAAGTGAGGCACGACGTTGCCATCTTGCTGCTGGGCCGTGCTATCCAATCGATCCAGCAGGCTCAGCAACGTTTTCCGAGACGGCAAAGTGTGGGATCCGTCCGCAGGTCGGATTGTTGCGATGATGTCCTGAATGGGCTTCCTCTGGTCTTGAATGGCCTCATCGTGTGCTTCGCTGTCTTGCTGCGAGACGGATTCGCTCTTGAGACCCGGCGTTTTCTCGACAGGTGTGCTGACGGTCGACAGAACCGAGTCGTACAGCTCGAGCTCCGAAGCGAGAACGGCGTAGACGTCAGATGCGTACGACATGGCGATCTGTGCTCTGGTTGGATGTCGATAGAGGACGGCGGTGAAGACGGCTGCACCTGGAGAGGAAGAAAGGAAGAAAGGTCGGAAAGGGTCCATCTGCAGACTAAAACCAACATGCAGCGGACGGGCCACGTCGAAATGCACACAAATCGCGCGAGCATCGAACGTCGGAGCTGACCGCCTTCTCAGGTTGTCCTCCGTTGGAACTCTCTACCTCGAACCTGACACACTCCCTCAACGATTCAAGTGCATGGCAATTCGACTGTTGCGGATGAAACACGCTACGTACACGATTGACTGTGATTGACATTGCTTGCATGAGGATACAGAAACGATGTGGTTTCCGTGCGAAGCTTCCCGTTCAGAGAGGCATTTTGATGTGAACAGAGGCTGCTATTCCACAAGTGGACGGATCAGAGCTCATCCTTCTGCTCGGCAGCACGCTTCTCAGCGTCCGCCTTTTGCTTCTCGGCCTGAGCGGCGATGCGCTCGTTGACAAAGGCCAACAGCACATTCTTCTTCTTGGTGAGCTCGTCCACCTTCTTGGCCGCGAGCTGGCTGGTGCCCTCGGCATGCTTCTTGAGAATGCTGGTGAGGCGCTTGGTCTCCTTCTCAATGTAGCCAGCGCTCTGGTTGGCCTTGTCCAGCACGCGCAAATAGTAGTCAGCCACCTCGTTCTTCTTCTGATCGCTCTTGGGGCTGGCCCGCATGGTGTTGACATAGTCGATGAAGTCGCTGTAGATGGTGCTACGCTGGTCTGCGGGCGAAGTATACCATCGAGCAGCAAAACCATCGAGGGCGGGCATGCGACCGGCGAGGTCAGAGAGGAGACCGCCCTTGGTGCGCCACGTCTGGCACTTGTCGTTGAGGAACTTGATGAAGTCCTCCTCGCCTCGACCGCCGTTGTAGGGCTGGGGATTGGACTTGTCGCCCTTGGGGAAGAACACGAGCGTGGGGTAGGACGAGACGCCGTAGCGCTGGGCAATGGCCTTGTTCGACTCTTGATCGGCGTCCATCTGAGCCACAACGCAGTCGTCATCGCCAGAGAAGTCCTGGGCGACCTGCTGGTAGATCGGATTGAGGTTCTTGCAGTGACCGCACCAGGGGGCGTAGAACTCGACAAGGACATCCTTGCCCTCCTTCAAGACGATGTCGTCAAAGTTGCGGCTGGTGAGCTGCGTAGCTGCGGGAGGGGGAGGAGGTTTGATGGTGCTCTTCTTGCCGCTCTTCTCGGTGACGAGCTTGGCGATGCTCTCGAGATCACGTCCCGAGTTGAACTCTTCGGGTACAGTCGATCCAGCAGGGTACCACTTGAGCGTGGGGAAACCCTTGATGTCGGCCTTCTGACCGAGCTGCTTGTTCTTGTCGGCATCGACCTTGGCGATCAAAACGGTGTCCTTCTGCTGAGCAAAGGCGTCGGCAACCTTTTCGTAGATGGGCGCGAGGTTCTTGCAGTGTCCGCACCATGGCGCGTAGTATTTGACAAGAACGCCCTGCGACTTGCCGATGTGCTTTTCGAAGTCCTTGCTAGCTGTGAGGTCGAGCACATTGCCGGCGAGTGCTGTGGCCACCAGGACCAGCAAGGCGACTGTGAGAGAAAGGAACCTCATTTTTGGGGAGATGTGTGTCTCGGTGAAGGAGGAGCACACTGACGTTGGTGGTGAGCAGGAGGCAAAGCGGTGGCGCCGGTCGTTGGAAGAAGAAGCTCGAGCCACTCTACCCAGGTTCGAGCTGAGCTCTTCTCGAAGCTCGATCGAAGATCGCCACTCAAAGGGCTCAGCTTCATTGCCGATCTGACGTGGCGGCTGGGTTACTTTTTCTTAGATTGGTGCAGGTGAGGACGTAACAACAAAGACTTTTTTCATGTACGTCTTAACAGCTTCACATTTTGGACTCGACGAGTCCTCGTCAAGACTCCCTCATGTCTACTTTGCTCAACGTGCGTGCCTGCACTACAACGTCTGCTTACCCCCGACCCGAAAGTGATTGGCCCGTCGCAGCTCTCAAGGGGGTGAGACGTTCCATAGGGTGATGATCCGCTGCTTGAGGATGCGACACGTCCTGGAACGTGGGGTGCAACACCGACCCGAGAAGTTCGTACTCGGACGACGCCGAGGTCTGAGCTTGAAGCTGGCGGTGTGGCAGCCGCTGCCCCGTGTCACAAGCAGATCAGGATTCGGTATGCTATGCGCCTGTCAGCCTCCTTCGAGTTGCTTGCACGTTGGCGACCTCGAACCACGAGGAGGATTGGCAGACACGCCCGCGTTATCCACGCCGATGAGGAGCTTCTCGCTCGGGGCACTTCTTCTCATCGTGGGCGCATGAAAGAGCCCTTCGATTGCACCCGTTTATGCGGAGCCAGCAGGGCCGCTTCTCGTAAAGACGCTAGTGCACCTCGGCTACTCGGAAGTCGTCAAGCCGTTCTCGCTTTGAATGGTGGATCAAGTACCGCCCCTGCTTCAACCTTAAGCGCGAGCAACTCGCTTCCATCGAAGCTTCAACGTGCCGTCAGACAATCACAATCGAACGGCATTTCAACGCAGCTTCCTGATTGGTCGGCCATCTCCGCGAAGAATGCCATGGTCCGCCGCCATACCGTCGGCTAAGCAGAGCGGAACTGGAAGATTTTACCTTTAGCGCCAGTCCGAGTTTCCAGCGACACCCTTGCTGGCTCGCTTAGCGACAAAAGCAGCTCAGGACCCTGAGAACGATCAGAACGTGCCACCCGGTGGTGAGCCCCGTTGAACCCTCCATTTGGCCTCGAACGATTCCCAACGGACGCTGACAACAACATAAACTTGAACGGAAGTGTAGCAGCGGTGACATGTAGCAACTTGATCTGCGGCGGCGGCGGCGGCTCGCGGGGTCTCGTTGCGGCAAAGAAGCAATCAAAGCGGGAATCGGAATGAGACGTCAAAGCAAGCAAGATGCATCCCCGGCAGGCGAGGCGAACGTGCGATAACGCTTCTGGCAGCCGAGGTGGCGCCAAGAAGTGCAAAGTGGGGGAGGATGGAACCAGCGGCACGCTTCTGTTGTCGACAATCCCCTCTGGTATCATGCTCATGCCCTGCTACCTCATGACCCCTGAAACCGGTTCTTTGTTTGATCGCTCCACCCACCCAGCAGGAGATGAGGGTACATGTCCGTTTGTGCTTGCTTGTGGGTGACGACGGCAGTATCGAAGGCGGACTATGCACGGCTATGAGCTTCTGCTGTCGCATAGCGCCTCTACACGTTCTGATTTGTCCAGGTCTCTGCGGCTCAAGCAGGGACAAGCCTGGATGGTAGCATGAGCATGAACAGCCAGACCGATTAGGGCCGGTGTAGCGATCCTCCAGCGAGGTAGAGAAAGCATATAAGCAAGCCAGCTCTAGAGCATCTCTCCCTCTTTCGACAAGAATCATCCAACAGCTCCTGCACTCCACAGTCCAAACCTTGCCGCTCTCCTAGCCCCAACCAATACCCCTTCCCTTCTCTTACCCGTTGCCAAATCAAGATGAAGTTCTCCCTTGCTTGCCTTGCTCTCGTCCCCGCCCTTGCCTTCGCTGCGCCCCTCGAGCCCCGTCAGGGTGGTGTCGCCGTCAACTGCGGTGGTCAGTACTACAGCGCCACCCAGGTCAACCGTGGCATCAACAACGCCAAGAGCGGTCAGTACTCGAGCTCGGGCTACCCGCACACCTACAACAACTACGAAGGTTTCGACTTCTCCGACTACTGCAACGGTCCTTACAAGGAGTACCCGCTCAAGACGTCGAGCTCGGGCTACACCGGCGGCTCGCCTGGTGCTGACCGCGTCATCTACGACAGCAACGACGGCACTTTCTGCGGCGCTGTAGGTATCATTACTGTCTCTGAGGGTATCGGCCGCGAGCTTGAAGCTGACCTAACGACGATTCTTCCGCGATGCGACAACTACAGATCACTCACACCGGCGCTTCGGGCAACAACTTCGTCCAGTGCAACTACTAAGCGTCTTGCACGCAGCAGCGCCCATCATGATCCCGTTGAAAAGCAAACACGCAAGGTCTCGCATCCTGTCCTCCGTTATGCACAGTGTTCTTTGTTAGTCGAATGTCACCCTCTTTCCTCCCAACAGCATGCGTGTCAAAGTTGTGTGCAGGGGTGAGAAGGATAGCCTTGAAGACCCTGAGATCCAGAAGAAAGGCTCTATAAATTGTCCGGGTTGATAGCCGATTTGAACGCGACATACTTTTGGGGAAGGTCGGGGCCCACTTCATCTGCGACTCTCCACTTCATTCATCTACCTCGCCACCTCCGTCGACGATGGAAGGGTCACCTTCGAATGCGATCGCATCGCGCTACCCATCTTCGTCGACCGCTGGCGGCCTCACGACCGAGCTTGGAGACACTGCGTTCCTGACGTACGACGAGCTAGACGAGAAGGCCGCGCTCCGCTCTGTCGCCGACGACGGTGCGGGAGCCACTGTCCTGTTCAGCGGCACCACACGCGACTCTTTCCGCGGCAAGCAGGTCATCAAGCTCGAGTACGAAGCGTATACCTCTCTGGCGCTCAAGACGCTCCAGTCCCTGCTCGAGCGAGCGCATACTTCAGCGCCTTTCGCAGACAACCCTCTGCCATTATCAGCAAATGCGGACCCAAATACTGACTCGAGCGAGGACGGGGTCACACGCTGCTATATTGCGCATCGACTGGGCGAGGTAAAGGTGGGCGAATGCAGCATCCTGATCGCAGTCAGCTCGCCACATCGGAAGGAAGCCTTCGTTGTAGCAGAATGGCTGCTCGAGGAGGTCAAGAAGAGCGTGGCGGTGTGGAAGAGGGAGTTCTACGCGTCAGGAGACAGCATCGTGGCGCAAGACGGGCAAGGCGAGCTTTCCCATGCAACGCAGACATCTATCGAGGGCGACAGCAGGGCGGAAGAGGCAAAGGAAGGAGCAGAACCAAGCTGGAGCTGGAAGGCCAACTTTCCGTCTACATGACCGAATCAAAGATACCAAAAGTACGCTTCATGCGAGGATGCCTGTGCGGTGATTGGCGTCGTCGATCTCTTGACTATTCTATGTGCCCACCATGGCGCGAGTGCACCTTCTCGCTGTTGCAATGAAGGTTGCAGGCTGAGCCCGATCTGATCAAAGCAGAATGGGGGTATCGTCCGATTGGCTACTGTGAAGGCTGTCAGGGTGGCCCGGCAGGCGGTGCCCTTGGCTGGCTACCTACAGCCGGTGGCCCATTTGTTCGTCTGAGATACTCAACAAGGGTTCCCGCCGTGTTGAGGAAGCAGCTTTGCCGTACCAACATCCGCCGCGCATCGCCGGTCAAATACGAGTCTCTTGTGCGCTTTCACAGACCTTTAATTTCTGTTTTCCCCGCTCTCTCACGCGAAAAGGGTCTGATTTTCCCTCTTTTGTGGTGCCTGTCTGGTTGCAAGTGGTCTGTGTGGCGCGCTGTGGGCCATGTGGAGACCAAAACGCACCGCTTCATGACTTTGGCTCAAGCCAACGCGGGTAAGAGAGAACAGGAACGAGGCGGGAAGGAGAACAGACCCCGCCTACTGGATCGGCAGGGACTCAGCTTCGACGTGGAAGTCGCCACTCTTTCACACAGTGGTTGGAGGTGACCTTCTCACAAAGAATACTTGAAGCAACACGACTCGACATCACCCTTCCTTCCTTCCACCCACCACGACACTTCCCGAACACGACTCGAACCTCCATTCATCTTCCGCAAACATGACGTTCGACCTGCCCACCCCCCAGGGCCGCACCAACTACTCCGAGATCCCCTCCGAGTACGCCTCTGCGCTCGAGAAGGCCAAAGCCCTCTTCGCCGAGCACACCGACCCCTCCAAGGATTCCGAGTGGGAGGACGCTGGCAACCGCGAGGAAGTGCAGCTCTCCAAGAAGACCAACCCGGAAAACGCCTACGACGTGCCCATCGTCAAGGGCTCCACCATTGTCGAGAATGCCACCCCCTCGCAGGTCCTCGCCGTGATCCAGCAGCCCGGCATGCGCAAGAAGTGGGATCCTCGTTTCGACAACGCGACCCAGCTCGACCGCTACGGCCCTCAAAAATACGCCTTCTACACGTGGATGAAGTCGCCCTCGTACTTTGTGTGGGCGCGCGACATTGTTGGTGTCCAGGAAAACGTCATTTCGGACGGCGGTTCCAAGATCCAGGTGTACCAGACGAGTGTGGAGGCGGACCAGTTTATCGATGAGGCTGGATCGTACAGCAAGTCTCGAACGCGCGCGACGCTCGAGGTGTCCGCCTGGGACCTCGTCAAGGACGGTGACAACACCAAGGTGACCTATGTGGTTAAGATCCACCTCAACGGCAGTCTGCCTACGAGCGTCGTGTCGATGGTGGCCACCGAGACGCCCATGTGCGTCGGCCGCGTTCGTGACACGTACTACTCCAACGGTCACCTCCCCTACGACGCCGCCTGGGAGGACGGCAAGGCCAGCGACAAGGACAGCATTCTCCGCTACTCCGAGTACGAGGATGGCGACGGATCCGAGGCTAGCTCGGGCAAGAAGCAGTGGTCCATCTGGTACCAGGCCGTCGGTGAGGACACCATCAAGATTCGCTTCGACAACCAGAAGCTCTACACCAGCCTCAATGTCGCTGTCGAGGGCGAGGCGGCGAGCGATGTCACCGCGGATGTCGACCAGGACGCTGGTCTGGTCACCGTCAAGGTCGCCGACGGCGCCAAGGGCAAGGGCTTCTCGCTCGTCTTCACTCCTTGAAGAAACATTTGTAGTATCGTTGCTTTGCCTATGTAGCTTCTTCATGAATATGACTTTCTAGACCATGCCTTGCGACTCTATGTGACTGTCTGGTGCAATGTTGAGAGGTTCAAAGAGGATGCAGAGCGATGCGACGGCCACATCGTTGCTCTGACTGCGTTGTGCGTCATGAGGCTCATCAGCACAACAGCCTCGCACATGCAAACGACCGCGCTCCGCATGTGCTGTGAGAGTAGTGTATTGCGCCCGACATACTGTGACACCTGCTTTTTTCTTCTATACCTCCTTGTGATCAGTCCCCGGTCTCGTCCCTTCGCCTAGCCTCCTCGCCTCTCGCTCCGTGTACCAGCTCCTGCCGCCCTCGAATATGCTCCATCCGATGGCGCTGCTCGCTGCCTTTCTAGCGCACCTCAGCCCTAAGCCATCGAGCAATGCTCTCGGCCCGCTGGTCGCCCATAGATGCCTGGACATGCCCCAGACGCTAGGTCTTCTCGTTTCTCTCCCCACGCGTGCCGCCAATGCGGGTAGGGGATCGTGTGTTACGGCGATCTGGTGGAGCACGTCGCTGGGCGTCGTTTGCATCCTCGTCTTGATGATGTCGAATGGGTGGGTGAGCAGTGTTGCTAGTGTGCCGGCGAGGAGGCCGCTGCCACTGACGACCATCCAGTTGCCCGTTCCCATGCCGGGTGACATGCCGGATAGGTTGGTCTTACATGCCTCGTATAGCGCCAGATACAGCCCTGCATAGGGTGCATCTCGCAACGCGGTAGCAGTGAAGCCCTGGAAGAAGCCACGGAAGCCGGACTGCGTTTGAATCTCCCGCATCGATGATAGCAAGGTGCGTTCGGTGGTCGTGGAGAAGTTGCTGCTCTCAAACCTGGCTTTCACCACCGTCACGGGAGACAGGATGAAGCCGACCGTCACCCTGGCCACTGCGCCAGTGAGGAGGTTGCCGGTGGTGGAAAGCTTGGCCATCGTTGACGAACCCACGTTCGAGTCTGTAGGCGAAAGTGCAACCGAGATGTAGGGTATCTGGCGCTGCGATGCGACATGCCGAAGATGCGAGACCGAGTAGAAGTAGAGCGCTACACCAGGGACGTTGCGGATGACAGTCGGCGTCGTGCCGCGCCACAAGCCCTGGTAGCCATTGGAGCGAACAATGTCCTTGGTGATCGCGACGAGCTTCTGTGTCCGCGATGTGTATTGTGGTGCTGCTGAAGATGCGGATGATGTGGTATGGTCTAGTTGCTGGAGACGAGTCTTGAGCAGATCAAAGGGTTGTAGCAGAACGCACGAGGCGAAGCCGGACAGGGCGCCGAAAGAGAGCGTTGCGAGTGGCGGAATGGGCGCTGGCTTGCCAGGTTTGACCGGCGTGGCCATCTTGGCTATCGCGCTGCCATTGGCGTTGCTATCGCCGCTCGAAGACATGGGCGAATCCGAGACGGCCAGGCTGACACTCCGTTTTCAGCTCGAAGCTCTTGCAGAGGTTTGTCGTAGAAGCGTTAGCGACCAAGCATGGTGCCAGCTCGATGCGTGTAGATGTAATTCCGATGTAGGGGTATCGTTGGCAAGGACGCAACTCAGCCTCAAGATGAAGAACTATGGTGGAGGGTCGGGACGGTAGTTGAGGTAAGCCGACATCCGAACGCAAAGAGATTCCGGATTCAGGGTCCTCTTTTCGGTGTGGTGATCGTCAGCTGCAGCCTAAAAAAAAGGTCAGCTGCCCAGAATTCGGCTCAGCTCGCTCTGCTGCAGTTGATATGAGAAGTCGTGATGTTCCATTAGAAGTCTATACGGGAGGCAATTGATTGTCCAGATATGTATGTATCAGTCTACAGGGCCGGAAAGCGAGCAACGATCACCGATAGTAGTTGAGTCGCGGACTGAGCAGCTCCTCCGCCTCATCGTCGTCACTCGTACTCTTTCCCAACGTCTTGGATGCGACCCTGGGCTTGATCTTGGGATAGTCCTTGTTGCTGCTGCGTGTGCTGCCCTGTTGACTTGCGTTGCCCTTCTTTGCATCCACCGCGCGAATCGAGTACTCGTCCGCCTCCGAATCAGGCGTTTCCTCTGGCGAAGACGAGTAGTGGATGGGCTGGTCCCAGACGTTACTGAGATTGGATGCGCCTTCTGTCTTTGGGATGGTGGGCGACAGTGGTGAGTGGTGTCGAGGGGCGTATGGGTCTACGTACGTGCCTGACCCTTGGCGTTGTGATCCAGCGTTCGCCGAGCCGGATGCTTCCGTGGTGCGGCCGCTGCCGTCCGACGCCTCTTTGATCGAGTGGAGAGGGCTGTTGGCCATGGCGCCGAATTCTGTAGCTGCGGTGGGAGACACGTCGCCAGCGTGATGCCCGTGAGGCGCATCTGCACCGGCCTCAAAGGAGATGGTGGTGCCTCTTCGACTCGGTGTGCCTGGCACGGTCAAATTGGTGTTGTCGCGATGCATGCTGCGCGGAGACAGCGGTGAATCCTGCAGCTGGAAGCGCTCGATGTTGCCGGCACCATGCGTTGTGAGCGGAAGATTGTTGCGACTGCGAAGGTTGTACTCGTCTGCTGCACTGTGAGGTCGCCAGGAGCTCGCAGAGCTGAATCTTCGGGAGCTGCGAGCGCGGATCATGGAGCCCACGATACCCATTCCTCCACGCACAGTGTCCAAACCTGGGTCTTCGTATGCCGCGGTATCCGACTTTTCGCCACCGTGCGAGATGACCGAGTGGCTAGCGCGCATCAGGAGCGTGGTATCACGATCCAATCCTGGCTTGTCCTGAAGCTCTTCTGGGTCGATCTTGCTCAATTGGAGCAAGACGATGCCTGCACAGATGACCAGGAAGCCCATGACCAGCGTGACAATCTGAAGTGGAGACGCGTTGAGACCTTGCTGCAGGATGATCGAGGTGAGGAGAGTGGCGCCGGTGAAGATGACGTAGTAGGTAGGAGTGACTGTGGCAGTGTTGAAGAGCTCCAGCGCCTTGTTAAGGTAGTTGATCTCGACCAGCAGCGTGACGACGACGAAGCCAAGCAGAAAGTAGATGAACCAGTGCTTGAACTGATTCTGTCCTCGAATTGAGAGAAGGATCGCCGAGCCGAGCCCGGAAGTGACGCTGACGCTGAGACCGCCAATGAGACTGCAGACGGTGATGTAGATCATCATGTGCTGCTTGCCGTATTTGGGAGCGAACACAAAGATGAGCACGAGCGAGGCGACGATGCAGACGCTGCCCCACACCAGAAAGCCCAGAGCGAGGAAGAGCTTCTGAAATTCGGTAATCTTGCCTCCGACATGGGACGTAGGTGCGTTGAGAGCGATGATGACCGATCCGACGATGCAGAGGAAGCATCCCACTTTGCCGAAGAGGGTGAGCTTTTCCTTGAGGAAGATAGACGAGAGAACCGCACAGATGACCACCGAGAGTGCACCTAGTGGTGTTACGAGGACGGCATCGGCAAAAGCATATGCCACAAAGTTAAACACCTCGCCAAACACCATGATAATCATGCCTGTCCACCATAAAGGAGACTTGAGATAGGCATGACCTTCGCCTGCTGCTGTATCGTACTTCTTCTGTGCTGATAGCAAGCCTTTCTTCTTGAAGACAAAGGAGGAGCCGATGAGGATTCCTGATCCGACAGCCAATGCGAGACCAACATATTTAAAAGCTGGTGGATTAGCCGCGTTGCCAGCAGCGATGGCACTCTCTGATGTAAGAGCTGCGGAGGCGGAGGCTATTGCTTTGGAGAGCGAGTGTACCGCCGAGGATGCCGATGCTTTGGCGGCGTCAGCAGCATCGATGGATGAGGTGGGTGCTGCCGTCGCCGTTGAAGTCACTGTTGCGACCGTCGAGGACATTATGAGAGTTTGCGGCACCTGATCGGCCGTCTAGCAGCGAGAAGGGAGCTTTCGATGGTATGATACACTTTATGTTGCAAGACGTTGAGAATGAGTAGGTAGGCAAGCTCGACCAGCGAGCGTGGTGGGATATATCGAAGAAGATTGCCGGCGTCGCGGATCAAAGCGGTGTTCTTGACGCTGGCAACAGCCGGAACTTCCGCGTGTTGAGGTGCGTGATGCCAAGATGGGAAGGAACGAAGCGTCGGCAGCGTGGAAGCATACGCGAGGCACGGATCGAAAGTCGCCGTGAGAGGATCACCGAGCGTGCACAAAGACGATGAGGGTGATGCCGCTGACCATCAAAGAAGCGAAAGGACCCTTGCGAGCTGAAATGTAGATGCAGATGAAAGCAACGATGATGGTGGTGAAGGTCGAAGCTGTCCAAGATGAGGATGAGAGAATGGCAAAGGTCAACCAACACTTTGGTGTCGCCTAGCGCAGCAAGCGAAGGCAGCCGGTGACGCACAGGGGGTCAGCCCTTGCGCCTAGAAATGCCTCTCATGCAGAACCCCGCGAATGGACCGTGTTGGCTTGCGGCTGCAGCGAGGTGGACACCGCCTTGTCTGGCCCTGAACGCGAAAACGCCTCTGTTCCGCCCTGAAATTTCAAATTGTGCCCTTGTGAAGCTGTGCTCAAAAGAAAGCTTTGTCTGGCGGCGGACCTGCATGCATGCCCCTCGGTCTTCTTGGCCATGTTCTCAAGAGGGGCACATTAGCAACCCCGTCCCAGCAGAGCTCGCCGACAAAGGGACACGCAAAGTGACAAGCTCTCTTTCTAGGCACCGCAGCAACTGAGCGGAGGCGTAGGGCTCTAGAACACTACGCCGATGGAACCGGCTAAGGGGGTCAGGGGTCGTTGTCGTTCGCATCACTCCCTCTTACTATCGTGCTCAGTGAGCCCATCGCTTGACTGGAACGTGTTGAATCTTCCATCTGCCGCTGGTGATTTGGTTGCTGCAGACGATCATCGCAATGGCACAGCATGAGCTTGGGCAGTGTTGAACTTTGCCTTGGCAGCAAGCAGCACCGCCTTTTCAACAGCACTCACGCGCTCTCTCGGCTGCCAGCGTGCATCCGGCCAAGACGTGTCCCCAAATCGGAAGCCGAGATCTCGATCCCGATTCAGTTCTCGCAAACAAAGAATGACGCGGGTCTAACAAAGTGCCAAGAAAAGTGGGCAACGCAGCAGCAGCTGTGAATCATCCTGCAGCTCGACGGAGAGAATTGTGCACCATCCAGGGTTCGTATGGCGAGATGAGCCGTCCCTTTTGCCGCCGTTCGTCCTTTGCTTGCGTATCATCTGCCTCCGTCCGCCAGCCCGTGTGTCAAAAGTCTGGTATCTATGTTCGGCTTCAATGCGTCATTTGAGTGGCATTGAGCTGGGTACAAGGTTGAGAGCAGCACTGAAAATTGAGAAGCACGTCGAGGCCACCGGGAAAACATCGTCTGAAAGGACGCCGCAGCCGCCCAGTCTTGAGATTTCCCGCGATCCGGCCGCATCACACGGACCATGTGACGCTTCTGCAGGCGGCAAACATTCGTAAATCCATGTCGATCTTCATTCTTCATTCTCAAACACAAGCTCGTCTTTCTTCCTGGCCACATCCATCGACCCCATCTTGCAATCATGTCGACCTCCGAACAGCCGCTGCCCATCGTCATTTGGGTGCACCCGCGCTCGTGCTCCACCGCCTTCGAGCGCTCGCTCATGCAGCGTCCCGACACGGTCGTCTTCCACGAGCCCATCGGCGACCCCTTCTACCTCGGCAAGGACCGTCCCTGCCGTCGATTCGACGACGAGCACGCAAAGGCATCCGGCAACTACGACCTCACCGTCACCGAGGTGCTCCAGAAAGTGCTCAACCCCACCCAGGACGATATCTCGAAGAACAAGTCGTGGCCGCCCAAGTACGTGTTCCTCAAGGACATGGGTCAGTGCCTCTTCCCCGCCGATCTGCTGCATCAGCTGCACCCGGAGTCCAAGGTCTTTCCCGCACCGACTTCAGGAGAGTCCAAGAGGTTCGATCCCACCGCGCCCGTCATCGAGAACCCCACCACGGTGCCCACTGCCGTGCTGAAGCGCTTCCGCCACTCGTTCCTCATTCGCACGCCTGAAAAGTCCATCCCAAGCTACTGGAAGTGTGTCCAAGAAGGCGCATCCGGCTGGGAGTTCTGGGACCAAGCCGATGCGGGCTACGTAGAACTCAAGATTCTCTACGACTGGATCTCGAATCCGCAATCCACCTTCAACACCGAGTCGGGAGACGAGCACGCGGTGGAGCAGCCTCAACCGCCTCCTCTGCTCGACGCCTCGACGCTGCTCGCACACCCCGACCACGCCATCAAGAGCTACTGCGAGGCTATGGGCATCCCTTTCTCGCCCGAGATGCTCAGCTGGGACTCGGGGCCCGTCGACGAGTGGGCCAAGTGGGGTGGGTATCATAATGCAGCGGAGAACTCGACTGGGTTCAAGAAGGATACGCCCGCACAGGCGGATAAGCCCAAGAAGATCGCGGATCATCTAGTGGGCGCGGTAGAGGCTTGCACCAAGCCGTACCAGTACCTGCTCTCCAAGGCGACGATCAAAGATCCTTGAACCAGACTCGCTTGTATCATCACGAAAGGAAAGTACGAAACTCGCGGATCGTTGTTAGGTGACAAGTGTGTATGCATTCCGTCCGTTGCTATGCGAGCATGTTTGAGATGTAAGATGCAGTATCACTGCCTAGCCAAATGACCGTACTCCTTCAAGAACCACCCTACAAACTTCTTCCACCTCTTATCCCAATCCTCGACCATCCTCTGCTTGGCCTCATCGTCCACCAATGCGTATCTGATGCTCCTCCTCGCGAGCGCGGCCAACGAGACCAGACTTGTGCTCTTAGAGCTGATTACCAGCTGATAAAAGTCGTAGCTCAGGCCGAAGTTCTCAAAGATACTCGGGTCGTCCGAGCTGAGTGCGACGGGTACGTTTCTGTTGAGCAGCGCGAGCAGACTCGGATGAGAGCAGATGCTCGCCGTGTACCCCAGGACCTGATTTGAGATGGGGCAGATTTCCACGCAGATGTCCTTCTCCTTGACAAGGTCTGTCAGGGTCGGGTGGCGGGCGAGGGAGACGCCGTGTCCAATTCGGCGTGTGTTGAGCAGAATCGCATCGTAGAGGTTGAGATCGGCGTCGCCGCCATCGGTGAGCGTCTCGCCGGCGTGGAAGACGAACGGGATCGAGATACCTTCCTCGGCGCAGCGGTGTTGAAAACGGAGCAGCTCCGGGATGTAGTGCTTGAGCGGTAGAAGCGGGTCTTCGTGCCCTACGAGGTCGAAGCCCACGATCCATTCGGGGAAGAGCTTCTTGAGCGAGATGCAGTCCTCAAGGTACCACCGCAGCTTGTCGTTGTCGATGAAGCGGACGGTGGTGTAGATGATCTTGGCATCCACAAAGACGCCCTCTCCAAGCTCGGCTTTCGCCTCCGTGACAGCCTCGATGAAGATCCGCACCCAATCCTCGTGGGTCAACGTCGGTGTCCCGTCCGAACGAACCATGAATTCGGTGAGGAAGTTGATCCGAGCTTCCGTGTACGAGATGCCATCGCGAGCATGCGACAGGACGAGCTCTTTGGTGTAGGCTTTGAGCGTGGGCTCGTACCCGATGAGACCGGCAATGACGCCGAAGGTCGACTGGAACTTGGACCAGGCTTGCTTGCTGTTGGTGATCGCTGGGACTGCTTCGTGCGGCGTCAGCGTCATGAGCGAGTGTACGTATGCGTCGAAAGCGTCGCCTTTGCTCGAGGACCCAGGTGCGCTGGTTCCGTTCGGCTGAGCGGCGGGCTTGGAGAGCTCCATGTAGGCCGGCATGTGAGCGTGTGAGCTGCCCTGATCCAGCTCGTACGGGTGAGGGTAAGGGAATGACTCCCGCGCTGCCTCGAAGCTGACCCATGACCCGGGCGCATACTCTTCCGACCAAATACTGACGTTTGATCGATCCTCCGACTCTGGCAGGACCAAGAACTCCACGGTCGCCGACCACAGCGAATCCTTCGTCAACGCCCGATCTGCCTTCATCGCCATCCCCGGTGTCTTCTTGGCATGCTCCAGCAGAAATGACGTGTCCACCGTTCCATCGAAGTGACAGTGCAGCAGCGCACCCTTCGGCATCCTTCTCACAGCGTTCCACACGTCCGATGGTGACCCGAGACCGTTCTTGCGCGCACCGTAGAAGTCCATGCCGGCAAAGCTGGCCAGGTCGCCCTCCTTCTCCCATTGCGATTCCCTTTCAGCATCTCGCATGTTTGTGAAAATGGTGTTGGCGCGCGCCTCATCCGCGGTCATGGCAGTGAGCGCTGCATGGTCGTAGCGTTGGGAAGCCTCTTGAGCTTTGAGCGCCGCAACTGCCTGCAGATGGGCGTCTATGTCGGATTGGCTGGCCATGCTTTGATGTCTTCCTTCCGTCTGTTGTCTCTGTACGGTTCAGTAGTGCTCGACTCTATGCTGGTCGAGAGAGTGGTGGAGAGGAAAAGAAGGCGAGCGAGAAGAAAGTTGGACAGAGCTAAGTGAAGATTAAGTTATGTCGCGTGCGGAGCACCAAAAGCCGGCAGCCAGCCAAGAACAAGCTCAGGCTTGTCGGATTTGGCCGAGACTGAGGGCGAAGCTAGGACCAACAAAATCAGAGCTTGACGGAAGCTCGGAAAATACACGCAGCTCAGCGCGACGGCAAAATCCCACGTGTTAAGATTGCTCACACCGTCTGCGGAAAATCATTCATGAGCATTGCCAAGGGACCATAGTATGAAGAGCCTACTTGAACGAAGGCGCCTTGGGATGCTTGACCCAGTCGAGGTGACCGCCGTGTGCATGAAGGCCCATCTGAGTCTCGCCGGTAAGGTGCGGGTCCTCTCGGATCATGTTGAGCGGGAAACCGAGGTCGAACGGTACGGCATCCTCAATCTTCTTGATCTGCTCGTCGCTCAACACCGTGCCGATGGCCTTGACGTTGTCCTCGAGGTGCGAGATCCGGGTTCCTCCGGTGATCGGGAAAACGTATGGATACTTGGAGAACACGTATGCCAGAGCAGCATTGGTGATGCTCAAACCACCCAGTTCCTGACCGACCTCGTGGAGCACTGCCGAAATCTTCTTCTCGTTCTCCGTGAGAGCGCCACCGCCGCCTCGGAGGGGACCCTGAGTCTTCTCTCGTTCAGCAACTTGTTCCGGCGTCTTGAAGCGACCCTGTCCAAGGGCTCCCCATGGAGCCAACGCCATGCCGAACTCTCTCGCCATCGGAATGATCTCGCGCTCAAAGTCGCGCTCCATCGCGTTCCACTTGCCCTGGTACACGACGAACTGGGCGAGGTTATGCGCGCGAGCATACGTGTTGGCCGCAGAGACCACCCAGGCGGGCATATCGGATGCTCCCAGGTACAGCACCTGACCCGAGACCACCAGCTGGTTGAGCGCCTGCATCATCTCTTCGATCGATGTGGACCAATCCCACCCTGTTAAAAAGTTAGAAAGATCGATCAGCTAAGTTCTTGGGATCTGTGTTGATTAAGCGTAGCAAAGTTCGAGCCCTATCTGGTAGTTTTACTCACAGTGAATGTACATGATGTCGATGTAGTCGGTGCGCAGCTTCTTGAGCGAATCGCGCGTCGAGACAAAGATGGACTTCTTGGAGTTGCCTACGAAGTTGGTGCCGATGTGCGTACCCAACTCTCGGGCTTTGTACGGGGAGGTGGCCTTGGTGGCGAGAACGATCTCGTCGCGGATGCCGCGAACCTCCATCCACTCGCCGAGAAACTCCTCGGACTGGCCATCCGTGTACACATTGGCAGTATCGATGAAGTTGCCGCCGAGCTTGTAGAAGGCGTCCAGGAGCTCGAAAGTGCCTTCCTTGTCGAGGCCGCCGGAGAGCATCGACTTCCACTTGTCGCCGATCGACATGGCGCCGAAGCAGAGAGGGGAGACGCGCACACCGGCCTTGGGCGCAAGGACGCGGTGACGGTCCAGCTTGGAGATTGGCTTTTCAGCGTCGAACATGCCCATGTTGAGGAACTTTTGGGGTTGGGGAGGGGAAGAGAGGATTTGGTGTGTGAATAATGGAAGTGAGCGGTGCGAAGGCGGGGCTTATATGCTTTCTTTTGCCAGCGTAGACCCCTGTCACGATCCAAGTGTTTCACTGCATGCCGAACGGCTCTTCCTCCGCGGAATCTTGGAACCGCAAGCAGGACAAGGTGACATCGTCTAGCCGTGGTTGACGCCCTCTTCTTCACCTCGCCGGTCAGAACAGTAACAGCAGCAAGGGCACAACAGGCACAATCTTCACGCTCCCGGATACCATCAAAGCTCAGTCTCCCATCTCGTCCGCGGCCATCGTGAACGACGCTGACGTTCTCCACAACATGAGAGGTGGAGGAGGGCACGATGGCGACCCGTGCGCGAATAACGAGCAGCAACGCAAACTCCGATGCGGGACCAAGAATCTTCTGTGGAGCGCTCGCTTCGCTTGGCCGCGCAAGAAGATCTTGTAGCAAAAAGCAGATGCCGGACCACGGGTCAGCAAGAGAACAGCCTGCGCGCAAGATGCTCCTTGACAGCTCGTGGGATGTGGCTTGAGCGCCTCCTCGCCCATCCCCACGGAGATCCGCGCTTTTTCGCCTCCACCTCCACTGGTTCTGCATCGGCGATGAATTTGTGTCAAATTGTTAGGCCGAGTTGATTCTTGGCGTGAGGAATAAATGTTTCGCGGTTTAGCTCGATTCGGTCATATCGTCATCGAGCGCCGACTGACCGTGCGTGGCTGCAGCGTCTGCAGACTTGGCAATGGCTCAAGACCGTAAGCCGGTCGACTGCCAATTTTAGCTCACCGTCTATCATGATGGTCGCACAATAGCCACCGACGAGACAGCTTGCTCTTCTTAGCCCCTCACCATCCACCTTTCGAAGCATCGAAGAGCTTCCCGATCGGAACATGCCCAGCAGCAATCCGGCAACGAACACACAGCAGCAGCCCCAACCCGACTACATCTACCGCCCCGAGGATCCCGAGTACGCGGATCACCTACGTGCCGACAGCGAAGTGCCCTCAAACCCCGCCCTGGCCGCCTCTGGACTCTCGCACCGCTACCGCGCGCTGTCGACCAACATGGAGGCCAACGAGGTCAAGTCACTCACGCGGATGCAGATCCTGACGCCCCTCTCGGTATTGCTGCAGATGGGCGTGATGATCCTCTGCGGATCCAAGCTGATCAAGCCCAACTTGCAACAGGTCTCGCGTCGACACCCTACGTATCTGTCCGTGCAGGATTCGTTCGTGCTCTTCTACTGGGCCGTTCTCTACGTTTTACTCATCGGATTCTCGGTCTTCTTGCTGTTGAGCAGGACCGCCGAGACCAAGAAGGCTCTCGTCCATGGGGTCGGTACCCGTCTCGCACTGGCCAACTACATGATGGTCCTCTGGGCCATCTTCTGGATCCTCGATCGACCGCTCACGTTCATCCTCGGCACCGCTGCGCTTGGCGTCATCGCCTTGCTTCTCCTCTTCAACGCCCTCGTGCTGGCCATCCGTCATCCGCCATCGCCCAAGCACCCGCTCGACTGGCTCTTCATCCACGTACCCATCAAGATGTTCCTCGTCGTCACGCTCCAGTACGATCTGTGGCAGCAGCTCTTCATGGCCCTCGGATGGGACTTTGGTGCAGGCGGTCACGATGCACTCGTCAAAGGTCTCTGGCCGGCATTTGGCATCGTCACCGGTCTCGGCGCCTTCTCGGCGCTGTGGATCTTTGCCACCGCCGACCTCACCTGGACCGCAGCGGGCATCTATCTCAACCTCGGCCTGCTGTGGCACAAGCACTTCAGCTTGATCGGTGGCAGGGACGATGGTGAGCCCCGACCTGCGCCGCTCACCGCCGCCATCATTCTGAGCATCTCCCTCCAAGCGGTGGCATTGGTAGCCGGGATCGCGTGGAAGAGGATCAAGGCTCGACAGGAGGGAAGCATTGCACTGCCGCTGTCGCCAGAGGAGGAGGCGGCGGTGTACAGGGCCGAGGTGGAACGCAATGCGCGGGCCGCTGCGGCGACCGGTGGGTCGGGTGCTGCTGCAACCGCTCCTGCTGCGGCTGCCGGGAACGGCAAGCAGGTCAACAGGGTAACCGACATCGCTGACGAGGAGGTGGCTGCCGAGTCGAGCGGTGCGACTGTCACGCCTACCAAGGTGACCAGGAAGCTCGGTGGTAGTGCGAATGCCAGCCCGGCGAAGAAGAAGTGAGCGGAAGAGCTCGCATGATCTTTTCTGTACATACTGTGCTCCGACGGAATTTGCATCTCAACTTGCCGCACACAACAGAATGCGAGTGAGCAGGTGAGAAGGCTGTGGCTGTATTGCTTCGATTCGCTCGCCAGTATCTGAACTGTCCCTCCTCTATCAGCTGTGCTTCTCGCCCTTGGACGACCCAGGCTTGCTCCCGACCATGAGCAAATTCCACACGCGCAACCCTCGATGATGATGCACCTCCTTCCCCTCCTTCCCCTTGCCCTCCGGATCGGCCGATTTACCCGTCGGATCGGTGCTCGTCTCGGTATTCAACGTCTCCTCTTCCGTCCTAAGATGTTCTCGCACCGGTCGATCCTCTGCGCCCCAGAACCTGCTTTTCCTTTGCACCCCATACGCCCTTGCTCGGATCTGCAACGATCTTCGGAGCAAAACCAAAGCATCGTCTGTATCCCTCCTTCCCGCGATCGCTGCCGGCGGTGGCGTCTCATCCACCAAATCCATCGGTCCAACATCGCACAACCACCCCCACTTGTCCCTACACCTCTCCGCCCCTCTCGCCACATCCACCCCTTTCACCCCCACCCCGCCCGCGCTCTCCTGCGTGCGGCGCAACAGCACCTCTCTCTTCCGCTCCAACCCTGCCACGTCCAACAACCCCTGCGTGTGGGCTTCTTCCAACATCCTCTGTGCCGTCGTCTCGTTCTTTGCGCGCTGGCGTTCGACTTTGCGCGCGGTCTTGGCAAAACGCTTCGCCCACTGCGCCTGACCATCGAGGTATCGCTCGACAGGGCCTTCTTTGATCCGCCCGATGTCGTCGGGGTTGAGTTGAAGGGCGGGGAGGGCAGATTCGGGTTCGAGCGGTCGTAGGAAGCCTCGGACGTCGATGCGCTCGCGAATCATGAAGGATTGGTACGAGGGACGGACGAGGGGTACTTGGCCCGCGTAGGTGTTGGCGACGTCGTTGGTGGCGCGGCGAGAACGCGGATTCGAGCCGGAACCGGTGGGGTGGCCGTGAAGGGTGTCGGAGAGGACTTTGGACATGGACCGGTGGCGTGTGGTGGTGGTGTCGGTGGTGACGGCGGCAGGGTGGGTTGGAGAGGTGGTTGAGATGGGTTCGGGCTCGTCGCGCAGTGGTGTGTCTGATTGGTCGGCGTTGCTGGTCGCGACGTCGGTGTTGATGGCGCTTGGCTTCGAGCCGCTACCTTCGCCATCTCGGACCGAAAGCGCACTCATCCCATCAAGACCGTTGACTCCGCTCGTCGACGTACCTGCTGTCGACGCAGCCACCTGCGAGCTTTGCAAACTCAACCCACCCTCTGGCGACCTGACCTCGCTCAGCCCGTCATCATCGCTATCACCCTCCCCATCCTCCCATCCCTCCCCCTCCCCTTCCCTTCCCACCTCCCCCTCCCTCGTCTCCGGGAACGGATTCCTGATATCCGTCGGCGCCCCCGTAACATGCTTGACAAAACTCGCCACGCCCCTGTACGCAAACCGGCTCTGCCCCGTGAACGCAAACGCCGTCAGCACGTGGCACATCTGATCGTACACCTGCAGATGCACCTTTGTCGGGGTGCCGTCGTACTTTTCGGCGTTCTCGCGGTTGCGCGCGGAATGATCGAGGAGGTCTTTGCGGAGAGGGTAGCGGGAGGGGTGGGCGGCGCGGTGGGCGAGGTAGATGATTTCGTCCCGGAGCACTTCGGCGTCGCCAGCGAGGATGTAGAGCGGAGGCAGACCGCCGAGGGAGCCGGAGAGGACGGCCGAGCATAAGGGATGGGTGACCTGGTCGTTGGTCGCGTAGAGCTGGATTTGTTCGCGCAGCTCGATGGCTTCTTTGGTTGGGTCAGCGCGGTTGACATTGATGGGGTCCGACCAGAGGAGGTCTGGGGCGGAAGGGATGCCGGTTTGCTTCGTTGACGGTTTCGTAGCTGGTGGATTGGTGGCGGAGGACTTGGAGGCGGAGGGCAGGGCGCCGCCGTCGAAGCTTTTGCGCGCTGCGGGCTCGGCATCGGAATCGTTCTTCGTCTTGCCCTTTTCATCCACGCCAACGGGGACACGCCGCCTCGGCTCGTCATCACCCTCGTTCGTCGCTTCGTCATCCTTCTCCTTCGCCGGCCTCGTCGCGTTGATCGGCCACAGCGTCGACGGCTTGTGAATGAACCCGTACGGCGGGATGATGTCCGTGTCGGTGTTCTGCAGGATCGATGGGAACGAATGCGTCATGTCGCACCAGGGCGAGATGAGAACCGCGCCAGCTGGCGCTGGCAGACCCATGTCACGGATCACCGTGAGTAGTGCTAGCGTCAGACCACCGCCCGCACTATCGCCGGCAATGACGAGCTTCTTCGGGTCCACGGGCTTGTGGTTTGCCCCCTTCGGTGGGTATAGCAAGTAAAGATAGGATGCGACGGCGTCTTGCAGCGCACAAGGCCAAGGGTATTGAGGGGCCTTACGGTAGACGGGCGCAAAGCACTTGCCGCCGAACTTGCGGGCGTAGCGGACGATCTGATACCGATGAGTTGCAAGAGAACCAAAGTAGTAGCCACCGCCGTGGAAGTACAGCATGACACGTTGAAGTCGGTCGAGCTCTTCGGTCTCTGCAGCATGATCGTGCGTTCCATCTTCGTCATGCGCTTCGGCAGCGGCATCGTACTGCGGTTGTGGCACATGATCTTCTGTGACAGGCGACACCTCATCCTCTGCATTCGGTCCTGCTGCCGTGTTCCGTTGGCGCGGTGCCTCCTGCGAGACCCGCTTGAACGACTGCGAGCGCCTCTTGAGCGCCGACTCTGTCTTCTGTCGCATGGCTCGAATCTCTGACAGCGCCCGTTCGTGTCGCTTGTCGCGCCTCCGTCTCTGCTTTCCAGTAGACCCAGTCGAGCCACCTTTCGGATGCGTCTTCTCCATGGTTTTCATCTTCTTCCAGTCGTTGGACATGGCGATCCACTCGCCTTGGAGACCAGGCAGCGGTCGCATCTGCCACCACTTCTCTCCGCCGACCAGCTTGGCCAGGTCCTGGGGGCCCAGATGCTCGACGATGAGCTTCGCCGCGGCATCGCAACTCTCCATGGGGATCATGACCGGCAGCGTCGTCGCCCACGGGATCGGTGGCGCGGGCGCATCGGTGAAGTCCTGGATTGCTTCCACCGTATCGCTCGTGCCTATCTCGATGAAGGCTTTCACGATGTGAAATGCTTCATCGAACATGAACTCGTCGGTCGCCTTTTGGCCGTTGTGCGGAAGAGCGGCATCGTTGCGTCGCGCCTTGAAGGAGCGCTTGGCTTTCTTATAGTAGTGCTTGAAGAAGGTCTTGGTGACGGTCGGGGTGAGGTTGACGGCAACGCCCGCCGTGGTGATTGTCATGTTTGGATGTCTAGGCGGTGCCGATCATCAATGATGAATCTGCTTGTCTACGGTAAGCGGCTCTGTATACTGGGACGCGGAGATGGTGTGTGCGAGACGAGCGTGACTAGGTGGGCGAGATGAGAGTAGGATGCCGAGCCCGTTATGATGCTGACAGGAAGCAAGCCATGATGATCGGCCCGGCGGGTTAAGCTGACCGGATCTGCTGTCACGGGTTCAGCCTTCCCCGCCAATTCACAGCGTTGCCCAGCCTCGATGCTAAAAACAGCGTCAAGGAGCGTGTGTCTGTCTGATGCACCGTGCCCCTTGATGCATGCAGTCACACCGCAGCGGCTACCAAATTTTGGCTTCCGCACCTCCACACGGTTCAGATCTTGTCGGTTTCAGGGACACGCCGCGGACTGGGTTCATCAGATCGAGCGAGCTCACACGACAAGGACATCACTGATCACAATCACGAAATGATCATTGCTACGTAGCATGACAGAAAGCGCCGGCCTCAAGGCGACGATCTCTCCTCGGCAGCGGCTCGAATAGCACCAGCTCGTGGCCGCACAACTGCATCCTTGGGCTTGGATTTGTCTCGAGCAATGCCGCGGAAAGCGGGGAAGCGCGGATAGCCGTCCTCGCTGAGCTCGAAGAAGCGGTAATTGATGATGGTACCGATCGGCGGCGGGTTGTCTCGCTGTGCATCCGACATGCCTGTGCCGACGCGAAAGGTGGTGCCGCATGCCATCTGAGCGACCAGCGAGCCGGTGCGTCCTTCGTGGCGTCCCGTTCCTGGCGCGTAGCCCGTCACCACGGCTTCGGCATCGTACCAGTTCTTGAGCTTGAACAGCGTGTTGCCACGCTTGCCTTCGTACTTTGAGCCAGGCTGACGCAGCATCAAGCCTTCGCCGCCCTTGACCTCGACCGACTCCATGAGCTCGGCGAGATGCGAACGCCCTTTGCACTTGATGTGCTTGACGAGCTTAATCTGCGGCCCTTCGAGGGAGTCGATGTCGAGGCCGTCGGTGGATCCGAAACGCTGTTCCAGCTCCGCCCAGCGCTCTTCCACTGGCCTTGAGCCCATCGATGGTGAGTCGAAGACCTGCGCGGATGGACCCGAGCCAGGTCAAAGCATTCGTCAGTACTCACGAGGCAGCCTCTCCAATTCTCTTCCACGCACGAACGAACTCACCATGAACTTGATCCTGTTCCACTCGTTGGAGCTCTTCGTTTTGCGTCGACAGACGTGGGTATATGTCGAGGGTATGGTTCGAGCCGAAAGTCCAGACGTCGAGGTGTTCCGCATCGAGTAGATGTGGGGCCGTCGCAATGAGACGGTGTTTGATGCGCGTAGTGGAGTCGGAGGCGCAGAGGGCAAGGAAGGTACAGAAAGCAGCTGATTAGCATTCGCCCTTTCCTCTTCTGCCAGTCCTGCATCACGTATCTTGGTCCGCTTGACGATTTTGCCGCACCTGGGGCAGCGTAAAAGAGCGAGACGGTGAAGGCGGCTGCGCGGAGCTGGCAGCGAGCGTGAAACGAGGGTGGAGCTGCGTCCGAAGAGCGCCCGCAAGAAGACGCCAGCGACGCCAGAGCGACCGAGCGCTTCGCTGAGCGATCTTCGCGTTCTCTCGACCTGCCCCGAAGCAGCCCTTGGCTGAGCTCGCTTCCAAGTCTTCCACGCGGACGGGGACGGGATCGCGCTGGCTGGTCGCGTATCTTTGGCGGCAATCTTGTCCAGCTTCCGCGCGGTCGAGCGGAGCAGCGAGACGGCAGATCGCTCGCCATGCAGCCGATCTTGGCTAGCCAGGCGCCCGCCAACCTGCTCGCGCAGCCACTGTCGCTCCATCGAGTCTCGCTCCATGAAGTGAGTGAAAGTACGAAGCCGACCCAATCTTACAGTAGTTCGGCAAATTTGAGATGTTTGGTCGAATGCTCCTCGAGCCATCCAGAGCTCGCCGTCGAGGGTGATGTCCTTCGGTAGTCCTGATGATTGCATGCAAGTTTGCGAAGGATTTCGGTGGGATGTCAGCCATATTGATCGCGAGCGAGTGCAAGAGGGGGCCAAACTCACGATCCTTCCACCACGGAGGCGCATTCCATTCGATCTTTTGACGCGAGTAGAGCCTCTGACCATCCCAGAAGGCACGCACGCCATCGAGCTTTTCGCTGATCCACCAACCCGTGGGATCCATCGCCTTGGGTCGCGGCTTCGATGGATCGGCGTCCAGCAGCCACGGCTTTGCGAGTAGCAGTGAGACCTGAAGCAGAAGAACATACAGAGGCAAGAGTGAGTCGGGATGTGGGCTGTGCGGAAAGCAGAGGCATCGACGCAAGAGCTTACCTTGTCATCGTCATCAACAGCAGATCGCTTGCCTCGGCGCGCACGCTTCGATGGCGAAAGCTGGACGTCATCAGGGTCGAGACCGTATTCATTCTCATCGCTGTCGTCGTAAGCGGGACGAGACTGACGCGCTTGAGTTGATGTTATCGCCGCAGCTTGGGACGGGCGAGATGGGCCTGCTTGCGAGCCGACGACCATCTCGTCCTCCGTCTCGGTGTCGCTGTCGTCCTTTGCGCGTGCCTTTGCCTTTGAACTGAGTCCCGAAGTTTTGGGAGGAGGGGTGCGGGGGCGGTCGGATGCTATAATGTCGATCGTTTTGCTGCTACTGCTTGCAGCAGCAGATGTGGACGGTCCTGCGGCATGAGTGGTACCCTGAACGTCGAGCTGGCTCTCGCTCTGCGACATTTGTCGAAAGTGATCGTCCAGCAGGCCTTTAGCGTGCGAATGCCTCGCGTGGTGGCCGTCAGATGTGGTGCGGCGGAATTTGGAATGCTCGAAGATGGTGCTCTTGGCTTCCTTCGCGAGGGCCACTCGATCGGTCTCGTACTGCTCGCCGAGGACGTCCTTGAGGTGAGCGCACGTCTTTCGCATCTTGTCGCGTTCGGTGGAGAACTTCCAGGCGGGGCAAGAGCAGACGTAGTAGCCCTCGCGAAAACGCTTCAGGATGAATGACGGGCTGCCAGCCTTGGTGATTCTGAAAGGTTCGTTGAGAGGTATGACAGTTAGAGGCGTGACCTCTTTACCGTCAACGCTGGTGCGGTAGCCATACTCGTCCTGGCGGATCATCTTCGGTATATGCAGAATTGCAGTCACCGGATCGATGACATCCGCCATCGAGATGCTGGTGAGCATCGCGGACATGGCTGCGAGCTCGTCTGCGAGGGAGTCTGAGCCAGACGCAAGGTAGTTTGAGGATGCGTCGGAAGATATTGGGAAGCGACGTGGATGATGGTGAAGCGGAACAGTCGAGGTTGCGGACTGTCGAGTTGACGTGGCTTCTGCTTTCGCCGCCTTCAATCAGCTGATCCGGGCGCAACTGCCATTCGAGTCGAGGCGGACATCTCGCGCGAGAAGGCTGCTACCATGTGACGATATAGGATGGACGCAAAGAAGCTTTGTGACTTCAGAGAGAAGCTCTGGTCGGGGAGAGGAAGTGGCGTTGAGGTTGAGAAGGATGAATGCTGAGTTTGGTGTATGCAGCTGAGCTGGACCCTGAATTTGGAAGACTGGCTGAGAACAGCAGCAACTCCGCGTTCCGCGACGACCGTGTCTGTGCGTCAGATGCATTCGCAACGGTGTTGCTCTTTCGAGTCCCAGAACTTTCATCATCTTGACAAGCATTTCAACATCATGTCGGTCAGCGCTTGTGAGTTTGTCAATGGAGCTGGCTCATTCAGAGTCTATGCACCTCGCTGACAGCTTCTGTGATCGTGTGCCTCGACTACAGGGATCCCGGACGGTCTGCTTCCTCGATGGCTGCTCGTGGTCGCCGCGATGGCATCGCTCAATGGAGCCACCAACTTCTTCAACTCTCGAGCTAGTGCAAAGGTGTACTCGGCAGCCGGTGGTCAAAGTATGTGCATCCTCGGTCTGATACAGTTGTCATTTGCAGCGTTGGCTGATCTCGTTACTATCTCGATTTGCCGACCGAACAGTCACACCCCTCTCGGCGCGTCTCTTTGGCGTCTGGAACATCACCTCAGCCATCATTCGGGCGTATGCCGCGTACAACATCAATGACAAAGTGTGAGTGCACGACTGATCAGGCTCGCCGGAACTGTCAGATCTGCTGACCCTTTCCTCCTCCCTCCCATCTTCTACAGAGCCTACGAGTTGTGCATGTGGTCCTTCGTCATTGCCCTCGTCCACTTTGTCTCCGAGACCTTCGTCTACAAGACCGCCAAGATGGGTCCCGGAATGATCAGTCCGCTGATCGTCGCTTGTGAGTGGCCCTTGCCTGATCTTTACGACGATCGAATTCGATACTGACCCTTTGTTATGTCTGCGCAGCTTCGAGTTTCACGGCCATGTACCTGCAGTACGGCTCGTACGTCAACAAGCCCCTTTCTTGGTCTTGACAGCTTCCACACAAGTCAAGCCTGCTATCGTCTCAATCACAAATGCAACACCTAAGCGCTCCGACACGACGCTCAGCTCCGACAGTCGAGTGACGGCCCGTTGCAATCCAATGGAGTACAGCACACAAAACTGCGAAGAATAAGCAAGATGTCATTAAGGTATAAGTATATGATGTAAAAGGAAGGAATCTATGCAGTGCGATGTCGGCGAGCGATGGCGCTCAAGCCGTGGCGGAGAAAGGAATGAACGAGGCCCATCTCGAATAGATTAGCGGCAGTGGGGGGCCCAGACGGAGCAGAGGTGACGGAAACTTAGACGCCGCCGGGAGCGGGCTTGCCTGCGCAGGTCCACGAGCCGTCCCTGTTGCCGTAGCGACCGGTGACTTTATACGGGTTGTAGAAGAGCGTGCTGGCGGTGGTGCGACTGCCGACGTAGCCATTTTGGCGCACAATGTTGACAGCCTGGGGGATGACGGTGTTGGGGGTGCCGGGGACCGTCTCGTGGTTGAGCACGATGGCCTTGGTAGGAGCACGCAGGTTCCTGTACAGGTTGAGGCCGGCTTGGGTTCCTGCGCCATTGGCATCGTTGGTGTCCCTGTTCCAGCCAACCACGACGACGCCCCACCTGTCGTTGAGGTAGCGCACCTGGTCGGCGCGAATGCTGCCAAACGGAGCGCGGAAGCACGCAGGCACAACACCGAGGATCTTCCAGAGCGCATCTTCAACGAGCTGCACCTGTCGGTCCAGCTGCTGGTTGTTGAGGTTGGCAATGTTGGGATGGCTCCAAGTGTGAGAGCAGATCTCGTGGCCACGCTCGTAGGCATATCGCAGCGCCCGCACCGAGGCATCGTCGTAGATGCAGCGGTAGTTGTTGCCGTTGACAAAGAAGGTCGCCTTCTGGTTGCCAGCATTGCCTAGCGTGTCGACGAGCTTTTGCGAGTAGATGTACGGTCCATCGTCAAAGGTGATCGAGAGACAGCGGTCACCTCGGCACTCGTTTTGAACACCGTTGATCTGAGCTCGCTTCTTGTGCTGGTGTCCGATGTCGCGCTCGTGGATGGTGTACTGGTCGGCAGGCAGAGTGGAAAGCTCGCGACGGACGTTCTCAGAGATGTGATCCGGGATGGTGCTCATGACTGTCGGGGAAGCGGCGACTGTGGAGAGCAAGGCTGCTGAGAGAGCAGCGCCTGCTGCGAGGAGGGAGGAGAAGCGCATCTTGGTCTAGAGAGAGCTCTTGAAGGTGATGGGAGGTAGGGCGGGGCGGAAAGGAGAGTCTCGAGGAAGGAGTGGTCGAGGAGGAGAAGAGAAAGGATGAGAAAAGGATGGGATGGGTTGGGATGGTATAGGACCAGGTCGATGAAAGCGACAGAGTAATATAGCCCATCCTACGAGGACAAGAGGGTCTTCCTTCTGAGGGGAGCGGAGCTTCCAGTCCGAGCAACCCAGCTCGTTTCTGCACAGAACCGGTCAAGGGCAGCTCTGTGCTTCTCAGGCTCAAGTGAGACAGTTCTGTTCAGGGTGGCGTTACTCCGCTCAGGCGCTCCTGCCGCCGTACGTGCAAGCAATGATGATTGAGCTCATAAAGCGTTCGCCGGCGCAAACACAGCAAGTGTTGTCGAGGCTTGAGTGAGTCCATTGACAAGCAGCAACAGGGGGGAGGGACAGCAGGTGGCGAGGACAATACTGCGCGGGACTGACTGAGACCGACAGCCCACAGTCATGAGATCAAGGGGGGTGCTTACTCCCTCACACAATACAACAATGAGTCAATTGACCGCCGCACACAATTGTCATGCGAAGGAAGGCCAGCGTCAAGCAATGTTCGGGACCTGTAGCGATTACTTCGCCCTGTGCGTACGGGGCTTGGCGTACGAGGTCGTGGGAAGAAAAAGGACCTTGTGGGAGGTCCCGCCGGTCGCCAAGGGGGGCGTTGCATTGAGAGTCGTGCTTGTTGTCTCGACTCTGACGAGACCAAGTCGCAGCGATGTGCACGGAAGACCGGGAACACTCTCCATCTTCTGCCAAGAGACACAATGGGAGCAAGAGGACAAAGCGGACAAAGGCGGAGCGCCACGCCAAGACAAGCAATGTTTCAGGGTCTGAGAGTGGAAAAAAAAGATCCGGTGCATCGTTGGGTGGTAAGGCCAACTTGCAGGGTTTCACTTTCCGATGCCTCTTTCCGGGCTGGAGCGAACGGATCGTCTGCACTGAATGCAGTCGTGCGTTGAACTGATGACGATCATGAACTTTGCGCTTTGATTGGGGGTCACGGACGCACGAAGCTGACGAGCTTTGGATGAGGAGAGGGAAATTGACTATCCGCTTGGTCGCTGTTCCAAATCGCTCTCCCCGGTGTCCCGGACTCATCTCGGACTGTTTGAGGTAGGGCAAATGACATTGCACAACAGCAGAGTGGGTTGCCATGAGATGAACAAGGGTCAGCCATCATAGTGAATCGCATCTGGGTTGCGCGCAACAGGAAGACGGATCACGATCGTCGAGCATGCCTCAGGATCGGATGGCGCGGGATGGATGAAAAAGCGAGCTAGTGGCTGTCGAACACGGCGAAATCGAAAAGGGCCAGACAAAAGTCGATTCGCTTCAAAGGGCGGGTCTGCTGATGGGACAACGTCACTCTTGAAAAAGAAATTTCAGCCCTCGTATGGACTGATGAGACATGTCGCAGGCTGCTGATGCTTGTGCGTTCCTGAAATTGGTTTTGAGATTTGTTTTTTTCGTGATTTAGCCCCGCTGGTGTGGTGCCGATTTGTTTGTTGTTTGCTGTTTGCTGCTCGGCTGCGATTTGCAACGTGCGTCAAAAGGAGCGGGACACGACATGCATGCATGAATAGGGTCTCTCCCCCGCCAACACTGTCCTCTGGCAGCTTCTTTCTCTCTTTCGTTTGCCAACGCTCGACTCTACTTCGAGGGGTCCCTGCGACGTCCAAAGGCTCACTCTCAGAGGATGCGTCGATCTCGAATTGAGAAGCTGGCGCCCCTGATCGACTTCGCAGTGAATCACGAGCATCGAGGTTTATCCTGCAAAGAAATAGGCTAATACCGTCGTTGACCGACGATTTCTTCGAAGAATGCACCGTGCATCTCGTTGATGTGTACCGGTCAAGCTGTCGGTGATACCCATCATTCCTCCGTTGTCATCCATACATCACGCTGGATCGCTTCCGGCGGCATGTGCGGCACCTTCGGGCAAACAATGCTGTGGGACCGCCGCAATGCGACTTCATCTCGGTCCGAAGAGAGGAGCGTCGCTTGTGTCGATGTCGACACGTCACAATCTAAGCGGCGCGAGTATCGTGTGCTCTGCTGAGCTCGAAGCGCGACGTACTCTGGTCGTCACGTGTGTTCATCCCTTCCGGCCAGTCGCTCCTGTCTTGGACATGCATGTCTGCCTTTCACAATCGCAGCGTGCAAGCTGATGCGAGCGACACTGGCACAACGCGGATCTCATCTATCTCACTCGTGCAGCAGCCGCCTGCGAAGATTCCTCGCCAGATGTCCGGCAGTATGGTTCGCTTGCCGTACTGATGCACTTGGCCAGCTTCATCAGGTCCACTGCCCAATACGCTGCTTGCTTGTCGCCAGGACGGGATATTAGACGGACGCTGCTGTGCGTGGCAGGTGCATACGAGGAGCGTGGTGTCGCTGTCTGCAATCGACCCGATGAGTGGATCGGGGTGTAGCCACGCCGACACTTGGCATCCAATAAAATCAGTCACGAAAATGGATAGCGAGGAAAGTCATCGCTAAATTGTGGTCGCAAAAAGGATCGCGCTTGGCAGGCGAGGAAATGTTGTGTCAAGATCCTTTCGTGAAGCAGCGTGTGGGAAGCCGGTGAATTTTGAGGGTCCGCCAAAAAGAGCGCGAAACAGGGGGCCGGCAGAAAGCAGGGTCCGGCGAATTTTGAGAGAGAGCCCTCTTGTGTTGATCCATACTCTAGGCCGGCTTCAACGCGGGGACTTTGCTGCAGCGCTCGAAGAGGCAGGTCTGCGAAGGTCGCTTGCGCTCGTCGACAGCTGATGCTGGTGATCTGCACAGACACCTCGGCATGAATTGATGACGCTGCGAGCGCGGGTTGAACAGCGCTTAGCTTCCTTCCGGCGCAAGAGACGTTACTGCCAAGACGCAGTTCGTGACGACCAAGCTAGAGCGGGTGGTTGTGTCGCGATAGACCTCGAGGTCTCCTGTGTTGGTCTATGAGAAGACGATGGACTTGCAAAGCCGTTGCCGAAAGCAGCTCCTCCTATGAGCTTATCTGGGCTGGTCCTTCTCCAAGTCAACTCCGCTGTGTCGCGCTCACCTTCTCCTGTCCTCACCACCATCACTCTCCGGTCTGCCCAACTCACACACATCGTTCACCCCTCGAACACACACATTCTTTTAAAGCGCAACCCACACTCATTTGATCCTGCCACTACCATTGCCGGTTTCTATCCCCAGCTCTTACCGATCAGCCACCTCGCCCAACAGCCAGCATGAGCTACACCTCCCCTGCCAAGTTCAGCGACAGCAACGGGCGCTACACGCGCATCGATGGGGGCAAGATCCCCTCGCGGGGTCGATCTCTCGCAGCCTCTCGGCGCGGCAAGTACTGTCTTGCGGTCGCTGCTGCCGCGGCGTCCCAGTCGACTGCGCGGTCCGGCGACGATATGGACTTTCACGCAGCCGTAATGACGGATCAACGACGCAGGACCAAAGCGAACGTCCCCACCCTTGACGAGCTGTCGAGCACTGCCGGTCGACGCAGTCTGGCGATGATCATGGACGACACAACCGACCCTTCTACCGGCCAATCCTCCAGCGCGGCACTATTCACCTCTCACGTCCAGGGCATTCTCGCCCTCATCGGCGTGATTATCCTCCTCATCCTCGTCCGTTTCGCCCGCATTTCCGTCGACAATGCAACCTACGTCCGGGGGTCGCTCAACATGCTCACCGGCCTCGCAGCCACCGCGTCCGCGCACAAGCTGTCTATGACCGTCGCCGTCTCGTCGCTGTCGTCGATCAAAAGCGTCAATTCGGGCAGCTCCAAGCCGCCGTCCACAGCAGTGACGGTGGCAGCCATGGGCCTAACAGGTGGTCAAGCGTTCAACTTGATCTTTGGCAGCGACCAGTTCTTCCAGATCGTCAGCTTCGTGGAAGCCATCTGCTCCGCCATCGCGTCCTACATGTCCGGAAGCAGTATCGTCACCAGCACAACGGCTTTCAACAAGAACGGCGTACCACTGCTAGAGCTCGATATGAGCCAGGCAGGCACCCTGTGGGGAATCTGTGGATTGTGGATCGCAGCGCTCGGTCTGCACGCCGCAACGGCTTTCGCCAACAAGGGGACCATTCAAACCGTGCAGATGGCGAGTAACGAGAGTGTACGCGAGATTGTCGCCGTGATGCATACCGAGAGCGTTTACGCTGGCAAGCAGTAGATAGCAATAAAGTTTCCCTCTCGTAGTGTCGAAAGCTGGCTCTTTTCGTGTCTGTCTCTTTGGATGTTTGGGGGCTCTTCCTGATGGATCAACTCCTCTGTGGCATGAGCGGTAGCGAACGAGTTCGAGCCGAAATCAGAGGCAGACGTGCGCAAGGCGGGTCGTGAGTGTGTTTTGATGGTAGATTGATATTAGCAAAGCGTATGGTGTCTGGTATATCGGATGAGTCGTCCTGCTAGGCAAGAGTGGAGAAAGATGCGAAATTGCCGACCATCTACTGCGAAAGCAGCTTCTCGATGGTGGCAGCGATGGCGGAGGGCTTGGTGTTGGAACCGTATCGCTCGATGACGTTGCCCTGCTTGTCGACGAGGAACTTGGTAAAGTTCCACTTGATCATTTCGGTGCCGAGGATGCCCTTCTTCTGGCCCTTGAGGAACTGGAAGACCTCGTTGGTGTTGCTGCCGTTGACATCCGACTTGGCCATCATGGGGAACGACACGCCGTAGTTCTGTTTCAAGACAACAATCTAGTCAGCATCATATTGTGACATTCGAATGGTGGGAAGGCGGAGCACTTACACGTTGGCAGAACTCGCCGATCTTCTCGTCACCCTCTGGGTCCTGGCCGGCAAACTGGTTGCACGGGAAGCCGAGAATCTGCAGCCCCTGCTCGCCATACTTCTTGTTCAACTCCTCGAGCTCGGCGAACTGAGGAGTGTAGCCGCACTTGGAGGCGGTGTTGACGACGAGGACCACCTTGCCCTTGAGCTGGTCGAACGTGTACTCGTCCTGGCTGGGCTTCTTGGCTTTGAGATCGTAAAAGGAGACCATGATTGCAATGTGAAGTGGTTGACGATGGATGTGGTGGGTCGGAAAGGTGAAAGTTCAGGGCTCAGTTCGCATAAGAGCCTTGATGGAAAGGGAGTCGGTCGCCCGATTGCCGCCACAAGCACCAACTCGGCAAAGGTCTACGGCCGGAGTGGATTGTGAAACTGCAAATCCCACATCTACGGTGACGCTGTCGGAGCTGGGTCGGTGACACAAGAGAGACGGAGATACAGTTGGGCAGGATCGACAAGAGTCTGACGCAACTCAGCTGATTTTGCGGAGCGGCGTTTGTGCCAGCCGAACCCGCCGCCAGCCGGGCTGCATGGTAAACTTCTTACCGACGTCACAGATTGATTTTGCGTGACAGAAATCCAAATTTGGGCCAGCTGCTGCAGCTAGCTGCACAGAAGGCGCCTTCTCCGAGCATCTGCGAGAAAAAGTCGATATTTTTGGCTCGAAATTCCGGCTTTCCGAATCAGCTGAGCTGCAACCCGTTCTAATCTCGATATGCTTTGGTCGTTGTATCGGGAGATTGCATTTCGGCTATCTCCAGCCCCGCGGCGAGATAGTGAGAGGGAGCACGGTGCAGGTCTCCGAACAAATAGCCGGCTGTCGAGCTTGTGCAGGGGGAGCACGAGAGAGCCCCCACATACGCGGTGACGGCCACTGTTCGACTTGGCCCAAGAAGCACTGAACAAGGTTGGACGGCTGCTCGGAAGAAGTGCTCGAGCATGTCCGGCTGGCGTTGTTGCTCCCTCCTTCGACCTTCGCTTCGAGTCAATCAAGCTTCGCACTCGTTTCCAAGAGCGAGGCTGCCTTGCTTGTTGACCACCTCTTCTCCCTCCTTAGCCATCGTCCAACAAGACCCATTGCCGGGAGCAGCTCGGAACATCATGACCAGCGCAAAAGGGACCCCAACACCGCTCATCATTGATACGGATCCCGGCGTTGACGATGTGCTCGCCCTCTTGCTCGCCCTCGCTTCGCCCGACGAGGTGGCTGTCAAGGCCATCACGCTGACGTTCGGCAACACGACACTTGATCATGCATACGCCAACGTCTTGCGGACAGGTGCGGTCTTGCAACGCCATCTCGCCGATCCATCTACACCCGAGGCTGTCAAGAAACGGTATCGCTCCTTCAGCGCGGATGCCGAGCCCATCGTGATCGCTTCCGGATCGACAGAGCCTCTGGAAGGCAAGATGCTGACCGCGTCCTACTTTCACGGTCGTGATGGTCTTTCGGGGGTCAATTGGCTACCAGATGACCCGTTTCCCGTGCCAAAAGATGCGATAGCGCCATTGTCACCTACAGACAAGCATGCAGCCGATGTGATCCTGGATATTATCCGTCAACACCCTCCTCACTCGGTCCGAATTGCAGCTCTGGGCCCTCTCACCAACCTCGCTGCCGCATTCCGCAAGGACCCGGAGACATTCGCCAAGGTCGGCGCCATCTCGGTCATGGGCGGCGCATTTGATGTGCCAGGCAACACCTCGCCGGTCGCCGAGTTCAATTGGTATGCGGACCCCTACTCGGTGCGTGTGCTTGTCGACGAGGCGCCTCGACACCCGGCGCTTCAGGGGCGGAGGTTGCCGATCCAGGTGTTGGCGCTGGACATCACGTCGGAACACACAGTGCCCTACTCGAGCCTCGTCAAGGCCACCTACGAAACGCCGGACGACACTCCTCAAGGCGCCAGTCATCTGGAACGTTATATCGGAACCTTTCTCACCCACCCACGCGCATTCACCAACAACCTGGTGGCACCAGAAGAGTTTCACCCAGATCAGCACGATCTGTTTCAGGCACACGATCCGCTCGCCATCGCACATGCCATCTTTGCACCCATGCCTGCGTCAGGATCCATGGATGGCAAGAGATGGAAGCATACACCGCGTCGTTTCCAGATCGAGACCTCGGGCGATCTCACAAGAGGGTTCTGCGTGGTCGATCGCAGATTTACGGGCAGTGGAAGCAGCAGGAAGATCGGAGGGAACAGAGCGGAAGATGCGGAAGCAGAGGAGGAATTGCATGTCATCGAGAACGCGGATGTGCCAGTGCACCGCAAGAAGCAGAAGACGGACGAGTCGCAGATCGGATTGGTGGACGAAGTGACGCGAACGCCCGGCATCGAGTGGTTCGCAAAGATGTTCTTGGAGCGCATTGGATTGTAGTATATCAACAGCATTCGTCGTAGATCTCTTTGCAACAGTATGGTGTGAAGAAGGAAGAATGATGTCGCTTGTATGCTTCCATAGCGACAGATCGGGAGCACGCCAAACGGTCCCCCGATACAAGATCGCGACGAACCGGCTGCGCTTTTTCACGCCTCGGTCGTGTCTCAGAGGGGCAGATGCGGTCACTCCGCGTTGGCAAGCGAGCAAACTGCACATCCGGCTAGAAAATGAGCCTGAAAAAGCCGGTTGATCAACAGGCTCACTCTGTCCGCCAATCTGCATCAATTTGGACGCTGTATGGCCTTTGACTCGATGGACTCAAGCCATCATTCTCAATGCGACTGTATAGGCCGACTTGAAGCAATGATTGATTGTGCATTGATGAGCAAGGGTGTGTATGCTGTTGACAGTGCCATCTGAAAGGAGCGTCGATAAATTTGGAGCAAAGCCCTGGCTCGCCTATGTGATATCGCTCCAAAACCTCTCGGTTGGATTGTTGCTCTCTCCACACTTCAAAGCCGGCTGCACCGGGCAGCAAGCGCGCTTTCGACTGCTCGCTCCCCGCACTCCGGCTTCATCCCTAATCACTCCGACACTCATCCCCTCTTCACGCTCCACCACAACCCAACATCCTCCATTCCCTAGAACAAACATGTCGGACGACTCTTTCATCCACGCTTGCGCCGGCGGTGTCGGCGGTATGGTCGCCATGACGGCCACCTACCCGTTGGTGGGCATCTCGACGCGTGCTGCCGTCGAGTCGTCCAAGAACCCCGAGGAGCCGATGATCAAGGCCGCGCTCAAAATCCTGCAGCAGGAGGGCGTCGCGGGTCTCTACGCCGGTCTTAGCTCCAGTCTGCTCGGTATCGGTGTGACCAACTTGTAAGTCTTCCCCGTCTGCCTCCTCCTCATTTCCATCTCGTAGTTGTACTGACCAGGTGTACATTGAATGCAATCTGCTTCTGCGACGATTCTCGACAGCGTCTACTACTTCTTCTTCGAAAAGTGCCGCGAGACGATCCTGCAGTCCAAGGCCAAAGTTGCTGCTGCTGCTGCGACCTCTGTCACCGCGACGATCGCCAACGGGGGTGCACTGTCCACCTTCGAGTCGATCCTGGCGGGTGTGATCGCTGGTACGGCGACGACGGTCTCGACGAACCCGATCTGGATTGTCAACACGCGCCAGACCGTCCGAGTCGGCGTGACCGACAAGGCGCCTCAATCCGCCGCTGCCAAGGCTGCTGCTGTCAAGCGTCTCGGGTTCCTGCAGACGATGCAGAAGATCGTGCGTGAAGAAGGCCCCTTGGCGCTGTGGAAGGGTCTCGGTCCCGCCCTTGTGCTGGTCATCAACCCCGTTCTCCAGTACACCGCGTTTGAGCAGTTGAAGAACTGGGTGGTCAAGTCGCGCCTCGCTCGAGCTAACGGCGGCAAAGTCGCCCTCTCCGACTGGGACTTCTTCTGGCTCGGTGCCCTGTCGAAGCTCTTCGCCACCGGTCTCACCTACCCGCAGATTGTGATCAAGAGCCGACAGCACGCCGGAAGCAGCAAGGGCGCCAGCACCAACATCTGGACCGCCATGACCGAGATCGTCAACCGGGAGGGTATTGCGGGTCTGTACAGAGGCATCACCAGCAAGTTGCTTCAATCCGTGCTTACGGCCGCCATCCTGTTCTTGGCCAAGGAGAGGGTGTTCAACATTACAAAGGCGGTAAGTTGTCGAGGTCAAGTCGTGACAGAGGAAGAAAGAGATTGCTGACACGCCACCGTTTGACTTTCACGAAACAGCTCATGGCCCCCGCCGTCGCCGCCGCTCCCGTCAAGAAGTAGACGCTCACCTAATCTTTTCACTACCCTTGAGATCCTTGCTCTCCTACCGTTTCCACTCCCTCGTCTCTGTATTTTATGCCGAAGAAAATGGATGAGACGACTCGACCACTCTCTCAGTGTGTCGTCTTTGAGGCAAAGGCGATCCATTATGTGAACCAGATCGAGGACAAGACGATCCCTGAATGATATCTTGCCATAGCGTGCCATTGAAGGTTTAAGACCCGCGGTAGGTGGTGTACGAGAAGGGCGAGAGGAGCAGAGGGATGTGGTAATGCGGATCTGGGCTATCTGAGAGCTGAAACAGAATCTGCGATTGGGCCATCAAAAAGGCACAAAGAATCCGACGTTAGCATTGCTATCTATCACACCTCGTGCGGAATGCTTCAAACTCACCTCTACCTGCGGATAGAACGTGTTCCTGCCCGCTTTGTCAAAGTACTCGCCGGTGAAGAAGGTCATCTTGAAGATGCCCTTTGGTGCCAGTACATCTTGCGAGGTGTGACCGGCCAGGAGGTCGGGACACCGCCCGTCGGCGTTGGTGCTGCCCGTGGCGAGGATGTGGAACTGCGAATTGAGCGGTGACAGCGCTTCGAGCTGAACACGCACGTTGGACGCCGGTTTGCCTAACGTCGAGTCGAGCACGTGGCATGTTATGGGCGATTTGGACATGATGGCAGCCTGTCTCAGTGATCGTTCTGCGATATGATATTGGGTGGTGGTGAAGATGATGATGGTGACGAAGACAGGGTGTGTGGGAGATAGCAAGCACAGACCAGTCGTTCCCGAAATTTCAACGCTTCTCGGATTTGGCCGAACGTTTTTTGCCGGCGTTGCGGGCTTCTCTCACCAACGACCTTCTTGTCAAAAGCGCTGATGGACACGATAACACAAACACACTCGTTCTAGCTGCCAATGTATTGCGGAACCGTGATCTCGAAGTTGCTGCACTAATCAAACATGATCTTGAGCTCGGTCTGCTTGACAAACATGGCGGTGAGCGCCAAGCTGATGCACGCGGGCAGCAGATCCAATCGCACCACCGAAAAGATCCACAACGTGCCGAGCGGTGCGACTCGCTGCACCACCACGTCGTAGGAGGACTTGTTGACAATGTGAATGAGCGAGCAGCCGCAAGCGGAGCAGAGGACGAAGAGCATGCCCTGTATCAAGGCCTGGCGTTGCGAGGTGAGGTTGTAGTGGATGAAGAATGCGAGGACGGGAAGAGCTCTTGCCAAGCGAGCGACTTCGTCTGTAAATCCGACGGTCTCGCCATACTGCTGCCGCACCAGCACGTCCAGCAGCGTATACATGAACCCGAATGGCATGGTCCAGATGACTAGGTCGAGGATGCTCTCCACGCGAGGACTCATCTCCGTCGCCTCTTGCTCCTGCATGAGTCGATTCGCTGTGTCGTCGCCGTCCAGCTCGTGGTCGGAAGCCACGCCGTAGTCGTCGTCCGAGTCATCGTCGTCTGCCTCTGGGGCTCTTCTGCTTCCGCCTTTTGACTTTGCTCGGTTGAGAGCGTCGAGCTGGGCTTGCGCTTCTTCCATAGTGACAAAGTCCTTGGGCAGACCGAGCTTTTCGATGAGGCCGAATTTATGGAGGATCTGCTCCTGTTCGTCCTGCGTCAGTCCGGGTCGGGTCTGCCTTGAGGTCGAAGCAGCGTCGTCACTGTCGGAGCCGTCGTGAACTTCTGTAAGTCGTGCCATGTTGATGACCGGCGTTGAACTCTGCTGAAAAGAGATGATGGACGTCGAGAAAGGTTGCGAGAGGTCGAGAAGAAAATCAAATTCCGAGACCAACACACGAGCCACGCCCACACGACTCAGCCTCAAAGCAAAGTTGGACCCTGAACAGCGCGGCGCTGTCACTTTCAGCACTCGACAACCATCATCATCTCTCGTCAGCATCCGTCCACCACCGTCCTCCTCAACGATGTTCATCAGCGTCAGTCAACGAGCTAGACGACTTGATACTATGCTTGCAGTAAAAGACCGTGATGCGGAACTAGGAGCAGAATACGGGACGAGATGTGATGCAAGGCTGACAGGGATCTTCGCGTCGAGGCAGGGCCAGAAGCTGCTAAGATCGTGGGTGGTGAGATGAGACCATCCGAATCACTTCTCGCACGACCCTGTAGGGCCGCCATTGCCACCATTACCACCGTTGCCTCCGTTACCGCCATTGCCGCCCGGAGCGCCAGGTCCACCGGCCCCGCCATTGCCACCGTTTCCGCCGTGACCACCATTTCCACTGTGGCCGCTACCATGGCCACCACTGCCGCCATTTCCACCATTTCCGCCTCGACCACCGTCGCCTTTGTGAGCGGGACCATTACCGTAGCCCTCGGGCGAGCCATGTTTTTGAGGGGGAGCGCTCCAAGGCTGTCCGTGACCGCTGTCGTGGCGATGATGAGGAGCGGCGGGTGAAGGAGGAGAAGAAGCAGCGCCAGAAGGGCCAGATGGACCATCAGGTCCGTCGTTGCCATCACTTCCGGGCCTTCCACCAGCACCGCCGCGACCACCGGCACCAGGGCCGCCATCACCGCCATCGCCGCCAGCACCGTGGTGATGGCTCACAGGGCCATGTCCGCCGCCAAGAGGCTTGATGTTGCTCTGAGGAGGGGCGTCACTGCCATCAGGACCATAGGGAGCACCAGGGCCACTCCAGCCAGGGCCGCCAGGACCACCGTAGCCACCAGGACCGTAAGGACCATCCCAGCCAAGGCCACCGTCGACGCTACCACCCACACCTACACCGACACCGGGACCGTAAGGGTCAAAGCCGAGGCCGCCCCCAACATTGGCACCAACGCCAACGCCAGCACCAGGGCCGCCGTACGGGTCAAGGCCACCGCCGACGCCCACGTTAGCTCCAGCGTTGGCTCCGAGCAAGCGTCTTTGGTGCTGGTGAGCAGGAGGAGGTAGGTCCCAGCCAGCACCACCACCGGCGGCGGCACCAGCTCCGATGAAGCCACCACCAGGTCCAACGCCAGCACCGCCGCCGACAATGCCTCCTGCACCAGTCCAGCTTCCAGGGCCGTAAGGATAGCCATAGTAGGGGGCCTGACCGTGATGCTCCTGGTGTTGAGGGTGCTCATGGTGCTGAGGCTGATCGTGATTGTGGGGGTGTTCCTGGTGTCCAGGCTGCTTGTGAGCAGCAGGAGGAGGGGGAGGAGGCAGGATCCAGCCAGCGCCAGCGCCAGCTGCACCACCAGCGCCAATGACGGCGCCATCAAGGCCGACACCGGCACCACCACCAACGTCAGCGCCAGCACCAGCGAAAGCGCCTCCAGGGGGCGGGGGAGCTGGTTGACCAGGCAGTTTGCGCTTCTCGGGCTGTTGAGCTTCAGCTGTTTCGACATCGCGCTTGTGATAGTAAGGGCGAGGGTAAGGGTACGGCTGACGGTACTGATAAGGATATCCGTAGGGGTTGCCGTAAGGGTAGCCATAGGGCGAGCCGTACGGATAGTCGCCGTAAGGATAGCCGAATGGACTGGCGCCAACGCCGACATGGGCGTCCGCATTGGCGCCCAGGGGCAGCAATCGCTTTTCGAGCATAACGACGTCGACCGGCTCTGCGCGCTTGAAGTGGCCCTGGTCGGCTTCGATCTTCATGGGCTCGACGGCGACGGGCGAAGCCGAGGCCGGCTCGGCGACCAGCAGACCGGTCATGGCCAGCATGACGGCCGCCAGCACGGTGGGAGAGATGCGAGTCATCGTCGGAGACGCTGAGATTGGGTATGCGGTGAGACCAGGGAAAGGTGAGTTCAGTCAACCTTTGAAATTGGAGAAGAGATTGGGCTGAGACCTGTGTAGGAGAGAGAGTGGACGAGAGAGTGATGGTGTTGAATCTGTTCTTGCTGCTTACAAGTGGTCGATACTTATACGATCCGTCACAGACAAGGATGCTCTCCGACGTAGATGGAGCGGGTCTCGATATCGACTGGACTTTGCTTCGCTGCTGCCACGACTCGTTCGAGGCTCGGACGAGGTCCTTGTGCCGACTCGTCAGTCGACCGGACATGAAGCGCTCTGCTCTCGCCTCTCGGATCGCTCAATGTCGCCACCTCTGAATTCTCTTCAGCCGTCGAGGCTCAACTCCGCTTTCATCCCTGCTCTCGGGACACGTCTCATCTCGGAACGAGCAATATGAAGCGTCAAACTTGGACCCGCTCCGCACTGGTCTGCATGTATTAGCGTCAATGGCAAGCCTGCATGGAGGAAGCGACGCCAAGACCCTTGCGATGGTATGAAGCTTCTTCCGCTGAAGCCAGCAAAGGGTCCTTGCTCGGTGCCACGTCGTCTTACCGACTAAAATTTCATCCCCTTCTTGCGCTGCACGGACGCCTGGCTTGTTCTCCAAGAGCACGCCTAGTTTCATGAGGGTCTGAGCGCGTATGAAACGGAGCATGCGTCACTCGCTCATCTCGAAGCTCAGCGCAACGTCGCGACACACTGAGGCCTAGAGTCGCCACTCGCACATCATGACGCACAGCAATTGACAAACCCCGGGCTCGCACCAGCGACGACGCAAGATGATAGAAACCGATCCTGCTAAACATCCTTCGACATGAATTCTTATCGCTCGAGCCTCTCACTCGAGAGCGACACTCAAGCGGTGACTCGAGCCCCTGAGCTCATCAGGGGTCCGTATGTACCGGCAGATCAGTCATGAAAATAGACCTCTCACTCAGGCGATTCAAGACCAAGCAGTTGGGAATGAAGAAGAGTGAGCATTGAGAGTTGGGAAAGACGGTGACAAGGAAGGCGAATCGTGTCTGCAACTAGCAAAGTAGAGCGCGATCGCGGACTGCAACGCATCGTAGAGACAAGAAACTGAAGAGAAGGAGAGAGTGGGGTGAGTTGCAAAGGTGTCGAACCGAGTTGCCAGTTCGAGATCGAGACGAGGATGTCGGAGAGCAAGAAGAGAGGAAGTGTGCAAATGAGGTGCCAAAGACACCAACAAGAGGACGCCAAAGACGCTCAGTCAGTGCTGATGATCGCTTACTCTGCCTGAGCCTCAGTGTCAGTGAAGCGACCGCGACCACCACGACCGCCACCGCGACCGCCACCTCGACCGCCGCCGCCTCGGCCACCACCGCCGCCACCGCGCTGAGGCTCGCGGACCTCGATCTCGTCACGCTTACCCCAACCCTCGCTGCGGCCGCCCCAGCCACCGCCTCGGTGACCACCCCAGCCGCCACCGCGACCACCGCCGTAGCCTCCACCGCGACCGCCCCATCCACCACCCCAGCCGCCGCCGCCGCGACCACTGCCGCCCCAGCCGCCACCACGTCCGCCGCCCCATCCAGGACCGCCACGACCACCACTACCCCAACCACCACCATCGCGCGCCTGCAGAGCAGCGCCCTCCTCGGACCTGAGACCGATACCGAGCCACACGCAGAGGCGGAGGATGGGGTTCCAGCCGAAACCGGGCGGGCACACAGGAACCTGCTGGTTCACCTGCGTGTTGTCGGCGGCCTCGACGGCCTTGGAAGCGTCCTCGTCGCGCTTCATCATCGAGCTGTCGGCCGTAGCCCTCCAAGGGCGGTATCGACCGTCATCCCATCGAGCGCATCGGCGTGACCACCAGTCCCAGCGCGAGCCCCAAGGGCACCAGCCCGGACCACGCCAGTTGGGCATCCACTGGTCGGCAGCGTTGGCATCCTTGGCGTCGTCAGCCGCCTTCTTGTCGTCCGCATCGCGGGCCATGGGCCAGAAGAGCTGTTCGGTATCGTGCTTGTCGTCCACGTCGCGAACGACAGGAGACCAGCCCCAAGGGTACTGGTCGGCCGCGTGCTTGTCGTGCACGTCCCGAGCCATGGGAGGCCAGAGGGCCTGGTCGGCCTCATTCTTGTCCTCAACGTCGCGCGACATGGAAGGATAGTACATCTGATCGGCATCGTGCTCGTCGTCCACGTCGCGAATGGGGAAGGGCAGCCATTGGTCAGCCGCGTGACCGCCGTCAGCAGCGTGCTTGTCGTCCGTGTCGCGACGCTTCATCCAAGGCGGGAATGTGTCAGCCGCCTTCTTGTCGTCGGCAGCCTTGTCGTCGCGCTTCATGAACAGGAAAGGGTCAAGCTGCGAGGCGGCGTCGGTGGCCATCATGGGCATGTTAGTAGGCGTCTGAGGTTCGGCCTTGTTCTCGCCGACGTCGCGAGTGGGCAGGACGCCAGCCGACGCGTTGGGCACGGCTGAGGCCATAATGGCCAAGGTGGTAGCGAGCACTAGAGCAGAAGAGATACGAGCCATGTTTGCGATAGAAGAGTAGGAGATCAGAGTGAGAAGTGTCAAAGAGAGTAGAGTGTTCGAAGAGAAGAGTAGAGTTGCAAGTCGGTGAGAAGATCTCGTCGG